CAACGTTCATGCTGAGGGGTCCACTTTGTCGTCATTTTCGTGATTAGCAATTCGCCTTCACTTTAGCACCAACACACAGAATCTTCGAATATCGACGCCTCATGGCCATGTCCAGCGCTACGGTCACGCCCTCAATGCGAGCCGTCGGGTGGAATGTTCACTTCACCATAGGAAATGACGAGGATCCGGGCGCCTTCGCTGGGATTTACCAAGCTGCGGGGAGCGACTTGGTGACCTTTCGCCACGTTTGCGACGAACTGCGCCTCTGCTTCGAGCTCCCAAACGATACGGTGCGCAGCGAGAGCGGCGACGACAATAATATTGATCCTTGGGCTAGAATTGCGTTCGCTTTGGCTGACCATTTCGACTTTCCGAGCCCATCACCGCTCTCCCCATCCTTCGTGACAGAAGAACACCTTGATCAACCCGTACCGAGTCTCCCACCACTACGCCCCAAGGAACAAAATGTCCTGAAGTACCACCTTGTTCGCCACAAGCGCTGTGACCTCCCTTCTAGTTCACCACTAGATACTCATCTGCAAGGTCGGTCTTCTGTCGCCTTGGTCTCGGACTGTTACTAACTCGTCTCAGCGAGATGCGCTCAACACCTTCCAAGTCCTGTCCGCCGTCGCGATTCTCGATACTTGCCACCGAATAAAACACCTTCCGATCCAAGACTTACGATTATGCCACTCCGACGAAGGCTTAAAGCACGCTCTCAGTCCCCCCGAAAACGATCGGCATCCGGCTCTACTTCACCCAGGAGGGACGGTTCAGACAACGTGGACGATGGGGAATTCGACAACATGCTTGCGCCTGCTAGCATGAACATAGACCTCGAAGAGGCTAAGAGAGTCAGGAACGATTTTAGGTCCTCGTGTCTCAATAGAGCCACTACTTGTGCCGTCTCTGGCGAAGGAGAGCCATGGTGCCCAGGTCCGCCAATCGGCCCTGGCGTACAGGCCTGCCATATCGTCCCTCCGCAACATTACCATCTCTACCCCAGCGCCAACACACACCACATTGATGACGATACACCTGTGGAGGATAGTCCGCGTCGCCTTCGAGAAGCATGGCAAAACACATGGAATCCCAGGAACGCCATTCTCTTGATGAAGCATCTTCACGAATTTTTCGACGCACGACTCTTCTCTATTCATCCCCACACGCTCCGCATTCGTGTGTTTGTACCATACAACGCCCTTGCTAGATTCAACGGTCAGAAGGCATCGGTACCTGCGACGACCGATCGGAAGGCACTCCGATATCACTATGAGATGTGCTGCATCGAGAACATGGCGGCTGAGAGGCCTAATTTGGATGCTGGCTCGCCTAGCACAAGCAGGATAGCTACATCTGGGACAGGCACGCCGTTTAGTGCAAGGACTGACCTCCCCGTGACACCAAGTTCGACAGGCACACAAATGGAGGCTGGTATTGGGAAGACGGGCGACCCAGCTAAGAGATCGCGGTCAGCGCGGTCCGACCAAAATCAGCCAAAAGATGCGTCTGGACAAGACAACTTGGCGGAAGGAGTAGGATCGGTGTTATTAGATGACGTGAGAGGGCGTAAACGCAGGCGATTGGATGACTGCCAGGTTCATGACAAAACTTCTCCACAGCATGACCGGTTTCACCAGGATATGCTGGAAAGTTATATCACGCCTCTCAACAATCGCGAGTTCTTGGCAGATGTGGATTGGGAGTTGCAAAAGTTCCAGGCACGCCAGCTTTCTGCTCAGAGTTTCAAGGCAAGAACGGACCCTTAGTATTATACTATCGCATCGCGAATCAATATTATAGAGGTCTAAATTATCTATTGTCAAGAAACTTAATTAGCAAAGGATGTCTCTTGTTTGTATTATCCGCAACCCCCCACTTTCTTAGTCATCCAGCCCGGCCGGATATTCAGAAGAGGACGAGGACTGTGACTACCCCTCAATCAATCCTTATCGGCTAACTGTGCTTCCTGGATCGTCCGTATCAAAGTCCCTTCTTCAACCAAAGCCTCCATCCAACCGCAGCCGCAACTACTTCCCCCCCTGCACAATGAGCGCGGTCGTCGCGCCAGGAGAGGAAGCCCCCCGAAAACATACCCGGTCCCGGACCGGCTGCGTTCGCTGCAAACGACGGCGTCAGAAATGCAACCAAGAAAAGCCGAGTTGCGGAAGATGCGTCGCTGCTGGGAGTCCGTGCAAATACGAGATCAAGCTGAATTGGGGTGGGCGGCCTTTTCAGAAGTCGTCGTTTGGCAAGTGTCTCGAGAATGTCGAGAAGCTGGGTATGTTTTATCGCTTGCGTGGTGTTGCAAACAACTGACCGAGTGTGAAGATGATGTTGGGGGCGGTAATGGCTTCATTTATTCATTGGTCAACCCTTCTCATAAAAAGGATGAGGATTTATCGAACTCTCAGACACCGTCGAGGAGTTTTACCATTGATCTTGAAACTACTCAGATCAGCCTTTCGCGAGACATGACAATAGGCGCGGTATTAGGGTCCGAAGTCGTCCCCAGAGACTGTCGCCTGGAACCTAACTATACTGGGGATATGGATCCCAATTCGCTATACATCCCTGACACCATCTCTGCCGCTCTGCCACACTCACTAGATCACACCTCCTTTCTCCCGCCAATGGTTCGCTACCTGTTACAATTCTATCTCACAGAAACAATGCGACTCACAGTCCCAAGCGCCTACGCCCGGACCGAGATATGCCGCTTCGTCGTGCCGCTGTCTCTGCAGGAGCCCTGTTTGCTCTACGCTATAATGGCATTTGCATCGATCCACCTCAAGGCCATGGGCAAGTTACCTGGAAATGCAGAAAAGGTGTATGATACTATGCAGCGGAACAGCATCCGACACCTTCATCATCAGCTGGAAAAACGCGATCCAATATCCAGAGCTGTTTCTTTGGCGACGGCGAGGACGCTCTGTCAGGCGCAGATCTACGGTGGAAAACCATCTTGGCGGGCCCATCTCAACGATGCACGATCCATTCTACAGTCAGCTCACTTCCGAAATGAGCCAATCGGCAGCTGTTCTTGTGGTTCTATAAAAGAGTTTCTGTCCAGCTGGTACAACAACGCAGAAGCATTGGCAGCCCTAACTCCGGTGGGGCTACTGAGTGGCCAGCTCGAGGTAAATTGCCTCACAAACGCTCCCTTGTACTTTGACGTATTCGGCGGTGTTATGTCCGACCTTCCGGATCTCTTTAGGGAGGTCGGCGCTTTGGTGAAAGAGCGTCGTCGTCGAGCTGGGCCTCGCACCCAACACGCAATCTTGTCTGAGGGCGATATTGCCGCTGAATCAGACGCGTTAATACGGGAGATCCATTTCAGGTTGGAACGTGACGCCGTTGAGAATCTCAGCCTTAGCCCACAGATCCTTGCCCTCTCCACAAACGAAATTCAGGATTATGCCTTGAGCAATGCGGGGTTCCTATACACTGCACTTCTGCATCTTTATTGTGGAGTCCAAGGTCTGGCTTCTTCAGCACCAGAGGCGCAATTTTGCGTCGAGCAGATAATAAGGTGTGCGGAAAGCATGAATCTCTCATCAGGATTGTCACCGAGGGTCCTGCTTGTTAGCCCACTGTTCACCGCTGGGCTTTGTGCAATAGGCCCTGCTCGGGAGAGCATCAAGTTTGCATTGACAGACATCGGGCAGTGGATGAAGACTCCACATCTAATCAAGACGTTGGCCCTTTTAGAGCAGATTTGGCTACAGTTTGCTGGCGACTCCGAAGAGGATGTTTGGTCTTGGTTTGGTGAGTTGTAATTTCTGATCCATGGTGGTATTCGCCGGCTAACCTGTCACAGAAAGAGTCAACTTTGACTTTCTCCCTTACTAGCTTATGGGAATAATGTGCGATTATTTTCGATGCCTCGATGCATATTCATGACACTTCTCCTGTATTTATCAAGACATGGCCGTTGGAATCAGCCTGAATTCATAATTTGTGAACTAAGCAGGGCTTACTTCGCTGTGCCCCTCTTCACTGCAGCCCTCGTATTCCGTAGTCGGCTGTGCCTGCAAAGACGATGGAGCTAGCCAATGAGATGGATGTGGCCCAATGCCAAGACTTACGTGCACACCTCGTTTAGATGAACCGGGCATGTGAAGTGCTCGCAACGAATAACTCAAGATTGATGACGGGGAGGACCGTATTGTCTGACAGTTATTAATCTGAGACGTTGTATCGCACCGGATATCAAGAAGTATCCACCTTGTTCTCACGGTACGTTCACCATCCAAACGCACTGAATTTTGGATAAGGAAATCTTACCCACGCCGAGTGCCAAGAGTGCCAAGAGCTCAGCCTCCTCAGCTGAACCCAACCCTTGTATACTCTCCTCCGTCAGGCACTCTGCATTCTCTAAGCCACCTAGTAATTATCCTCTTATCAGTATAAAATCACCATCATCGCCAACTCTATTTGAACGCTAATGAGGTACCACTGCACTTACTGGATGTGAATAGTGTCCAAAGATTAACTAAACCCGGCATAAGATGTCACACGTATCTACCCATGACGGGAAAGATGACTTTCCCCAGCCACAGCCCTTGGAGGACCTCCCGGCCTACGAAACTGCCCTCGCCGATACGCCGCCGAGTCGAAATGACATTCACGTACCATCACCTAGTCAACCACCGACCTTTATTCTCGACAAATGCGCCATCCACGCCCTCCTTGAACCCGATCGCCTGCTGTATGAGCTGAGCAACCCTCCCTGCCAGGCCACAACCAGCATCTATGGAGTCGAAAAGATCCGATACAAAACCTCCGAGCGGCAAGGCGAGGTCAAGGTTAGGTCTCGCGTGGACCACATTTACGACTTCCACAACAACTTTATGAGCCTCGGCATGCGTGACGTCGAAATCCTGGGCAAGGCCAGTTCGAAACGTGTCTACCCCAAGGTCAAGATGTCGCAGGGCCTTGGGCCGTCATCCTTCAGCATCAAAGACCACTTCAAAGTTGAGCAGCCCGTCCTAGATCGGATGCAGAGCGGGACGGAGCTAGTTTGGAAGGACAATAGCGGCGTCGACATTGCGCATGAAACGCTAGTCGACCGCGACGAACAGGGCAACGTGACAAGACTGCCTCAGCTGAAGATGAAAGTTGTTCTTGAGGAAAAGGACCTGGATCTGTTGGTGACGTGTTGGTGTGCTCGACTGTGGAAGGAAGCTCAGAAGGACCTGGCTGAACCCTTCAGTTGGGACAAATGTTGGTTGCCTAAGCGTATGCAAATTTACCTGATTGCTGACAAGATTCTATGTGTAGTCAAACGATATACTACGGCGACGACAAGTACTGGGGGGTGGAAGCTACGCACACTTATGAATTCATAGTCGAGTGCAAAGTACCTGGTGGGGATCATACCCTCACTGAATACGCTGTTGTGTTTCTGCAGCGAGCGTCCTTTGGAATTTCCATTCATTGATACATTCTTATTTCTCTCAAGATAATATAACTCAAAATGTGCTTGGGCTCTCCTGTTCCGGTCCATCATCTCAAACGACTTCACTTTTTGCTATCTACCGATCTGTCGAAGATTCACTCTCAATTGTCCCTAGAGCTAGGAGATCTCTTTCAGCCTTCGTGCCCGGCTTCTTGGGCAACAGCCACAAGAACACAGGTACCAATGCAGACAACAGCGCAGCAGCGCCACAAAATGAAGCCATCGTAGTGAAGCCAAGAATATGACGGGAATCGGAACTAGGCCACAAGTAACTTCCGTATATCATAGAGAGGTTGCAAAATGAGTTGATAAATGCAATTGCGACGGATCGTTTCTTGGTAGGGTACGAAATGCACTCACTTGCCCAGTTGAGAATCAGAGGCAAAGCGGTGTATAGTCCTCCAATAAAGAGACACATCATGACGTACTTGACGACCGCGTTTGAGACAAACAGCGTGGTGAGACAGGCTGCAACAGCAACCAAATGCAGGCAGGTGAGATGCCACCGCCTATCCTGTGACTTGTCCGAGGTGTAGGAGAAGACGAGCATAGAGATGGCTCCAGTGATGTATATCGGCACCGTCATCCACTGGGCGGTGACTTTGGTGTACCCAAGAGTCTTCAGTATTGTGGGGATGAAGTAGGAGATGGTGGTGCAAGTCCCGTTCAAGTTGTACAGGACAAGAAACATCCAGGTCTTCCAGTCTGCGACAACAGCTTTAAACGCCTGTCTTGACGTCAAGGTGTTGCTGTCCAGTTTGACGTTGATGTTTTGATCATACATGATCCGGATGTGCGCGAGTTGGCGTTGCTCGGCTGTGAACCTTCGCGAGTTATGGGGGTAGTCTGGTATGGCAAAGAATAAACATACGGAGCAGAAGACGGTGATGAGGCCTTCAATAAGGAGGAGCCACCGCCAGCCAGCCATGCCTCTCGCGCCGTCGAGACTCCTGATGATGGCTCCAGCCATGATACCGCCCAGAGCCGGAGCAATACAGCCAGCGGTATAAAAGATGCAAAATCGTTTGCCTGCAGACATTATCAAGTCAGACGGAAAATGATATAATTGGGGGCTTCGGAATCGACTGAGACACTTACCGACTTCTTTCTTGGTGTACCAGCAAGTCAAGATAAACAGCGCACCGGGGAACATGCCGGCTTCCACGCAGCCAAGGAAGAAACGCCCGACAAGAAATCCTTTCAACGACTTGGATTGCGACATTCCGGAGACTATGCATCCCCTGCAAAATACAATGATGGATAGGTAAATGGAAGGTCTGATCTTGATCATAACCAAGTTGGAGGGAACTTCGAAGACAAAGTAACCGACGAAGAAGACCCATATGAACAGGGAGTATTCTATGGGTTTGTGTGAGTATGGTTTTGATTCGTTCGGGAGGAATCAGAGTTATCTACCATTGTCGGTGAGGCCCAAGTCCTCACTTAGTCCAGCGGCATTCGCGTTTGCCTAGTATTGCATTAGTCTCGTTATCTCAGCAAGACTTGAAACATTTTGACACAACTCACAATATTTCCCTTGTCCAGGTAGGCGAGGATGTACATCCACCACAGACATGGCAGTAGTATCATATCGATCTTGCGGACAAGACGTTTCTCCTCGGGCGTGTCCGGAACATAATTCCGGAGTGCAAGGGCAAGCTCTGGATCTTCTGAAACAACTCTAGAAGCTGAAGGTTCATTACCGTTTGACAGTGAATCTATTTTAACTTCTCCAGTCGACTTCTCCGCTATGCCACGCATCATGTTTCGAGATCCAGTAGAAGGTGGCGCTTCTGGGTCAACAGGTACTCTTCTATACTCCGCTATGCCCTGGACATTGACAATCCAATGAGTCAAATTAAACAGAATAAGCTTAGTAAAATAAGAAGATTAACGTCTATCCCGGTGTTGATTTATAGTGAAAAGTTTTATCAGCCAAGAAGCGAGCGATATCTGGGCTCATCCATAATTGCTTGCTCGCTATTGGCTGGTTATTCACGCAATTGGGGGGTCGCCTAAAATTGGGGCGGGGAGTCCATCAAGGTGCTCAATGTAGCTATCATCCCACCTCGTAAAGAAATCAGGACCAAATATATATGGACAACTTATCCGACGAATCCGATAGGGCCTTTAATGGGACTGGGCCATTTTTACTGGAGGTGTCTTGCCTGTGCCCATAATCCGGCAAATATGAGGATATCTTGGCATTGGATTCATGACCCCACGTCTATCAGAGGCATACAGGGGGTACGACTTGAGGTCGACGACGCAAAGAATAGCGCCGCTGTGTGGTGTGTCATTTGTAATTCTTGGACCATACGAAGAGGGAGAGGGGCTAGCGAACGACAGGTTTATGTTCCAATCCCAATTAAAGTCGTAGCACTGAGGCTTCGGGATATGGCTCGAGTCCAACGCGGGGAAGTGGACTGGGCTGAGTTCGTGTGACCAGGCCTTTTGTCGATAGCAACCAACAGCATTCATGGACGCTCGGTAAATTTAGATAAGCTTAATAACAGAAACGCATTGCATTAAATCTACGCCTAATGCAGATAGGCGTCTTGAATTATGCAGCGCCACTCTCTGCATGGCGGCGTTTGGCAACTTCCCTCCGTCAAACAATCAGATAAGCGTGACGATGGCCACCTTGGCCGTAAACAGAGCCGACGCCTTGAGGAACGAGTTTGCGTTTCTTCCATACAATCTTCCCAATTGTTTCGACACTGATGAGAAAATCACCGTCAAGTGCACCGCGCACTGGAGCTACTGCGGTCCTCTTCTCCGCTCATCCCCATCAGAGCTAGATTTACCCCTCCCGGCCAACTTCTACCACTTCGCAGCGGCGACGTTTACCGGCCCGCTTCTTCCCAGACTGCTCCCATTTCTGGAGTTTGTCAACGCGTTTCTGCTGGCGAGCGGCCTTGGGCACTACCTCCTCACCATCCGCGCCACGACATCGACGCACGAGTTTGACCGGCCGCGATGGCACACCGACGAGCTCTTCTTCTCCGATCTCAGCCCCGGCAATCTCCCCGGGACTCGCTTGGGGTTGAAGTCGAACAATGGCCGAAAGAGAAGTTCTGGCGGTGGGTCCGGCACCAATTGGAAGATATGCACGACACTTCTCGGCCCGTCGACTCTCTTCATCCCGTTAGAGCATCAGTCTTCAACGCGGGGGACGCAGCGTCGCGCTCGCGAAGCCGCAAGTACAGACCACGTGTGTCTCTCGATCCGATGCGTCGGGTGTGCTTCTGCCGCGGACAGTGTACGGGAAGAACTGGCCACCAATTTGGCGAAATTCGAAGTCAAGGCAGCGGGGTTTGGGGAGTGTGCGTTGTTCCGCGTTGGTAAGGAATCGGGAGCCATGCACTCGGAGCCTTGTATGAGCTGCAGTGAGAACGGGAGGATCTTTATTAATGTTGTGCCGGGGACAGAAGAGGAGCTTAGTGGTACGATGAGGAAGTGGGGGATGGAGTTTCCTAGACAGTGGTGGATTGGTGGTTACGCTATTTAGTACTCTTGTTTTGTGTAATACCAAAATTGAGAATCTTGTTGTAGGGTAAGGCCATTTAATTTTGTCTTAGATGGGTTATATTATCGCAATATCATACATTATAGTAATACGCGATGAGGCGCATTAGCTAGCGCCAGAAGCGCCCTTCACTCGAATATTTGAATACGTTTCTTGATACCTCGGTATGCATTCTAGTTTCCTATTGTGCCATAAGAGCTTATTTGGTGTTGAAGTTAAAAGTACTTGGTTGTAATGACTCTGGTTTCAACAAGTCAAAAACTGGTCTGTCACTACCGAGACTTTGAAAAGTATCAGCGAATACCCTAGAAGCCAAATTATTTAGCCTTGGCATGTTTCCCATTAGCCCGTGAGCAATGTGCATGTAATTAGAATTGGCTGGCATCGATAATCGTTCAGCGAGCTTAATGTGTGTTAGCAGGGTGTCGATTCTCGATAGAACTTATAACTTGCCTGCCTCACGTTCCCTACAGCTGAGCCCTTGACCGTTTCGAATGCTCCAGTAATCAAATTGGTCTGTCCCATATTCTCTGTGTCTCCGACGGCGTTCTTGGCGATCTGTTCGAGTACAGTAACCCCGGCCAGGAAGTTTGCGAGATCACACCCATCTTCGCGCTTCATTCTCTCAACAAATCGCGCAAAGGATTCTATGAGACTGGCATCGGACTCTGCAAGTGGTCCAGAAGGGTCTTTGAGAACCTCCGCGAGGAGCGTAATGGTCGCACATAATGGGTGCGGGAGAAATCGCCTGGACATTGTTAGCGATCCTTATCGCTCTAAGATGCACTTTTTTCCTACCATAGATCTGCGAATGGAAGAGCTCGCACGTGTTGAAGAAGGGAAATTGTGGCCCTGCAAGCCTCAACTGAGAGTGGTGTCAAAGATAGCGCCTGGGGTTGAGGGCTCCGTCCGTCTAGCGTAATTGGTAACTTACTTTCCAGTTCCTTTCGAGCCTCGTTTACTAGACTCATACACCTGAATAATGTGACATGTAGCATAAGAACTGCCAAGCCACCTGTTGCAATACCGCATCCGGCATCCGGTCGAAGTTCAGCTGGCATCCTGTCCTTCCAAGCGTTCAGCTCACGGCGCAATTCCAACAATTGGTTGAAATCACTCCTAGGATTAGACAGACAACTTTCTGCCTTGGACTCAATCATCAACAACTCGATTCTCAAGATGAAGAGATTTATATTCCCAGTGCAGTCGGTAGCACCAGAGCACTCCACGTCGCCTGGTGCGCTCTTACTTGGAAGGCCGACCTTGTACCAGTCCTTGTGTAGGGTTGATGGCAATCCAAGATCTGTGCTTGTGGTCTTTTCCATCAGATGCGCCGCCCAAAACACACGCCTCCTTTGCTCGGCTTCAATAGGATTCACCTCGTCGTCTGGTTGTTCTAGGTGTAGCCCTAAGATGTGTATCATTCTCATCGCTGAGTGAAGAAGAAGTGTCATTGTCCTGTTGTCTGTAGTTCCACTCAGGAACACGGCCATGATGAGGATTGCTTGCACAGACAAGACACTCGGTTCGCTAACCAAAATGTCCTGGTAAACAGAAAATGCATTTTTGAAAAGCCCCCAAGAGAAATCTGAGACGGCTCTGAAATGGCTGTTGACTGTCTTCCACTGGACCGCGATAGCTACAACCGTGTTCAAGCAAGCCCGCCACGCAGGATCATCGTACTTATCGTTCACGGGGAAATTCCTGTGGCACATGGCCACCAAAGATGGCCCGTGAAAGAGTGGAAGGGTGGTATTAACCTCCTCGAGGAAGACATCAATAAACAAAACAACTTCAGCCTTGGGAAACATGGGGACGAATAGCTGACTGTGACAGAATGGGTCACCTGAGATGTTGCTTCTTCGATCCTTCACCTTGTCCTCAGTCAGCCGCATGACTGGGGCATCTGGAAGAGCGGTCTGAATCGAGATCCCTTGATGGCCGCCTTGGTTTGGAATATTTGCCATGCCGATAGGTGACGTAACCGCGCCGCCAAGGGCGGGTTTCGGCACAATCGCGATGAATCCATCTGTCATGTCACTGCTCCTGGCTTGGTTGCCTGGTAGAGGAGGTGGAATCTTGAGAGACGATTCTAATTCCTTCAGCCGCTTCTCAAGTGTTTGACTACGCTGGCTTCTGCAACACCTGTTAGTTCCATGACACGACATTGCTCGACGCTTGGATACAGACCTTGGACCGGGGCGATTATTGTCGCGCGGATCACGAATACATTCCAGATTCCTCTCTTTGCAACGCGAGCACGGTTGTTTGCTATCACACCGTATCTTGGATGTGCGACAGCGATTGCAAGCCTTTTTTGCATTGTGAATATTAGGTTCCAACATGGGGTTGTGATGGCTTACATGTTCAACTCGATCAAAAGTCCGCCGCCGCGTGACCCAGCCAATAGGAGCAGCGTCCATTGAAATAGATTTGGGTGAAACCGGGCTAGAGCAGGCGCAGACGAGCCGACACTCACGGTATAATCGGTCCGGGCTTGAAAGAGAAAATACGGAACGGAGCCTTGGAGGAATCCGGCGGTGGGCGAGCTTATTTACGTCTCCGCAGAGATGATCCTCCGCACTGCAGCTGCTTTGTCACCGTCTCGGATGTGGGTCCATTTCGGATGTGGGTCCACCTCGGATGTGGAGTCTCGGCCGGAGCGCTCGACCAACCCGATGACAAATGATCTAAGCTACTTACGCAACGTTGGTATGGCAAGTTTCGTGTAGATGCGTTGAACGATTGCTGTATCTTTGGGGTATAAATACGGATGCCCTTTCGATTCGGTTTGAAGAGCCTCTCAACCCAAGCATTTCATCACTGCATCGCCAACGAACCCTTACAACGTCTCATCTCATCTATCCACTCAATCTCCACAACTAGCCAAAATGGGAATCATCGCTGTCGCAGGAGGAACTGGTGGCGTGGGCCGGGCCTTGGTTGAGGCCATCATTGCTCGAGGCAAGCATGAGGTCAAGATCCTTAGCCGCAAGGTATTGTCTTCCACCCATCGTGCCGTGCCGTGGCTAACTCATTCCATGTAGCCCAATGATACTCTGTCGGAGGAAGTTGGGGTCCCTATCATAGTTGTTGACTACACCAGCGTCGATGCTTTGAAGAAAGTCTTCGAGGACAACAGCATCGAGACGGTCATTTCGGCGCTCAGCACCATGCCGGAGGCCGGCGTTCCGCCCGAGGTCAACCTGGTTCAGGCTGCCCAGGCCTCCAAAGTGACACGACGATTCGTCCCTAGCAACTGGGGTGTTCCCACAACCGGGGCGTGAGTATCCCCTCACCATTTTACTGACCGTGCTTTCGTGTCTAAATATGGACTAACATGCGTTTCAGACTTGTTGCAAAGATTCCTACCACTGGGATGAAGAACCAAGCCATCGATGCGCTCAAGAAGACCGATTTGGAGTACACGACGTTTTACGCCGGCTTCTTCGCCGACTTTTTCACGGGCCCCAGTATTAAAACGTATATGACGCCCATGATCTTCGTTCTGGACTTGGCACACGACACTGCTGCTATTCCAGGATCCGGAAACACGCCAGTGTGCTTCATTCACACGTTCGACCTGGCCAAATATGTCGCCCTCGCCCTCGACTTGGAAAAGTGGGATGCCGAGTACTACGTGATGGGAGACAAGTTGAGCTGGAACGAGTTTGTCAAGCTTGCTGAAGCTGCTAAAGGTTTGAATCCGCAAACTCACCAGACATGTGATGAGAATATCTGGCTAACTGCTGCCGGCGCTCGGGACTGTAGGAACGAAATTCAAGGTCGTCTATGACAGTGTCGAGGACATGGAGAATGGCAAAGCGACTGAGCTCCCCGCACTCACCAAGGCCCTGCCCTTCATTCCTATCCCCAAGGAAGCGCTGCTTGCGTTCTCTGCAACCTTTGGGCTTCTGTGGGAGCACGGCATCATGGACTTTGATGAAGAAACTGCCTTCAGCAGCAAGTATCCTGAGGTTAAGCCGCTGAAGATCAAAGACGCTTTGGAAGCTGCTGCGAACGCTTTGTAATATAGATGATATTCTTAGGGATGAGGTACTTATCAAACTTTGGCCTTGGCAACTGTGACGTACATAATGAAAATGCAGTAAATTCAAACATTATGTTACCTCATCCAGGGATATATAAATATATATATCTTACAGCAATTGTAGGTGCTATAGCTGGAAACGAAAAAACGCAACACTTCCAAAAGATCTATCATTGCAGATAATTAAGATGTCTTACTTTTCGTGATGATGAATTAAAAATACAGATTCTACTATTAGAAAGAGAGCCATTGGAATGCCGGATATTTTGTGGCGGGGTGGAACTCTTAGAAGCAGGAAGGGACGTGGCATGGACCAATGTCGCTTCGGTCTATGAGTAAGAGGCAAGGACTTTAAGAAGCAAGTGTATGCCCACCAACGACCCCTCAAAAAGATTTCTTTGCACACATATCTCCTCTTTAACGGCGAGCATCCTACATTGTCTTTTGCCCAAACTAAAAATAAAATAAAAATAAAATAGCATCTCCCTTATTCCAATATTCAGCGCAAAGAACCAAGGGTAAGGCTGTTTACGCATATCTAGCACGCGGCATTCATCAAACGGTGATATCATCTAGTGCGTTCTCAATCTTGCGCCAAACGACATCGTCGAAGTCGATGTACTAAATATATCAGCTCTCGATTTAGGAACACCAAAGGCCCTCGAGGATGCCGGCCTTCCAAGAGATAACTATTCCTATATCGAAGTGCGAAACCCACTTAAGCATAGACGAACCACAGCCGATATACCAGAATTGCATCTACGTGCACGGCAAAGTTACTTTTTGCCTGAATAACTACGCCGATCGCGATTTCTTTTGCCACCAGCCTCAGCGTGGTTACTGGGCCGATTCAATGGCAGAGTTAGGTTAGGTTGACTTAGGATTAGGCTGACTTAGGGTTAGGCTGACTTAGGGTTAGGTTTTATGTATCATTTTGGTCGTACTGTCCGAGATGGATTTAAAAAGCATTATTATGTTTGCCGAGGGAGCCGACGCAAGGCTTCCTAATGAAGGCACTACTGCTGTAGTTTACGGCAAATAAATCTCCCAAGTCTATTCGAAAGTCCTCGACCACTGCGAGTTCTGACATGATGGGGATTTTAATCCTGTACTGGAGTGTCTTTGGAAAATAAACTGCAATCGGTGAATATTGTACAAGTATGATTGTGAGCAATGGGAACTAGAATTATAGCCTAGTAATTCTCCAAGAAGAAAGGGTGATTAAAATACGCTTGAAACAAATTCCAATCGACGTCTCTGGCTTACAATCATTTAAATCAGACCAATATCGTGAAGGTCGCTTGTCCAGTTTTCTGATCCCAGCAAGCCACTAAAAAGAGCATCATCTGACTCCAATGAGTCAAAAATATTATCCAGGTTCGTGTCGTGAATGATGGACGAATTTGAATGTTCACCGACTGATAAGACTTGCTCCAGATTCCTTAAGTCGTCTACGGGAGTGCGATTCACTAGCTGCTGTCAGTATAAGAAAATATCCTCGGAGCAATGCTTACCAATGGAAGCAAGGAAATCAACATATTGCCGCATGCAAATGTGCGCTTTGCTGCTCATGATACTTGAGCCCCCAATGATTTTAAAGGTATCAAGAGTATCCTGAAAGAGAGCCTCAACCTCGGACGCTTTGATACCTAGACTCGAGACAGTTCCACAAGTATTGAACAATATCATCCAAAATCCCAAGAGATGAAGACATAGTGTGAGAGCTTTGTCATTATTAGCACATACGAGCAGAAGCACTCATGTGGGGAGAGCATGATACTTACCTCCGTAATTGCACATCCACCAAATAGCGTTACATCCGAAGAAGGCAGGATTACCGCGGGAAATGAATGAGAGCATCTCGGAGAGCTGCTTAGTTGCCGCAAAGTCGCGCCTCAGCATAGAAACGGAGACGTCTTGAAGTATATCTGAATCATCTGAGTGGGACAATGCGCTCCGTTCCAAGACGCCGCTCAAAAGAGGGCCATTCACCAGTAACACGGTTCGATAGTAATGGATAGACAGCAGAGCTTCGTATTTCCCTGCGCTCATCCCCATGGACGTTGTGCAGGACTTCAGATCCCTGTTGGGAATTTTAAATGGTTGGCAATTCTGACGCCAGCGATCAATCTTTCGTGAAAGATCAAAGGTCTTGGCAGCCACCTCATCGAAGTCGATGTGATTGGAAGCGCTGATGTTGAAATTGTAGACTTCATCCACCGCAGAACCGGTGATTTCATGAAGTGAACTACGGGTTGTAAGTATATTGACAGACAGACCGCAGACAAGAAAACGCCTACATCAGACTCTGGAAGTAGGCTTCCTTTAAAAGGACTGGCGCTGGTTGTCCCGCGTGGTATGGTGGGTCGAGCAGCTTTGCGATGTTTTTTTGAACATGGTTCAGTGGAATCAAACTCGGTCGACCGAGGGCAGAGCTAAGGATCCTTGGTAAATAATTAGCCATGTTGGAGTGTCGCTTGAGTCTTTGAAGCGGAATACCTATCCTGGGTAACAACACCAAGCCAAAGTTTTGCTCGGAGCTGTTTTTCCTCGACAGTCAGGCCCTCGTAGGTCAATGGTGCATGGACTCCCAGTTGGTAGCACATTTTAACAGCAAGGCAATGGGTGGTCCAGCTTGTTATGGCCCGCCTGCTATTTTGCTGAAAGCTGACCAAGAGAATGCACGCCTGGACTTGAAGTACGTCAGTATTGTCAGTCATTGCATGGGCGAAGAAGGATATCGGGGACATACGCGATTCCAGGGTGGACATGTGTTGCGATTCATTCTCCAGCAAGCTGAAAGCGCGTGAATAAAACAACTCAGAAGAAGGCTCGTTCACTGCTAACAAGGCATGCGCAAACACAATGTTGAGCAACGCCCTAATATCCGGTGAAGTTGAAATGCCATCGCCTACTTGCCCACACAACCTGTGAATTTCTTTCATCACGATCGACTCGTTGGTGTACGGTAAAATAGCACCGACGGCGTCGAAGAAACGAGCAGCAAGTTCAAGGGCGACTTGTCTTTCGGGTAATCCAGTTCCGGCATCCATCGGCGTATTTGACAACTGGTATGATGATTGAGACCCCCTGGGTGTCTCATAAGTTTGTTGGCCTCTGATTTGATCTGGCCAGACTGGTTCCAGGTGACGCCGGGCAGTGTTGTAACCGAGGTTCATAATCCCAGCAGTTATGGACTTAAAAAGTGCATGGTTAGAGCTCGGTCCTAGGCGATTTCGGTGAGCTCGAGACGGAGGCCACAATGGCGATCAACTCACCGAAATATCCAATGTCAGTTGCTGGGAGAGGATCGAAGACCCCTGTGGCGCGAACGTCGGGAAGCGATTCGGTATGTGATTGAGCGTACAATGAGTCTGTAGCCGAAACACCACTGTTTGATTGAATGGGAGATGTCTCTTCCTCTGGTTTATTGCTGACGTCCAGTCCGGAACTAAGATTGCTTCTTGGGCCCATAACTTGATGGCCATCATCAGGAGGACAAGATGCAAGAGCCAGCCTTGCTTCAAGCCCCTGGACCCTTAATTTTAAGTCGGATTCGACCCTTGTTCCCTATCTCAGTATGGAGGAAGCGGATGCGAAAATTGGTTGACTTGCCTGCGGCGATTCACACGCTTCTTACGACCGTCTTGAGTATAGACACATTCAATCTCGTCTTTCGCACAACGACCACAAATTGGCCTCTCGCTATCGCACTGGGAAGAGGTAAATCGACAAGGTCATTGATAATTGAAGTTAGTCTACCAAACTTACCTTTGCTTTGGTCTGCCGACAGCCATTGCAGGCGATGGCTGCCCTTGGACGCTTTGTTAGTGGGCGGCTGGTGTGATTCATCGGGATCAACAGTGTAGAAATAGAAAGATAACGAAGTCAAAGAGGAAGATAAAGCAGCTCTTGGATGGGATTCAGCAGGCTTAATAAACACCAGTGGTCCCGCTTTATAGCTTGGGCCGGCACTTCAACGATGCGGGGAAACATGTGGGGTGCGTGGAATCGCCTTGGACAAAGGTTGGGTAGGTAGATACGAAGTACAGAGATTGCACTGGCACTGGTGAGCTTGGCCTTGCCGTAGTAGGATATTAATAATATTGGGAAGTAGATTCCCAGTGCCCTGGGACCGTACGGTACTAGATACAGAGACATCGCATGGTACTTCACTGGAACTCGGGATTACAGGCTTTGCACTGTATACTTCATTATGAGCAGACCCAGCTGAATGACTAGCAATAGAAAAATCTACTATATATCTGCATCTACTCCCTCACTTTCGCAGTGACTAGCAGCGGGTGCTCGAGATCGCTGATACCCACACTAATCATTCCCGGGAGCTGTCCATAAAACTTGCCGCTGGCCACCTCTTCCCTCTCTTGCGGATCAGCAAGCTGGAACTCGAAGTGTCGCAGCAATGTGCTGGCCAACTTGTAGATGTTTGTTTGTGCCACCGTCTTCCCAATGCATTGGCGACCACCCAGGCCAAAGTGCATCAAAAGTCGCGCTCGCTGGGCCATTTCCGGTGTCTCCCATCTTTCAGGGCTGAATACGTTGTGGTCCTGGCCCCAAACTTCTGGATTATGGTGAAAGGCATGGTTGCAAATCGCCACAGAGGTCTAATTGTCACCAAGACCAAGGTCAGCGAATATTGAACATGAACATGAATTAGCACTATCGCTTACGCCTTGTTTGATGTGTCGCCCAGCTATAACAACCCCTTCAGGAGCGACGACTCGCCGTGCTAGAGGCATGGTAAACACTGGAGTCAGGCGGAAATTCTCTCTGACGCACTGGCGAAGATATAGCAAGGATGCCTCTGCTTCTGCGACCGAGTACGCTGGCTGGTCGGCATCGAGGGGCTTCAAGTTATTGTCAATCTCTGACACGCACTTGGCCATAATTTCTGGAGCATGTAGAAGATGATACAGGAGAAGCGTGGTAGTGGCACTCGTCGTATGAGTTCCCGCGATTCTTTTCCCGTTAGTCTGCAAATGGACGGAACGCAAGGCATTGACTCACATAAAGCCAAACGCTTCTGCCTCCAGGTCGGACTGCGCAAGGCGCTCACCGGTGTCTGGGTGAGTCGCCAAGATCAAGTTGGTAAGAATGTCTTTCCTCTGGCCTTTAGCGTCATTAACTCCCTCGAGGTCTTTCACCCGCCGCTGAACGCACTCCGCCGCGAGTTTTGCGCAAGCAGCGCGACCCTTGAACAAAGCTTGCAAACCAGCATGCGGAACCACCGGAAGCCAGACGCGGAGAGTTTTGGTCATCGCCGGCCAAGCACCAGTCACTGCGCCAAGGAGACTGTGTTCGACGACTGGGGGGATTCGCGACTCGTCATCCGAAACTTGGATCCCAAAGGATTGACTGAATGCAAGCTCTCCAAGAACGTCAATCACGTAGTACTGGAGTACCTTCTTGAGGTCGAACACCTCGTTTCTCTCTGCGAAGCCGCTTATCTTCTGACGCAAGATTTTGATGTTATCGTCCAGATACTGCTCTACACCCTTGATGTAGGACATGGAAAAACTGTGGGACATGTGTCGTCTGCGGATGGAATGCATCTGCCAACCAGGTCAGCCTCTTGGGGAGATTGGGGACTCTAGCGGTCTCACATGCTCATCTCGCATCCCAAATACATTGGGAGTTTTGGCGCCGTAAGCGTCGTAAAACTCCGTCTTTGGCATGTTTTTGCCTCCTCGCTGATATATGATCGCAACTGCCTCCTCAGCAGTAATGCTCAACTTGTCTGGTCCATATCGCACAAAAGGGCCATGTTTTTCATGCAGCTCGGTCAGGCAATATGGCTGCTTCAATGAGAGAAATTGGAAAACTTGCCAAAGGTCGGTCAATGATGCCCAAAATGGTCCCGGGTATGAAGCCAATGGATGAAAGTAGCGTTGATGAATGACGTAAAATGCGAGGCCTCCGACAAGCAGGGAAAATAAGGCAATTCCATACGGAATTGTACTTTCAAAGGCTACACCGAGTAAAGAGGTCATGGTGGCTTCAATTGACGGGCCTCTAGTCACGATGCAGAAGATAACTTGGTCCAGCCGAAGCCAACTTCCCACACCATACTTATCACTGTACAAGTCCGCATTGCACCCCACCATTTCCTACTACCTGTTGTCGCTTTCTCCGACACATCCGGAAAGGTTTAAACATATCTAGGCGCATCTATCCAATCGGATCTAACGTAGCCGACATTGGCTCCGACGTAGGTGATTGGACGAGTCTCCGCATTTTCCGTCTCCAGGAACATCCCCCTCGCAAATCCCCATGTATGACTAGGGAGCTCGGTGACAGTGACCAAGCCCGACCAAGAGTTATTGTTAACCCTATTGGAAAGGGCCTTGATGCCTTCCGCTCGTGTAATTGCGGATACCTTGTCGTCGGGCCCGGAATCGGCGCAGTATCAATGACAGGATAGTCCTTGGATCGAAGACAATTACCAAAATTTAGCAGCGGACACTCCCGGATCGAGAATATGAAGAGACGTCGGCTGCCCTCACCATGCCATCTCATTTTGTTTTCTTTCTAACCATCCAGCTCATTCAACATGGATTCCACCCTTTTTCCGTCTCTGCCTCTAGAGCACGAGACCTTCCTCGGTAAAGGGGTAGAGGGTCTCGGGATCCTCCCGGATCTTTCCTTCCTGTTAGACGCTGGTTCACCTTCTCTGAACACCCAGCTCCTTGAGCCAGGGCCCGATCTCTATGAACGACTCCTCCACACTTTCGACCACACTAGGCTAGATACTCCCCGAGAGTCTTTTGCCTAGTATTGACGGTTTGATGCTATGCGGAGTTACGGTCAGGCTATTACAATGCCTATTCACGAAGCACCGAGATCTTGGTGGGTTCATCTTTAGCTAGTTCACTGATGTCTACAGAACTTGGACTGAATCACAACAGATTTGCAACGGCTGGTATCATGCATCGACAGCTCCCAACAGAATGCTGGCTCGGCTGCCGATCTCCGTTGCTAGATCCGGTCAATCTTAAGCTTGGCCGAGTACTTGTATGGTGCCCTTGGATTGATGCGGAAGGGCTCTGTGTCTCGGCCCAGGAGCAGCCATCTCGGCTCACGCTGTGCACTATGTCATCCTGTTCTGCTGTTCACTTACCACCAGGTGGCCTTTATGTAAAAGGTAGTGTGAAAAGTTGTCAGATATTTAGGTAAAATTGTGTATATTAATAATTGCACTAGTCGATCAATGAGAATTACCTGAGGTCGAAGAACCTAACGATAAGATTCACTGAGTCGTATAGCTCTTTATACACAAATAAAAGTGCTACCTGTTTCGCTATTATTCAATATGCATATTGTAGGCTTTCTTCCCTGCGCTTTCTCTCCTTTCTCGGACAAGACGCTTAGTTAAATGTTTTGGAGCGACTTTAGCAGTCTAGCATCCTGAAGTAAGCTGCTGCAGTGGCTTGATGACATTTTCGCAATAGCAGCTCTGGAAATTCCCATCCCATGCAAGATTGCTCTTGACACTATAGTCAAGGCATCCCTGGATAGACTTCACTTGGTCCGGAAGTAGTCTCTCTGTCCTCTCTTCTGCACTCATTCGTAGCCAATTTCTAGCTCCAGCCATCCGTTCCCCATCCAAGCTCATTCGTCCTTTGCCATACTTTTCCGCCCAGGTCTCGAGAGATTTGTGATGAAGGATCTCCAGCAGCAGAATAGCCAACTCGAGCATGGTTGATTGAATGACCTCGGTGTTTAGATCCGGGAGGCATTTGTGGGATTGGAGCACAGAGTCCTCAACCGTCTGTTCCAAGTATGGAGTGAAGACTGTTGAATATGATCCGTCTGTAAGTCTTCTTGGGAACTTGATCGTTGTGCTATTCCAATGAGTGGTGCACCAGACTGTTGGCCTGAGCTGCAGTACAGATGATACAACGTCTAAGGCCAGCATGGTTTGATCGAAGGGAAGCATTCGAGCTTCGTAGTTCTCTGCTGTATCTCGTAAAAAATCTGCCAGGGTTGTGCATGTGTTGTATGGCTCGTGAGGTCTGTCTCCTTCCAAAAGCTCGAGGGCGTCTGACGTGAGTCTTAAAGTAAGGACTCGGCCCCGTGTTCTAGCGCGTTGAGCGTCCTCACAAATGCTCTCGATCCAAATGCAGGCAGGACTGGATTCCTGGTATGCCGTAACCGTGATACTGGGGACTCGAAGATTGCCGGCCCGTTCTGCCTTGGGTTTAGTTGGGGTTTGTAGAAGGTCAGCGTAATGGGCAGCGATCTCGACTTCCTGGAGAATATCCGTCTCAATGGGGAAACAGAACCTGAAGGCAGTGGGAGTATCTTGCGCTGTTTGGATGGGGCGTATCCGAATCCTATGATCGAGGCGGAGCAAGACAGAATGTAGGTCGTGTTGATGGCAAGCTCAACATTTACAAGCCGCCTGGTATAGCAAGGTGGCACTCCTTCCGACTCTGGTGAATTCCAGAGCTAGCGTAGCGGAGCTGTTTGTCGGTTGCCTTGCCTCCCATTCTCGCTTTGACTTGACGCGCTTGATGAGCTTTCCGAGCGAATACCTCTCGGTGCCGAGATCTTTGACTGGTGCATCCAAACTGTCTCTGTCGATTGAGAATTTGGCTTTCACTTTGAAAGGCATTGAAACAGGCTCTGCCTGGCTTGTATGAACGATAGCTACCAGGTCATCTTTCGGTACCTGAACGCGAGGGTGAGAATAGTCAACTCAGTTCGAGGTGCTCGCTCGAAGCTTACATTTGCTGGCCGAACAATGTGATGGAGATTTGACGCGATTTTCTTCAAACATTCCTCATAATTTGTCAGAATTTTGAGAAAATCACCAAAGACATGTCCCATGTAGTCTTTGACTTGGATTCCTGTTCTTGCGTCCTGGAGGATCTTGACGCACTCCTCCTGTCTGGATCTTCAGCCACGAGAATCTCGAGAATCTTGGCTTCGCGGAGGAGATCGAGGATGTCAAAATAAAAATTCCTCTGGTGGTTCCTGAGCTCGTGAAGCAAGTCGTCGAGAAGGCCGCGTGACTTGATGAAACTCGCGAGCAAACCCCGCTTTTGCTTGTAGTCTGAGATGGCGCTGATCACGATGGGGAGGACCCCGAGAACAATACCTGCCACCTCGAAGCCCGACATGCTTGATTGTGTTTCGTCAGTGGGAGCTGTTCAAGTAAGTCCGCTGCAGAATAGCTGGGTTAACATGACGTGATGGATGGGAAGGAGAAGCAAGTTCGATGCTTCTTTCAGCTGAGGCCTGAATGATGACCTGTTGATTGATGCCTAATCACGGTGCAGCCAACTAGCCAAACACCATTGCAGCTCATTTGCACTTTCATGCCGCTGAGGCGGGGTATCTAATGGGCTTTCCTTATCGTATTCGCGCCTTCGAGATCTTCATCACGACATCATCAAGGCCGCAATACGCTCAACACCGCTCATGAGCGAACCAGTTTGTTGTGAATCTAGGCAAGCATATCGTGTGACAATGGCGGAGCCTCAGCTTGAACTCCAGCCTCTTGGACGCTGCATTCTCTCAACATTCGTGGCCTTGGCCGACGCGCCGTGGGATGACGGCAAAAACAGTGATTTACCTTCTAAGAGTCGAATCTCAACTCAATATCAGAGGTTCATACTGTGGGCTCGCAGTCTGGGCATGAACCAGGTGGGACATGCGTCGCTTGACTACCGTGTCCGAGATGCGCCCGTCGTCAAAGCCTCCTTGGCCGAACTATTAGGAGAATTGAAGGAGCATCTGGAGAATTGTGAGTAATAGATCTAACAGTCCATCGACAAGCTGACCCTGATAGTGGCCTCGATTATCCTGGGCGACCGACTGCCCCTAGAACAGGACGCCAGCAGCCATCAAACAGGGGCAGCGTATTCGAGTGATGACGGTCTTTCGGACGACGAGTCCTCGCTGTCGTCTCTCGGCAGCATTGGATCGTTCAAAGAAGTCGAGTTCAGACTGGAAAGCATCGCCAAAAGGCTAGACTCGCTCTACGAACTTGCATCACGGATCCGCAGCCCGCGCACCCGACTTCAACGACCTGTCAAGGACCTGTACAAGCACCTTCCTGAAAAAGATCGAACAGGTTACATCGAAGCCCAAAAACAGATTGAGATCTCGCGAGTCGCTTACGTGCAGCAACAGAAGTTGCAGCAAGACTTCACTGATGAGCAACTCTGTGAACTTGGGCTGAGCAAGGACCAGCTTCTCACAGATTATGGTTCAGCGAACAACTGGTTGATTCAACGAACTGGCATTGCAAACTCTCGAAGGAGACAACAGATTGCTTACTGGAAGAAACATGCCGAGATACTGGGCCGTGACATGGCAGAGATGCAGCTGCCAACAACCACCGATGAGCAGAACAAGAGAGTTACGCAAGTCCATGCCTCAGAGAATGTTGGCAAGAAGCTTTATGATCCAAATTCAATCGCAACATCAGCGACAAGGGTCAATTCGGACGCCCCAGGACTTGGCGACACCCAATCTGTGATATCAACACATAGCCGTGTCTCCACAGTAATCGGCCCAAAGGGAGAGATTCTGACATGGCCATCGCCTCCGAAGAAGCTGGTTGAAACCAAGTACTTCTCCTGCCCCTACTGCTGCGTTCTGTGCCCCGAGGCATATCTTGTTCCTGACAAGTGGCGGTAAGCACCATGGACTTGTTGAGACTAGACGAGCTTGACGATGACCGATGAGCAGAGTACACCAGACCCATGACCTTCAGCCTTATCACTGCACGTACGAGGATTGCAATGATCCCAACCGGGTTTACGGGCTGCGACAGGACTGGATCGACCACGAGAATCAACACCGCCGCGTATGGCACTGTCACATCCATGGGAAAGAATTCGAAACGCAGCCCGACTATTTACGGCATTTACACGACAAGAGACACGAGCACAAGCCAGAGGATGGATTGCCGGATATGGTCGCTGCCGTCGTCGGATCATCCTCAAAACCCCATCGCGACTGTCCCTTTTGTCCCACAGCGTTCTCTGATGTTCCAACCATGCAGAGGCACGTGACGTATCACCTAGAGAGGCTCGCGTTATACGTTCTTCCAGATATCGAAGAGCAGGAGGGGGATGAGTTGGTCTCTGACCAAGCTTCTTACAGCCAAAGGCCTGTGGAAAAAAAAGGACGACAAGAATCAATCGCCTACGACTTCCCTGAAGAAGATGAAGTGTCCCTCTTGGAGTTTTTTGACGACCAGAGATCTGAGGAGACTTTTCTGGAATGGCAAGAGGGCCAAGACCTTGATAAAAATCTGAACACTGAAGAAAATGAGGTGTTTTTCTTAGAGATTCTTGACCGCCGGACGTCTGGAAACACTCCTCTGGGACAGCAAGAGGCCCAAGGCTTGGATAAAAATCTGAACTTGATGCAGCCAGCTGGACCTGAAACGAAAACGGGCGTTATCATGACGTGGCTGTCGAAAGTTGCCCCCGATGGAATGCACCTATTGTCGACTCCCGAACCACACAAGTTCAAGTGGAGCGAGACCAGTCGACACGGTGAGCTGGACTATCTTCGAGCGGAAAAGATACAATTAGAGGAGGAAAGAGATATGCTCAACGATATACTCGCCGGCGAAGAAGCCCATCTTTACAACCCCGAGGAACAAAAGAAACAGATAGAGGCTGCACAAAGCCGTCTACCCTATATTGACGAAAAGATCCAAGTCATCAATCTGAAGATCCTTATTATACGCGAGTCTGAATATAGTTCTCGTGTTCAACATTGGGAAAGAGAGCTTAAGCTTGCAAATATGAAGGTAGAGTTATATGAGATGGATGGCCCTGAGTATAAGCGGGAGGAGCTGGAGGCTGCTATTGCAAGGTTTGATGGTGAGATGGCAGGACCGGCCTAGCTTACATATAGCAAACTAGAGTTGTCTCTATTATTTTAATTTATTGAATATCATTAAGTAAAGCTAGCAAAAACTAAACAAACTACAGATATTTCATTTTCAGCCTATAAGTTAGATAACTTAATATTACTTTCTGGTATTTATTTTTGCATACATCAAGTACCTACACTGTAGAATCTGAAATCAAGATAAGTAAACAGAATAGCTTCACTGCCTTCTGCAGGGTAAGTTAATTTAACCGGCCTACAATTCTTCAGAAAGCGGCTGTGTTGAAGACCTACAGCTACCCAATGATGTCTACAGCACACTACCAATTTATAAGCTCAGCACTACCAATTGTAAGTACTATGGCTATTACAAGCACAAATGTACACAGGGTTGCTGAAAAAGGTCGAGATAGATAGAATAGACAAGTCGTAAAGGTGGGGAGGACCTTAGTATTACAACTGTGTTGGCAGTGTGCAGAAGTAAACATATTTAGAACCCTAAAATAAGATAAATGTTAAAGCAAACCTAACCGTTACGCTCCCAGGCAAAAGATTGATGGCAATTGTAGCAAGTAACAAGGCGCACCAGCTGACGTATTAACTGTCCAGAGGACCAGGTTATGACACCCCCCTTGGAATATTCTTACATATGCTAAGCACATTTCGCTATAGCTATTCTGCCTCTGCATATCGGCCCTAGCGTAAACATATAGACTCAAAAGAAGCTACATGGAGCAGCGTATTTAGAGAGATTATGTCCTTAAAATTTATTTCAATATAATATATCCCTTTGAGTACTGTAAAACATTATCAAAAGCATGTCGCAGCTGTATTCAATCGGCATCCTCATTCACACCTAATTTGTGGCAATCGCCGACATTCGTGATCTACTTACATCAGGACACGAGTTTGGCGCCCCTTATTAGCTGGCTAGTCAGACCTATCACATTATGCGTAAGCTCTCAATTTCAACGACTACACATTTTCACGGTAATCCCGAGGTGACGATCCTGATGGGAATTCATTGATTGATGGGAATTCATTGATGATCGGTAATGAAATCTGAATTGAGAGTTGCTACCTCCCCACAAACCACGGCACCATTATCAGGGACCAATCTGTAATACATTTATCGAAGCCTTGATCCATACACTCTGCAATTCCGATGTTGGCTTAGGGTAGTATAACATCAAAGACCATATTCCGACCTCACTAACTGACATACCAATTTCTGACCCAATTATTTGTCAATTTGAATCCTATCCTAAGAGCTATGTTATTAATTTCCTTCTTCTACTTAATTAATATTTAGTAAATCTGCTGAACACTGCAGCTACTTCCTGCAATCGACATTATATTTCCCACTACCTTGGTCAGCTGAACCGGTCGAGTTTGAGCCCCCCACGTCGCTATTCCCAGTATTGTCACTCTCATGCGGCTGTGTCCAGCCTAAAAGGCTAGTAACACATCTAATTAATGAATTGGACGGGTAGAAAGATTAAGACAACAAGGCTAATTCAGACACCGGGCTTATCCACACACACAATATCTATGCTACTGCATTATACAACTCCCCAGAGTCAAAGCTCGCTCGCAGCTTCATCGCGCGACAAAGGCACTGTCACGCTTCAACCACCCCTCGACATCCTTGATGTTCGGATGGATGCCCTTAGCTAACTGCATGTCCACATTGTAGCCATCGTCCTTGAACCAGTCCAACATCACACCAACTTCCTCCACTCCCGCCTTGAGAGCCTTTCCTAGCAGCCCAAAGGTCGTGCCAACACCACTGCCCGTGATATTTTTGAACCTCTGGTTCAGTTCTTCAAAGGTCAACTCCTCTCCGGCAAGCCCTATGGCCTGTTTGTCGAACCGTGCCGGATCGTGGAAGGCCTCGGCTGCGAAGACGCCAATGTCGGAAGTGGCAATCCACTGCAATGGCTTATCCTTCACTGTATTGCGCAAGCTCGTCATAAAAACTTTGGCCTGGAAGCCCGGCGTGATATTGTCCATGAAGATGACAGGACGCAGGATTGTCCAGCCCATGCCGCTCGTCCCGTTTGCCGTCGTGTCACGGAGGTGGTGTTCAATCTGATGCTTCGACTTGAAATGCGGAATTGGGGTTGGGTTGTTCCAAGACCGCTCGTTGCCTCCGCGATCGACGCTGCTGTACACAAAATGCTTTACATCATTCTTGATGGATTCGTCGATGAGCGCTTTGCCTTGGCGAATTTCCCCCTCGAACGTCGTACCCTTCGTTACCGCAGCCTGGACCGAGTAAACACCCCAGATTGGGCCGGAAGCAACCTTCTTCGCGGCTCGAAACAGTGACTGCACGTCGTCAAGGTTTCCTTCGACAAGTTTGATTGAGGACGAATTCTTGGTCAAGCGCACGGCTGACGGCGACTGTGCATTGCGCGTCACGGCGAGGATGTTGAAATCTTGGGAGAAACGAGCGAGGACGGCTTCGACAACGCCGCCGCCTTGCTTGCCGGTGGCACCAGTAATTAGAAGATTGCGAGCCATTTCGATGGCGGGAGGTAAAGTAGAGGAGATGTAAGCGTAAAATATTTGTGATGCAAGTAGATAGCGAGGAAGTGGATTGTATTTAAAGACAACTGATACGAATAACTGGCTGGGAAGATTAATAAATTGGAGTTTTATTCGTAACTTACCATGGTGTATTGCGATTTCTCCGACTTTGTTAGCACGCACTAAAGCGCTGTTACTTGGAAACACCGAAGGCCCGCTCAAGGCCGGTGCCGAAGACATCATAATTGAGTCCCACCGCAAATCGGCCTCCGCTGTTCAGCCTACGGTCGACTTACAAACCCCGGCCAATGTCCGTCCCTGTTGTTTGCTGATTGGAATTTGTCAGCCCTGGTGCTTTTCAGCCGTCACTGAACTCTCTGAGGGTTTCTCGAGTAATCGGCAACATTTCTCCCCAGGGCATCCGGTCTGAGAGAGACTCGTATAAGGGTAGCTACTTGTTATTTTACGGCTTGTTCTTCAGTTCACCCAAAGCTCTCGCCCAGTGCATCCCCGTTAGAAATCCAGCAGCAGCAGCTTCGATCTATTTGTTTTTTACAACTCTATTGTTTCAGTCTTGCAAACATGTTGCTTTCTACCTTTTTTCTCGTTGCTAGCAGTATCGGAGCCACGGTAGCCACTCCTAAGCCTCCTACTCTCGCATACCTCTTCCGGATGAACCTTACCCTCAGTTCAACCATCAACACTGGGGCAGGTCCGGCAGGAACTCGAGTCGCCATCCCCATCACTGGTGGGACGTTGTCAGGCCCCAAGGGCAATGGTATGCGATGATCTCAAAAGATGAACGCTGTTGGTCATTGTTAACTATTCGAAGGCACTGTTCTTCCTGTGGGAGCCGACTTTGGTGCGTTTGATGCCTTGGGAAATTTCAATGTGGACTCCCACTCCGTGGTAAAGATGGATGACGGATCGTACATCTACACTCACTCGACTGGGCCACTGATCTCTGGCCCTACTGCTCTGGACAGAGTCAAGTTTGAGACGGGAAGCAGCAAGTACTCTTGGCTCAATGAGATCCTCGCGGTAGCCGTCACCGATTTCCCGGGTCCTTGGGTTACCCTTGACGTCTGGCAGGTGAATCCTAGTTCCTAAGAGCTTGGATCTCATCATCAAGGCGGAATGTGAGAGTTAGTTGAAACATCCAAACCCAAGAAAGACTTGCCATAGACCGCTTGCTATGATCTGGAGGAACATGGTTGAATTAGTCTCTGAGGGAGATAAGAATGGAGAAGTTGAAGGCGGTGGTTATTGAGCTGGGTTTCATTCCTCATGTACATATATATATAAATGTAGGTAGTAGACATCAATGTTCAACTTTGATATTGCATTAGAGTAAGAGAAAGCCCGACAGTCTGAAAAACTCCAACAGTCAAGTTTTCTATCACAATCATGCTGTATTTTTTTCTTAAATGATTACACCAGTCGAAAGAAGCGCCATCTACGAGTTCTTTTTCATCGTATTTTGTTCGTACCATTTTTCTCAGGTCTTTCCTGTCATTTACACCTCGGGCAATTTATTACATATCAAGCCGCCTCTTTTGCGGGGAATTAATTTCTCGTGTAGCATCATTTTGATACCGCCGACAAATAAGCAGTGGCATTTATCAATAGCTCGATACCGGAGACATAGGCTGGTGCTGGTTTCCGGGTAGGGAGAATGAATAATTAGTTCTATAGCTGGGATAAATGAAGCGGCTGCATGGAAATTATGTACGGGAACACCAAGAAAAAGCGAGAGAGTATGGTATACCGCCAAAGGTGAACTACCCACGAGTGTCTGCAGCAACCGCAAGGAGATGCATCATGGAAAGCTACAGGGTCAGGGTATCTGCGGTGGAAGAAAAGAGAGGAGACCAGATCGGACTGATCGCGGCCCGCCGGTATTATCTTCAAGACCGGTCGGACCGACCACGGCCTAAAGGGGTTACGGTCAAGACCGAACTTACCAGGTTATTTGCAGGGATCAAGACGTTGGACAGTGCCACAACGGATCCTCTCGGTCCCGGCAGCGTGCAATATGACCGATCTGATGTCGTGCTGACTTGATCGAGATGCTTCCCCGTATCATGTACAATGCATTGCTGGAGGCTCGGTGGCCGACACCCACCCAGCAACTGTCATGGCAACAAGAGGCCGTTAGAGTATCGGCTAGCCATGCCGGTAAAGAACCATCGCTGCGGCATCGCAGCTGCTTTTTAAGTATCCCTTGCCGTAAGTATAATTCCAGGCGAGTCCCTAAAAGTCAACCTTGTCCCCGTTGCTTAACGGGAGAACAGGAGACACGCTCCGTGCACCTGAATTATCTCGGCGTATTCGATACCGTTAAGGTCTTGCGGCGAGGTCTTCCTGTTTGCTTCAAGTTACAGTCCCTATCCCCCGATTACGCCCCGTGCTATGGCGTCCGACTGTCGAAGCTCCACGCCTCCCTTGTCGTTTGTCCCCGGGGACAGTTCTACCAACGATCAAAATCGGGATCCTCGCCCTTCATCCGAAACCGTCATGGCCGACGACCCGGATCAAGAAATTATGATGGGACACGATACGAACCGCAAAATAGTCGGTTGGGACGGCCCAGATGACCCAGAAAACCCCATGAATTGGCCAAACCGGAAGAAGTGGATGGTTACAGTCTCCTTGGGCATGTTAACATGGGTTGTCACGTTCGCGAGCAGCATTTTCAGCACAGCGACACTGCCCGCTGCCAAGGAGTTCGGCGTGTCGACAGAGGTCATGACTCTAGGCACAAGCTTATTTGTCCTGGTGTGTTAGCTTGCGGCTACAGGACGGTGTCGCTGTGTATCTAATCGATTGATAGGGCTTCGCTTTCGGTCCTCTTATATTCGGCCCCATGTCCGAGGTATATGGCCGCAAATATCCTCTCTTCCTTGGATACTTTGTCTTTGCACTCTTCCAGATCCCTGTGGCCACGGCCGAAAATGTTCAAACCGTCCTCGTCTGCCGATTTCTGAGCGGGTTGTTTGGTTCGTCTCCCCTTAGCGTTGTTGGCGGCGCACTGGTTGACTTTTGGCCCCCCGTCGAACGCGGCATTGCCATGAGCATTTTTGCTGGTGCGAATTTCGTTGTGAGTCTCCTTCCTTCGTGTCATGTCAACGGCTTTAGAGCTCACAATCTGGTTGTTTAGGGTCCTGTTGCTGGTCCCATCATGGGTGCCTTTATAACCCAAAGTTCACTGGGCTGGCGGTGGACAGCGTACATCACAGCCATCATGGCAGCTTTGTTCGGTCCAATTGCATTCATTACGGTTCCTGAGACGCTAGAATCTTGCCTGCTGACTAGGAAAGCTCGTTCAGTCCGTCTCTCGACCCAGGACTGGGCAATGCATGCTGTTGCAGAAGAAACACCTGTCGATCTCGGTGAGATGGCCCACAGAATTCTGGTCCGGCCACTTGCAATGCTAGTGCTCGAGCCAATTATCATTTTCGTGACCCTTTACATGTCATTTGTATACGGTCTCATCTACCTTTTCTTTGAAGCATATCCCGTATCCTTTCATGAGGATCGCGGGTGGAAGAGCGGTGTTAGTGCTCTTCCATTCTTGGCCATCATAGTTGGCGTCATACTCGGGGCCGTCATCATTGTCATCTTCTCCAAGACGCGCTTTACACGGATTATCAACGAGAAGGGCCGCTTGCCACCTGAGCAGCGGCTACTCCCCATGATGATTGGCGGAGCATGTTTTCCGGTTGGGCTTCTCTGGTTCGCCTGGACGTCGAACCCTCGCATTTCATGGGTGCCACAAGCACTGGCCGGGGTTCCGCTAGGAATGGGTGTTATGCTGTGTGTATTGTCCACTCGACATGTTTGCAATATGGCTTGCTAATTTTGCACTCGCAGCATCTTTCTCCAAGGCCAAACCTACATCATCGACAACTACCTGATGAATGCAAACAGCGCCCTCGCTGCCAACGCCGTAGTGCGGGCACTGTTCGGTGCAGGATTCCCCATGTTCGCGGCAGCCATGTACAAAAGGCTGGGGGTTGATTGGGCAACTAGTGTTCTTGGTTTTATCGCTATAGGGCTTTTCCCAGTTCCCATTCTTCTCTATATATTTGGAGAGAGAATCAGGAAACTTAGTCGATATGCTCCTAATGGCGGCCCTCCAAAATAAGTATCAACAAAGACACTCATAGTTAGACCTTAATAATACGTTGTACAATATTAACTCCCGAGGCGGAATGCCTTACACAACAACCGGTATGCTCTCGCCACCCAGGCTAGAGTGCACTTATAGTCCCATATACGCCTCTATTCGGTTTGGTGAGCCTGAGTAATCATCCATCCTTGAAGGTAAAATTGAACAGAAAGTAATGTGCGCTGATGCCTTGTCTCGTTTGGCGAGAATAGGTACCGACACGGATGTTGGTGGGAGTTCTTGTACCTGTTTTCCCGTCATCAATAAAGTCAAAATAGGAAATTGTCCATTGTGTCTGCTCTCTTACTCTGTCCAAAGTGCTCGAGTCCATTCCGACCTGTCTCATCCCTGTCGCAAGCTGTATTGCTAGCGAGCGCGAGAACGGGTCCTTCTCACCAGCGCCGGCCATTGCACCAAGAAGATTATGGAGATTATGCTCGCTCTGTCGACTTTGGGTTTGCATGTAGTCTTCTAAAAATATCAAGGATCCAAGATAGGCAGAAAATACTAAGAAATGGTCGTTCATGGCCCCTTGAATGTCGCCGCTTGACTTTAGGGCGTTTAGTATTTGCTCTGCCGAGGGCAGAAGCCGGAGTCTGCTGTCTGCAAACAGGTCTACTGAGAGGCCGAGCTCTCTTATCTTAGCTAACGCTGCTCGGTGTATGCAAATAACGGACGTGTGAATACCGACGTTAACAACAATAGCGTTTCGGTTCCACGCGCACTGGGGGAGGCGCAGGCTCTCCGGGAGGTACAGAATCATGTTGGATAGGTCGGCGTCAATCCCTCGCTGTCGGGTCCAGTAAGGACCGTCCGTGGTGTTCTCGACATCGTCATGAGAGAAGGACCGGAATGTATGTTCGAGAGTTCTGTAGAAAGTATGGGCTGTGAGCACCTTGCCAGCAAAGGGAGAATAGGAAACGGTCCCTCGGAGGGCGTCTCTGAGCCATGGAGTCGGCTCGTTGGTTCCCATGTCGAAGGCTTCGTCCGAAGCTGGTAATCGAGTTTCGATCTGTATTTAATTGATGCGTCAGCCTTTTGCGCTTCTCAACCTAGGCAATTTACTCACATCTTTATCGTTAATCAGGGCCGGCCAACTTGTAATACCACTCACGAAACGATCTGAGCAGAAGACGACCCACCAAGTTCTCCTCCGCTCCTCTGCCTCAAAATAATCTCTCGGTGGCTGAAGCGGAGGGTCCGTCGGCTGCTGTGGGCTGTCGAGGCGGTGCAACCATAGCATCTGGGCCATCCGGACACTCTTGGACAGACTGACAGACGCGCGAGAGAAGATGAGGTGTTGTGACTCGAACGATCCCAGTAAGCACCAACACTGCGTATGGGCTATGGTGGTAAAGTATTCTCCTTGGCCCTGGCCGAAAGGTCAGGATTGCGTCTCGCTCAACCGTGTCGGGATATACACTCACCTTCATCTCATCCGCCTCGGCATATCGCCTAGAGCGCTCGTAAAATGGCATGGCCAGATGTGTGAACTCCTGACGTGTTGTTGCGGCCAGAGCCAAGACGGCGTATTGCAAGGACATCGGCGGACGCATGTGGCAAGGTCGACGTAGAGATGCCGTGTAGCGCGCGCGGTGCAACATTGGAGCGTCTTGGCTGAGCTCATCAAAATACAAGGCAACTCTATGATGGCAGTTAGCATTGTCGACTTCTGCTACGGCAATCCAGAAGGCTCACAGTCGTTCAGTCAAATGGGAGGGTGGGAGCTGCTCGAATTGACCAAGCCCAATCAATTCGTTTCCCGGAGATGGGACCTCCTGTGATGACATGGCCATCATTGGGATAAAAGGGACGTCATCCGGCGCCGGCCCGTATAAATCCGATTGGTTGATGTCTGTCCAGTCCAGATCAAGTCGGTCTTCCTCGCCAAGGGAGACGGGGTCATTGAGTAGCCCGTTTGCTCCACCGCTTTGTTCGAGCATTTCCTCTAATCGAGCTTCAAGAAACAATCAGTTGACACAGTCCATTAAGAACGGTGTCACGGAAACCTACCTAGCCGAGTCTCCAATGTGCCAGCAGGGTTCTTCTTCCGTATCATTCGCTTCTGTCGCGATGTTGGGAACACACATTCGTCCCCCAGTCGGACGCATCGACTGCAGTTCGGCTTCAACCGATCACACTTCACCTTCCGGCCCCGACATTGAAAGCAGGAGATGGCCGAGGCTTGGCCGCTCTCCCTGCCCGACTGAATACATGCATTGCTGTATGATGAAGAGCCGGTTCTGAACGGTATCTCGTGCGCCATCTTGAGTCAAACAAGCCCGAGCTTGTGGCCGACAGCAGATTGGAACTGAAGATTGGTGATACTGGATGTTTTTCCCCCGTGAAAGCAACGAGAGGTCTGATGTCGTTAATGGCCACTCCAGCTTTGCCGGCAAGATGAGACGAGAAATGTGAGAAGATGAACTGGATTCCTGGAGCAAGGATGGGGTAGAAGCTACAGAATGCTGTGTCACCGCGCGCGCGTATTACTCAGCCAAAGAAAAAGTCGCCTCCTTTCTCTCTCGGCAATTGCAGACTAATCTATGTACGATGTAGTGCTTTATGCACAGATGTTGACACCATGGTAGGCGATCGTTCCTCGTTACATGAATATGCACATCCGTAAGGCCTCTGGCGAAATAGAGGGCCTATCCTTGGGAATACCGAAATGGGCTTCTTGTCCGTCCAGAGCTTGGAACAGCGCGATTACACTCAGCTCGACCCCGTGTTTCATTGTTGATACATGTAGTCATTTGCTTCGTTGATCTGTTCATGAGGGAGCTCGGGGTAGGGTGCGATGTTCCTCGTCCAACAGATGGTCAAACTTGGCCAATTATTAGCCAACGACCGGAAGACTTGCAGAGAAAGGAAATGCCAGTCCCAACAAAGAGCATGCGGATGACCTGGTTGCTCACATTGTTCACTATGGATTTCAGCTTCCTGTGAGAAATAGGGGGGAAAAAATAAAATTGAAATGGGAGTTTTTAAGGATATGAGAATAGATGTTTCTGCCCTTCCAGCTGTGAGAGCGGCCGCCGAGATGTCCCCACAGTTGAGTATCAAATCCATCCGACGGCATCTCTCCGGCGTCTCCCGGCATCTGCGAAACACCGACAGCACATTTGCTACGTATCTCATTACAAAGCGGCAGTAAAATTCGGTCCGACAGCGGTTTCTCGGTACGTTTACATGCTTGTATTCTTGGACATTACACAGCGACAGGAAAACTCGGTCCAAAAGCGGTTTCTCGGCACATTGATATGTCCGTTGTCTCGGTCAAGGCGCAGTTACACGTCTGACGTTGTCTTATGTTAGAGGGCTTTATCTATGGCCGATATCTCTTCACCATCTCATCTCAAAGCACACTATTATTCGATAAGAACAAATTTGTTAGCTTCTCAGACTCATTTCGACCAATCCAACACAATGACCATCTCCAGCAACGCTTCCGCCCCACTCATTGCCGTCGTGGGCTCCACGGGGCTTCAGGGAGGCAGCGTCATCAACAACTTGGCCGCTTCCACATTGCCCTACCGTGTCAGAGGACTGACAAGAGATGTCACGAAGCCAAAAGCAAAGGCTCTCGAGAATCAAGGCGTCGAGGTGGTCTCTTGCAACCTCAGTGCGGACAACGCGGCTGGCATTGAGAAGGCATTTGCCGGCGCCAAATACGTATTCGTAAGTCTCGCGAAGGGCCGTTAATGCACGTGGAACTCATAAAAATACTTAGATCATGACCAACTTCTGGGAACACATGGACGAGCACCGGGAGGCGGCTGAAGGAAAGGCCATGGTCGAGGCTGCCAAGAACGTGGGCGTCAAGTTACTCTTGATCTCCTCAGAGGCCAACGCGACCACGGTTTCGGGCGGCAAACTTACAAAGGTGTACCATTTCGATTCCAAGGCATTCATCTCTGACCATGCGCGGAGCCTTGGAGTTCCGTTCGTCGACATATTCGCTGGTGGTTATATGAACAACTTCACCACCTTCTGCCGGCCGCGTCCCGCTGGAGACGGCACCTATGTCGTCGATGGCGTCTGGTCCGAGGACACCCAGATGCCGCTTCTGGATACGTACCACGACTTTGGCCTTTTTGTCCGGCTGGCAATCGAGTCGGGCGAGTTCAATCGTGGGGACGGCAAGGTAGTGTCGGCACATGGGGAATGGCTCAATATCGTGCAACAGCTCGACATTCTCAGTCAAGTGACGGGTAAGAAAATCGCATACAACAAAGTGACGGATGAGCAAAGTCGGGCCGGTATGGTGCAAGCGGGCTTGCCGCCTCATGCCATCGACGACATGAGCGACATGTTCAAGTTCCATGGCATTTGGGAATCTGTCTACACCCATAGCAACCGGGAGAATCTGGCGCGTCAGCCGCGTACATTCAAGGAGTATTGCGAACATGAGGATTGGAGCCAGGTCTTTGCCTAGTTGACGTATCTTGTACCGAAACGGTAGTCTCAAAGTCGTATCAAGGTCTTGACACCTCTCTATTAGTAGTTTTCCTGAAATATTTAGGCTCTTTTAGAGGCACCCTTTATCTATGCCATAAACTGCCGATAATCGTTGTCCAAGATCTCATTTTCGTATTGTGTTGGGAATCCCTGGACGTCCAAAACTTGCATGGCTCCATTTCCGCTGTGGACTAGAATCGAGAAGGGCTAGTTGATGTTCACGTAATCGGGCATTGTGCATGGGATGGAGGCCGAACAGTGCGGTATTTGGCCGTGTCGGCAATTCAATTATCACCGAAACACCGAAAAGGCATAATCGATGTCAGTCAAATCAGGTTCGCTCCACAGAGTGTAGACAGCGAAGAGCGACTCCACATCACCTAACCACCGAAGACACGTAGAGGAGGCCGATGACTCAAGCAGACCAGAACTCATACATATCAGGAAGCGGTATCCAGACATCGACATGTGACCGAGAGCGGACGGGGCCTAAAGACGCTCTATGCCTTGGGCTAAAAGTAAAAGGACTAGCATATAGACACAGCTCAAATTCTAGAACATGTGCATATCTTCAGAATGCTACATGTGTCACCGCAAAGGCCTGAGAGTAGCACCGAATGTCACTATTGCCGTTCAAGTTCAACACAAACGTATCATGGCTGAAAGGTTTGGCCAGTCGCGTTTAGTCAGCCCTTAGCTTATTATTTGTGAGGCGAGATTCACGTCAATTGGTAGCAGTCTACGAGGATCCGGCTTCTAAGGCGCCATCGCGAACGCCCCGCCAGGATCGTCTCTACAAATCAGCTGCGCCATTCCGGAGTAACTAGTACTTAAGCAGGATGCCCCGTTGTCCCACTTGCCTCCGATCAGCAGGCATAGCGAAACCCGCGCGGTTGCGGAGTTGGGGTTAGCGTCTCGGATTGGACCGACCCAATTGGCATCAAGCTCCTTGTTGGCCGGTCTCATCTCGCGTGTCATCGGCTAAGTTTGAGGCCATCCAGTATGGCGCGTGCCCATAAATACGAGGCAGAGTTGGAGGCGGTGCGTGTGGAGTATAGTTGTGTGAATCAAGAAAATACTCATGCATGTGATCGTATCATCGGGAAAAAGGGCTGACGATTCTGATGATTTTAGGGTTCTTATATGATAGTGTAAGATCTTAAATTCCAGAGATCCGCAATTGAAGCAAATAGTGTTCAATTTCTTCATGAATTCCACAAACTATCAAATGAGGAGCTCTCACAAACCGAAAGAACCTTCGACAAACGACCCGTGAGGACCTAGAGCATATACCTGGGGCATATCTGCCCTCGCTACCTCCTCGAATGTCTTTCCATCCAACGCCACAAGGATACTGTGCGTTCCCTCGCGATTGATGACAATTGTCAATACCACACCGTCATCCTCCTCCGTTGCCCCAGGTCGTTGAATAAAGACCGGCTCGCAAGGGCAGCTCTCGCCATTCTCGGGTTGCCAGCCCTTATAAGTCCCGGTGAGCCAATCAGACTTGGCTATGCTGCCAAAGAAGGCCGCTTGAACAGCCTTCATTCCGTTGCCCAGGCGCCCGATTGGCACTGCTGTCCCCGGAGATGCGCCGCCGTTCCCAGCAGTAAAGTACACGTAGCGATACCCCGGTACCATAGACGCGCTCTTGGTAATTCGTGGTAGTTCGGAGGTCACTTCAGTAATAGCGGCTGCGATAGTGACGCGTCCGGGAACCTCGGGATCTGCCCTCTCCACGTCTGCAAGCTCGTACCGTACCAATGTACCATCTTGAAATGGCCCAGCCGGGTCGACGATATTGCTCAGATTGTACTCGCGATAGGGGATATAAGTACCTTGGTAACTGCAGAGGTCCACGTGGATATTCAACTCGCCCGTACTGGCATCCACGTAGTCGTAGGCGTTAACAGAGTGGAAGAACATGAATCCGTTGCCGTCATAAGTTGCCACGCTAAAAACGCAAGGTATGTTTTAGCTCAAACATTGATGTAGTTGAGTATAGTGGACGACCCGGAGAGAATAAGGACAGTCGCCTAGACAAAATAAACTTACTGCTTTCCAGTGATCTTTTCGAGAACATAGAACTGGGTAGGAGATTCGGGCTCATATTCTAAAGCCTCCATGAGTTGCTTGGTTGTGTCGCTGACATCCATATACAAAGGCTATCACAGAGGTTCAATGTTCAGTTTATCTCTTCACATGGGATATGTCGCCGAGGAAGTGAGAAGGCAAAACTCACGTTTCGAATGAAAACCACGAATCTTTCCGTCATAGCCATTGAATGGATGTAGCAAGGCTTGCATGGGAGAGGAGTTTTCCAGAGCAGGGAAACTGGCTTGGACTTTATATCCAGAGCGAAAACAGACATGACGCCGTCCTCGGGGTTGATGAGATAGTTGAATGTCCAACCGCGCTTTCGGTCTTTTGGGGGATGTGCACAAATACCATACCCAGCGAGCTGGGGGTCGATTTGAGCATATGTGAGCATTCGCTTGGGCTCGAGGGTTTTGGCGTCGCAGACTTGCAGCAAGTTAAAGTCCGTATGAACCAGAACCTGTGAAAAAGCATAAGCTTTGTGAGGCGAACCAAAGGTTACTGGAGATGCCACACCTCTTCAGTCCCAGGATCCTGTGCTTTTGTCCCTCTAGAATAAGGGTTGTCGTCAGCTAGGAGGTGCATGCCTCTGCGCGGCACGACGCTCATGTTGGCTTCATCAGGGCCGATGTACCCAGTCGGCAAGTAGAACGATTGCTACATGATTTGATGAGCTCAAATCATATTGAGTAAGGCAGTATATCGTCATGCAATACAATCAAGTGTGAATTGAATGTAACTTACCTGAGCACCTAGCAGGGCAGAGCAAGGGTCTTGAGCGTGCTTCAGTGGCGTGTTCGCATTAATCCCGAACATTGAGGTAGTCAAATAGCCATTCTTTTTCGCCTTCTTTAAAATACCGTCAGACGTGTGACGGCTGGTGTAAAAGACTTCGCCATCGGTCATCCGAAATTTGTGCAGGATGCCTAGGCCATCAAAAAAGTGCTGAAGCACAGCATTCGGCTTGGAGCCATCTTCAGAAAGGGGGACTGTGAAACGACCCATGCCAACTCTGAGTGTCAAATGAGATTAACAAGCATTCTTTCTTGATAAGACACCCATGCGCGAAATGGACGGCACAGGATATTCTAGCCGGCGAAAGGAATTGTATGTACCTCACAAATGTTCCCTCCAGCCAAGTCGGCCAAGCGCCCTTGGTTGGACATTGCACCTCGTTTGGTGTCTCGGGAACGTCCCGAAGATAGGGCGGCACATACTTCAGATCTTTTTCCGACACGAAGTAGTTGTTATAGCGGCATTTGGTCTCCGTAGATGTGTTCATCTTGGGCAAAATTGGGGCAGAATATTGTAGTAATCCTTAAGAGTATTGTGTGGCTGCTTCTTCATTTCCAAACGCTTGCCCGGCACATCTCAGATAAACTAGATCGCTCGGAAATCCGGGTCCATTGAAGAGCCGGTTGGTATTATGGTCATCAATCGCCGTTCATACCGCCATGCAGCCAAACCCGGGAGGCTTCCCCGGATTCCCCAGATTATTGTATGTGGCTGATTGCTGGGTGATCTGAGTGTCCACTTTCTCACCGGGACATCCCGTTGACTCCCCGGACGGCCTTTCGACTGCCGAAATATCTTGCAGTCCAATAGGAATAAGGGGAATTATAATCAAGCCAGAATAATATTATTTTCCTGGAGGTTATTTATCATCGGCTTGGAATCGCAAAATTCTGATCAGAGCACTCGGTATCCCCATTTAGGCATATTACATACTATTTGATATCCATATTTTTGTCACAACTGCAATATCTATGTCTCCTTGGGTATGTAAAGTTCCACCTAACTCACAAGTCAAATTTGAATATGCTGACATGGTAGACAGACTTGGCCGTTGTGGTGGCGGATCTTGATCCTACTCAATGTCAGCTTTTACAATTTGTTGGGCAATGCTTTCGCCGCAGGAGTACCACCTCTGTTTGAGCTTATCATCAAGGAGTTCCACTGCACCCAAGAAGAAGCATCTCAATTATCAACCTATGTTTTACTGACCCTCGGACTCTCCGTATGTCTTGCCTCAAGGCCAGGTATGGCAACAACACAGCTAACTTCCACGTCTTCAGAACATCTTCGCACTCCCAGCAGCGTCCCTCATCGGCAAACGATATACGATCCTCTTATCGCTCGTCTTATTTCTTGCAACGAATATATGGTCGGCAGAGGCACCTTCGTACTCTTCGCTCCGAGCCTCCCGTCTCTTGGGAGGCCTAGCAGGAGGGCTCATTGAAGCTCTGGGGCCGACCATTGTCGCGGAAACTTTCCCACAGCACCAACTCGCGAGAGCAATGGTGGTGTACGTAGGTTTTCTGGCGGCTGGATCTGCACTCGGTCCAGTCGTTGCTGGAGCGGTTGCACAAGGCGTGGGTGATTGGAGGTGGTATCAAAGAATACTGGCTGTAGCTGTTGGTCTCAATCTCATGAGCTCCATCTTTATGCTACCAGAAACAACACACGATGCGATGGGAATAAGTGGACCTGTTGCCATAGTAGAAGACGATGCCAAGCCTGAAGAAACCAGCGTCGAGTACGCTGAGCCTCCCGGACATCAGTCTGAGGCCGTGGTTGAAGGGTCCCCCACCCGCATGTGGTTAAGAACGGAGTGGATGAAGAGATCATTCTCGAGCCATTATGTCGAGATGAACTGGAGAGACGCTATTCTGCGAACCATCCAGCCGCTTGAGCTCATCGCTGCACCTCAAGTATTAGTCACCACGTTCGTTTTCGGTCTGACCATTGGCTGGACGGTCATCATTTCCATCCTCGTCGCCACGGTATATGCTCAACCGCCCTTGCTATGGAACTCTCTCAACGTGGGGCTTCTGAGCATCGCACCCCTGGTAGGACTGCTGGTTGGACTTCCCATTGGAGGTCTACTGGCCGACTTCTTGTCTAATCGCGCCGACAAATCATCACGCGGTCACGACCCGGCAACGAGACTGCCTAGTGTCCTCCTCGGCGCCCTGATTAGCCCTGCTGGATGCTTAGTTCTCGGATACGGTCTACGGAGACCCGAAACATGGATCCAAGTGTGCATTGGGTGGGCCATGCTTTCTCTTGGCCTGACAAGCTCCGCCAACGTACTTTTGACGTACGCTGTGGACTGCTTGCCATCGCGAGCTGGGCACATTGGCGCTCTCGTCAATCTAACCAAGAATTGTGTGGCCTTTGGCGTCTCTTATGCATCTGTCAGCTGGATGCAGAGTATGGGACCTGTTAATCAATTCGCCGTAATGGCAGGTCTGCTGTGGCTCGCCTATCTTTTTGTCATTCCAGTCTGGCTGTTCAGCAATAGGTTGGCTCGAATTACCACCAAGCTGGCGTGAGTGGGTAGTGGGTGATGCTGTCAGGCCAGCAAACGGGTTGAGATTGGGTTTATCGTACTGGGTTCACAATACATACGCTACAAGTAGCTCCTAAGTCAGTGTGTAACAAGTCGAGCATTGTACCACCCGAATCCGAGGTTCTTAAATCACCTCTCCACTCTTTCGTAGCGTATAGCGACCGAAAATTTGCCTGGAATAGTGGAGGCCAATCATATTAAGTCTCATTAGAAAAGGAGTTTGGTAGAATTGACACTAAATCACCCGATAGCCTCTTAGCTTCCCTTCGCAGCACCCGACTTTCATCCATAGCCATCATTCGGCTTTCATACTCTTCGCCGAACCCACCCCATTCTGAACACATGCTAGAATCGACAAATGTAGAGCTAGGGCCAACCACAGGCTCATCTCCAAGGTATTCTTTCCACCAGCGCGTGATGTCTTTCGACACAGATTCCCACGCAGCTATGGGATCGGGCTGAAGACCAAATGCGGCAGCTTCCCGGGCCTCCAAGCTCATGACGAAATCAACCGCTGTCTCGAGAGTGGTCCTAACAGTGCTCCCAGAGTCTACTCCGACATCAACCTTGTCGACAATGCTTTCAAAGGTAATAGGCGCACTAAGACGCTCCTCGATACCTGTACGCACTAAAAGCACAGGAAGCCTGCCAACGGTTTTTGAGTTCTCGCTTCGATAGCTGTCGGCACAAACGATGACAAGTAGGGCTTGAAACAGCGGCTGGAGGACATGTAGCCTGTGGTCGTTTAGTTTCTCAGGTAGCCAGCCCTCTATTTCCTGGCCTGAAGCAACCAACTCGTCGTAAGCCTGGTGACGTGCCTGCACCTCGGCGCAGATGACACTGTTTAAGGCGACAACACTGCTGATGGTTGTCTTTGATGGTGAAGAGTCATAAGGTAGGTCTGGTGGTGTGATAACCTTGCAGAGGAAGCGGTGGCATTCGATCTCGCTTTGATACGGCTGGAACCACCGGCGATAGATGTAATTGTGAAGTACTTGACTGAGTGCTGAAAAATGAGGGCCTATTGGAACATACAATGCCACTGACTTGTTGCCTGTATCAAGGACTTCTGATATTGTCATTTCGGGCAAGTGGTTGATGTTTTTGAGCCATGCTCTGTAATGCAGTGTAACTCCGAATAGATGAATCATATGCCTATGATATGCCTCCATGTTCGTGCGAATGAACCATAGAGCTTCGTCTCTCGTATATCCAGTTGAGGGCCTGTCAACCGGTGGGATGCCATATGATGAACCCTGTGGTATAGGCATTATGGAGTAGTAAATGCTGAATAGTGGAGTGGAGTATCGATTTATGGGATGAAGGATGATGAGTCTATGTTGGGAAAATTTGACGGACAACCGGGCTTAAATATCGCTACCGATTACACTTCGGACCCAAAGGATCACATGTTCAACTTGAGCCGTTGCCCCTTCACTCGCCATTCCTACAGCCATCCCTGTTGGGTTCTACTCCATGGATAATAAAGTTTGCTTAGACCCTTGGTTGCTTTGCATCATCGGCGTCCAGCCAAGCAGCTGTTGAACTCTCTGAGCAAAGTCAATCCTTGGGGGGGGGGGGGGGGTGTAAAAGCTACATCATAGAGACCCGGACGGGTTGCGGTACCAGTCTGTAGGCAAAGGCTAAGAGCGTCTTAGCATTGGGAAATATTGCTAGACTTGAGCTGCAGGCATTTTCATCTCACAGGTCAGGTCGGAACCAGGCGGCCGCCAGTAAGCCCTTGGGTCTGGTGCCCACGGCAAGAAGTAAGCGATCTGGAATATTGTGCGTTTTCTACTCTAGGTAAATTTGGTGCAAGCGAATTGGCAATAATCAGCGCGGCGGCGCGCGGGGCCTTTGTCGTGGTCCCAGTCGAGATGCGCTCTGAGGCGGAGAAGCAGCAAGTAAGCATTCGAACGCGAATCTGCGACTGTTTAAATTGCTGTTTTAACTTTTTCAAATTGAAAAGCCTGATATTTGGTTATTGTGGTAGCATTGGGCAACAAATGCTTGGATTGTGGATAAAACTGTGTTTTTTTGACCTTGTGCCGGCAACTTGCTCACCTTGAGGGAGCAGACAGAAGTTAAATTAGTTTGGATTGGTCCGGAGGTCGCAAGGGATCAACTCAAAAGACACGTTACAGTCACTCCCCGTGCTTGACGCATAATTGTTCACAGGCTGGCTCTTTGAAGACCCGGTTCAGCTGAGCTAATGCGGTGCACGTTTCCTGAAAGTGTTCGGCTGGCGTTGCTTCGGTGGCTTTTCTTCGGTGGCTGTGTCCCAGATTTCATTTCCCCCATTATGGCTTACCTCTGCTCGTTCGTAATATTGTTGACCGAATGACTATCCATTCTGGCTGTGACTCATGTACGCTTGCAGGGTGGTCAACGTTATTTCTTTGGTTTTGACATTTTTCGCGACCTCAAAACTTTGGATCGTTAGCTTTCCCGCCCCGCAATGATGACAGTGAGTAAGAAACATCTTCCGTTCCGGAAGGTAAGAAACGGTGTTCTCCTCCTTGGCCTGATGCGGTCAAGGCTGAGGGCTAGTATTATCGGGCATTCAAGGACAGCGAACCCAGTTTCTAATGCGATGGTTTGCTTAGAAGGGAACTAAAAGCGCCGTACATTTCCAGAGTTATTCACCTTGATGCCTGGCATGTTAAAGTGAAGGTGATATCCTCACAAATGATGGACTTGGTGTAATCAGTTGTACAATTATGACGAACGAAGATCCTCATCAACAATCACACCAATGCTTCGAAGTCCACTGCGACGACCCTAATTGACCCCAAACATGTTAGCTCAACATCAAGCGCGTGTACTTAGTGCTCACTTACCCAGGCTCCGAATGCTCCGAACATACCCACAATGGTACCATTGCTAGGTCGAAACACATCCCAGACAGTCGTAACGGGGTCAAGGTGGTTAGGAAAAGGGATGAATTCTTTTCTGCGACCTAGGTTTGTTTCAATCTATTCATTCACCTGTCAGTACCAGCGTAGAGCCTGACTCGAGTTCTTGAGCAGCCAATACGCACCGTAAATCCCTGGAGAACGTCGATATCATATGCAGCCTCGAGTTGGATAATCCGCTCGCCCGCAGTGGGGTCCAACGTCAGGTTGGAAACGTAAATGTTTTCTGCATCCGGATCAAACCTTTTGCCGAGGACGACAGAATCGCTACCATCCACAAAAGAGTTGAACCTGAACTCAACACCATGTATACATAAAATCCCTTCGAAACGTATGGCAGTAGCCCAAAACACAATCTCGACTAGACCGCCAGTGAAATCCCCGTTCTGTCCCCCAAATATGGCCCTAGACCAAGGAATATGATTGGGTTTCGGTGGAAGGTCTGGATGCAATGGTCCCAAGGCTTGCAAACCAAGTCGGGGCGGCTCCGGGTACCAGAGTTGCGTGTCTCTCTCCGTCCTCTGTGAAGATGTAGCCCCAACTTCACTACCCGCGATTGAGAGGGATACCAACTTGAGCGCCTGTGTGCGTCAGTACCTAGACGTGAAACAAACTGGACGCAACAACCTACATCGAAACCAGCTTTGATATACCCTACAGCAACAGGCTCACTGCTTGACAATACCAAGTTCCGTCTCGCTATTCCTTGGTAATCTCCGACCCAAGCTGATAACGATCCGGATGTTGAGAGTATACGGATTCCTCGTATGCCACGAGCATCAATGGCAAGATGAAATCCAGCCAGTTTCTCTTGCCCGCCCTTGTCATTCCCCCAGTCAGGGATTGCTTCCTGTTCTGGGTGAATGAAGCCAAGTTTGATTTGCTCTTTGCTGCCGCGATCTATCTTGATCCCCGAGATGTATGTCTTCTCAAGGATAGTCGCGTATGAAATGGACACAGCTCCACAGGTGGCGGGCAGTGTGACAGCGCGGCACCACAATGCCATCGAGCCCTCCTTGAACGCTCCTTGTCCCCTGTGTTCGAGCAAATTACCTGAGGCTGTAACCCAATCCATATCCATGGCCTGGGCGTCAGGCTCGAAAAATGAGCGCACGGTGGTTCCATGGCAATATCCCGCCTGTTCTCTTTGCTGGAGCAATCCGCGAAGTTGATTTGTGTGTTTCCAAACTCGTTTTAGATTTCCGATTTCCGGTGATAATTCAATCAGCCTCATGCCGTTGTACATGGATTTCCATGACCCAGGTGACATCACTCGAAAGGCAACCTCGCCTACATCCTCGAACTCTCCTCCCAGTTCAAATCTGGATCGCCAAAATTTGTCGGGCAACGGCATGGAGCTATACGTACGTGAAGCTAGCCGGAGGTTCAAGACATCTATCGAGCCCACCATGCAAACAATTTGGGATAGGATCTCTCGGGGTAGAGAGGAAAATGAATCTGGCTTTGCGGGTTCCTCGGGAGGTCGGCTCTGCAAGTCCAGGATCCCAGCGTCTTGATTTCGCTGTGAATGGAATATTTCCTTGAACGTCGGAATGTCAAAAGGATCCAACTTGCCCATATCGCAGATCTGTTGAGTGAGTAGGAAGGGGGCTTCCTCGCCTACGTAAAGAGTCTCTTGTTCTCGTTCGCGATCGCATATACTGCCATATGTGTGACCCCAATCTATGGCTGATACAGAGATGGGTTGCGATCGGCAAATATGGAACAAGTCTTGGATATCCACCGTCAAGCCATGGGACAGGCAGTTGGCAGAGAAGAGCTCCCAACAACTGCAGTGAAAAATGAAGCCCCAAACGGGAGGAGGCCCGTATCCCCGGCGACATGATTTGCTAAAGCTAAATCTCAAAGGATCCAACCAAACCATGGGCGAACCAGGATCTCTGCGGGCCACTCCAGTTCCCATAGAAGCTTCATAAGGAATATGATGGGAATAATACTCTGCCTCGCCGACTCCCGATAGGCGAGCGGAGTCCCATTCATCGAGAGTAGAATACACTATCTCGGCGAGACGATGTCAGAGCAGTGTGACTTAACATGGCTTGAAGATGCAGACACTAACCAGCGCGAAAGCAGCGCATCCATTCAGGCAGTGGGGGTGAGCTGCGGCCATCAATGAACTTGGCAACAGGAGCACCGCATATGAGGCAGTCGGCAAACATTGTGAATTGGTAGATAACGACGTGAGATGCGAGTAGATGCCTTCTAGATTTGTGAGAATTCACCGATATATGGGATAATGGCTCAAAAATATTGCTGTCCCGCAAAAACTGCGCCTCTTACGTGTGAGGAAAAGTGGACCGAAAGTGGACCGGGGTGTGAAGCGGACGAAGTCAACAAGTATCTCATCTTTCTTGCATTAACGAACAGTTTCTACAGCGAAGGCAAATCGTATTGTTACTACTATTATATTTCTTAAATACCGATGTTATTACAGCTTATCAAGGTATTATAAAGATAACCAGTTAGACTAAAAATCTTAGTTTTTATTATTTATTATTTATTATTCTTTTTGTAGAAATATCTTATTAGACATGAGTATATTCAGAATTATCGTCATTGCCGTTTTATGACTCCTACATATTACTCTACAGAAAACAGCTTAAAAATAGAGCTGCAATATTTAAGCTACACACCAGATACACACCCAGCTACTAGAAATTAACATCGTTAGAAGTCCCGGCACAGATGTCTCTCTGTTCCCAATCAGGTCCAAGAGACGCAGCCTAGACTGACTCCGGTGCAAGCTATGTACAGATTATCGACTTAGATGTCTGTTTTCCGAGGAATCTTTGACAGAACTTCAATAGATGTTTAAGAACTCAATACTTTAACTTCTACTGCTATATTCTGCCCTTCACCGTCCGCCCGAATTAACTCATCCTCCCCATCCAAACTCAAACAAGCTATTATCTGGCTTTCCCACAACCAAATTTCTTTGCCTAAACATTCTCAACCTCGTCACGTGTAATAACCCAGAGTTTCTTGCTAAACGGCCCCTTAGAAATCCATGTAATGTGCATTCCCGAGGTCAATCCAATTGCATCACCTGCTTTGAAACTGTGCTTGACACCGCTCTCGGTCTCTATGACATCTACCTCGCCTTCAAGAAGCAGAATCGTTTCGTCGCCCAGGACTCCAGTGTAAGGCGTGCTCAATGTTCCAGAAGCATCCACGTCTGATCCAGCGATACCTTTGCCAGATCGCCAAACACCGCTCAGCATGGTCCCAGTCGAACCGCCGCTGCGGATGAAATAGAGCTCGCCAGCTACCAATGGGCCTTCCTTGGGCTCAGTGAAATGATAGTCGGTCCACTCTTGTGGGTTCTCACTGACATGGTTGATTTGGAGGTCGGTTGGCGGGCTGGCAGTAGCACTGGTTCCGTTCCAGATGCACCAATACTTCTTGAAGAACGGAGAATCAATCTCCCAACGGACCTCGAGCCCTTTGGGGGAGCTAATGATGGCTCCGGGGCTGACGGTAAACTTCTTGCCGGTAGAAACCACAGTGAGGGTGGCACAACCATCGATAATACAGGCCGTTTCGTCACCAAGGGGAGACGAATAGGTAAGGCTGTGAGAGCCATCAGGAGCTGCTCCTGGAGAAGTAGGTCCAGTTCTCCAGAACCCAGACGAGAGGTTCCCGGAAACACCGAACGCACGTGCAATGCTGACTTCGCCGTGGACTTGTTTCCCCAACTTGGGCTCTTCCCACTCAAAAGGAGTCCATTTGCTCGATTCCGGAGCTTGGGCGCCGCGGTGGATGACGTGAGTGTTGGGCTGAGCCATGTTTAGAATACTTTCTTTGGGCTAATGGAGAGCTGAGGCTTAAGAGCGATGATCGATGTAATTCACTTAGAGATTGGAGATTCAAGATGTGGAGATGCTAGGCGAATACTTATGTATTTTCTCGATGGGTTCATTATCCGGTCTTTGGTCTATTTGCTGAACATCAACCCTATACTTTACCCGACGGTTCTCACCTACATCTCAACTCCCTAATGTCGAGATGCGATACCTGGTTTGCCTCGTGAGCGTCGCGTATCTCGCGTATGTCGTGTATCTCGCGTCCGTCGTGTATGTCGTGTATCTCTCGTCACTACGCACCCTTCTTGCCTGCACGGCGTAACCTAGAATCAGGCCATTCCCCTCATTCTCGGCGCTCTGGACGCTGTCTAGCGCGTATCGTCACACTCAGCAGACTGTGAACTCTAACAGCCCGCTTCCCCGCGTTCTTATCAGGGATCACTGATCAGCAAGTGATTGACAATCCGCCCTTGTCCAGAACAAGTAATTTGAGAGTGACCCCGGACTTCGAGGCTGCATGCTCCACACAGTCTAACGCAAAATTCATCATGGCTACAATTTCCATATTCGGTCGGCTTTAGTGGGCCCAGACATACAGCATGTACACGACCTCACTCAAGCTTGACAGTGATGCTCGGAAAACTGTTATCCGTGTGTAGTAACTATGCGACGAGGACAATATATTTGGACGTCTTTCAATCTTCTTTTCTACCTCTTGTCATTATAGCAATCCCTTCTCTTTGCCCTTCATCAATATCTGCCTTAAACCAATCTTTGCCATCATCTTGTCAAATTCGAACATCATGCCTATTTATCTTAGTATGCAGCGGGTTCGCTTCTCTAGCCCCGACGCCTATGAGAAGTTCAAAGTTATCTTCGCAGACACACGTCGCCACCTCATGCCTCTCCCAGGCTTTCTGCATCTCACCTGGTGGGAACATCCTGACGATCGGAGCTGGTACAACGAATGCAGCTTCTGGACAAGCCGCGGCGCTCTCTACGACTGGCACAAAAACACCTACCATAAGTACTGCAAGGCGTGGGCTGGAAACGGCGCCATTATGGAAGACATAATCACCAACTTTGAGCTTGTCGGAACACGACTGCTACGTATCTGCCCTGCTTGTAATTTCACACAAGACAAGAAATACGATTTGGCACAGGAGCAGGCTGTACTACGCGAAGAGTGCCCTCAGTGTGGCTTTCACTTCCCGGTCTTGGAAGAAACTCCTTCCAGCTTCGCCGTCTTCAAGGACGTCGCTATGGCCCCGAGCCAGGATGACGGCGCGGCATCCACGGAGGGGGGAGCAGCGAAGGATTAGTGCAAATGATTTCATAATTGAGAAAGGCGTGTACATCAGTGTGAATAGGAAAAGTGGTCAGATAGTGTGCAGGGGCATGGTGGAAGCATCAAACACACCGTCCGCTGCGCATAGACATTTACATTACTACCTGTACTACGCCGATAAATACACATCCATAACAGTCATGATGTACATGACGGTCCTTTTTTCTTTATGTAAATAACAGAGCACAGAAAACCAACAATCCGCAATACCCTAGTGCTTGATAGCTCTATTGGATCAAAGTGTCACATGTGACTAACAGCGTCGGGTTCTCGGAAATGCCAGGTATCTGGACGCGTCGGAAACCTCGGCAATTTCACGATTGAATCGGACTAGTATGGAAATCTCATCCCGTATTTAAAAGGAGTAACCAGTCAGGCCCTATTAGATACTGGGTGTGTTAAGCAGGTCGATATAACGCCATACCGCGAATGCATGCAAACGTATCCCCCCATCTCCCCCCACTGTATTACCTCCTTCACATAGTACGTATTTTTAACCCCTTACGTCTAATTGGCCGTCTTAGATGAAACAACCCACTACCTAGTGACAGGTAGTGCGAGATAAGCAAACCACGAATACAGAGGGAGGCCGTTTGTACACCTTGTTATCAGCTGATGGATATTAGCCCGTGCGATGCAGTGTGATGCAATAGATTTGAATCCGAGATAACATCCGAGCAACAGCCTAATCCAATCTAGCTTCAACTGCAACGCCGCCTTTTCCCCTCCACTTGAAGGGAGCGGTGGGGAATTAGTATCCTCTGACTGATGAAGGATGTCCTTTTCAGAAGTCGTAATTAATTGCCATATCTTATGCAGCTATCGGTTACTAGTGAAAGCCGAGGGTTCGTGCCTGAGACCCTCGAAACAAAAGCTCTTGCCTTGGATGGTCTAAAGTAGCATCACATCTAGCGTCCCCAGAAAGCTAGATCAGCTTTCAGCTACCTTTGGTTGACTTCAAACGCGCATCGCATTGTCAGTTGCTACATTCAACAGTCTTCTGTCTCCGCTGAGGACACTACACCGTATGATCCTGCTCACCACCTGCGGATATCAGCCAGTAGCGCGTGATTATCCGCTAGATCCGCGATGACATTAGTGGCATTAGGGGTATAGCACTGACAGCTAGCCGACTGACACAAGTATCCTACCTAGGGCTAGCGTATCCAAACTCTCCCCGCATCTACTGACGGCCCAAGACTCCTTTACCCGCACGCTTCGTCGATTCCACTGGTCTAGTTCAGTTCATCTTGTCAAGTTCAAACCAGAAATTGATTGACTGTTTTCCGCCGCTCTTCATTCATTCACTCGCCACATGTTGACGGATCTTTAAATCAGGCCTATACTACCAGCTTCTCGCTCACAGCAATCGAATGGTGGCCCTCATGTCAGCACATACACCCTCACCCGTTCCTCCGAACCGATCAAAGCCTCCCAATACCGGCAATCGGACCCCTTCAACCAACATCGCTCGCCCTCGCCGTGGAAGAGGCGCCCCTAGATCTCGTCTCGGCTGCGCAACGTGCAAGACGCGCCATGTACGGTGTGACCAGGTGTCTCCTTCTTGCAGCAACTGCTCGCGATTGCAGCTTCAATGTTATTACCAGCCTCGGACCAATGGCAATACTAAAAGAGCGCCGGCGATGGCCTCTAACGTCATGAGGCGGCAGCAAGGCATCAAGTCTTGCCCGCCAGACCCGCCCATGGTCTCAGATAACAGCCCGTGTCCTACAGAAAAGGATGCGTATGAACCAAATGTCGCCCACGCCGGGAATGGTGTGGATGACCTCAACTCTTTTCCATGGCTCGATACTATAGCGGTGGGTGCTGCTGGAATGGGCAGTATCAGTTGGGATGATGCGGTTGACAACTTCACCTGGGCAGGCGAGCCCGGAAGTCTGATAGGGCCAGGAACAACGTTGCTGTCGGAAGTGTCCAGCCTTGAAGCCCTCGAGAATGCCAATTCTTTCGATGAGGGAGAAGCTAAGGTCGGGCCAACGGATCAATCGCCAGCTAACGACACTTTCTCGGGCACACACTTATCAACTACACGGTTGGAATTTGACACTGCCGCTTCCGGGACTATGGCATCAGGTTCACCAGTCTCGGTTCCCGGCCAATATCCAAAAACTACAGCGCAGCGGTTACTTCATGACTGTCCTAGCAGCCATGGTGCCACCGAGGCCCAAGAGAATGCGCTTGTGACTTTCGAAAAGATCCTGCAACCTCCAGCATCTATGCTGATGGGAGGCACCAGAAAGTGGCGGTACTTGCAGCGCTATTTAGTGAATCTTGGCGCGAAGAACGAGCTGGTCATGGACGCTCTGCTTTGCGTCGAAGAGTTGCTCAAGCATGAAGAATCCTCACCTTGCTGGTCCGATGCCTCTGACGGGCTGAAGAGGCGCATGACAGAACGTTACAATTCGGTACGAAGCCAAGCCGGGCAATGTATCGCGCAGAAATCGGACTTGGATCAACCGCTGCGAGAAGAGCTTCTCGCAGTTATTTTCTTGCTTGCATGGGCTCAGGTGATTCGCGACCAGGACAAGGAGTGCGCTGCATCTGCATTTCCTTCTCACCTCGCGGACGTCATTATCACCAGCGGCTCAGAGTGGAGCTGGTATTCACGACAGCTCTTGTCGTGGTTCAACTCTCTCGATAGCAAGGCTACGCATCTAGGAGGCGAGTCTCTGCTGAGGCCAAAGGCTCTCGAAACGGTCTCACGCTACCCCATCCAGATCATCTCTTGCGACTACGAGGAGTCCAAAGAATGGCAAGATTCTTTGGAAGGGCAGGAAGACTTTCAAGCCATGTCCACCGGTTCCGCATCGGATGCTTCAGAACACGGCGATAGTGCCACTGTTGTCCCCTCACTCACGACCTGCGATATCAAGGAAATTGTCCTCCGCGCGATACTACAGCCGGCCGCAGAGTGGTACCTTAAGTCGCAAACATACTGCCGTCGCATCAGAGCGCTAGACAAGCACCATCGCAGCCGGTTCACCCCAGATGACGAACTCCAAGTGTCGTTGGCGAGCATGCGCCTGCAAGAAGATCTATGGGACCTTTGGGCCCAACGGCCGTCCGCCATTTCTCTGAAATCTGCGGAGCTTTCCAAGTCCGTCTCACCAGACGTAGCAGTCAGATTGGAGGAGGTTTTTAGCGTCTACCTTGCCAGCTTCTGGATTCTGCTTGTCTATCTCCACCGTGTGAGCTGGTGGCATCTGTCTCACACACCCACCGTTCAAGGCGCTCTTGAAGAGACGTGGAAGCATATGTTACGGTCGTACGGCGAAAAGAATCACAGTGGCCCCGATAGCAGGACTGTGCATCCGGCTCTTATGTGGCCTGTCTTTCTCTTCGGAGCGGAATGCCTTGATGACTTTAAGCGCGACTGGGCAGTTAAGCAGCTGCAAGAGCTGGGACAGACGAAGCCGGTGTTGAAGGTCGAAAATCGAGACGAGGATACGTTGCCGCCATTCAGATTAAGTCATGGTGCGATAAGGAATGCGAACAGGGCCGCGTTGTTGTTACAGACTCTAATCAACAGGCAAAACGCACTGAAGAGTCGCGTGGATGATAGGGATTTAGCTATGGAGTTATTTGGTTGCTACTTCTCTATTGTTTAGGCTCTATAAAACAATTACTCCTTCTCTTCTGCCCTCAAATCTCTTCTTCTACTTCAAACTATTGATTCCACGTGTTGTAGCCAAGGTTTCACGCAAGTCCCGTCTCGAGACAAAGTAGAGTACACGGCTTTGATTATCGATACTCCCCTCCGCAATCTCCTATTTTCTCAAACATTTCTATTCTCCCACTCCTTTCCAATATTTTCTCAATTTCGCCTTGATCTTGTTGATCCAGTGACCAGCCGAAGCTTGCCAAGTTTGCGTCTGTGTGCTCGCTGATTCCCATTCGCGCACCAACAATCACTGCCCCAACGTAGGGAAAGTCCAGAACCCACCGAGTTGCAACATTCGAAATGTCAACTCCATGTTTGGTGGCGATGGATTTCAAGACGGTCAACAACTCTTGGAAGAGGGTCCAACCACCCCAGTTCCGAATCATTCCCAGGTACTTTGGGGGCATTGTTAACCTAGGTCGAAATGGGGACCATGGACTGCGACATACCTTCCGTTGACTTGGAGTGATGGAATCATCGTAAATTTCAGGTTCTGGCATATTCAGCCATTTTTCCGCAAGGAACCCGCCACACTGAATAACACAGCGGTCAGTTATCGCCCAAATCACACGTGGAAGAAACCTTACCAGTGTACCGTAAGTAAGTAGCTTGATGTCATGCTTCTCACAAACTTGGCCCATTTGTACTGTTGGCCGAGAGTCGATGAGCGAAAACTAATTGTCGGATGTCAGACATATGATATGTGCCGTGGCTTACGTGAGAACAAACCTGTATCTGATTGGTGTGTATGGTGATTCCACTGTCCAGTACTTCTTCAAGATGTTTTGTATCAAAGTTGCAAAGTCCGACCATATTTACCCGCTCATCTTCAGCGAGATAACGAAGCGCGTCGATGTAGTTCTTGTCGTCATACTGTATTTGTGTTAGACCGCTGCTACATGTGATGTTTACACAACTCACAAACTGCCAGTGAAACTGGAGTAGGTCGATCTTGGCTTGCTGGAGCCTTTGACATCTCTCGGAAACGTTATCGCGGATGACCTCACGAGAGACTTCCATGGGGTGGAAAACGCAGTACTTTGTGGCCGCAAAGATTGAATCCTTGTGAGGATACGAAGATCGAAAGCGACCCTATTGTTGGTTGTGTGAGCGTGATGGCAGATGAGGGGATTTCATGTACTCACAAAGATGACCTCGGCATCGCCGTAGTGATCTGCCATATCAAACGCAGTGAATCCGCCTTGGATGTGCTTGGAAAACTGGCTAACGATCTTTGAAGTGGGTGCTGCTCCCCATGCAGGGCTCGACATCTGCCAGAGGCCAGAAAATATCCTGGGCAGCTGTCGATCTTTCAACCGAAAGGTCTCTTGAATCTCAACGGGAAGGGGTACCGCATTGATCTCTTGGAAATATGTAGGTTCCAAGGCTATGTCAGTTGATTGGGGAGCCCCGGACACGTTTGCTGTGGCAGCAAGCCCTCTGACGTATGGATACTCTCGATTGGCTTCCCTTGAAATTGTCTGGCATTTGACAAGAGCTAAGTAGAGAGTCTCCAGGAGGACGTTTTCATCATCTGATAATTTGCGGACGCCTTTCATGACGAATAATGTTTTCTGAACTGCCGTCATGGTTTGCACAATGTCGCCGTCGACAGAAGCAAGAAAGCTTTCCGATTCAGCAGAGTTCAATTCGCTGTCCATTCCCTGCACGACAAGCTTGCTCAGTAGGGGCAGGCTCTGGAAGCAGAGTCCAGACCCTACCATACAACGAATTATATACTGAGTCTCCTTCAAATTGTTCATGTTGACAACGGAGCCGGTTGAGTTTAGCGCAGCGAGGGCACTTTCTTGGATGTAGCTCCTCGTCTCGCGCTCAAACGCACCTGTGACCTCGGGATGTGACGCTAACAGTGAGCGCATAATTGCGCGGAGGCCCTCCGCAGGTAGATTCGCGATGATGGTGTCGGTCATCATGTTGACATGGGCCGTGCTGGCCATTGTTTTGCCAGGAATCGCCATCCTGATTGACTGGAGATCCGGATGAGATGGACTTGTGACGGTGACGTGGGCGAGATCTGCCGATGCGTCGGTATCAATTGGACTTCATGGAACGATGGGAATAGAGGCGTCGCGTATTAGTCTAGAACCAAAAAGCCGCCGATGTGGCCTTCAGCTATCATTGACTGGATTTCATCAAAGAGGTATCTGGCGTGTTTATCAGACGCTGAGGCGAACATGACCTCACCCCACTCGCCGGTATCTTGCATCACCGGCGTTCAAATCCGTGGTAAGTCGCCGGCCCGATAACACTAGGGCGTTTGTCTGGTCACAAGATAACTTTTCTCCACATTCACAGGGGCAAAAGATAAGAATCCTTGTAGCCGATGAGAGAAATGACTCCACAGCTGAGATTCCCATCGACGGCCCTACTCCAACATACCGAGGCAGAGGTGAATGTCGTGATACTCACGCCTACGCGGTGCTAAAGCCATTGAATCGTACGGAATCATACGAGATGGACGAAGATATCCAAATATCGTCAGCCCGAAGGCCGTGGTAAGTCTCCGGGTGCAATGATTTGCCCACAGTGCCTAACACGGATTTCTGCGCAGCTCAAATGCCTGCCTACCCTGTCGCAAGGTGAAAATGAAGTGCTCTCTGAGTGTCGGCGACGTAGATTCAAGATGCGAGAGATGTACCCGTAAATCACTGAGTTGTATCTTTCAAGAGCATCGGCGTGGACGAAAGCTAGGCACAAGGTAAGGATGAAGTAAACGTATCCCTTACAAGATGGCTGACAGCGCCGGCAGAATCTCAACGAGAACATCAGCTCCTATGATGACATTACCCGTGCCATCACAGAGTGAAGCCGAAAACGTCGAGCCTATCCAGGACTCATGGACGCCGGCAAGCCAAAGCATCGAGAGCATTCCAGACTCTGAACCAACAAGCTTGCAACCCTCTGGACTTCTCAACCATGAGGCGATGAGGGGGAAATTCTCCCTGGGGTATATACTGAGCACCGCTGATGGGCATCCCCTTAATTCAGGCCCTAATGATGTAGTATTCGCCCCTGCCGAGGATCCCATTATGCTTGGCCTTGTCAATCTTTCTATAGCGAAGTCATTATTCCAAAAGTACGTGTTAAATAAGTTTTCTTTTTGCAAGACTGGAGCTAATATTGTCATCTAGCTTCATGGAAGTTCTCAATCCATACATCAGCCAGCTAGATCCTGTCTTGCACACGTTCGCCTATGTGCGGCAGAAGTCACCCTTTCTTCTCACCACCGTTCTTGCCATGGCCGCAAAAGCATTTAATCCGGCTCTCTACGAAAAGCTACACGACCATGCTCAGAATTTGTATGGCGATTGCTTTCGGCGTGGCAAGAAGTCGACAGAAATAGCCCAGGCAATCTTGATCCTCACATATTGGAAAGAACCTGAGGACACGCGTGCGTGGACTTCTTTAGGTTACGTGATTCGAATGTGTATGGATTTGGGGTGGCATAGGCTGATGCCATACTCCGCCCAGAGCCGAGTATCCATGACGGAGAAAGAGAAGAGAGAAATACGAAACATCGAGAGAACGTGGTATGTTCTATTTGTCTACGACCGAAGGTAAGCTATGCCCCGACATTTTATGTCATATTTTGCTCACACTGAAACAGCATCAGTCTACAAACAGGGAAACCATGGATGATGGAGCGGAACGAGTTCATTGAGTCAATTGACCTATGGTGCAAAGACCCCATGGTCACATCCAACGACAGACTCCTGGGGGCGTTTGTTACCCTCCGTTTGATGACTTCTGCGGTATATAAGTTGCTGAGCCAAAAGCCTCAGACAAGTGAAGGGCAAGGACCATTGCACAATATCGAGTCACTTCTCACTATCATCAACGGTCGCATTAAAGGATGGGAAAATCTATGGACACAAACCGTCGAGACTGGTAAGCAATCTGATCATCCAGTTCGACCATTTGATGTTAACCAAATCCCAGAGCACGACAGCTGCCACCCATTCTTGGTACGCTTTTACGGGACACATCTTCGGTTACAGCTATTCTCACTGCCATTACAAGAAATTCTCGCTTCTCCAAATGCAGATCTTTCAATGAACCTGGAGATACTATGGGTTGCCTATTCGAGTGCTATTGAGATGTTACAGTTGCTATCTCGGTACTCCTCCCGGCTCTACTTCGCACAAGACTCAATCCACGTCATGACCGCCTACAGCGCAGCATTCCTCATCAAGGTCCGTTCCAAGCCGAACTCCCTTCCAAATTTCTCTATGATCAAATTTAGCTAACTCTCTCTTCTTCGAAACAGCTGCTTCTTTCTGCTCCAAATTCGATCGTCAGCGAAATTGAAGACAGCACGATTAATGCCCTAAGAGCCGCCACATGTGTCTTTTCTCAGCAAGCAGCCCCTCCGGGGTCAAGCTGCACACTACAGGCGAAATTCTTGGAGAGAATTGTCTTAGAATTCTTGAATAAACGAACCGAAAAAGCTCGTACCTCTGGGAATGCCAGTCCAGATAACGTGGGGAGCAGTCATGGGATTTCCCGACATCGAGGCGCTTCGCCAAGAGCTTCGAGGCTACCGGATGATCCAAGCCAGCTGCTTCTAGACACTGGAGACATGGACGTACCGGATACTCCAGGTCTCCAACAGATCAGGGCGGATTTTCTGTTCACGGATGATACTTTCTGGGCGGACATGTTCGTCAGCGCTGGCTTCAGTCTTCAAGATGGTGTATTTTTCTCATGAATGGGACACTTCAGAGGGTCTAGAATAACCCAGCCCACTCATTTCAGCTAGAGATATTCTAAAGGAGCCCCTCCTCGCCAATCTTGAATCCAGTTGTTCCCCATCATTTCTCCAACGGCACCACCGTAGTCTCAGAGTGGTTGAATGTTCGAACACCCTCCCGGATAATCTTCAGCTGGGAAGGGCAGTTCGGGTCCGGGCATGCGATGAGCGCATCCGTAGTCATCCAGTCGTTCTTGGATGTCATTCGCTGCTTCGCGGGAAGCAATGGAATAATGGAGGCTTAATGAAATTAGTGCGTGAAATTAAGAGCCGCGGGCTGTCCTGATACCTAGACTGTATATGCTGATACCCTGATTTGGGGGGAGGTACAGCATCTCGCCTTGAAGAGTGAAATAGTCTCCCTCATTGGCACCGCAAAGGATTCGTTTTCCCGGCGGGCACACAACCTCGACTTTGAGGTCATAGAGTTCAAACGAATCATTACTTGAATTGGGATGTGAGGCCATGGCGCACGCAATAAAATCTTTGTCGTATCCGAAGTGTAGTTATTGCGAGAAACACGGCTCTTTCATAGACACTACCGGTAAATTGTTTCTCGTCATGTAGGGTAGGAGAAAATGGAGAAAATGCCTTATCAGTCCACTGGTTTGGGGAGAGTATTACCGCCTTGATAAGCCGATGCCGGTCTATCCCCGCACCGGCGTTCTAAATCCCTGTCTTAGTCGCCGGTGGCCCAATTTGGAAACGTCTTGTCACGCAAATAATGCAACAATCGTATCGCGATGGGGACAGGATAGCCGTCTCCGGAGTTGGTAATCTGCGCTATCTCAACGGGAGCGATGTCGTAGCAACCCCCTGGCGGACATGTCTGACCATTGTCAATATAACTCGTCTGTTGGCAAATCCTCATGCCGGACCAGGCCACAGCTGTCCTGTCGCCATTTGCCCCTCTTCTACCCACAGTAAAACATCATCACGGACACTGATACGACAATGGAGAAGGACGAAAAAGGTGCCGCTGCGGCCTTCACTTCGGCTCCGGATATGGAGATATGCGCTGACGGCCAGAGCGTCGCCGTTCAATCGGAGGAGCTGAAGCGCGACCTGAACGCTCGCCATATCAACATGATTGCCATCGCAGGCATGATTGTAGGTGACCGACTGCGTACAAGCGAGGAGATATTGTTAACACGGTCTATTTAGGGCACTGGCCTTTTTCTTAGCTCTGGCCAGGTCATCGCCATCGCAGGCCCGGTCGGTGGCCTACTGGCCTATATCATCATGGGCTTCGTCACCGCCGGCGTTGCGTACACGACCGGTGAGATCACCGCCTTTATGCCTCACACTGGTGGCTTCATCAGACACGCGACTAAGTTTGTCGAGCCGGCGTTGGGTGCAGCTACAGGTTGGAACTTTTGTAGGTTTCGCGTCGTAGTCCAGTTGCGGAGACCACTTTCTTACTTCAAAAGGGTACACCATGTCCATCTCGGTTCCCGCTGAGATCAGTGCTGCCGCCACTCTGATTCAGTTCTGGAACACCTCGATTAACCCTGGCGTCTGGATCACTATTTTTCTGGTCTTCATTGTTGGACTTAATCTTTGTGGTGTCCGATTATACGGAGAGGTTAGTTCTTCTACATGTGGCTTCTGGGCAAGCGCTTCGTGATAGACACTCCTCGCTAACACGCAAATAATCTAGTCCGAGGTTTTCTTTGCGACATTGAAGATCATGCTTATCATCGCTCTCATCATCGGTGGACTCGTCATCGATCTCGGCGGCGGACCTAACCACGAGCGCCTCGGGTTCCGATACTGGATCAATCCCGGTGCCTTTAACCAGTATATCGAGACGGGGTCGACCGGAGGGTTTTTGGCCTTCTGGAAAGTGATGCTCACGTCCGCTTTCAGTTACGGAAACATCCAGGTTGTGGCCATCTCAGGTTCGGAAACGCGCAACCCCAGGAAGCACATTCCCGCTGCGACGAAGAAGACCTTTTACCGTGTCTTTTTCTTCTACGTGCTGAGTATCTTCATCGTGGGATTGATTGTGTGAGTCAAATCTGACCATGCCGACTCATGCGAAGTAGAGACTGACAGAATCCCTCAGGCCATACAATGATCCTTCTCTGAGCCTCTCCACTGGCACTGCCCAGCAATCGCCCTTCGTAATTGCCTTCCAGCGCTCGGGTATCTCAGTTTTCCCCTCGATTATCAATGCCGTCGTTTGCACGTCCGCAATCAGCAGCGGGTCGGCTTGCGTCTTCATCGCGTCGCGAACCCTGTACGGCCTCAGCCGTGACGGCCACGCTCCCAAGCTACTACAACGTTGCAACCGATTTGGCTCACCATACTACGCCATTGGATTAACTTGTGTGTTGATGCCTCTTGTCTATTTGAATGTCGCAAACAACACGTCAGTCGTCTTCGGTTGGTTTGTAAACATCACCACTGTCGCCGGATTGATTGGCTGGATAGTCATCGAGGTGACATACATTCGATTCCACGCGGGGTTGAAACAACAAGGATACTCACGAGATGGTAAGATACGCACTTTTCTTGGGGATGAACATGGAATTGGCTGACAGAAACACAGAACTGCCGTATAAAAGTCCCCTCCAACCATATGTTTCGTGGGCAACCCTCGTGATGGTATCGTTGGTGGTTTTCTTTTCTGGTTTGTGCTTCCCTCAACTGCAAATCCGATGCAGACAAGATCAAGGCTCCTCTGACATTAGACCAGGCTTCGATATCTTTGTCAAAGGACAATTTACCGCTTCGGGTTTCATAACCTGCTATATCAATATTTTCATTTTTGCTGGTAAGTTTAATCCGTCCAATGTTGACAGGGCAAAGTAATTAAGTGAGTCTAGTCTTGTACATCTTTTTCAAAATATTCCTCAAGTCAAAGGTTATTCCCCTCTCTGAAATGGATTTCCAGACAGAGTTCAAATCAATGCAGGAGGAGAAGGAGAACGTTGCAATGCGACCGTCTGAGGATGGCAAGACGGGTTCTGGGATCAGGAAATTTTTCAATTGGTTCTGAAATTCAACAATTTGTAATGTCTCAGCCAGTGTTGGTGGAAGAATGTACGCGTACTTCTCTTCTAGAGCCGTTGATTGCCTACCACAAGTTACGAGGTACACTACAACATAACTCCTCGTTCGACATAGTTTGGATAATGAAGGATGCGTGATACTTTTTACCTGATACTCTTGGGGCTTTTACCCACAGCTTATAACCAGAGCACGAGCAAAGTGGCGTACCTATTCCTGTGGGTGCGATGCACACAGAAGTGAGAATGTTGAGCCCCGCCCGCAGGTCCGCGTCAATTACATATACTCCTTAAGACGGTTACCGTATCGACTCAGTAAATTGGCCCTGAACCCTTCCCCCACTCATTGCCTTCGAGCTTTTTTATACCTAATGATTTAGGAAACTGATGGATCCGTTACGGTCAATTCAATTTGATAGATAGGGATCAATATAGTGATGATGATGTTGATCATATTGATGATTCCTCCATCTCGTCATCCGGATCCGCCAGAAGAGGGGTTTTTATACCCCCCCTTCTGACTAAGGTCAGGATATCAATCTATCCGATGTTTCGTTATATAGGGTCATCATTTAACACACCCCCCCAGCTTCAGCTACATCAGCTGAAGCTATTATATCTCTAGATCTTCTTCCTTTATCTCTTCCAGCTTTCTTTCCCCTAGCCGGTCTGAAATATCAATCAAACCTAGCTACTAGACTGATCTTTGAAAGGCTGGGCCGGTCAGGACCTTAGTGAGACCATTAGTAATTATATCCTTTATGCTGATATAGTCTACTTGAATCCTATTCCTCTAAGCTTCCTATCTCAGCCAATAATTATAAATATCAATATATCGCAGCTTAGTCTGCAGCTTATTAATGTCTTGGTAGATAAGCCGGATCGTCTGATAGTTATCACATTAAATATGGATTTTTTCTTCTTCCAGCCGGATCTCTAGCTCTTTAACTAGCCGGGAGATAAATATAGCCTCCCTAGCTACTTAAGATAAAGCTAGAAGTTCGGCCTCAGTTGTTAACGTTGTGACTGTATCCTGCTTATTAGCTCTCCATCTAATCGTTCCTCCGAATAGTCTTATAATATAGGCTTAGGAGCTTTTCCAGTCAGGGTTATCTGTATAGGATATATCGCTAGCCATAAGAAACTAATTGCCTTGGCCGAATTGAAGAGCTAGGCTGCTGGTCTTCTTGAGATATAGCAGGACTCAGTCTGTAACGTAATAATGATCCGGTCCTGGGTTTGAATTGTATCTAGCTAGCTAAGAGACTGTAAAAGCTATATCTAGCTGGGTTATGATAACTGCATAGAGGATTAATCCGACCTTCTATTAGTATCGTCGGATTGACGGGATCGAGGCCTGTTAATTATATAGTTATAGGGCTTTCTTTTTTATTGGGGTTTTATACTGTTAATCTAGGTTATCTATAAGGTTAGCAATCTTAGTTAGATATGAAGATTGGGATAATCAGATCAGTCCTTTCTACCGGTCTTAAAGGATCTCAATCCCTAGAAACCACTGAAAATCCTATCTACCAGTTAGGTTATAATAACCCTTAAGGTTGGCAGCAGCCTTCTAAACGTTCTACTGCTTTTCCTTCCGGCAGGCAAAGACGATATCGTCAATATAGAAAAAGACGATAATCCCGCCCTTTATCATATAATAGGGCTTGTGCGGGACTGTCTTGAAGCCTAGCTCTTGGAGTATGGCAGTGAGTTCCTTTTGCTAAAGGAGAGGGGATTCCCGTAGATTGTATAGGGCTTTCTAGATTAGTAGGATCTTTCCGGGTGATCTGTATCCAGGCGGTATTTTTATTAGGATATAACAGTCTAGTTTAGTATTGATAAAGGCATTAACTGCATTATATTGTATAAGATCTAGATTAAATCGGGCTGCTATTGCTATTAGGGTTTAGAAGGACCTTCCAGCTAGAGTGGTAGTATAGGTCTCTTTATCTAGCCCTTTTAGCTGCTAGTCTCCTTAAATAACTAGCCTGGCCTTATATTTAATAAAGTAGCTATGCTTATCTAGCTTATAGATGTAGATCTATATATAATTAAGGGTTTATTTCTCTAGAGTTTAAGAGTTATCTAAATCTATTTAAATTTATAACTCCATTTCCCTATAACTATATAAGTAGTTTTATTTAACTTATTTAAATTAGACTTCTATTAGATAATTCTTTAGATCTTAATAGTATTATAGCAGCTTAGGTAGTTAACTTTAATAAATAGACTTAAATTTCTTTAGTAGATATTATAGCTTAGCTTTATTAATAACCTTTCTATTAAGAATGCCTATTAGGCTAGCTAATCTTCCAGTATTAAAGGCAGCTTTCTAAATATTAAACTATTTAACCCTAAAGACCCTAAAATCCCTAGAATTTAGCTTACCTCTAAATAAATCTAAGATATTCTAAATTATTATTACTAAAAGTATAGCTAGTAGTAGAAATATAGAAGTTGGGTAGGTTTTATTATAAAAACTAGGGGTACTAAATTAACTGCCTTTTAAGGTTTTATATTCTTCTTTTAATTTTTCTTAAGATTCTTCCTCAATCCTATTACTAAAACCTATATCAGTTTTAATAGGTTAATTAAACCTAGTCTCTAATTATATTATCTCTATATTTCTATTTTCTAATCTATCTATATATAGGTTAGAATTAATATTATTAACCTAATTTCTAGAACCTAGATTATAGATTTAATCCCTCGGGCCTTAATTAGCAATATTATTCTAATTCTTATTGTAGATAATATTTTAATTTTTATAGTAAGTTTAATTCCACCTAAAGGTTAGTTTGCTAGCTATTTATTCTAGTAACTAATCTAGTTAAGCCTCTTCTATCTAGTTTAATAGCCAGTCTAATTCTTCCCTACTAATATTTAATAGATTATCCTATAGCTAATTAAGGTCTCTATTAAATTAATTATCTTTGTTAAAAATAACATTTCTAGTAGAAATAACCTTTCTAGTAGATGGATTCCAGATTCTATAGATATTAGTTAACTGGTATTCTATAAGATAACTAATCTAAATATAGGGATTTAGCTGTTACTGCTTATTTCTGCTCTTTAGGGTATCTTGGGTTAAGGTAAATGCCTTAAATCTATAGACTTGTAGATAACCTAGATAGGGGACTTTACTTTCCTCGTCATAATTATCTCATTAGGCTATTACTATATAGAACTGGGTATAAGGGGTATCCCAGTTGTTGACCCCCCTAGGAGTCCGGTTATAGAGATAGATAGCAGTTTAATAGATCTCGACCTAAAGGAAGAAGGGAAATCGGGCTCCTGACTGTAGGGCTCTTACCTTAATCTTGATAACCTTTCTGGATAGCTTAGCGCCGCCATTCTGGGCAGCTGTGTCTGTAGCTATTAACTCCACGATAATGCTTATCCCGGTAAAGAGCCGATATACTAGTTGAGGCCAGTTTTTGGACTTTCCTAGGATCTCTCTATCGTACTTAATGACGCGAGGCTTTAGCTGATACTGACGGAATAGGTAACTCAGGAAGTCCTTAAAGACTGCAACAAGCTCCTTATACTGCCGGGTCTTAAGGTAATAGTCCCAAATATAGCCGGAATAGCGGTCTATTATCAGTAATAGACTAACCCTTCCTTCTGGGTCCTCTTCCAGGTTATAGAAGTCAATTGCTAGTCTTAAGCCGGGTCCGGCTGGAAGGTCCCTTAGCTGTCGGCTGACTTGTCGGGTTATCTTGGAAGTGCTGCAGTTATTACAGCTGACGGTTATGATCTCTTTAATCCGGGCCCCTGTAACCTTGTTAACTAGCCTTTCTAGGGCTTGAGGCCCCGGATAACCTAGCCGCAGGTGCCAACGGCGGGTATCTTGCTTTGTTACCTTAGGTTGGGTTGATGAGTTGAAATAGCTGTGCTGGGCAGGGAAGGCAGCGTTACAAGGGATGTATTCTAGGACGAATTGGTTATAATGATTAGATAAGAAGTATCTAATCAGACTGTCTGATAACTTTAGATAGTTATTATCTGGGCGTATGTCCTATTAATATCCCTAATGTAACAGCCTTTATAGGGATACCAGATTGCAAGGAAAATTAGGGTAATAGGCCACATCAAATAGAAGGATAATCTTATAGCTCTTAGGTCCCTTAGTCATAATATTAACTTAGCTGTATCCTTAAACTAGGACTTTATATTCACCGGCAATAAGGATGTTATCGGCTCTAGTAGGCTGATATTCTAGGAACTGGCAGATCTTATTAAAGATATGGATTGTAGTTCCAGAGTCTAGAATAGCTAACTTTTATAGAGGATATCCTGATACTGCAAAGGCCGCCTTAATCGGGGTTATTAGGTTATTACAGCAGCCGACTTCCCGGCCTAGTCAATCTAACTTAGCCAGTCCAGCAGTAGCTTTAAGGGATTTGAGCTTATCCTTCCATTCTTAACAAGAAAGTCGGGATGCAATAGCATCTTAGATAAGAGGTTTGAATTCGAACCAAGCTGGGGCCTTAGATAGGAAGATATAATAGCATTTCTTCTAGGTATACCAATTGCCGCCGCAGGCTTCACAGATAGGAATATCATCTTGATCCCGGTCATCCGTGGACTTGATCTTCTTTGCCTCAGAGCCTGATTGATCGGGCTTGCATTTCCTGTTCCATTTCGGCCGGACGGATCCGGCGGATCCGGACGATCCGGCCTGCTGACCTTCCCTATCTGGATGCTGTTCTTGATCCGGTTGGTCAGCTTGATCAGGTTCCTCATCGTAGGTCGGTCCAAAGCCCCTGTTGATCCGGCCTTGGGACTTGGGGGCCTTGGCCGGCTGTTGTAAGCCGTATTGGGCAGCTTCTTCTTGTAGGGCCTTGGCAACTTCCCGGATTGGAAGGGACCTTGATTCTAGCTCCTTCCTATAGATCCCGCGATAGGTAGTGACCCAATATCCAACAACCGGCTTAATAGCCTTACTAAGGTCCTCGAACCAGATATTTGGATCATCTAGGCCCCCCACCTCTAGGGTCTGGGCTTAGTACGTAGCTTGTTCCTAGTCTATAAGCTAGCAAGGGAAATCCTTAAGGGTCTTAGGCATAGCAGCTAGAGCAGTTTGATATTTTATTCTAGCTTCATTTCGCTATTAGGTCTAAGTAGCCCCAACACTATCTGCTAGGTTAATATACTAGCTCTTAAGATCCTATTAAGAAAAGAAGACGCTATCCATCAGACCTATAGCTACTATATCTATTATCCATTTCTTCAGGCTATTAATCTAATCCTTCTACTTCTTATATTCCTTATAGTCTTACTTATAGTCTCTATAGCTAGACTAATAGGAGATCTTGTCTTTAGCAGTTAGATCCCTGATAGACTGGGCTCGTTCAATCGGATCGTTCGTCTCGAGAGTGTAGGTCGGGGTAATAGTCTAAGACCCCTGACTGTCAGAGTGACGGATCTGTCGAGGAAGGTCGGGCTCAATCCGCTATGGAGGGATTCTTCGGAAATAGAAAGAAATCAGCAGCTTTACTGGGGCCTGCATCAGCTGTTGATTTCCTTCAGGATCAACAAGATCCCAGAGGCCGGCTGCATTTACCCTCAGCTAGAAGGTCTTATCCCAGATCCTCCAGTCCTTAAAGGTCTCAAGATAGATCTTATAGTCGGATGCAGTATTTTTAGCTGATATTGCAATTTTCGTAGATTTAGGTAGAATTAATCTAAAATAGAGGATAAAAGCCGTACGGATCTCAGCACAGCTAGCTTCTTCAAGCAGATAAGACTCTTAATTAATAGATCCGTTACGGTCAATTCAATTTGATAGATAGGGATCAATACAGTGATGATGATGTTGATCATATTGATGATTCCTCCATCTCGTCATCCGGATCCGCCAGAAGAGGGGTTTTCATACCCCCCCTTCTGACTAAGGTCAGGATATCAATCTATCCGATGTTTCGTTATACAGGGTCATCATTCAACAGAAACCTAAGCCTTATATAACTTGGCTTTAGTCCATAAAAACAGGGCCAATATATCGAGTCGACACGGTATCGCACCGGGGAGCCGTTTAATGTACATAGGCAATTTAATTATTTAACCGGGCCTCAACCACACACGCCTAAACAACTTCGACGACTTCACCGTACCTTTGTTTCATCTTCGTAGCGTCCTCCGGATATAACACTTGTATCACTCAAAGCTCAATCCTCCACCGCTCTACATGACTTCGCGCAACTATGCCATCCTGGAGCCGCGAGCTTGCCGAGTTTGCCACCAGAAAGACAACATCCTGCGCTGCTCTGGCTGCCAGGTCGTCTACTACTGCGGACGAGACCACCAAACATCTGATCGAGCCAGCCACAAGAAATGGTGCCAGGTCATCAAAAAAGCGCGTACGAGACTGGAGCGTGAGGAACAGGATCTACGCGACCAGCCACCCAGTGCATTCACCCCTCCGAACATCTTTGAGACGGGCGTCGGTCACTTCTGGGGCATCAACGAGACACGTCCCTACATGCGCGCGCGCTATCACCTTGGAGATTCTCTTCTCAACGCTTTCACTACCATCGGCGGTCCTATTGACGCCGTTCAGACTACCTAGACCACTTCTTGGACATGATGCGGTTATGTCGTGGGGACAACTTGGGTCTTCGGCACATGATTCCGGGGTTGTTTATCCGCCTAGGCAGAGATCAGGAGGCCTATGACTCTGTCAAGTGGTATGCAACTACCGGTATTGACAGAAATTACGATTGGGGCGACATAGACCTGCCATTCCTAGATGTGAAGGATGCCGATGTGCTCGAATCGCTAGGAGGAATGTGGACGACAGAATACATCAACTTGAGCCATGCGGTAGCTGTGACGTTGGTCAAGATCCGAGTCCTGCTGGATCTACAGGCCATTCAAAACGCTGCCAGGGCCTTCACTGGAGCCATTCCGCAAGAAATCATCGACCTTATCCGTGGTCAACTCGCCAGCAACGTCGTTGAGTCGCGCCCCAACCTTCTCAGGGATAGCACGGATGAGACCACAAGTCTTATTAAATCAATCAAACAACAAGTAAGAGAGCTTCACGAATCCATCGAGGATATCAATTATCACTTTTGGCCAATGCTTCTGGTCGATCCAATTACCAGCGCCGTTTCGAGGCCCAGCGGGTACTCACCTGGCTCAAGGGAGGAAGCTAGTCTAATACTCTGCTACAATTATCCGGCGTGGGCTGAGACGCCTGGGGCTATTGAATTAATTCAAAATCTATGCTAAGTGGTAAATCTAAGTAGTATGAGCTGCTTGGCATTTTATCCTGCAAGAACTTTTTAGAACATGATGTAGCTTCATAAATCAGCCATGTCAGCTGCTTTTTCTTTCTTTTACCCGAGGGACATGCAGAAATTGTATCTTCTAGTTAAAAACCCGTCGGTATAGCTCCTTCTTGAGGGCGGTCACCATCTCCTCGGTCCGCTGCACGGCTCCACGATTCTCCACGGCTCGTCGATAGAGGTACTCTATACACTCCCCGACAGAGCCAACAGCCAGGAATTTAAAGACGCCAGGTGCTGCTTCCATGGCCGTGGGCGAGTTGGACGTACACTGTTCGCGCCGATCAAGTAACGCACAACTCAGTTCATCTGCCATTCCAATAATTTGGCCACATTCCAATGTGGTTGTGGGAAGGCCAGCATCAATTCTCTGTTGGTGGGTTTCCATTGCTTTCCCTGCGCTCGCAGCGTTATGGGTGGCAAGAAACAGGGCCGAGGGAGGGAAATCGACATGGCCTGCTCCACTAGGTAATTTCTGGGAGATGACCATATCGGCGATCAGATCATAGGAGCGATCGGTATCCTCTTTGGTCTCGTGGATTAGACGCCGGACTTCGTGCTCGATGTAGGCTCCACGGACAAGCTTGAGACCAAGTGTCCAACCTTCCTTTGCTGCCTGGGTAATATGCCGTTCAGCGTTGACTCTAGACCCCTTGAGGTACGCCTGGATCGTATTGTAAACGAGAGCTTTTCTGCCCCGGTTGTATCTGCACATTAACGCGATGACCCACTCATCTAATCCTGGCTGGAGCACTTGTTGCTCGGCGTCGATCCACAGTCTTGAGCCTTGCTTTTGAGTTTCAAGACAAATCTCATCCAATGCTTTTCCAAGTGGTTCGGGGATTGGTTGCCGGGCCTTCATGGCATCCAAGGAGATGGGGCCGGCGCCGGTAAGCCTATAATGAACGTGTGGTCAGAGATGCTCTGTCTTGTTGTAGATACAGGGAGGTGCCTATTATCGTCCACTTACTTCACTGCCAGGAAGTCTCCTGGCCCCAGCATACGGAGCGTGTTCAGCGTTCCCTCTTTCCACTCGTCGATCATTTGATAACATGCTGGTCCGTACTTGGCGTTGTCTGAATGAACACCGCCATCCACGGGATTTAGCACAACTTCTTTGGCCCACCCCAAGATCACACCTTGATACCCAATGTCCTTGACTTCGGTTAAGGAGCGGGCTACCTGCGCTTTGTTGGAGCCCGCACAAAAGTGGTTGTAAATTGTCCAACGTAGTATTCGATTCAAAAAAGGATTTCTATCTGCATTGAGAATTGCAGATTTAGACTTGGCCACCATATTCAGGATGGTGAGGGATGGGCGCAGAAGCCATTCCTTTGACATGAGCGAAGTCAAGACCAGTGATCGAAGAAGGGTCTTGGTCGGTAACCTTGAGAGGGCGGATTTGCTGGCATTGTCGGAAGATTCCTGGTAATTTGCCGTGTGATAGCTACACCTTAGTCGCACAGCCAGTTGGTGAGCTGTTCGTGGCTGTAACATTGCCCTGGTCGTGATTCCGATAGGCATCTTGAGCCGTGATGTGTTCGTCATCTCAGTCACCAAGCAGGATGAATTAATGTAGTAAACAATTCGGTCCAACAATTCTGCATGATTATGCATGCTTTTATTCTTAGCACCCAGTATCCTCATGAATCATAAGCAAAACGACTGTAAGGCCTTGCTTTGTCAGTCGGATCAAGATTCCGCGTGGACATTTGGACGTTGTGCCGTGGCCCAGGCGTGACAAATCCAATTGGCACTAGGTGGTGATTTCGCTACTGTAGGTTCGATACGGTAACTCGCGGAGTAAGCTTCCGGTAAGTAAGGTAATCAGGAAGACGGAAGAGGGGATCTCGGGGCTTAGATCAATACGCGCTGCCGCGGAGGAGACCGAACACCACAGTGTTGAGGCTTCATCCCGTACCAGCCGACCCCACATCGGAGAGAAATTCCGGTATGATAAGAGACATCATTTTTCAGCGTGGCATGGCCTGCATCTTGGGCCAGTAGCGCCTTAATTCGGTGCTTTGCTAGATTTCTCTTCTAGCATGGAGTCATTTTCTTTGTTTCAAGGGCCTCCGACGAAGAATACTCATGGAGTACTTCAGTTGTATTTTGAAGCCGAATCAACACAGCCCCGTTGGCTAAGTGGTATAGCGTGTCACTAGTAATGACAAGATCACTGGTTCGATTCCAGTACGGGGCAATTACAACACGTGTACCCCCCCTCCGACGGTGATCCGTTTACGAGGAGGGAGTTCATTTTTGTCCCATTTTGCCCTTCTCTCCAGGTTTGTCAAGCCTGGATTGAGTTTGAAAAACACAGAAAGAAGTCACTTGTTGATGCTTGAAGACAGATGACTGAATTGCGCTGCATTGGCTATGCGAGAATGTGGAGAATGCGACGGTGTGCAGGGGACGGATAGCACAGAGTCTAACCAGCGGAAAGCTCCCCCGGCTCTGCCGATTATTTTCTGTCAATTAATGACTGTTGATCAGTAGACGACATGACTCGTTCACCATTGCCTTTGCAAATACTACCTTACTTGCTTTGCCTACATGTCTCGGTTGAGATGCCAGCGCGACCGGAAAGCTATTCCGCCCGGACAATACAGCAGCGGATCCCGATTCCGGCTGTGCATCCATACAGCTCATCGATGATTAACCCACGAGATAATTCACAGTCAAGATTATACTCTTATCGCAAACTAAATTATTGTTTGGGAATTAGAATCCCGGCCTCAATGAGAAAGCTGCTTCTGTTTTGCAGCGTTGAATGCTCCCGCGCTGTAGGGTAGGCTTTTTAAGGACTTCGTCCCACTCCACTCCCACCCGAGCCGGAGTCTTCATCGAGCAGAAAGTGTTGGAAACAGTCTATTTTGGACGCATAGATGATTGTTAAGTTCTCATACACTGGGAGAAAAATCCGAGGGTCAGTGGCTCTCGAATTGTCCATTCACCGCTGCACGCATGCTATCTATGTTAAAGTCGGATAAGTGAGCAAAAGAATCTATGAAATGATGGACAATCAATGAAGCAACGCTAATCAGCTTTGGCTTCTCATATCTCTTGGTAGCACGTGATGTTTTATCACACAAAATTGGTGTCTTCCCCGCAGCGCCCGGTTACCCACGTTCACACTGACACCCGGGGAATCACAACTCCAAAAGTGCAAGCCGCAACACGTAATGGAGAGTGAAAGCCATTCACAGTCACCTCAATCTTCCACCCGCCACCGGAAGAAAACGTCCAATGCGTTAGTCTTAGATTCCGAGATGGTTCTCACCTGATCTAACAGTGGTGTCAAGATGTATAGGGTGTCGTAATCGAAAGTCCCGTTGCTCTGGGCGTAATCCCTGCGAAAAGTGTGTGGGCAGAAAAGAACCATGCGTATACGAGGAGCGAGAGAGAAAGGCTGCTGTCCCCGTGACGTAAGTCTCTGGCGATGGCATCAAGTCCTGTGTGCTAATTTATTCAGGTACATTGACAGTTTACTGGCTCGAATCAAATCGTTAGAAACACGGCTCGAGGCAGCGGGAGCACCTGAAATCATCGTCTCAGAACTACACCAGCCAAATCAAGATCCACAACTTATATCGGGAGACATATGCGAGACTCGGGAAAGCACGGCCGAGCCAGATTCGGTAACAGTGACGCCTTGAACAGTTATAAACTCCCGGATTGACTTGAAATCAGCACCCAGAACCAGAGGACTTGATCAATACACTGGTAGCCTCAGAGCCACAAATAAAAGTGCGACGTTACGGACACGCAAGTATGTACCATCCTAGCTCTATCCTAAAGCAAGACATTGACAAAAAATGAGCTTTCCTTGGCCATAGCTCGACTCTGTCTTTCAGCCGTAATGTGCGCAACCTGCTCCAAAATTCAACCGCCGTGGCAGACCCTGGCAGCGTATCTGTCGAGCGTGAGGATGCATCATATGCGACTTCCCTTCCATCGATAGTTTTGGACCTGGCGACTGTTCCGCTGCCTGCACTCCAATATGCAGAATACTTGACAAACACCGTCTTGCTGCGACTAGGATCACTATATCGGCTATTTGATCCCAATACCTTCTTCCAGCGCCTTAGAGCCTTCTATGACGAGATATCAAAGCGCATATTTCCAGAAGCGAGTCTTTGGCACTTGCAGTTTCTTCTTGTGCTGGCTTTCGGAAAGTCTATCCTCTCTCGAGAACATTCCGATAGGGGGCCATCGGGGATGTCTTACTTTACTCTGGTGATGGAGGCGCTACCGGACATCCGACGAATGTACGGAGACCCGTTCTTGTCGATTGAGATTCTCTGTCTAGCTTCGCTCTTTATGCACGCAACGGACATGCTGCAAGAGTCTTATGTTTGTGTGCGTTAGCCTCGGAGAGTTCCGGTCAAAGCTTACTGACCGTTGATGATAGATCGGCCAAGCAGTGAGAGTTTCAGTCACCAAAAGTCTCAATAGGGTATTTCCCGAGGCAATGCGACCGCCGAACGTTCAGTACCAGAGAGAGCTCTGGTGGACAGTCTACTCTATTGACTGCAAAAGTGCTGCTATGTTAGGAAGTTCCTTGGTCATGCGAGACGAAGACATTTCCATCCCATTCCTCGATATAAAGAAAGGAGACAATTCTCAAAATGTCTTTGCAATACATACAACTCTCATCGCATCTCGGCAAAATACTGGATGGTAGGTCCTGCGTACTTACTTGTCTATATGAGCTAATATTGCTAGTTATTTATGGAGTACAAGGCCATCGAGATAAGAATTTTATTGTTGAGGTGCAATCAATTCTTTCCCGCCTGGCAGATACCTCTGTGGTGCTCAAGGAACATCTAAACCTTGACATAGAGCAACTAAACGATCCGCTCTCGAGAGACGCCGCTACATTGCACCTGCTATTGCACCAGGTTTGTTCGTTAGTGTACATGAATGCACTTGTAAGCTAACACGAAGCATCTAGTGTGTTATTTTAACCGTAAAGCCTGTGCTGTTCTCCCTCTTGGCGCCTGTCCTAAGCTCTGAGAGTAACGATCGCCACTCAACATCTCCCCTGGACTCGCTGTTGAGAATGTGCGTAGAGTCGGCTATCAACGTTCTGAAGATCATGTTCACGCTGAAGAATCATACGATATGTGGTGAGAATCGACTGTGCTCTGAATGGAAACTCTGCTGACAGCCTCAAGATGTTTTCCTGCCATATGACATTGACGCACTCTTCTCTGCTTCTTTCGCCCTGGTCCTGGTTGATATCATAAGGCCGGCTAATGGACTATTGTGGGATTTACCGCAAGTCATGGGGCTTCTAGAAGAATTCGTGTCTAGAAACGTTGCCCCTGCCAAAGCATATCGGTCAGACCTATTGCAGCTTGTAGAGCTACATAGAAAGATACGGGGAGCGGATTTTGCAACTGACGAGACCGTATCGAGGTTTTGCGATCCGGCGACTCAGTGTGATGCGGCGGCATACACTTTTCCGCCAGTTGGTCCCATCATAGTATCACCGGATCCGGTATGGTCGCGAGTCCGGGAGAGCGATAGCGGCCTTGTTGTCATGGATCCAGAGACAATCATGTCAGCTATCAACGACCTTAATGTCGAGGGCACTGATCTCTTTAACCTAACGATGCCTGATGAAGGGTGGAGATGGGATCTTGATAAGATATGAATAAGAGAATAGGGCGTTGATATACTTTTGGGGAGACTGTCGCTGTCGATTCATTTGAGTTCTCAGATGTAGGGCCACTCTGTATGCACCGCCGGGGTTGGGCCATTGTCTTATGGCCCCAATGCTCTAGCTATTAAAAATCACGGTTGGTGTGTTGTACAACTTCTCACAACATTTAATCGCTTAATCCGCCAGATGTTTAAGCTACTAGAGGTATAGCCACTAATCTAGGAGCCATTCTACATCGTCACTTTCATAGACGGAGTGTCTTGAAGAGAGCCAGCTTCCTCCGTACATACGGCCCGTTCTGCTAACACAAACTGCATTGTAGAACAAAGCTCTTTGGAAGCAGTATGCTTTCCAGGAGCGGAAGGCGCAACACTCACTCAAGTGGTTGACGGACAGCCGGAACATACTTAATGGACCTTGTCAGTGTCAAGGCTCAAGGCAGGGGGGTTGTGCGAACATACAGGGATAACTTGGGTTTTCTCGAGGTCCCAGACACCGCTTGTGGCGTAAATGTCGTTCTCGATAATCTTGCGGACCTCGGCAATGTCCTTGCCAGTGTAGACGACTACGCTGCCTTTGAACAGTGCAGACTGGCCTTCCACGGGGTGCTTCTCGAATATGGCGCCTACTCTCGTTAGCCAACTGTCGATCGATGGGTATTGCCATAGCATCCAATGCAGGGATGGATCGGGGGTGTTCAACAGGGAGCATACCGCCGGCTGCCAGTTTCCCGGATGCAATCAATGGCTTGATACCCTCATAGTGTGCACTGGAGACCTTTCGTCAGTGCGCCTCAACTATAGGCAGGCAGGGCTTTCAAGTACGCACGCCTTCACCTTCTTCCTAATTTCTAGGACATTCGGCCTGTCAGGCATTATGCAGAGAAACTCCTTGTTCTGGCCTCCCGTGGATATCGTGCGACGGCCAAGTGAAGATGCACATCTTACAAAAGCACTGCTTCCAGCAGGGCCAGTCAGGGTTGATCGAACAACCGAGCGAAATATAGGGGCAATCATGATCGTGATGGGATGAAGAAGGTTAGATGTTGGGAAATATGTGAATTGGGAATCACTACATTCTAGCAGACGCCGGATTGATTGCAGTCTTTATGAATGCACACTCACATTTCATCAACTGGCTTATCTTGCTGTCAGCGTTGCGGAGATGGATCCCGGAGCGGAATGGATGGAAACAGGTTGGCTGCGGGATCTGTTTCCGGTCTTGATTGAACTGGCGGGACGATGCTCCACACACTTCATCCCCTGGAGAGCATCAGTATTCAACGACCCAAGTCGGGAAGATTCGAATATATTAATCACAGTTTCCTGGCCACATGAGATCCTCAAAAGTCAGTTTTCACCACCCTCAGCATCATGAATTCCTCCCACACTTCAGTTCTCCGCTCAGTTGCGCGGCCGAATGTCTTGGTATTTAGGGCATCTGGTACAGCTCGTCTGGTCACTGGACGCAGTATCTTTGGTCCTCGTTCTAACTCGATTTCCGGTACTGGTCACCAGATGTTTTCGAGCACAAGATCTGTACGAAAGGGAATGGAAGCCGTCTTTTCACCCCAAGGTGTCACACGTAAGTCCTTGTGATTGCTGCCGCGAACGACACAGGAACTAATGCACGCGATCTCATTAGCAATCGGGCCATATTCCCAAGCTATCAAGGCAAACAACATGGTGTTTGTTTCAGGCCAGATTCCGGCTGAAACTACGGGTAAACTTATCGAGGGCACCGTTGCCGAGAAGACACACAAGATGTGTCAGAATGCCCAGGCTGTCTTGGAGGCTGCCGGCTCCAGCCTAGATAAGGCCGTCAAAATCACAGTATAAGCTACTTATCCATATCCAAATACACATTGCTAATATTGAACTAGATATACTTCCAGAACTTGGACGACTTCAAGGAAATGAATGATGTCTATGCTCAGTACTTCCCGCATAAACCCGCTCGTAGCTCGTGCGAAGCAACGAGACTTCCCGCTCAAGCGAGCCTCGAGATGGACATTATTGCGCTGCAGTAGGGGGTCTCATAATTTATTTGAGTCGCCATTTGATTCGCTTTGAAACCTTCTCAGGCATTATGGTTATGAAGCAATACAATGATTCGAAATTAACTTTGCTATTCCAGCTTAATTCTTGAGAAATCCCACCCTCATGTGTCCCTTGCCGCCTCTATTAGATCTAAAATAGTATGGGACAAATACAATTTCTCGTTCGTCGCCAATTATTTGCTCAGAAACCCCCATCCCTGGCCCCTGACCATTGGACGTCACTTCCCAGTCATTCAGTATTCTCCTCCAACACTGTGTCTTCAACACGACATAATCTTCACCCGTTTCTTCAGAAACCCGACGCTCTTCCACAACAGGGCTGTCCTGCTTAATGATGATGTCTTTGAAATGGTTCGTCTCCCAAGGATTATCTATGTCTTCGGCACAATAAATAATTGGCCCTCGAGCCAAAGTCAAAGTATTCTGATTCGTATGAGGATGTGGCATGATATGACGAGGACTGAAGTTCTTGACCCGGAGGATGAAAGAAGGGTGTGCGGTAACATAGGCGGGGGCGAGGCACAAATACCCCTTGGACAACTTGACACAGTCCGCAGAAGCACTGGGTGTCAGCTCATATTGATATTGAGACCACGCTGGAAGACGAAGGCGAATAGTTGTCTGTACAGATTCAGGAGCCGTCGCCTGAAACGTAACGTCTCCTTCCCAAGGCCAATTGGACTGTTGCTCCAGAACGACAGTACTCCCATTGGCTTCAAAGGACACCTTGGCCGTGGTAAAAAGATGAACATTGATGAACGCTTGTTGCTCTTGACTACCGTAGTCCCAAAGGTAGCCACCAAGACTTCCATATAGCCTCGCTAGGTTAGGAGGGCAACAAGCACACCAGAACCAGCTGTATCGGACGCTCTTGTCTTCATCGGAACTGGCCAGCTGGTTCACATATGTGAACTCTTTGCCACCTAGGCTCATGGCTGTCATGACGTTATTATAGAGACTGAGTTCCATGATGTCTCCGTAACGGCTGTCTAGATCAAGATGCAACAGCCGCTCTGCCAACATCATGACTGAGATGGAGGCGCAGGTCTCGGCGTAGCAGCCGCCTTCGTCGGTTGATTGAGGGAGGAAGTAGTCAACTCCGAATCCTTCCCACTGCTTGATAGCCCCGATGCCACCAGTGACATACATCCTCCGGTCGACCATGTTATCCCAGAGACGGTTCAGCGTAGTGACCCACTCCTGTGAATCTGGCAACTTCTGGCCCGTGTCTCGACTGAGATGGACAAGATCAGCAACCGCGACCAAAAGATACATGGCCCGCACAGAATGTCCCTCAATGGTCTGCTGCTCCAGAATGGGCAAATGTGCTTGGTTGACCCAGAAAGAACGGTGTTCAGGATAGGAATCCGGTCGGGCCCACGGATTGTCACCTCGCTGCTCGGTCTCCCAGTCGTAATAGTGTTTCGAATCCTGGCCCGTTGGATTTCCTCTCTCTTCAAGAAAATACTTGGCGAGGTCATATGCGTCTTGGTTACTGGTTGCCGAGTAGAGACGCAACAGTGCGAGTTCAATTTCAGGGTGTCCAGGATAGCCATGAAGCTGGTTTTCTCCAGGTCCAAAGGTATTGCGAATGTAGTTGACATATTTCACAATAGGTTCGATCAAAAGATCGTTTTTATAATAGGCGCGGTGAGCGAGAGCCGCTTCGATTAAATGTCCGGCATTGTACCTCGTGGCTAATTAGAGTAAGTGGTGATTTTAGAAGATCGGACGCTTACAACTCATGCATGTCCTTGACATTAGACCATCTCTTGCCAGGCTCGACAACAGTGTAGTGAACGTTGAGGTAGCCGTCATCTTGTTGAGCACTGCGGATCATTTCAACCAGCTCGCGGACTGCAACATCAATCTCGGCATCATACTGTTCTTCCAACAGGTAGCAGGCAGCCTCAATCCACTTGGCAACGTCGCTATCCCAAAACAAATGGAATGGAACCGGCCACATGGATTTGTCGTCGTAGATGGGGTGCCATTTCAGCTTGAAGCAATCGTAGCGACCTGTGCTGCGTAACTGCTCAAGCTGAGTATGAATTGATGTTTGGGCGATTGTGTTTCTCCGGATTGAGAGCAGTGATTTGCCATGAAACTGGGTCTGCCCGAATGTAGACTGTGGATGTGACATGGTGGAAAATGTGAAAGTTGAACCGCTGTAGTTGGAAAGATGAATGAACCGGCCAGCAGGTAGGACTCGGGATATCGAACTACCTCCGTATCTCTGGCCTAAACTGCCACATGGTGATTTATAACAACCAACATGCGTCAATCACTTGATCATTCTTGGGTCTTGGGACACGCAATTGGCCACATACTCGGTACGAGCAACCGATCGGAGTAAGCAACCGGCGCGGGGAATCGCCGAGAAGTCGGAAAGCGTCGCCGATGCAGGAGAAACAGCATAAGCGACGTCCCGTAATTGGATGTTACAATGGAAATCCCAGCCATGTTACATCGACTAACCTCGGACAACTGGAGATATCACGGAAATCTCGTACAGTTTTCCCCTTCTGAGATAGCGCTCGCCTGATGGCTGTTCAGCTAGATAACTCCATGTCCAAGAGAACCAGTCTTCACACCATAACCGTATAGCATCCAATAAGATAAAACTGGCCAGATAACCGCAAGGTCTCTGATTTGGCCGCCTATAAGAGTGAATCTTATGATATAAGTTACCGACGATTGCTCTTATCATCTGCAAGAGAAGCATACATCACAAAGACGTACTGATCTTCAGTCTTTCCCCGCGATGCCTTCCCCGGTGGTGGATAAAGCTAAATGAGGTTGTTGGCATCCCCGAATCGCCTAAGCTTCGTTCTCACTTACCCAAGATGGTGGGGGTATCTTCATCCGACATGGTGATTTACATCATATGCATCAGAATATATAAGGCTTGAGTTGCCCTGAGATATTGGCTATGATGTTTTCAAGCAACCTAGTATCAGACACATTATCATTTGCTGTGTTCACACGCTTCTTGTTATTTGCATAATATATCCCGAGTTGATTATATCACACTCATCATGGCGCCTGAGAAAGTCGTCCCGACCACCCGTGAGCTCGAGGCATTCGACTTGAACGATGCCCATACTATCGAGCTCATCAACGCTGCGCAAGAGAGTGACGCTGCTGACAGAAGGCTCACCGTGCGTCAAGCTTTGAAGAAATACAAAAAGGCCGTTTTCTGGGCCCTGTTTCTATCCACCAGTCTCATCATGGAAGGATACGATTTAGTCATTGTTCGTGCTGTTCCCTTGACGTCGAGTAAAATCACAACACTAAACGCCATAAACAAAGATCACTTCTTTCTACGGCCAAACCCAATTCCGGGAGCGCTTTGGGGTATACGATGAGATTACAGGAAGGAAGCAGATCACTCCTGCTTGGCAATCCAGCCTGTCTAACTCATCTCTTGTGGGCCAACTGGCTGGTCTTATGGTGAATGGATACTTCCAAGATCGATTCGGTGCCCGCATGACCATGATGATTTTCATGGGGTGGATGGCCGCGGTGATTGCTATTCCCTGCTTTGCGCCGTCGTTGCCGATTCTCGCCTGGGGAGAAGCCATGTGTGGTGTCTCGTGGGGTGTATTCCAAGTAAGCGATCAAGTTCGGCTGTCGAATATCTGACATACTAACATTCTACTTCCACTGAATAGACTCTCACCACGACCTACGCTTCCGAAGTCGTTCCCACCGTCCTCAGGCCCTACGTTACCGCTTACGTATGCATGTGCTGGGGCGCAGGCATCCTCCTCTCCTCTGGCGTAGTACGAGCCGTATCAAGCATCGAGGGGGACCTTGGCTGGCGGCTTCCATTTCTCCTCCAATGGATTTGGCCGCTTCCTCTTTTTATCGGTGCTTACTACGCCCCTGAATCGCCCTGGAACGCAGTCAGACGTGGCAAGGTTGACATGGCCAAAAGGAGTCTAATGCGCCTTCGCCAAGATACACCACAGCGAGAAGCTGAGGTGGAATCTACCCTTGCTTATATCAGACACACAACGGCGTTGGAAGAGGCGGAGACGGTGAACGCGAGTTTTCTTGAATGCTTCCGCGGGACCAACTTGCGACGAACAGAGATCGTCAGTATACACTCTTGAATCCTCCAGTCAAGATATTTAGGCTAACAAATTCTCCCTTACCTCAGAATTGTGTTGTTTGGGCAGCCCAAATCCTCGGTGGAAACGCACTGGTTGCTTACGCGGTCACGTTTCTGCAGTCGGCGGGTTTCTCCGAAATCCAATCTCTCAATCTCAACATTTCCCTTTCGGCCTGCTACGTTATTGGCGGTATTATTTGTTGGTTTCTTTTCCCGCATGTTGGCCGGGCTACCCTTTACATGACAGGCCTTACTTTCCTTTTTGTTTGCGGCGTGGTTATTGGTGGTCTTGGGTTTTCTGATGCCAAGCAAGCCCAGATTGCTATTGGAGTTATAATGATCATGTCGAATCTTTGCAACATGATCACTGTAGGACCGGTTTGTTACGCTATTGTGGCGGAGACACCGTCCGGGAGATTGAGATATAAGACGATTACTATCGGCAGGTTTGTCTACAATCTCACTGGACTCGTCGAGCATACCATCACGCCACGCATGATTTCTCCCCTGGGTAAGTCTTTCTCCATCGATGTGACAATAATTCAACAGTTCTATTGACACTTTCAATCTTCAGGATGGAACTGGGGAGCGAAAGCTGGGCTATTCTACGCTGGCACGAACCTTCTGTGTAACATCTGGTGCTGGTTCCGCCTTCCCGAGACCAAGGATCGCACCTTTGGCGAGATCGACGTGCTTTTCGATAACCACATTTCAGCCAGAAAGTTCAAGTACACCGAAGTTGACCGTAAGTGACGCATCAACTATACTTCTCATATAATAGAGGATACCAATGCTGACATATAATACTAGAATTTGCTCAGCAAAGTGACTACTTGAAGAAGGAAGATATGGCTTGAAGGGGTATGAGAAGAGTAACTTGGGATTTACTATATTGTTAGACAACGCAGTGCAGTCATCAAACAATTCCACATCATATAGTGCAAGAACCATGGTTCCTTCTAGCTGTAGGCTTCGAGACTTGGCAGGCAAAGCCGTCACGTTTGCCCAGGCTGAAGAATCCAATTAAGTCGTCGCCAATCACCAATCCGGTATGGTGTAATGGCTAACATTTCGCGCTCTCATTACTGAGAGATCATCTTGATCCGCGGAGCTCAGGGTTCGATTCCCTGTACCGGAGTCACAACACTAGGATGCGATTGTTTTTTTTACGAAATTCTTTTTGCCGGTTGTTCGAGTCGATGCCTTTAAGGTGTGTATATCTGTATGTCTGCTCCAATTATACTCAATCAATCTATTCAATATCTCTCTGTTTTAACGTGGTAGTTAGCGCGAATATCCTTCCATACTTTTCATCGCCCTAGGATTCTCTCCTACATTTATTGCGGCTTGTTTCTGTCCTTGGTGTTGTTAAGCAATTGAAGTGAGAACGCCATACCAACCAACCCGGGCGAACATCAGCCGCTTAGCTGCATAAGAGTGTGTACCGATCAATGCCGTAGAGCAGTAAGTGATCTCTCTTATACCATCAATAATCTTGGCTACGTGTGATTCATGAATCACAAGTAGGGTTAGTTGCATCTAGCACTTTGGTTTCATCGCCAAGATCACTTTGCAGAGGCCCACATCCGCGCGTTCACCAACACACCAGAATAAGGCGCCTGAGCTAGTTTCATCCATGTCTTGGCCACCAAATATTACCTCTGGCCCAAGTGCTGATGTATCTTCTTCCCAGCTCATTGGCAAACCTCTACTGATGGAAGCTATTAACTGTTGCCAAGCTCAATGTGAGAGTGGGGAATGTGGTGGCTTGTGCATATATCGCTAGTAGTTGAAAAGTGTGAAAATTAAGCTACTTTTCAACGTAGAAACTACAGGACTTTGTTCAAGGCCTCGATAGTGTTGCCCCACGCAAGCAGAGCATACGCAAACGTGAATTGACTTTAATCGCGCTCCGGAAATATTTTACAAAATGAGGAGCCTTTATCAGGCTACACCTTGTTCACTGAATGTCGCAATTCTTACTGCATATAGGGTAAGAATCTCATGAAAGACCCGAAAACTCAGTTTATGAGCTATTATGAACTGAATTTGTAGGTTGTCTATTGTAATGACCACGAATGAGTGTAAAAGCATATTCTAACATTCATTTAAGAACTCTGGAATGATAAGTGACGGAATGTTGATCTTGCATCGTAAAATCACGAATCATAGTGCCAACGGTGGAATTCAATTCAACTTAATGAAGAATGAGTGCTGACTGGAGACTGGCGTCGCTAACTTATGGGTTACACTAAACACTAATCGGCTCAAATCTATGTATGCTTGACCCAGTAAGCCTGGGGGTTGCACCAGCCCTGCAGACCAACATCACCCCAGTCCATGCCCATACCACTGTGCTTGTGACCGCCGAAGGGAACGTTGGGAGCAACCTCGAAATGAGTGTTGACCCAAATGCTTCCAGCCTCCAGCTGCTCGGCGACTTGCCGGGCATGGGCTACGTCAGTACCCCAGACTGAGGCGCCGAGACCCATGTTGGTACCGTTGGCGCGGCGGATCACGTCGTCCTCGTCGGACCACTTCAGGACGGGCACGATGGGGCCGAAAGGCTCGTCGAGAACGATGCGGGAGTCCTCTGGGGGGTTGTCGATGATGGTCGGGGGCATGAAGAAACCCTTCTCCTTCTTCTCCGGCGCGCCGCCAAGAACAGCCTTCCAGCCCTCCTTGTCAATCTGCGCGTACAGCTCTTGAAGCTTGCCGAATTGCATGCTGTTCTGGACAGGGCCGAGGACGGCTTGGGCGTCGGTGTAGTCGCCAATGGGCAATTGCTTGACCACAGACACCAGGGCGGCGAGGAACTTGTCGTAGATGCTCTCGTGCACGTAGATTCGCTTAATGCTCATGCAGACTTGACCTGTGTGGGCGAAGGCAAGGAAGGCGACCTATTGAGGAGAAGTATGTGTTAGCAATTGACACTCGCATTTGCCCACGGCTGGATATTAGTTTCACCACATACCTTTGCAGCAACAGTGTCGATGTCGACATCAGGCATCACAATGGAGGCGTCATTTCCACCAAGCTCCAGAGTGACACGCTTCAGGGTCGCAGCGCATGAAGCCATGACTCGCTTACCAGTCTCGGTGGAGCCGGTGAAGCTGACCTTGGCCACATCGGGATGCGCAGTGAGCATGGGTCCGAGGTTGTCCTCACCGCTGAGAGCCTGGAACACACCCACGGGGAGCACCTTGGCGCCAATCTCAGCCAGCTTCAGGGCTGAGTAGGGCGAGTATGGTGACGGCTTCCAGACGAAGGTGTTTCCGGCGAGGAGGGCAGGGAACAGCTTGCCAACGCCCAGCGCCATGGGGAAGTTCCAGGGCACGATTCCAACGCCAACACCGAGAGGGACGTGGCGAACAATGGCCGTTCGCTGTGTGGGGTTAGCAATCCAGTCGGCTATAATGATGTAATGGCGGGGATACGTACGTCTGCGTTGTCCTCGGGCTTCTCCTCCTTCAGTCGCAGCTTGGCCGTCTCGCGCGCGAGGGCCAAGACCACGCTGACCTCGAAACTTGAAGCTTGCGGCGGCTTTCCAGCCTCCCTGCTCAGCAGCTCGACGAACTGTTGCTGGTTGGCCTCAATGGCATCGGCGAACTTGTTGATGTAGTCGGCGCGCTCATCCTGCGACAGTTTGCGCCAGGCAGGGTAAGCAGCCTTTGCGCCGCTGACTGCCTTGTCGACATCTGCTTGTGTCGAGACGGGGCTCTCCCAGAGAAGCTCCTCGGTGCTGGAGCAGACGGTGCGTCGGGTTTCGGCCGTCTTGGTCAATTCATTGTCGATGACGTTCTGGAAGGTCTATAATAGGGATGTGAGCGTCAACCTTGGTAGCGGAGGCCATCCAGACGTACCGTAAACTCAATCTTGTAATCTGGGGCGGAAGTCATGGCGGCGATAGTGTGGTATGGTAGTGTAAATTGTCGTAATAATAGTGGAAGAAAGCGAACCAGAAAAAAGTAAAAGAAGCAAAGAGGACTACCCAGTTGTAATACTACTTCCGAGGCTTCGAGAGGACCCTAGCCCGCAAGTCGGCAAAGTAGCATCCAGGGGCATGGCATAGTTGCATGTGGCATTGCGAGTCTGAGGGCCAACAACACAAATGGAGACAACGAGGCCAATGGGCATCAAGAATTGGTTTCTGCGCTACGGACAGCAATCCGCTTTGGTGTCACCAAGCGGGGCGCCGGGCCAACAGCTCTGCAATGCAATGCTACAATGCATGGAAGATGAAGCTCTCCCTGATTCCGCAACAGCCCTCCGGCGCTGGGACGCCGCAAGCGGTACCGAGGCCGAAGAGCAAGAGCAATAGTTGGTTTCAAAGTGCCGCGTTGCAGGCAGATAAACGAACGCGGCGGCTTCAGGCCCTGACGAAAACCGGGGGCTCGGGACGCGGACTGAGACTAGTTTGCTTCATTGCGGATCTCGCCCCCCTCGACGCATGATATGGGACGCGGCATTGGTGTTGAATTGGGCGAAGCTGCCGCCGATCCCTCTCTCCCAGTTGGCCGTGATAACTCCGTTTGGCCTCATCCATCCGGATTCGTCGTCGCCACTGCACGCGCGGGAATAAAGACGCGCTCCACAAAAGCCAAACCCCAGGATTCAACGGTAATAATACGAGTCCCCCTCCCCCCCCGGTGTTTATTATGGCCTGCGGAAACGGCCGGAGGCTCCCAAAACGGACCTTCGCCAGCTTGGCCCCCTACCCGGCGCAACTCCCGGAGGTTTTGGACCAAGCAGACCTGATAATATGGGGCTCATGTGCTGATTTTCGCCTTCTTCAGGGGACGAGACAGGGGGGTCCCTGGTCCAGGGCCGGAGTGATAGATCACCAACGGGTGGGTTGGCCGTTGGAACCCGAATATGTTTCCGCAGCAGCATCCTCCGTGATGGACCCAAATGTGGGACGGTAATTTGTCATTGAGCTACTCGAGTTGGCCGTTGAGCTAGAACTTGGCATTGTTAGTTCCAATGGTGCGGTCCGTTCCCGTCTATAAAAAAAAATGGCTGCGGATCCGCAGAGCGTTGATCCGCAAGTGATGATCCCGATATGTAGTGGGCTCACTCTCCTCCTCTCCCTGTATGTATTCCCTGCGCCTCCCATCACTCTGCACCCGTAACTTGCATGTCCTACGTAGTATTCGCGCAGGGTGAGGCTGCATACCCCTTGACTGTATCCAGCTACCGATCATCCTACAGTATAATGGGCCCTCGGAAGTCTCGTATTTTTTCTATCTCCTTACCCGAGCCCAGAAAAGTTTCCGGCATTGAGGCGGCTGTTCGGTACTTAACAGTCGTCAGCGTCGCAGCCCCCCCTCCCCCCGAGCCGGCCATGGACAGGCTTTCCACTTTTGATTGTCGATCGTTCTTAGCGGGTTGAATCAAAAGCATCGACCATCCTCATGACTCGTGCTGGCTTGACTAGCTCATCGTTTTGAGGTCTAGACTCCGAGATCATGGCACCTTCAGCTGTAGTCGAAACGTGGAGCTTGTATGCGGTTGGGTCGCTCATCATCTTCTCGAGGATATTTGTTCGTTGGCGGATGATTGGTTTGAGGGGCTTCAAGCCGGATGACTACATAATACTTTTGTCATGGGTGAGATGGTTACGGTCCTCTTCCATACTCGAGCTAACCTGGGTCGTCTCCAGGTAACATACACAGTCATGACAGTGGCCGCGCACATCGTCGGCGGCCTGGGTGACTTGCACGCCTTGACGCTCGAACAACGAAAGGCTCTTACCGACGAAGAAGCCGCGCCGTACATCTACGGAACGCAATGGTTCTGTGCGGGCGTGGCAACATATGTCCTGTTCATCTGGACCCTCAAGTTCAACATGCTGTTCCTCTATCAGCGCGTCGTCCGGGGTCTGTGGGTCGAGAAGTTCATCAAGCCGGTGATGCTGCTTCTCGGTGCTACCTTTATCGCCATTTTCCTCATCCTATTCTGTGCATGCCGTCCGTACAATCGCATGTGGGTTGTGTATCCTGATCAAGGATGTAAGTTGAATATCAAGAGCAGATACCGCCGCGACCTAAGCCTAACGTATACTAGCGATCTGCAAGCCTCAGTCCTTCCTCAATATGGTGCCGGCTCTCATCATGAACATTATTACCGATATATGTATCATGGCCATCCCAACTCCTGTTGTTTTGCCACTTCAGACGACATTGTGGAAACGAGTCGGCCTTCTCTTCCTCTTCAGCGCTGGACTCTTCATCATGATTGCGGCGATATTGCGTGTGACCATGGTTCTCGTAGTAAGTTCTCAAGAGTTTCTCGTGATCCTGTGAAATGTACTAACGCGACTCCAAAGGAGAAAAATGGTGCTACCGCTGCAATTTGGTCTTGTCGTGAAGACTTCGTCGCCATCGTTGTCGGACAAGCCATCCTCGTCCGCCCAATGTTTTCCGCTAAGTTTTGGTCCAGAGACTACGGAAGCCACAATAAAGGATACAAATCATCCGGCCCATCCAAAAATAGCGCGAACCTGGGAGCATCGTTCGACATGGGCGGTGCAAAGCGGAGCAAGAACAAAGACCCCTTCAGTGTCACTGTCGCACTGGCCACAGTGAATGGAGACAACGATTCCACTGAGGAGATAATGAACCATCCTTCGGGTAGCCATAGTGGTGCAGTTACGTCTACACGAACTGACTCACCAGGATCGTCGCGAGACTTGGAAAGGGGCGTCTCAAAGCATAGTAGGAACATGGTCATTCATGTTAACAAGCAAATCTACGTTGAAACCGCGGAGAGGAGTGGAATGCCCAAGAGGGGCGTGGAGAAGTGGGAGGATAGCTATGAGCGCATATGAGGTCTGGATAATTGACTGTATATACAAGCATGACAAAGCGTGTGAATATGGGACGGAACTACAAAAGCGGTAGATTTAGACTCGGGTTGTATTAACCTCACATTGTAATTCTCAAAGCCCATTCTTTTCGTCCTTGGTCGAAACATCTTCTGGTGGCGTTCTTCCTACCCCGAAGGCCTTTCTTTACCATGCTCGTCAAGACCCCATACCAAGTTTGGGTTGGTCTCTGTTGGATAAAATTTACGTGTTGGTGATGCAAAGTATGCCATTTTCGCAATCTCTGACTTCGATCAAGTCTTATTCAAGTGTTGAATGATAGCACCGCCGACAATACCTATCTCGTTATCGAAGGGTGCGAGATCGAAGGTGGTGCCGTTACAAACTTTTTGTCTGGCGCATGCGCATTAAGACGCGTGCTATAACCGTGGATGTCTCGGAAGGTACGTGACACCTCTACACAAACTGAGAGCCGCTCGACATGAGTGTATTGAACAACGACAAGACCTTTGGGTGCAGGAAATGGAATCAACTCATAGTCAGTCGTAGTATCAACTCTCAGTATGACTGGAAATAAAGACACCTCGCTGGAGAGAAAATACTGAGCAGACGTAGTTGACGCCGCTTGCCAAGATGAGGTGGACAGTGACTTCGCAAACCTTCCGCTCTGTACTTAGCGATTAGTCTAGTTACGGTCGTATGGCGTACTAGGGTTAGGTATGAGTGAATGGCAAAATGGCGTTGTCAACTGGCGTGGATCTGTATTCTTCTGTCACACCTACTGCCTGATTCTGAAAAGACTCGTAACACACTAGCTGTGGTTGTGCTGTATGTTAGGGTGCTAGAGATCTCGCTTTACGGTATGCCAGTATACACACACATTCAATGCCCTGTGCCACATATGAGTGCCCGCGCCATAGAAAGGCTCTCTCGGGTATGTCAATTTTTGCTCCACGTGAAGATCAAATGTGACAAGCAAATGCTGGGAATGTCGGTCCCGGGGCGAACCCAAGACTGCTATATCAAGACATCCATTCAGGGCTTGGACTTGTTTGACTACGTATACTTTGGATAAATGCATAGGAGCTAACTGTTTTCAAGCTTCTTTTGCCCCCCTATTCAATTCTTGCACAATGTTTCGGTCGAACGCTGGCCCTTGCTCAAGGTATCCCAACGCAGGATCTGGAATTGGCGGGCTGTTCTTTCCAACACCGCTTCACTCTTGCTACAGCGCCTCGGTGTGTAGGAAAATCACCCAACCCATCAATATCCAAGCTGGCCCAATAGTCACAAGAGTGATTCCAACTCACGGGTTAAATCCGTTAGAAGGGAGTTGTCTAGGCTCTTTCCCTCCTCTTGTCATCATAGCGTTTGTTAAACAAGTGGATTGATTGAGACAGCTTTGGGGACGATGGATGACCTTGTCTTTTGGTCTAGGAAGGACGAAAGCCAGCTATTTATACCTAGGGATCTGACTGACCTGGATGCACTTGATCCGATGATGCCATTGATATCTGAAGATCTAGGTTGTTGAGGGCATCTAGGTTCGAAGGGATCCACGGCACGGATCAAAGTCTCCATCTAGATTCAGAGGAAACCACGGTACAGATCCGGTCCTACGCAAAGCCGACTTTTCCTATCGGGCTGTCTGACAGCGTTGGTGGAAGCATTGAATCAGCACTAACAACACGGGCTTCCCGTATCTATACCAAAAGTAGTATGAACCGATAAGACTCAATCCATCTTATCTCGGCGCCCTATTGACGATCAGCGCTGGGGCACGCCCTTCATAGAGACATAAGGCGGATCCACTGTTTTCGGAGTCTCCTGCCATATTTAATTTGCCCCTCACGTAGATATGTAGCGCGGTTGGACAAGTTATCACAAGAGTCTTCCGACTTTCAACGGTCAAATCGTATCGCGCATTGCACATAAGGTTGCAACGACTCGGCCTTTGGAGACTTTGGTTGCTGTTTATTGTCAGTCAACTGCGTTATAATACGTATCAGGCACAACTGTCACGATAACCTCAAACTACGAAAGATCCATACCACCAGACTCAACCATGAATTTCGGATCTGACAACTACGCAGGTGCGCATCCCGCCATTGCTGCCAGCCTGGCGAAACACGCAGCAGGATATGCCACTCCATACAGCATGTCAGACCTTGATTTTGCAGTGCAGCGCCGCTTTAGTGCCATCTTCGAGCGTGACGTTGCCGTCTTCTACGTCGCAACTGGCACTGCAGCGAATTCGCTATCACTCGCATCTGTCGCAAAGCCTGGCGGGATGGTTCTTGCCCATGAAGAAGCCCACATCGTCGTCGATGAGTGTGGCGCACCTGAATATCTATCAGGCCAGCTCCGGATCGTACCGGTCAAGGGCCGCGATGGAAAGATGGAATTGTCCGAGCTGCGTCGGCAGGCTGAACGCATCGCGGGTCTTGATGTCCACGGAGGACGTCTCAACGCCATCTCGGTGACGCAGCCGACTGAAACTGGAACTGTTCACTCGCTTGAAGAACTAGACGCAATTGGCAAAATCGCCAAAGAGCACAAAGTTCCTCTTCACATGGACGGGGCGCGGTTTGCCAACGGCCTCGTTTCCCTCGGCTGCAGTCCAGCGGAGATGACTTGGAAGAGAGGAGTCGACCTTCTCTCCTTTGGCGGCACGAAGAACGGATGCTGGTGTGCCGAAGCCGTTGTGATTTTCGACGTTGAGAAGGCACGCGAGTTCGCATTCATCCAGAAGCGTGCTGCACAGCTATTCTCCAAGTCGCGACTTGTCTCTGCGCAGTTCGAAGCATACTTGGAAAACGGACTCTGGCTCGAAATCGCCCGACATTCGAATAGAATGGCGGCTGACTTAGCCGACGCATTCGGTCGGTCAATTTCATCACGCCTTATAAGACAACCCCCCTGCAACGAAGTCTTTGTGATATTGAAGAAGAATATGATTGCCGTGCTTGAGTCTGAAGGCGTGGTTCTCTTGAACTGGCCAGCATCGGGAGAGGTGGAAATTTGTGATGACGAGCAGCTTTGCCGTTTTGTGACGAGCTTTGAGACGACATCCGAGGATATCAATCGCTTCAGGAGCCTAATTATCTAGCTACCGTTTAGATTGCAATTAGGAAGATAGACCTGTCTACTTAGCCAAAGTTGAAATATATCATCAATTGACTCTAAACATTTTATCACAAATATCCCCATATGTGATATCCCCTCCTCAGTATATTTTCCCATCTTCTCAGCAACTTCGAAACTAGATTTCTCCCATACTCGGATGGCTGACTCCGGCACGGCGATTGAGCTTGTCAGCCTCATCCCATTTGAATAGGGCTGTTAGCTGCTCAGCGGCGCTTTTTGAATGAACCGCGGATCCCTCAGCTAACATCTTTCCGGCTGTTTGAGCTCTGGCTACCAAGGCAGGACACTGCGAGGTCTTTGATCTGCTTTGAGTGGGGTTCGGAGTCTCTTTCCTACTATGTTCCAAGCTCGGAGTTACCTGCCCTAACTAGACTGCAATAGGTTCAATATGTACCCAACTTTGCTGCCTGTCTATAGCTATACGAAGTAACTGATATGAGTCAGATGTATGCTTGCGATATTAACATACTAGTAGTAATTATTTCTGGTGCTAAGTCCAGTTCAAGTCCCTGCGGGTTCTCCCATCTAAACCAATGCCAGTACTTCGTCTCTCATTCTGCTACCAAGTCAGCCAACTAGGTCCACCAACCTTGAAAATCTGCTCAGATCAGGCCTCTCCTTCAGCCATTTCACTTGGAATAAAAGCGTACCCAATGTTGTGAGAGTCATACAGGAGGGGTGGCCCAAGCTCGTTTTTAGTTTTGGGACATCGGTTCCAATAGCCTTCCGCAGCAGACGAAGTAATAACTGAACATGGCAACTGGTATAGCTTGTGAAATACGAAAAGCTGCTGAGATATCCAATTCGGCGGAAATCGAGTCTGATTGAAGGCATAGGACATGTTTGCAAGGTTTTTAAAATTCTAGAGAAAGTAGCCAGGGTCGTAATATCTTCCTCGAACTCGAATTAGACGCTACATCTCCCCGTTTATGTACCGGTACTCCTTTTGCTCCAAACCTTCAAAAATAATCGCTTGCTCTACCCGCATGATGCCCAAGAAAACTTTTCCTTTTCATTCACAGATCCAATTGCAAAGACTTAAGCGTTCGCCATGGGGGGTGCTGTCCCGCGCTCTCCGCTTTGACCTACTCCCCCAGTGCCCTGGGAATGAGATTGGAGCGTGTCTCGTCGTTTTTGCCTCCGCAAATTATTCCACAAGCCGTAAATGGTCGGGGCATTGACAACCAGCGTAGCAACAAACATCTCGGTGCTCGTCCACATCGATCGGTCGGGTTGACTCTGTCTGTTGTGCCTGGTGATGGGCAGCCTAACTATGGTGATGATGATGATAAACACGCCGAGCGTGAACAAGGCGAACAGTCGAAGCTTGAGTTTCCAGCTCGTGTTGAAATGAGTGAAGAGGAGGAACGGGAAAGTGAGGAGCATCACGTCGGTGAAGATATTGAGAGACGCCACGACGATCAATTCGATCTGAGCCTCGACGCAAGACCCTAGATCGACAAGTCAGCGCAAAAGCGCGAAGAATGGAGATGGAGGCAGCCTTACCGGGATCGGGAACAACTTGCCAGTACAGTCTGAAGGGGCGGCATTCGATAAAGACGACCACCGTGACCACAACCCATGTAGCGGAGAGCACAGTGAGAAACACAATCATAATGTGTTTTTCGTACCAAGTCCCGAGAAGCAGGCGTCGATAGACGTCAAGAAGCACACACTTTTGTAGCCAGAGACTTAAGGCTTGTCAGTCGAAGTCGCAGCAGCTCAACCTTCAGAGGGGGACTGACAATGAATTGTAGAAGCAGCGCGCTGTGATAGCCAGCTTGCTCCCAATTGTCCGTCGGTAAATCTCGTCTGGCGAAAAGACGTGAGTCTTGCGTATTGCGGCCGAGACGTTGTTGGTGCCCCAGATCAAGACCACATGGGTCATCGAGAGCCTCGCCACGCAGCACACACAGGCGGCCATGGTGAGATAGTCGCCGAGATTGAACGGCTGCTTCGCCACCTTTCTCAATACCAGCCTCACGCCCATGACGACGAGCGCGGGGCAGCTGAAGAGCCAAAGCGCGAGCACTGTTCGACTCTCCATGGCGAGCCCATGGCGTGTGGGGGAGAAAAAGAACGGTCGAAGATCTGGACGATCGCTTATAATAAACTAGGGGCCTTTGCCATTTAAAGTAACAATTGAAACCCTGTTTTTCCCCCCAGAGAACTCGCTTCTCGACCAATCCCTTGCATGGCGTGACCGCCTTGGTCTCTGCAGCCACCGTGTAATAGTAGGCGCTAACTCGTATAGCAATGCATGGGGGACAGGGAGGACCAAGGGCTTAATTTTTGGGCTTGTCCAATCCCCGCAAGCCCAAAGATAAGACGGAGGTCATTTTTTCGGAGACTCCGGACGTCCGTAAAGCACTATGATTCATTTCACCGCTATGATGGAAGACATCTTCATGTCACGCATGACACCCTCTTCGCGGGGGGCCACGGTCCCGAGCAAACCCCAACAACAGCTAGCAGAATCGATAGTCTGTAAACCAAGCAAAGCTGAATCAAGCGATATTCGTAAAAGACAGATAAACCTGTGCCAATGCAGGGGTAAGTCGTCTCGGCTCCGCCAACCCGGATGCCGCTAGGTTGCGAAGGATACTGAGCCCAGGCCACGACAGCAAACTGCGGTTTTGATAGCGGAGATAAGATCATTTCTGCGTAAAACTTTTGTATCTCGTTCTGTAGACTCTCCACCGGCAAGTAGTTGAAGTCATCCATACTGCGAGTCATTTAGAGATCGGTGGAGACGAGGTTGTATCGTTTCTCAATCGTCCCATTGAGAAACGACCTAAGAGTGGCACCCATAGAATGATATGCAGCTGCCTAGCGTTATCGATGAGTATCTCGTGGAAAATATAGTTTGTTTTGTTTTGGGAAATGCTGTGGCATTATCCAAACTGCCATCATCGTCAATCTCATCTGGGATGAAGGTAGTTTTGATAGCTTTGCGAAGGAATTCACGTCGCTCGACAACATGGAATTCAATCCCATTAATGTAGCGTAACCCAATGCTATAGTTCGTTTCATAATAATCGCAGCCAAATATGATTGGTGCGTATGCATCATACCACCCATCCACTGTTCTGTTCAGCGGTTGTGGCTGCTTCGTGTCATTCACAGCTGCGTATCCAATCCAAATGATTGGTTCAGTCCTCCATGCGCCCAAGTTCTTCGGATATGGTGGCCTCTTTGTCGGTTTGCCACCTAGCACAAACTCAACTTGTTGAGGCGCATAGTCAGCTTAGTCTGTCACGGCCAGGTACGAGAATTCGCTATCCGGTAGATGTCTTTAGTCATGTAAGGAACTTTCTCCCTCCCAAGCTTCTTGACTTTGGAGCCAAGACCAACAGCGAGCTTATATCTGGCCCTAATGAAATTAACAACAAAGGAACAATTCCAACTGCCATTGTATATTTAATTTTCTGTGTTCTCTCTCGTAAGGGCCACCCGCTGGGAAGCTGCCTGAGACGCCAGGCTCTGGTACCGAGAGGCAGCTGTGGTCCAATAGTCGAATGCATCAGGGTGTGTGAGATCGATGTCCAAAACATTGAAATCGGCATCAATAGCAGTGGTGTTCCAAATAGAAATAGACCAGACAAGCCTCCCCTCGATGGATTTTGGCGCTCGCCACTGGAGTGTTTCTTCGTTCCCAAAATTGAGAGTCTGGACTGACGAGCACTTAGCCTGCTCTGCCAATGTTCGAGGAACGACGGAAAGAGCGCCAAAGGTCAAAACGAAGAGCAGGATATATTTTCCGGGGATAAGCCCAAAAAGCGAGGAATAAAATACACTTAGACTTTCTTAACATTTCCCAGAGTGTTTCAACCAGGCCGGTCGGGATTTGCCTGGAGTTTCCCTGGGATATAAAGTATAAAGAATTTTATAATCTTCTAATAGCTTCTCTAAAAAATAAATACATATTGGTTAAATAAATTAAAAATTCTCAGATAGCTAGAAAATCAGATAGGTTTGCTTTAATTTTATTATAGAGTTCTTAAAGCTTGTTTTAAAAAGAATATTAGTAAATTTAAAATTTAGTATATAGAATATATTATTAGCTAGAAAGTATTTCAACTAGAAGCCTTTTACTATTTGTATTTTTATTATTATTATAAAATTATTTTCTACACTTTTTTTACTAGGAAAATATAAAATCTTTATCTATTTAATTAATTTTATTTAATTATCATACTAAGATTATTACCCATATAAGTTTCTTTAACTTAAATAATTTATTCAACAATATCTTCTTACAGCTATTTATTAGTAAAATCACCCTTACTACTCAATATCTAGCACACCCAGTAAATCCACAGGTGGATTCAGTAGAGTATATTGTAACCATCGCTGGGAATCCACCATTCAATACCGGACATAGCAGGTAAATCCGGTAAATTACTGATGTGTTCACGTAAAACTCAAAGCCGCACTTAGGGATAGGCGGAATACCTTGCACGACTCGGGGACGGGGGAATTAGTCATAGGCGCCCAGACTCAAGAGCGCTCGCCAGGCGCTAAGGAGCCGTATTGAATTAAATGCCTTGTCCGGGGCTGCCGAAGCCCCTTGTGAATAGTAATCGCAGGGATATGTTGCAGAGGTGCGGTGATGAGCTTGCAAACAACACCCGCTCACCTCGGGGACGGCCGCATGACGTTTTCTCGGAGGCTTAGCCTTGTCTGCCAAGGGCATTTTGAGTTTGGAAAGGACTACGGTGAAGGGTCTAGGAATCTAGCCACTTTGTAAGCATAGTGAAGCTACTTTTATCGTCAGAAAAGGGGCGTTGTTGTAGTTGAGTGAGTTTCCTATAAAACCACAGGCGTGGTACCGTCTTGCGGAAGCAGTTCTTCACATCTACAGCTACATTTGCATTTACAGACTTCCAACAACATCTCTCAAAATGATCCCTTCGTGGCTTTCTGTTTCGGCTCTTGCCTTTCTTTCCACCATCGCTGCTCTGCAGTTACCCGATTACCGGGGCTTAAAGACAAGTCAAAAATCGGGCGTCCTTGAAATCACCCTCCATAACCGGGATTCCGCCATTAATCTCTGGAATGAAGACTTCCAGTCCGGCTTGACGGATGTCGTCCAAAAGCTTCAATTCGATAACGAAACCAAGGTCGTGGTCTTCAAAAGCGACGTCCCAAAGTTTTTCTGTGCTCATTTGGATCTCCTCATGCCAGGCGTCGGTAAGTATATGCCGCAAGTTGTTTCATCCACACATAGGCTAACATATTGTGCTAGCCACGATCGCGGACCGTTTTGTTGAACTAATGTTCAACATTTCGAACCTGCCCCAGGTCACTATTGGCGTCGTAGAGGGCAGAGCCCGCGGGGCAGGCAACGAATTCTTGATGGCGCTCGACATGCGCTTCGCAACTACATCTGAGACTTTGTTCGGGCAAATTGAGGTCGCTACGGGTCTCATCCCAGGTGGTGGAGGAAGTCAACACCTCGCTCGGCTGATTGGACGTGGCCTGGCTATGGAGTACATTCTCAGTTCAAACGACATCAACGCTGAGGAGGCCCAGAGAATCGGCTGGATCAACAAAGCCTTCAAGTCGTCCAAAGCCATGCACTCCTACGTTGACGGGCTCACTTCGCGCCTGCGCCTGTTCCCTTCTGCCGCATTGGCTGCAGCTAAACAATCAATCAACCGGTCAGTCCGCCCTTCACTCGAAGACCTGAGAGCCGACGGCGCCGCCTTCTCTCAACGAATCGCCGATCCAGTTGCACAAGGGCTGATCGGCCGAGCGCTTAATATCTCCAACAATCTGTCTCTGGGCCCGGTGGAGCTCAACTTGGGCAGAGATCTGCCTCTTATGTACCAGTAATGTTGCATGTCGCTCTGCCAGCAGTTCAAGGGAGTCTCTCATGAGGTGAGAGACTCACCAGATGTTGAGGCGAATTCTCGGAACTCATCATCCTAGGGGGATACCAATTAGTGGCATCGTACGTCTAGCCTAAGCCCCAGACAATAAAACCGAGATTAGCTTGCAGAGTCCCGTACATCAATTTCTTCAGGCCACTGTCCTCCAAGTGAAGCTGTGTGACTATGCTACACGGCGCCGTCGTTGTGAACGCCACTTATTCTCAGGTGTAAACCCGATGGCATAGGGCATGTGTGGCGGCCGAACAGACTGAAAATTTATATGCGACCCGGCTGTTGCTCTTGAGTCATAAAATGAATGTTCGAGCGCGCCTTTGTAGGGCCCGCATGAGGAGCGATATGGGCTCTAAGTAACCGCATGCATTGTCCGCTGCCTCTATCCACAAAGCTAGTTTGCCGGCGGCGTTGGTGCACCTGATCAGCGCTCTCGACTCCCGATCATTTCCTGTCCCTTACGAAGGAGGAGCGGCCACTTGCTGTGAACGGCCCGAAGGGAAATAAACGAAATTGCAAGGTGTCGCTGACCCCCGTTCATGTGATGGGGCGAAGTCCTTCGGTGCAAGTCCCAGAGCGGCCGGCCATGATTCAATAATCAAATTCCGCTGCAGCCTTATGGACTTGGAGGCCAAATCAATGCGGTGGAAAATATCCCGCTTAGGTTAGTCTTCAATCCATAATAAACCCGCACGCCATGACAGGGGCCGGCTCAATAATTTGGCCGTCGCTGAAAACCTCGCATTCGATCAGTAACAGCGGATGGTCTCTATCCTATGACGAGATATATGCTGGATGCTTCCCGGTCTTATTGGTATATTTCAGAACTTTCTTGGGGCCTATAGAGCCGCCTCGACCCACTTCTTGGATCCATCCTTGATCTGAGCCGGCACCAAGAGCGGCGAGGTAATGCGGTAGACGATCTGAAAATCCTCCATCGCCTCGCCGAAGGATGCACCTTTCATAAGATCAGCCTCCAATAGTGTGAGGGTACCCGGGTATCGGACCAGAAGATCCAGTGCTGACTTTCACTTGGTGGTGTTCTTCAAGGTGCGGACCGTGGTGTTGACATGGCGGCCGCGTTCAACAAGCAGCTTTACCACGCACAGGCCGACGAAGCCTGTACCTCCAGTGACGAGTGATTCTGACATGTTTCCGAGTCCGATCAATTGGAGATGAGGAGAAATTTAACTTTAACCTGCGGGACAGTTTGGTTTAGCGAGAACAATGGAAGTAGTCGTGTTGACACAACCTAGGGACATGCGAGATGTGCTCTTTATTATCAACGGCACTACCATACTTCCAGATACGTTCTACTTAATCATTCAGAAAGGCCCGGATCCGATCCGCAATCGCTCCTTGCTATGACCTAATGCACCTCCTGATGTAGAATACTTGGGTAGAGGAGCGCACTACAACGGCGAATAATTGGCCTCGACTGTGTCTCTTGACTGTAAACTTTGGCCTAGATAAAACAATTAAGCCGGTTACTGATGCGCACAGGCATTTCTAGTCCCATCGGAGGAAAGCTACACCTAGCGCCGGCTTCTCCGATTCCCTCGATTTATCAGCGCCTAGAGATGACTAGCCGGCCCACCGTATCAGTAACAATGCCCCTGTGAACTACGAAACATAGTGATTTAACACAAACAGTCTAAATGAATCCTGAGTTCGCGTCAATCACTAGCTACGGGTTGGGAGAAGTGACACGCCACAGCTCAGGCCCTAGATCAGAAGAATGTGTCGTGATGCATGTATATAGAGGCCTCTGTAGAATACATCAATTACAGGTTCGGATATAACACTCGATACAGAGTGCTAGATTTGATGAGAAGAATAAAATCTACGCAGTCTTGGACTTCCTACAGTTCGTAATTGCGGTGAGTTTAGCTCCATGGTGAGTGCTGGCTACCAGGAGTAACGATGATGGTTTACACTGTATAGAATGCTAGTTTAGGCATCAGTCTGAGCAAATAGAGCCGAGTCGAGTCCAGATGGCTTTGAGATCTTTGTCAGTCAGGCGAATCAAGTCCCACCCAACCTCGGCACAATCTGCTCATCCGCACGACTGATGAGACTCCACGCTCTTATCTCAAGACGAGCTCCAAGTATCATAACCGAGTGGAGAAAATATTGGATCAAGGCCCGGTCGACGTGCCTGGACGAAGTTAAGAGTCTGGCGGATATGCGGCCAGGTTAGGTATATGGCCCGATGGTTGGCAGACTTGTCTTCCGGCAAGCTTCAGTTAGGTCAGGTGGAGTCCGGAATGAATACCATGTAATGATGCGCAGCGAAGCGAAGCGCCGCTAGACAAGACAGGGGTGAATTTTCACAATATGTCATCACCCGAGCTTCTTTCTCACGTAGCAAATCTAAAAAGCATATGCTCGTGTTTGTCAGCGAAAGCTTGAGTTTGAACCAAGACAGCCATGCTCTGAGAGGACTGTAAACTAGTATATAACTACTCGCCATCCTCGCAGTATAAGACCCAATTATGCCACGATAGCCATCACCTTCTCCCAATATCAAGCGTCTTCCAGTAGAAGAGGCAGACTACAAATACCAACTGAACAGGACACTGCTCGACGAACAGAATGAAACCCTTTGCGGCATTGCTTTTCGGCCTGGCTGCTACGGCTATGGCCACCCCAGGGTATGTCACACAGCTTGATAAGAACTTTACATGGAGCTGACCGTCCCATTATCAGCCTTGCAGAGCGGCACTGGTCTCCTTACGGTGCCCCAAGTGCTGCATATGACCAAAACCCACCGAAATTGGCTCAAACTGCTCCTACCAAGTTTGTCTCTGTGAATGGGACTCGACTTGCCTACCGACGCTTTGGCAAAACCAGCAAAGTGCCAGTTCTGTTCCTAACCCACTTTCGTGGTAGCATGGACGTTCTGGACCCTCTGCTGATCAACGCCATCGCTTCTAGCCGGGAGGTGATCCTGGTCGACAACTCTGGCATTGGCCAGAGCAAAGGCGCTGTTCCCAACTCCATCCAGGCCATGGCTGCAACAACTGTGGATTTCCTCGCCGCGATCCATGTTCCCAAGGCCGATATTCTCGGCTTCTCCATGGGAGGAATGATTGCACAGTACATCGCCATGGAGTACCCTCGGGTGGTGAACAAGCTGGTTCTAGGGGGGATTCGCCCTGGCTACGGGCCCGACGTTGTTCAGACTGACCCAAATGCTGCTTCGGGCCCAGGCGGTGGGCCTGACGACCAGCCCACCGAGGACTACATGCTTGGCATCTTCTTCTTTCCGTCAAAGACAAGTAAGGCCGACGGAAACAAATGGTGGGATAGGATCTATGAGCGAAATGTCAAAGGCGAAAAGAGAAGAGAATTCCTTGTTGGAGCTGGAGTTGAAGCACAGTTGGCGGCGATAACGAGTTTTGCCTCGGACCCCCAGCTATACAACCGGCTCAACAGTATTATCAGACCGGTGTTGGTTACCAACGGGAAACGCGATGTCTTGATGGGAACGGCCAACAGTTTCGTTCTCCAACAGCAATTGGCAGACGCCCAGTTGCATCTCTATCCTGACTCGGGCCACGGCCATCTTTTCCAGTTTCCTCTGGCTTACGCGAAGCAACTCGAACTATTCCTCAAAGGTTAAGACCAACTTTCGGAAATGCGACTCGACGACTTGGTGGTTGGGGGACGGTTTATACTGAGATTAGGTTGAAACTCAGAGTAGGTAAACTTGTTAGGTTGGGGTGGAGTGCAAATTGGTTGCGATATATTAATTATTTTCTCGGTATATTGCTCATACCTTCCGTTGGTGTTACTTACAAGTTCATGCGGCGCTGGGTAGATAGTCTTGTAAGCCCCCTCGAACGCCGAGTGCAAGGCTAAGCTGGACGTAACAGAATAAGAGTAATTATTTATTTGTTAGATCAGCGAGGTGAGTTCCAACTTCTAGTCACCTATAAAATGAGCCTAGATGATAGGAATGCAGACAGGAAGAAAATATGATGTACCTTTTATTATGGAAGTTAGGGGGCGGCCGGCTTGAGACAGTTCCTACCCTAGATACAGTAAATATTTTAGATAATCAGTCCTAGTTAGAAGATGTAATAATAATAAAAAGATGTAAGGGGAGGCATGAAAAATACTTCAAACTTAGGAGTTACAAGATCGAACAGGTATTTATCTGCGCGACTTGTGCTTCTACACAACCGCAAACAGATTCTAACCGATTGAGACTAATCACACAGATAAATATAAAAGACACTGTAGTTATTATTTCCGACAGGAGACGTCAGTCTCTCTTGTATCTCATTGCTCGGAATAAGATTCCTATCTCAAGGTTGCTAACTGCACACAGCAGGGTTGGAGTCAAAAGGGTTGAATTAAAGCTCAAGACAAAGACTAGTATTCAACAATCTTATTATTCAGCTACTATTTCTTCTGATTCTGGGTGTAGCACTTACTGTTTATCCCTACTATTTCAGAAGAATGCATGGCTTTGATCTATCTGATGACATTGAGTAAAGCTGAAAAAAATAAAAAATAGTTATTATTGTACAATATTCACGCAGGCATACACTATTGCACTTCTTGACTATCGTACCAAACACACTACGGACTCGTCTAGCGTGGATCAATATTTGAATTGAAGTCGAGCCAGGGCCTAACACACAATGCTAATGTAGTTTTTTACCAAGGGATCACGGTACCATCATAGTTCCTAAACGACCCGCTCAGCTCCTTAGGCTCAACCTCAAACGTTGTCTGAATCATATTGGACACACTTGTCTCCACAGTAATAGCGCCTAGAGCCTTAAGGTCCATCCCACTGTCAGCCGTGAGATCCGTCTCGACCAGGCCAGGGTGGAATACGAAGCTGGTCAACCAGGGCTCCTCGAAAGAGATGAGGCGGATAAACCAGTTCAAAGACGCTTTGCTACCACCATACGGACTTGAGGTCTCGGGGAAGAAGGAAAACATTTCTTGCGAGCCGATGGATCCCATGATGGTGGAGATGGCAACGAACTTGGGGCTGCCAGTCTTGCTAGCCTTGAGCAGGTCCCTGGTGGCCTGGAAGAGAGTCAAAGGACCGAGAACGTTGACTTTGAAGTGTTTGAGTGTGTTGGCGACAGAGGTCTCACGAACGCTGCTACCACCCTGGGCGATTCCGGCGTTGGCAATGACGATGTCCAGAGAGGTGATGCCCTGATCGCGCAGCTCAGCCACGGCGGTAGCTGCATCAGTCTCGACGGCCGAGTCCAGCTTGACAGTAATAAGCTTCGTGCCAGTTCCTTTGGGCAAGTCGGCCAGTGCCGTCGATGTTGGGTGCGAGGGGTCACGGACAGCGGCGATGACAGTGGTGGATGGCTTCTGCAGGATCCGCTGGACAAAGCCCTTGCCGATACCGCGGTTTGCACCAGTGATGAGGTACGTCGAAGGGGAGCTCATTTTGGTAGGCTTATTTTGAGGAGTTGAGATTGGGGCTGAGAAGCTGTGGTTGGACTGAGGTTGTTGTATAATGAGTGTTCTCTACCCGGCGCTGAGTTACTGGGACTATATATATCACACGTCAAGTCGGTAAGAAGGTAGTATTTGCTTGTACCCCGTTACGATGCTTTGAAATCTAACGTGACTGAAGGCGGGAATATTGGCCCACTCCGGCGGCCGTTACTGATATGAGGCACAGCTTCGGTGTTGAAAGCATAGACTTTAGGCTAGCGTAGCGTGCAATGCCTTCTAAGCAAGGGCTACGTTTACCATGTTCGTGGGAACGACGGGAAATTTCTCAATTAGAGTACGTATCACTGATCTAGAAAAGATGTACCCGTGTCGGTTGGATCAGTTACATGAATGTCACAAGCTGCGGCCAACATGGGGCGGGGCCAACACTCGATGGCACGATAGCGGAAAGATGGATGACATGGAGCAGCAATGACGCTGACTCAAGTAGCAATAGCACGGTCCACTTACTCAATTATCTCTAGACTCGGACCATGACCTAATTAGCTCCGAGTCGGGGCTCTGATAAACCGACCGACAGCCGGAATAAGACACCTGCAGCGGAAGCAGACATTCCATCCCCACTGTCTCCAGCTCCGGCAATCCACACACTGCTTTGTCCCTGCTTTCCCTATCCCAATACCAAGGCGAACCCCCACGATGGAGCGGACTACAGCTGATACATCGCCCGCTAAAGATGAAGTGACAGTAGGTACAAATCAAGCGAGCAAGATGGTTGCCAGCCCTGCTAAGACACCGCAGCTACGTCGAGAAAGAGGCCGCAAGGCGCAGGCGGCTTTCAGGCAGAGACAGATTACGGCAATCAATGAACTTCGAGACCACAACCACGCGATGCAGAGTGCCATAGCGTCTCTAGCAGACGTTGCATCTCGGCTGGGAAATGCGGAGCTGGATGATGCCGTACGTAGTGCCTGGCTGGTGGCCGACCTCGGTGGCCCGGAAGAGGCAGATGGCAGTCATGATTGCCAGGTGACGAGCGAGTCCTTAGTACAGCAGCAACTTACAACAGCAATGCCTCAAGGGAATCTAAGCATGGATGGGAAGACATGGCTGCCGCCACGTACTTCGGGCGAACCGCCCTTGTTGCCTCCAACGGGCCATTACCATACAGCAGTGCCATCCGAGGCGAAGAATCAACGTCCGTCCCAGCGCCAAGACAGCGCAGCAAATGAGCCGCAGTTGGGTTACCAAACTGGACGCATGTCCCCACGCCTCGACTATGGCCTCTGGCTTGAGCCTCAGGTCATTAGGCTGACCAACCCTCCCATCGACATTATGCCCTACCTGGAATCCAATACGACGCTGTCTAGTGTTGTCTTCTGGTCTGGTCTAGTATGGGGCTTCAGAATTCTTCAGGCTTCTCTTGAGGGCAACAGCGAGGCGGGAGCTACCGCCCACAAGGTGTTCAACGAGGTTATGTCATTGAACCCCGGCCGTGGAACTCTCGGCGGAATCCATGCTCGCTTGTCGTTTCGCGAGACGGGCTATATCGCGTCCGACCATCCTGGTTACGACCCCGACGGCGCGGCAAAAATGCAAGGTGCCATGGCTCGCGCATGTGCGGCCAATGGAACTTCACTCGAGGCTTTTCTGCGGCCAGACGAAATCGAAGATCAGCTCAGAGGGAGACTGGGGGAGGGTTACCGCGTTATTGAGCTGGGTTTACAAGGCGTTGGTTCACCAGAGGAGCTATCGCGGGTTGGTAGTCTGGTCACCATGATAACCAGGAGTAGCGTGTGTTTTGGTGATGGTCCGCGACTTAGATTTGACTGGATGGTCAAACTCGCCGAACATTGGCTGAAGACCTGACCATCTCATAGCCGTGGGAGCAGGTGCAGTCCAGCGTTCAGCGGGGAAGAAGTTTGTCAAAGACGACGCTCGCAAGTTGCTTCGGGCACGTTCAATTATGACGTTAGACCTCGGGAAAGTTTGAATGCCAGAACAGTTCAATCTCTTCATCAGAAGTGGAAAAAATCTTTGAGTGAAAGTTGGCTCAAAAAGATATGGGGATTGCATATTTATGTTCCTCCTGGGTCGGCTGCCTTCTGATGAAGCGATCGGGCCACCCACACCATGACAAATATCAGGGCAACGACCGTCCGGGGGGAAAGTGATCTCTATTGGGGTAATTCTCGTCTCGGGAGTCATTGTGGTGTCCCTTTTCGTTCATGTCACTAATATATTACTCAGTCGCGTGCCATTAGGCCGAGTGTTACTGATGGTGGGACAACAGTTGCGCCGGATCGTAGAAGGAGCTTAAGCTACAGTACGATGCGAAGCCAAGAAATCAACTACCGACTGCACACATACACTTACTGCTAACTGCGGCTTTCGAGAGCGCCGACATGATGAACCCCATAGCAAACAAATAAGTGCCAAGTGTGCACGCTACTACTCAGACACCAAGGCACAAATCCGAAACTCGGTGAACGGTCGCTGAGATACTACTACTTTGTGACAGAAGAAAATGATGATTGCAACTCCCTTGCCCAGTTGCTGGCTTCCAATCCCTATCGATCTCTGGAAAAGACTACTGCTAATTATCTACCCAAAAAGGACACCGGCTTGGGACTGGGAGCGGCTTCAGAGTTGGTTATTCAGCCGCCAAGAGTTCCAAGTAATGGTCAGCCACGCTCTTGACCTGGTCCTCAAACCCTGTAAACTTCCACCCAAATACTTTCTCCGTTTCAGATGCATCCAAGCGGATTGGCCTGGTGGGAGCAGTCCCGTCCAGGGTGAAGACGCCGTCGGACACCGACTTGCCGTAACACCGCTTTGCGATATTCTTGGCATCGTCCCACGTGGTTCCGTCTAGTCCGCCCGAGGAACAGATGAAGTTTCGGTTGCCAGGGATAGAGGGATTCAGTGCATCGACATGAGCTCTCGCGACATCATTGACGTGAACGGAGACGCCGAGCGTGGGCATCTCGGTCTTCGTTCCCAGCAATGGGCCCATGACACTGTTGTTTGTACCGCTTGAAACGGCCTCCTTCTTGGTATTCAAATCGTTCCTTCCAATGACCATGCTGGGCAGAATGTTGACGACATCGAAAGACGGTTTCTCCTCCTCAACGAAACGTTTAGTAGCCGCAAGTGCCAGCGCCTTGGCTGCCCCGTATGCTTGGATGGGCAAGTCGAAGTTAGTCTCAGTTTCTGATGGAGTATAGGTGTCCTGCGCTGCTCGGCGGTTCCGTATTAGCAATGTTAACAGCTCCAAGACGCGTGCCATATACTTGCCAGTGAAGACTTTGGTCATGTCATCTGATATTATGTATTCCCAAGTAAGCAAGGTCGCAATTGAAGATGTGATGACGACCCTCTTTATCGAAGGAACCTTGGCTGCCGACTGCAGAATCCCCAGTGTCGCCTTAATGGCTGGATCAATGACATCCCGTTTGAGATTGTCGCTCTGAGTGGAACCTGATTTGAGCACTTGAACAACCGGTCCCGGAATAAACGAAGACTTACAGATATAGCGAGAGGAGAAGCAACATGAACCACCCCGGCTGCGCTGTCCAGGACTCCGTCAAATGCACCCGGCGTAAGGAGGTCTGGTACAACGACCATCTGCAGCCGTTTCAGAAAGGGCTGAATAGGCGTGGAGCCTTCGATTAGCGCCGCCTGTTCGGCCCTTCGTATAATCGCCCGTACTGTGTAGCCTCGACTAAGAGCTTCCACAAGGACGCGAAAGCCCACATGGCCGGAGACACCGGTGATCTAGAAGATGTCAGTCGCAGGCCGAGGCCACATACTATTCTAGATACGATCAGGGTCAGATAGTGCTCACGACGAGTAACTGTTCCGACATTTTGAGGCTATGCTGTGGATTATTGATAGCTGGAGCGGAAGATACGGCGATGTCAATTATTGAAGAGTAGGGAGAACCAGGTGATGTTTTATAACCAGGTAGTACAGAGTTTGGAAATCGGTATCTCGTGGCACTAATCATGCCAATCTTCCCAAAAGTAACCATGGCACGCATGAAATAAGTAGAGATTACAAATGCCGTGGTGTTTCGCTATTTGTAAACAGAGCCGCTGGGAGCTAATATGGATGGCTCTTAGACCAGTGGGCACAAAGCGTACTAGTAGTCATCGGAGTAAATCGGCGCAACTATCCCGTTGGTGACATTAGTCGATCGACCCGTCTTCCGGCCACCCCACTGCAAGCCTCAGCCAACACGACATTCCTCGAACGGTCAAGGTCTCAGGTACAGCCACAGAGACTCGTGGATCTCTCCATTACCTAGACCCCGTAAGTAGACATGCTGCCCAACCCCGCATCCTTGTGGTCTGTTCATACGCAAGTTATGTAGCTAGAGCAGGGATGGCCCCAGCTGCGATGGCTAGCAACACAAGCCACACCTCTATATAATGTGGGCTCACTTACCGACATCAGTAATCGGGACCCATGTGTGCGCCATAAGTTAGGCCGGTCGTTCGAAATCAGCCTAGAACGGAAGTTTGATTCATCGACTCATTTGTGTGTGTTTTTATAGTGCCAATAGTAAACATGGAGTCAAGTTACTGATGGGTACAAAGTCTGGCGATGATCTATCTGCTGGTCGGTGCTAAGCAACGTCCGATGACAGGTTTCGTCGGACAAATGGCTTATAATCCCGGCCGACCGGTTACGATCGATGCCTGGAACGCGAACCTTGCAGCATCCTAAAGTTTCAAGCTTGATAGTCGGTGAATCCGTGTGTGCATCTAGTGCAGCTTCGGCATTCATACCCAAGTTTGGCGTGTTAAGTTTGACAGGTTTCAAATGCCATCGCACATGTACTCAGAGCAAAGGTATAAAGTTCAGCTTGGCTGACCATCAATCTTCAACGTCTTCCTCCTCATTTACAATCAGTTTCTATTCTGTGCCTCGGAGTATCCGGTTCTATCAACCCAAGAGACACACTTGTTCGTTCCTCTCACATTTCCCCGAAATGCCTTGCTTCACGGTCTTCAAAGGCAGCCCAGATGGCTCAATCAAGAAAGCCATGACGGAGAAAACAGAGCCCACGGGTGACCAAGTCTTTGTCAAAGTCACTGCTTCCGGTCTCTGCGGCACCGATGTCCACTACCGCACCCAAGACATGGTCCTCGGCCATGAGGGCGTCGGCATTGTGGAAGCCACGGGCCCTGAAGTTCGCCGGCTGAAGAAAGGCGATCGCGTGGGATGGGGCTATGAGCACGACAGCTGCGGGCTCTGTGAGCTTTGCCAGTCTGGCCGTGAAACATTCTGCTCTAGTCGCAGCATGTATGGATTTGCAGACTTTGATCAAGGGTCCTTCGCTTCCGGTGCCATTTGGAGGGAAGCATTCCTCTTCAAACTTCCCGACCGTCTCACAGATGTCGAAGCTGCACCGCTCATGTGTGCAGGAGCAACCGTTTTCAACGCTCTCCACATGCTCGAAGATGCTGCCATCGCCCGTGTGGGCATTGTTGGTGTCGGCGGCCTTGGCCACCTGGCGATCCAGTTTGCGGCCAAGATGGGTTGCGATGTCGCTGTTTTCAGTAGCACCGACTCCAAGAAAGAGGAGGCCATGATGCTTGGTGCGAGGGCCTTTTACGCTACCAAAGACAAGAAAGTGCTCGACATTGGCGAGAAGAAGCTCGACATCGTGCTCGTCACCACGAGCATGCCACCAGACTGGAAGCTTTACATCCCGCTTCTTAGCCCCGGTGCGACTATTTTCCCACTTACCATCACCCTTGGGGAGTTCAGTATCCCCTCCCAGGCTCTTATTTCTATGGGGCTCCGCGTTCAAGGCTCAATGGTTGCGTCTCGCGCTATCCAGAAGCAAATGCTAGAGTTCGCCGCGCGAAATGGTGTTAAGCCCATGGTTGAGACATTTCCTATGACAGAGAGCGGTATTATGAGGGCTTTCAAGACACTGGAAGATGGGCGAATGCGATATCGTGGGGTACTGGTACCTAGCCCTGTGGAATAGAGTATCAATTTGCCAATGGAACGTACATGAGTGTGTACTGCTATTTAGATATTATGGCTGTCCAAATCAAGTCAAATTATGAGGCCAGGATTTATGAGGATTTATGAGGATATTCGAATTCATTTAAATAGCTGCTCGTGTCGAGATAAGTTTTCAGCTCCACTCCTACTTCAGGATCGCCGCATCCCACAAAATACAGTTATCGCGTTTCCTGTTCTGGATTTCCAGTGCCTAATTCTGGATGTAGCTCTCTGCTTCCGTGAACTCGATAGAAAGCGATAAGCTGGTGTCGACTGTAACCGCGAGCGCGCAATACGTGCGGGCCCATTGCCTCGTGGAGCGGCCACATGCCCACAACAACATCAGTGCCGAAAGCGGATGGTTTGATGGTGGATAAATGAGTGACAGTGTAATCCGAAGTGGTTGGACGAAGGTTATCGACCCCAAATTTGACTAAGCATGTCTCATGTAGTTCTCTGGAATCAGCACAACTTCACCCCATTTACTAATCGGGCTTTGGATTCGGCTGTACTGATTTTAGGTCCGCGCATGAGACCTTTCCAGTTGCGAAGTGGCAACTTTCGTCATCCGTTCGTAGGGATCCCCAGTGTGATAAGTACCAGGTACAGCCCTTGGAGCGTAAGCACGAAGCGCGTGGGCATCACCGGTTGGAGGAGTTTAAGGGCTACGAAAATGCACTGCACTGCAGTGAAAGAGGGCTCAATCGTGAAGATTATTTGGAGAATCCATTGCCAATCCATTCTATCTTGCTGGGGTGACGTAGCCGTATTTTCCAGAAGCTCTCTTGGGTGACCTCTAGGCTCTATTCCAAGTTCCATCCTTCAAGTTGCTGGACGTCGTTGTAAGATGTCAAGTCGAAGCTGCGGACCAGTCGCGTCCCTCCTCGACCAAACTCCTCAGCGGTAACATTAAGAAGGGTGGCCGAGGTTAGAGAGGTGTTGGAAGCAAGGAGACCAGGAAACTCGGCGTTTAACTTGTCAGAGATCTCCTGGGGCGTGAAGAAATTCCTTGTTCCTTCGAGAAAGCAGTTCAAAATCTCCTACCCGCTTCGACTCCACGTCGTCGTCCAGCCTTGTCCAACAACACACCGTGGCGAATGTCTCAAGCAAAAGTGGCTCAATCTCGACGCGGGCTACGTGGCATTCGGAGAGACCGGGACTGTCGGAATTGCAAGTCTCGTGGTGTGAAATGTGATCTAAACAGGCCACGATGCCTGCCATGCGTCCAATCAGAATTGGCATGTGGCGGATACCTACAGAGGGTCGTCTGGGCGAGTAACAAGACACTGGATACCTCAAACTCCTCAGACGAGAGAACACGGTCGGACATAGATGGCACCGGAATCTCTGACAATCACGAAGCGTCGTCACTAGCTAGGGTTACGCCGCAATCACAGGCTTCACAGTAACTGCCCAGCTCGCCAACATTACAGGTAGCTTCCAGCAGATTTCCTGCCGGGTTACCCAGGGATTAAAGCATAATCGGTGACCAGAACTAGTTTACCCAGCGCCTGTCAGCCTTGTGCACTGGTTTCAGGCTCGCTGGGGCCGCTATCGGCGACGAGCAGCGTGCCATGGTTGCCCGAACCACCACGACTCGTCTGCTAGATCAGGTCGAAAAGATCTTACGATCCCACACGGAATACGGCACCACTTCCATCTCCGAGTCGCTACCGCTACCTTCGTCCTCTGGCCTCGATAGTGCGGCTCTGGACTTACGAAAGCATGGTGCCGAACTCGCTTTCGAGCTCCAGTATTTGGATACCCTTGCGAGCCTGAACCAGGCACTTGAGAATGCCAACCCGGTTGCGTTCCTCGGTATCCTTGTTCTCGCCTATTTCGAGGTTCTTTCAGCTAGCGAATTCGGCGAATGGCAATTTCACCTTCAGGGGGCACGTTCGCTTCTGGATCGTCGTTGCCAGAGCCGAAAAGATGTTGACCAGCTATGGCACTCCATTGCAAACCTTCCTGAAATGATTGCCTACCTGAGTTGGTGGGACGTTGCGGGTGTTGTCATCAGACACCTCAGTGGTAGTCGAGCCCAGTCACAGGAGCGTCTCATCTTTCTTGACTGGCATCGCGCCCTCATAGGCGTCGAATTCTTCGACACGGTCGGTTGTCCCCCCCGAAATCTTCCAATTGTTCGTATCCCTAGCCAAAACTGCCGACACCTCACAGGAGAGTGACAAAGGAGCTCTCATTGCCGAACAGAGCCGGCATGTCTTGGCCATGGAGCAGCTCCTACAACTGGGACTCGTCACGAACTATCAAGGGATGTGCAGAGGCACATGGAGATGTGCGGCGGCAATAGCTCTTCTTACATGGGACAGCCCATCTCAAGATACCGGCGATCTGACGCCTGATTGTCGACAGAAGGCGTTGGTGGCTGCTGTGGACAGGATCTGCAGGGCCATCTCTTCCGTCCCTCCGACATCAAGGTTCTACGCACATATGGCCAAACCTGCATTTTGGCCGGAATCAACGCTAGATCTTTGGCTCAGTGTAAGGTTACGAGTGGATACTGGCGCAATTGCCAAACGGGTGGCGTTCCGCGACATCTTGGAGCTTTGGCTCAAGGTGAGCAGAGGTGGAAAAGGATTCATGTAACTTGATGGCCAAAGAGGTTAGGGACACCTGAGATAATCCTTCTAGGAAATTCGGGAGCATTTACGATAATAGGTGACGCCCTTTTCAGCATTGTTTCCTTCAAAGCACCGTATGGGTCATGCTGATTCAAATTGTCTTCTAAGGAAGTGAAATCATCAATTACATTGGACCAGAGCGAAGCATGTACTCCTCATGTAGCTGCATCTTGCATCAGAGAGGAAGGGTGCGTTGTGATGTACGTAGAAGCTCCTGTTCAGGATCCGCGGTCAGTCGCGTCTACCCTCAGTGTACGGTCATGCACTCAAGCTAGCCTATACAGGGTATAGGGTAGTCTGAGGGCAGATTCCTAAGGGATAAACAGAGGGTTTATATTAGCAGAGCAGCTAGATGTACTTACTAAGCAGTCGTAATGTTACGTTAGATAATAGTTAATATATGATGATATGTAGCAGTTAGAGTCGACTGTTACAGCTTGGTTCACCGAACAGCGATAGAGGCTTTATAGTGCAGTAGTGTGCCTGAATGGTTGCCACCAAAGCGATCATTGACCAATCTTTTGCCTCCTGGTACGGCGGTCTAGCACAACTGTTACATTGCTTAAGGGGGCCTAAGTTGCTGTTTCCCTATTCAGGGGTTCCTGAGACTACCTGCCGCTTAGGCAGCAGCCTTAGAAATGGGGGAGAGCCCGTATGCCGAGAGGGATAATTAGGCGAAAAGGAGGAGTCAGGGATAGGCGCATTATGGCGAGTTATTAGTACTGTATATATATTAATCTCGGTTATCTTGGTGTTGTAGGATTATGAGGCGGTTATAATAGCATCTAGAGCTCTTTAGTTTTCTGAATAGTTTAAGAAGTTCGTAGCTATAGATAATTAACATATATATATACACTACTAAGACCCCTTGCAGCTAGATAAAACAATTAATGCTGCTGGAAGCCTCTATCTTGATACCGTCTAACTAACTAGATGTTATACGTCATATGTGAACAGCCTGACCACTTTTCAAACTTGGCTTATCTGGTATCTCTAATAACTCTGCTTTGCTAGCAAGCAGCGTAGATCCTTAATAATATGCCAGAAAATAAAGCGACGAGGAAATTATCTATTTAGCATAGCTGTAGCAGTATAGCCTGGCTGTAAGGTAATTAATATAAAGACGAAGCAGTTATATATCTCCCCTCTTTAACTAACTTATCTTAATTTTTAAAAAAATAAAAAAAAGTAGCAAGAAGATATTAAATTGGATTTTTATAAGTAATAGAACTTACATAATTCAGCTGCAAGTATATAATCTGAGCTATTGTGTTCGGGACCATAGGATCAGCAGGGATAACCTGACCTATTACTACAGATCACACGTTCTTATAGTCACGGCCGGCATCTAAGTCATAGGCTTCTTTATATAAAAAGGGATGCCCGTAGCCTAGCAGATAGAGAGATAAGTCTTTTACGTTATTTTTATTTAATCCTATCTTTCAGTGTCTCTTTATATCTCATGCCCAGCTGTCGCAGCAGCTTCTTACCTTATGTCCCCTCCTTATTTTTGCATGCATCTGACAGACCTTCATTTGATCAGTCAGATGTAATTGACCTTTTTCTTCTAGGGCCTTCCTACGAGGCTGTGGACCTGTTTGAACCTCTTGTCTGTCACGACCCTCGGACATATCGTGTTTCTGTCTCCTGGGCGGGTGTGTCTTTTCCTGCAGAGCTCGCCTCACTAACAAACTATACCTTTATAAGTCTTTTAATTCTGAGTATAATTTTAAATACCCAACTTATGAAACATATTTTAATTTTATAAGTGATCTTCTGCAGCCCGCTAAAAACGACTATTGCGATAAAGAAGTAGGAGAAAAGAGCCCGCTGAAGATTTTCCTTCGCTTTATAAAGTTACGTATCAATCGTATGTTAGATCGTGGTTTCTCGCGCCTATCATTATTCAGAACGTTGTGCCTGCCTGCCTGCCTCGACTCAATCCTATCAGATCAGTCATTAACAATAATTGTATATTGGAGCTGGTGAGAAGAGTGAGGAACGCAGCAGCACAGGAGCAACGATCAAGAAGGTAGGGATGCCAATGATGGTGGGTTAATCTCTAAAGAACCGCTCTTTTTCCAGCTTCCTCCTTGTTCTTTATACCTAGCATCCTCCGTCGCCTCTCTGGTGCTTCGTCGGCATTTCTCCAGTGAGTCTCCGGCACTTCGCCTACCCCTTCGACGGAGTCTCATCCTTCCGAAGCTTTAGCCTGTTTGCATTAACCGGCAGTTCTCTCAATGCTACTTGCCCCTCCATCTGCGACAACTCTATAGCCGAGCTGGCCTCAAGCTGGCCATTAGCTTCGTGGGCACTCCTTTTAGCACTACTTTCCCCTTCTATCACTTTGTCCGTAAGCGTGGTAACTGATTGCTAACTGTATACATATTCCTCTATAGCCATTCAGCCCATAACAGTTATCTAGCATAGCAAAAGATTGGTTAATAATCGCTATGGCAGCAAATACTGAGCACCCTAGCTACTCTTTCAAACCTTTTCGCTGTTCGGAGGACCAGGCCGTAACAATATAGCAGAGCTAGAGTCACCATTACAGTGCTCTAGGTGCATCAAGTTGTAAGGGCTCCTCTCCCCTTGCTATCCTCCAGCGGTTACTGATATTTACAAGTTCCTCACAGCCCTCTAAGACATACGCCCATTTGTTGAAGAATCCAGGCGTCACTTCCCAATTTTCCTTCTCATGTGGCTCTCCCCATACAATGAGCCCTTGTCGGCCAGCAGTTAGTTCATCTGTATCATCTTCACGGACTATCAGCTGGCTAGATGTTGCAAGGCTGTCAAAGGCTCCTTGCTGTCCAAGTGATGTACTGTTGAGAAGGCTTCCAACAAGATCATACAAGAACTCCAAGTGGTTAAAAGAGGCCTCCCATGTGATAAGGTTATCTCTGAGTTGTGGGAAAGGAATCATATCAATCCAGAAAGAGTGGGGGCGGCTCATTTGTGAAGTAGTTGGCAGGAGGCAGTTGGGGATGCCCGGATGGACGGGGTAAATAGTTGCATGTCCCCAACATGGCCCAGTTGTGTGGGGTGGTGCGGGCATTTCGAAAGGCCCATCTACCTTGATTGTTAAGAGATTGAGCATCGTCTTGATCGAGATGAGTCCCCGAAAGACGTTGTAGCGGATAAGATGAAGGAAATGGTCGGCGGAAAGAGGAAATTCGACATGATGTGAGGAGTCGGATTCCGCTGAGATGGCAGTGTTATCCCACCCCTGATAGACGACTCCCACCAGGGGCATCGATTGCAGTTCGCCAGCTGGAGATGGTCGCAGAGAGCTCGGAACAACGGCTGCGTTTGCGACTTCTGTCGGGGCATATCCGGTCTCGGGGACATTTTGCTCCGGGAATTGCCAACGCCAACGATAAATCCGATATGGGCGAGGGCCTGGGGGCGCCTCGGCCTCTTTCGCCCTAAGACGCATCCCTGAGGCGAGACTGGTGAGTACAAGTACATGCTGCCGCCGAGGAGATGAAAGCGTCAAAGGTGGGCTTAGTGCATCCCATGTACTCACTATGCGCTCTTTGATTCACCCGGTTCTGGGCCCGTTTCTGCTGTTTCCTGGCTTCGGCGTCTGCCTGGCAAGCATCGGCACAGCTCGACTTGGCATGAGGACACCCGTGAGAGGGGAATGGCTCCATGATATCTGCAAGCAGCTAGATTAAATGTGAATAAAAGGTGGAAAAGAGAGCGTGGCCCGTGGAGGGACATAGAAAGGGGCTCGACTGTGGCGCGTCCTTGAACCGGATGACTCCACCCGGCGGGCTAGGCCGAAAGAGGCCAAAAATATAAGCCAGCCGCTTAACTTGCACTTGACTTTAGCTTCCAACCGAACCATCGCTAGCTATACCAGAAAAGGAGAAAACTGTCAGGTGGGGCTTTTATCTCGACCCACTTGATATCTTGATTTACAACACTTGACAACAACAACAGGGTGTTGAATTCCGATGAAAGACTTCAGAATAAGCTCCTTTCGCGGAATTAGGGCTCGGATTTTGGAACAAGAATGCGGAGTTTTTTGGTGATTTGTAATGTTATGGGCTCATGGTATTGTTGACGGCTACGAGAGTCTCAAGTGCACAGGTATAAATCATGTGCCTTTCTCCTTGATTCCCCTCGCAATCTCAACATTCAAGTCATCCACATCTTGTTCATTTCAATCATCTACACCTTCAAACACCAAAAAAAGCAACCTACCTCCTTCCAAAATGTCTCGTTACTCAGCTGCCCACTCAAACCCCAATGGCCCAGGCGACTCTCGGCCAACAGCCCTCCAGATCATCAAAGACGAGGGAGTGGAAGGCAAGCTCAAGGGCAAGGTCATCGTCATCACCGGCACTTCTTCTGGCATCGGCATCGAAACAGTCCGTGCTCTGGCGGCTACTGGAGCTACGCTGTTCCTGACGGCTAGAAGTCCTACCAAGGCCAAGACTGCCCTCGCCGGTATTCTGGAACCGGCCCGTATGGAGATCGTCGAGATGGATCAAGACTCTTTCGGCTCTGTCCGTGCTGCTGCAAACGCCATCCTCGAAAAAACTGATCGGGTGAATATCCTGATCAACAACGCCGGCATTATGGCGGTGCAAACCCTCGAGTTCACCAAGGATGGACACGAGTTACAGTTTGGCACCAACCACCTCTCGCACTTTCTACTCTTTCAGCTGCTCAAGCCAGCTTTGCTGGCTGCTGTGACCCCTGACTTCCCGTCTCGTGTTGTCAATGTGTCCTCCAGCGGCCACCGATTCCACGGGCTTAATGCGTCAGACAACTACAATTTCCAAAAGGGAGGTTACGGCTCGATGGTTGCGTACGGTCAATCGAAAACAGCGAATATTCTCATGGCCAACGAGATCGAGCGCCGCTACGGATCGCAAGGACTTCATGCAACAAGCCTTCACCCGGGTTTGATCGATACCGCCCTCTCGAAGTTCCTACCACCAGGCACAATGAGTGCCATGCAGGGCGAAGAGACTTTCAGTAAGACCATGAAATCTCCAGAGCAAGGCTGTGCTACCACAGTCTGGGCCGCAATTGGCAAGGAATGGGCAAACAAGGGAGGCAAGTATCTTGATAACTGTGCCGAAGCATTGCCTGCTACGAGCGATAGCGATCAGCTGGCCCCTGTTTACGCCAGCCACATCTATGATGAGGAGAGCGAGGCTCGCCTCTGGAAGGACTCGATTAAGCTTGTTGGCTTGGATGATGAGTAAGGGAGACTGATTGTTTGTTATCAGATGGTTGACCTGGATTTGTACGGCTGAAAATCTCTCAGGGGAATTTCGTATGGAAGCGGTATTAGTTCCTACCATGCTGTGCTGAAAGAGAAACTGCCTTACCTATGGTATAGTTCGTTCTAACATTGTTGAAATCACTGTTTGGACTACTGTTTCGAGTTCTGTATCATATGCTTGCATAAGTGTGATGGGGGACTGGATCATTTAATTGATCTTGTGCCTAGTTATATATCCTTTCTCCAGCACCTGAACTCCTCCACCCAATCCCTCCATCGTCCCTCGTCGAAAAGTACGACGACAAGAGATATGTCAATGACATGCTTCGAAAGACTACCCAGTTCACCATGCCCGATGCTTGGTTCATTACGCCTGGACATGACTCAGTCGGGGACATCAAGGACTCTTCGTTTCCCGTCGTCGCGAAGCCCGAGCAGCAGCAAATTGTTCGGCAACTGACTGACGACTCCAGAGAAGTGGGTCCAGGCCCTCTGCACCATGTCGACGTTTACCATATCGCACCAAAGCTTCTGGTAACAATTGGTGAAGAGGAGGCTCGAGAGATCTGGGGAGCTGTTGGAACAACTGGGAATGGGTATTTTCAGGCATTGCCGCTATTTCAGGTCGCAGAGCGAGAGTTTGGAGAAAGAACACTTTTTGGTAAAGGTTTGAAAGCGTTATAGATGTTGGGCTACGAGGCTGTTCGATGCATCACGAACGGACGGTTCTGTATGTCGCCCTCGGATGCATCAATACGATGGTTTTTATTTTCTTCTGACACGTGTTCATATGGCTTGAATTCAACATACCAGTATTGCATTAGTAGCACCAAATCTCAGAGAAGTAGCTTCCACGAGTCCCGTCTTCGCCATGCTTAAACTCGCCCGAGAATGGCTGGCAATGTTCTTCCGAAGGTCAAAAGTTAAAGAAGCTGCACGGTGGGTCCGAGGCACACTTGTTAGCGCACTGTGCAGTCGATGCAACGAGACTGGGATTTCCCAGCTTTCCATAGTCGACTCGTGACAGCTCAAGATCCCCTGTGGAAGAAGAAGAAGCTGAACTGGCGATGGACGTGTAGGGTATGCCTCAGCTTGACCGACGTAGCTGTTTATGCCAGAAACCTGCCACTCGTCTGCTGCTCGTCTGGCAAGCAGTAGAACGTGGAAACCAAGCCTCTAGATAATGGCTGGTTTGTAGTCCGACGAGGGAATGTCAACGTCTTCACTTTGGCAAGATGATGGCAAACCAAGTCCGAGGTGAACCCGACACCGAGGTGAACCCGACACCGAGGTGAACCCGACACCGAGCTAGAACAGACACCGAGATGGGAGCCGAGATCGGGATGAAAGCGAGACAGTGCTGGCATAGAGCGAGGCCTCTGTCTTCTATATAAGCCAGAACCGAGCAGGAACCCAGGAGAGTCTTGATCAGTGTCCTTTTATCCACGTCGCCAACCTCCACCTCTTTGCCTTGTCTCTCCTTCAGCACCCTCAGGCCTTCAAGTCACTGCCAAGTCTCGACCTCTCTATTTGCATTCTCCCGGCTTCTCTATACTCTCTAACGCCGTTTTTGACACAGTCCTCCGTTCATTTACCCTCAGTCACCAGTCCTAGCGAAGCACGATGCCGACATTGGAAACGTATAACGGATACCACCTGTGGAACTATATCCCGTCACGGCCGGCTGCCATTACGTTCATCGCTGTCTTTGCCATCCTGACGGCAGGCCACACATGGAGGATGCTCCGTCATAGGATGTGGTTCTGCATCCCGTTCGTGGTTGGCGGTGCCTGTAAGTGATTCCTGCCGCAGCAAATGAAAGTGACAGCAAGGACACTAATACGGAAATAGTCGAGGTCATCGGATATACCCTCCGAGCTCTAGCCTACGATAAGACGGGCGAACTCATCCCCTACGTCCTCCAGTCGAGCTTCCTCCTCCTCGGGCCGGTCCTCTTCGCCGCTTCTCTGTACATGACACTTAGCAGGGTCATCCGTGCCGTGGACGGCGGGGCGCTCTCGCCGGTCCAGCTGCGCTGGCTGACACGCATCTTCGTCGCCGGCGACGTGATCAGCTTCATCGTCCAAGCGAGCGGTGCGGCAATGAAGTCACAGGTCAAAGACATCAACCCGAACGTGGGCACGAACATTGTCGTGGGCGGCCTAGTCTTCCAAGTCATCATCTTCGGCGTCTTTATGGTGGTCGCGGCTGTGTTCAACAGGCGCTTCCGCAGCTCCGGCGGCTCGAGCCACGCTCGGAATATCCCATGGCAGGCGGTCCTAAGCATGCTGTACGCCACGTCGGCCATGATTATGGCAAGGAACGTGTTCCGCGTGGTCGAGTACGCTATGGGTAACGACGGGTACCTGTTGAGCGTGGAATGGCCCGTGTACGTGTTTGACGCCGGGCTCATGTCGTTGACTATGGCGTGCTTCTTTTGGTGGTACCCCAGTCAGCTCATGCCCGCGCTGGGAGGGCAGGCGGTGAAGAGCGAGGAAGGTACGTCGAGCAGCTCGGCCGATATAGAGTTGCTGAGGAAGTGAATACGGTAGGATCGCATCCGGCGACTCTACGCGAACAGAGGGGTTGGATGTAGTTGGCAGATGGAGGAGAGGGGTCCTTTAGGCCCAGGATGCACAGTTTTGTAAGTTGGGTTGTTCTGTAGGTACATTCAGTCTCTAGACGGCTTATTTTATTATAATTATACAGCTTTATATACACAACCTGCCATATTTCTCTTCATTCGGCTGTCAAACCTCGTCGTACAAATTGTGTGTACTAGCATCCATCATCGACACAATCTTGACGAGCAAATCACATCCGGTACTACCCAGTCAATATGAGAAAGCTCCGTCACGTCTCCGTACTGCGTCGATCTTCAATCAGCCCGCATGTGTGAAGGGATCTCACGCCAGAGATGAACATCGACAAGGGACAGCCCTGTCTAGCGGCCCTGATCCCTGATCACAGCTCGGTGTCGTCGTCGGGTTCGGATCCTGACTCCGCAACAAAACTCCACAGGATCCGCCCTAGCTTGGACAGGGCTTAAGTAGCTGGATGTTCTTTGGGTGCACGGATATTCACTTCCAGACTACCGTTGGATTCACCAGCTGCGCCATTTTGGGCAAAAGTTCAGGGTACCCTGTTTATTATTACAGCTTAGAATTATCCAATATAACCCAACAACTACAAATAAAGAAACCCGAGAGCCCACCTCGGTGTCGCAATTCTACATAGCAGCGCCATGGCCGAATCCGAGAACTCGCCAACACAGCCCCCGTCGGTACAGACCATCCCAGGCCGGCCCGCGCCCAGGAAGCGCATCGGGTTCCGGAAGTCCCGGAACGGCTGCCTGCGATGTAAGAAGAGAAAGGTCAAGGCAGGTATTCCTTATCTCTATCGGTGAAGCCTCCTAACAAAGTGTCAGTGCGACGAAATGGTCCCTTGTACATCCTGCGTCCGACACCGAATACCCTGTAGCCTCGACGATGCGAGCCTCAAACAGCAGAACAATGGCTGCTCCTCCATTAGTGACGACGCCAAGGCAATCCACCAGGAGTATCTCTCAGCTTGCTTCCTTGACTGACACCGTCACAGACCTGCCCGCCTTCACAATCACTCTTGGGGGATGGTGGACCGTTGGCCTCTCCCACAGGGACTCCTCTCGTCCCATTCCCGTTTCTATCGGCAGATCCAGCCGATACACCCGAGTGCTGGCTTGCCAATGCTGAGCTCATCCTGCATTACACCAATGTGACCTGCCGCTCCATCCCCTCGGGACATGCCATCACGACATACCAGGTCGATATTCCGCGCGAGGGCCTTTCTCACCCCTATCTCATGCGCATGATCATGGCCCTCTCCTCGTTCCACTTGGCGTACCTGAATAAGGACAAGCGGCCGCACTATCTCGCCCTCGCTAATAAGCAGCAGAGCCTGGCTATTCGAGGCCTACGCAGGACGCTTAGGCAGACCGTCACTCCGCAAAACTGCCACGCTCTGTGGGTCTCATCCATCTTCCTCGCTATCAGCAAGTTTGCATTCTCCCCCAACTGTGAGCACCATCAGGATAGCTGCTGCTCGGCGCTGTTAAACCTGGTCGATATATTCTCCATAATTAACGGCATGGTGGCAATTATGCGCTCATCCCTCGATCTTATCCGAACCGGACCATTGCAAGCCATCTTCAGTCAACGGGATGGCTTTCAATATGCCCGAGGCGATCTCCAGGACTTATTGCAAAGGGTATCCGATCTCGATGGAGTATTCAAGTCTATGGACCTTGACCCAGATCCGTTTGTCCAATTGGCCCTGACGTCCGCTCTCGAGCGCCTCATCAGCTGCGTTGCCGACATTAACAAGTCTCCTGACAGCAAGTCCTTCCCTACGGATATCAAGATCCTCTTTATCTGGCCGTCTGAGGTTTCCCAGACGTTTTTTGACTTAGTCAGGGCCCGTCATCCTCTGGCTGTCATCATTCTGTCGCACTACTGTTGCTTAATACGCTGGTCTTCGTCAGCATATTGGTTTTGCCGAGGCTGGGGACGCCTACTGGCGGATTCTATCATGAGCATACTTGAGGACTCGGATTTGGCGCACTTGGCTGAGTGGCCGGTGAAGGTGATGAGTGGAGATGAATAGAGGACGCTTAATGAGCACTGTGGTATCCAGATGCAAGTACTGCTCCAGTTGGGAAACGGATATTTCGCGAGGATGGATGCTCAAGACTAGCAAGGCTCTAAATGCCATGGTTCAATTTTCTCACTCTAACTATCTACTTGCTGTCTACATGATGGGCACAATCAAGCATCGTTCTCGAGGCCGACCAGCTTGACAGACTCTGCCCAAAGCTTGGACGCCTTGTCTTCATCGTAAATCCACTCAGCGTAGCCGTCGTCGACAGACATGTAATCCGAGTCCGGGCGCACTGGGCCAGCCTCGGCACAGTCGTACAGGTACTTGCCGCCCTTGCCCTCCCAGTCCTTGCTCACCGCAGCATAGACGGTGGTTGCGGCACCTTGGGTGACACTCTTGAACTGCTTCTGAAAGCCCGGGTGGTTCCCCATAAAGTCCTTGGTTGCCTGATCCATGTACTTTGCGAGGTTCGTACTAATGACGCCGGGGTGCAGAGAAATGGCATGTAGTCCTTGGGAACCGTAGCGCCGTTCGATCTCGTTAGCCAGGTAGATGTTGGCCGTCTTAGCCTGACCGTATGCAAGCATCGGGTTGTAAGAGTCCGGCTCGTCAAAGTTCAAGTCTTCGAAGCGAATTCCTCCGGCGCGATGACCCGTTGAAGAAAGGGACACAACTCGAGAGTTGAAATCGGGAGTGGATGCGGCCAGGAGGGCAGGCTTGAGGAGCTGGAATAGGAGAAAGTGGCCGAGATAATTAATGTCGAGCTGCGTTTCAAAGCCATCTACTGTCTTGCCCTTGGGAGGGAACATGATTCTCGCGTTGAGGATCAAGATGTTTAGCTTGTCGGTCAGGGCAAGAAGGTCCTTGGCGGCCTTTCTGACGGACTCCAACGAGTCGAGAGAAAGCTCAACCATATGCAGGGGGGCATCGTTGGTTGGATCCGACGCCTTGATGTCGTCGATAGCCTGCTGGCCCTTGGCACGGTCTCTGGCACTGAGATAGACAGTGGCACCGGTTGCGTGGAGAGCGCGGGCTGTCTCGAGACCGAGGCCTTGGTTCGCGCCGGTGATGAAGACGCTCTTTTCGACGAGCTTGCCAATAGTGAAGCGCTAACCTGGTTCTGGGTTCCGGCTCTGTGTTTAGGGTTATCATCACAACATAAGAACATGCATGTTTAGTCGGGGACACGGTAATTATCATTATTTCCTCGAGTAGTAGACACCTCCATCCAAGTCACGGCAAGGGGACGCAGCCAATAAAAATGCGTAAAATTAAGAGTACATAATTTCCCACTCAAATTAGGTGGTAATAGAAGACCCAACAATGCTGACAATTACATATCGCTACATCACAGATACGGCAGCAGTACAGGGTCTGCTTGAAGCGCTGGTACTGGGCCTGTCCACGTGAGGTATTAATCATAGCTCGTAGCTACTGGATTTCGGTGACCATTTCGGCGGTGCTAGGCGCCGTGGTATAACTGGGTGGCCCTCCGGTCAAGGATCCAGAACTCAGAGTGTTCTGTCGATGGGGCGTTTCCGGACATGATAACAGTACGGTGGTATTGCTCACTGTAACGCAGCAATCCACTGAATAAGAGCTATCAACGTGTGATGATTGTGTGTTTCCCAAGGGATAAACCGGCCGTGCTGGGTTTATGTTGGCAGAGGATCAGGGCGTTACTGAGCAAGGGATCAGGAAACAGGCTCTCCCCCTTGACGATGTCGCATCAGACCGACAAATAGATGCCACAGGACTAGTAAGCGGCATCAAAGCGTAACTATGAGCGGGCATGAATATGTTACTAATCTTTGCCTCCAGGGTTCTTTGTAGCCGCTACCCTTACTGCCAATACTATTACTTGGAACCCGGGTTCGGAAGAATTTGGGGGTATTTTACCGGATTAAGAAGCAACTTTATTTTGTAATCCAGTTACCAATTCGAAAGATAATAGCCCCGAATAACTCCCAAAAGGCGGGCTGCTGGGCTGAGGAGCAACTTGATTTTGTAAGCTAGTTACTCATCGGACGAAATCAAGCCCGGAAGATGAATAACTTCCTTCCACAGGCGGAGGGCGAGCCCTTGGGCCGGAATTTGCTGGGTTTGCGAGCAACTTTATTTTGTAAGCCAGTTACTGATCGGAAGGAAACTAGCCCGAACACCAATAACTTCAGAACGCGTGGCGAGAGCTTAGACTGATCGGCCCGGCAGCTTAGTATTTTGAGCTTTCGGGACATCGGGCGTTGAGGTTGGGAAACGACCACCAGCGCCAAAAGTTGAATATATGAGGCACCCAAACTTCTCCTCTTCTAACACTGAATTCACGCACGGTTTTCCATCCAACCAGGAACCATTATCTCACCTCGCGTCAGTTATTTTGAGTAGTTCCATCCCACCACAGAGTCGATTTCTCCTTTTAAAGGTACGCAACAGTCATGTCTACCATCACCAAGGTTGCAGTTGTGGGGGTAAGTTACATCAACCACTTTTCCATCCCCGTTTGCACTCACAAAGTAACATTCAGGCTTCCGGAAACCTTGGTCCGCTGGTTGTCAAGGCTCTTCTTGATGTCGGTTTCGAAGTCACTGCTGTGACTAGACAGGAGTCGAAGGCGACCTTCTCCTCGAATGTCGTGGTAAAGAGGGCGGATCTCTCCTCCGTGGGGTCTGTTACCGAGGTGGTGAAGGGCCATGAAGCGGTCGTCTCTACTGTTTCTGTAGAAGCTATTACTGCCTAGTAGGTCATCATCGATGCCGCCATCAATGCTCATGTCCAGCGATTTGTCCCGTCCGAGTTTGGCGTCAACACTCGAGAGGCCCGCGACACCAAGTTCGGTCGTTTTGTGGCGTCCAAGATTACCACCCTTGACTACCTCATCGAGCTCTCTGAGAAACGTCAGTGGTTCTCATGGACCGGTATCTGTACTGGAGCTTTCTTCGACTGGGCAAGTCAACCATACCCGCCGGAATCATTGGCAAAAGTGTTCTAACACAACGCAGGGCCTTGTGAACGGCTTCTTTGGATTCGATCTTAAAACCCAGAACTGCACACTCTTCGACTCTGGCAATGAACCCTTCTCCGGCACCAATGTGGCATTTATCGGCAAGTGTGTTGCTGCTTCTTGAAGAAGCCGGAGGAAACGGCCAACAAGTTCTTGACCGTGGCCTCCTTCACCACCACTCAGAATGAGGTATTGAGGGTTATCGAAGAGGAGACTGGCTCCAAGTTTGCGATCACGAATGTGAAAACCTCGCATCTGGAGAAGATTGGCGAAGAGAAAGCAGCAAGGAATGATCCCACCGCTTTTGTCGAATTTCTCCTTCAGTACGTATTTGCAGACGGTGCGAATCAAGCCGTGGCGGAGAACTCCGCCGTTACAGTGCTCGGCTTGGAGGAGGAGAGCCTCAGGACAACTATTAAGGCAGCTATCGCTGCACTGTTACAAATGAAACTCTTAGGGATATTTCAAATAAAACAAATGTTTTGACGTTATATGTAGTTTATTTAAAGTATATTACGCCCTTATATTTATATAATTATCTTAACAGGTATCAAGCAGAACTTGCTTGCATCATCCAGAGGGCAACCCACGTTGACTTGAACTAAGTTATTTCAGCATCCATCACCAAAAAGACACACTGGTACAAACAACCCGCTTGATTAATGCGACGCAGTCCGAGATCTGGTCGCCTTCGAGGTCCGTCACGATCAGCCGTGGGCCTCCCCTCGGACAAACGCTGTGGGAGGCCCATTCCAGTCTTAGCGGCCTGCAGTTCAGACAAGTTTGAAAGGGTAAGTTTGAGCTCCTGAGGCACTAGCGATATCGATGTTCGGAATCATCAGATGCGTCAGTCGTATCAAATAGTCAAATTGACAGATATCCCACTCAGGTACTCAATATCACTATTACGCTACATAGGTACATTACCAGCTCTACACTCAATCGTTTTCTCCTCCGGGCTCCTAAATTCAGCTTAGTCGCATTCCCACTCTCCACTCCTAATTCTCCGCTCAATGCACGAGCTTTTCTCTCCTGGACTGCCGTATCTAGTAAGCGTAGCCGCTGGTTACTCCGGGATTTTTGCTTGCGATTTTTATTCCCACCCCGCCGTCAAAGTAAAGGGTGAAAAAAACCACGAGTCTAGGCGCGGTGACGATGAAGCGTTTGCTCCATCACGCCTTAGTTTCTCGCCCGACCTACCGCATTCAGGCCATGGAATTTCAGCTTCATGTGAGTCACTGGAGTTACGATTAGATGGCTAGTTATGATGAACCCAGTACAATGACAACATTCCGCTACCGGATGTCGGAATGGCCCAGCCTCAGAAGATGAGAAACGGGCTAATCTGCGACTCGTTTTCTCTGGCAAAACTGATCCAATTTCCCGAAAATTCGCCTGAAGCCGCCCAGAAATTCTGTAGAAACGTAAGCCCTCCATTATTGCACCACAATCCAGTCGTCGAGATGCTCGATTCAAAAAGCCTTTGCACAATGCGTTGCCGATGCGGGTCCCCGCGGCATTCCGTGCCTGCAACGAAGAGCGGGAAGAAGAGGTCGTGGCAGAACACAGTGCACTGTGAAAATATACTTGTGACGCCATGAATCTCGTGAAACAGGTAATCGACAGATGCTGCTGTGCTCGCTGCCGACGCGCCAGTGCGGTCAAGGGCTTGGTGGCAGTAGATGAGGCCGGCGTAGTAGTGAGTTCGCATAATGGCGTCAAAGGAGTTTCGTCTGCTGTCTCCCGGGTCCAACACCAAGCAGATACAAGCAGAGGCCGTGCTATGAGCAACGTCAAGCTTCGATTTCCAGACATCCATGTCTGTATTCGGTAGCTGGGCGCCCCCCTGTTCAAGCTCGTAGAGTTGCCTCTCTACCCTGGTGATGTCGTGTAATAGGTCCGTAAACATCCAGAAATACCCAAGGGGCATCGAGTGTGAGGACGGTTTCAGAACCAGCTGTGGGGTTCTTGCAAAGGACGAAATATTGGCATACGCCTCGAGATCGAGCGTTTCCTTGAATAGAAACCAGACAAGCGAGTCTTGGGGCTCTTCTCGCGGCGTTTGTAGGGTGTGTCGGTTTACAAAAGCGCGACATGCGCGGAGGTGAAGACTCCAGTCCGTTGACTCGGGCGTCAACATCTCGGCAAAGCATAGCAGGAGCATCGTGGCGAGGATTTCCGCCACGCTTGCGCCTCCATCATTTCGTTGGGCGACCGAGTTGTCGCGGTTCAGTTCTAAGCTCATCTTATGGTTCAGGTCTCGAAGACTTGCGTCCCGTAGGCTGCGGTTGAAATGGAGAAGGACGGCTTTGTTGTTGTTGCCCGCACATTTGACGGACAGATGAGCGGCAGCAAGGCCCATGATGGACAGTCGAAGACAGTCCGAGTCTCTTGCCAGACTGGGAATGCTGTTTCGCCAGGCGTTGTGAGGCCCGTCTAGCCATATTAACATGGGGGTAATTGCGTTGCAAAAGTGGTTGAGCAAGTTGTCCACGGAAGCAGTCGAAAGATAGTGACCGACGAGGCCCAATTCTTGCATCAGATACGGAGTAAGCGTGGAGAAGTCTGGAGCCACAGGACGGACGTCATACTCCCGTCTCTCCACAGAAGAATCGACTTCCTCAACGCCAGATTCGCTCCGCGGCCCAGCCGCATCCTTGGGCGGCAGGACAGGGATGACTCTACCAGACAGCTTCCCCCTGCTCGCCACGCCCTGGCCCCATCTTAGCGGAACGGGGTCGAAGCCGGGGCACGATAGCTCGCGGCTGGTGCATTTCCGGCACTCCGGGAGGGTGCGGTCACATCGGATGCGGCGTTTGGTGCATAGGCGGCAGTCTGAGCTGTTAGGTACCGCGTCTTAGCACCGGGAGGTGGGGGGATGGGAGTCGTACCTTTAGATGACACCTCTCGGTTGGAGGGTAGGGCGTCGAGACGGACGTTCTTGGGCCTCATGGTTGGAGATGGGTTGCTCGTGTTAGTGCGTAGAGGAGTGGGACGTGAACAAATAGCCGTGTCTTGGCCAATCACTCGACCGCGGAATCACTCGAACTGCGGAACGAGCATGTTCCTGCTACGAGAAACGTGCAGTTGGAAGCTCCAAGTTTCCCACGAGGCCTCGAACAAGCCCGCCATTTCTTCTTGTGCCCCGCCGAAGAGCCACCTTTTCTCCAGCCGTGCGTCACAAAACCCCATGGAGCGGTTCGGACGCGACATCAGCTAAGCCCGTTTCTGACTCGGGCGTAACTTGATCCATGTCAGCGCCGTCTGTGGCTTATAAGCCGTGGGGGCCGTGTCGTCGACAAGGCGCGGGCCTAAACGGATTGGGAGGTGAGGACAGGATTGATGATCCACGTGGAAGAAATTGGTCATGACAGTGACAACAGAAACAACAGTATTAATTATCCAACCAACTAACGCCTAGCTTCCCGGGAATATCCTCTGAAATTACATGTATCTACGAGTACGCTGGCACCATCTCTACCACAGGCGGTGACTCACTTTTTCCACCCAGCGCTGCGTCAATCGCAATTTGTATGGGCACGACGAGCTCCACCTCGGCATTGTTGATGTATAGACTCAAGTGAATGGCGTATGTTCGCGAAATGAGACATGAGTGAAACGTCGGGAGAAACGTCTTGGTCGAAGTCGGCAGTTGGAACAGGACGTCAAGAGTTGTCGAGTGAAAGAGCGGCGGCTTGCCTGATCCCCGGCTGCTCGCAGACGTCGTGTCGAGATGCTGCGACCACTGCAACCGGCTCTGCGGCTCCACGCTGACCGGGACCGCAGTTGTGAAGGGCTCTCCGATGGAAGAAGTCCCAAGATCGGGTAAGCCGGAGACTTGGCTGGGCTGGTACCACGTGTATGATCGAATCTTTGCGCTTACTTTGGTGATCTGCGGCGGAATCACATCTAGTGCTGTGGGCTTGAAGGTTAAGCTGACGGGCAACGACGAATCGCCGTGGCCGCGTCCGTCTGGGTAGAGATGAACCGTCTGGGCTTGCGCGGCTGCGACGGTGACCTGGCCCAGACTTCCTGACAAAAGCCCCTTGCGGATCTGCTTGGTCTTTGTAAGGGCGTATCGTTTGTTGGACTTGTAGATGTTCAACGGTGGTTGCTCGGGGGATGGCGCGAGGACCTTGATTCTCCTGGCCGCCTCGGCGTACATTGAGTAGGGTTCGTCGGCGTAGGGCTTGTAAAAGATGGTCGTTTTGATCGAGTATATGATCTCGCTGACGGAAGCAGCCATGTCGTCTTTTTCCCAGTTTCCCATGCTGGGAGGGAGCTGAAGGTGGTGGTCCCTCACAACATCGGAATCCACCCTATGCGAACAAGCCGCCGTCGGCAGCTCATGCGGAATGATGAAGTGAAACGGCAACACGTATGTCTCTCCCGCCAGAAAGGTGCCCGACTCGGGATACGAGGAATCTGGAATTGGCATGTCGAGCTCGAGGAAGCGATGGGTGGTGGTGGCCCCGGCCGTGACGTTCTCCCAGTGCACCTTTGACTCGCCCACCAGCTTGATCTGCACGGCGGCCGAGTGGACGTCCTTGATCGGGGAGAAGACGGCGTCGCCGATGACGGGCGAGCCCGAGTCGTAGACTTTGGAGTTGTAGTGGTGGCAGATTTCGACGTGCAGCTCGCTGCTGCGCCAGCGTTTTGCGAGGGTCATGGTTGGGTTGTAGGAGGATTGGGAGGATTGGTTGTCTGTGGTGTAAGAGCCAGAGCCGGATGGTACTTAGATGGGATGTTGGAGGTTTTAGGACGGAGGGAGGACGGTCATATAAAGAACAGTATAAAGCCAAAGGAGTCATGCACACTCGACATGGAACACGGTGATTATAAATTCAAGACGACGGATCAAAGAAGAATAAAACAAGATTTAAAAAACCATCCACCATCTCGACTAGTTCCGCATCATGTGGTTCTGACGGTGCATAATGCCGCTTCCCTGTCCGCCCACGCCCTTTCATAGCCCCGAGTTCCACGCTGGGTCTTACTCCCCTGAAGCAAGGGGGTGTGAAGAGTCTGAGGCCCACCCACTGTAACATGTAGGGCGCGTGCTACTACGCCCTAGTCTACATGACAGCCCATCCATCCAAGGCTATGGGTGCTGCTCGCGGCTGGGCGTTTCTTAGCTCGTTGAAATGCCTGCCAATTGCGAAATGCCAACATCGGCTTCTGCTGGGTCAGAATGGATTGGTCATCCGTCACATCCTGTGGTGGTGGGTAGGAAATTGGCCATTGTCAACCAACATGACGTTTTCCGCCTTATTGGCATCTGGGATCAAGACACACGCCCAACAGGTCACTATTAGTAAAGACAGGGTCCGACCCGCTCACCCGCATCCCAGCCCGCCTTGCAAAAACAGCATCGACACTATTTTCCCGCTTCTTTTCGCTTGGGATTGAGGCGCTGGGTTGGCTCGGTTGGTGCATCGGTGGAACTCGTGGGCTCTCCACGCTAACCCGATCGGGGAGCTCGGGAGAGAAAACGGGAATTGACAGTTGAGGTGATTTTGACTAATGCTACAAAACTCTCGGATGAAAGCTCCGGACTCTCGGGTTGCTCCTCGGTGACTCAAATGGGCGAGGAGATGAATTCATATTTTAATTCCCCACGTGCTCAGGGCCGAGGCCGGGACATTGTTCGGGATCATCAGTTCCATTGCACAGTGACAGCGACAGCGGCATTGGTAGTTTGGCTTGTCGGCGGCGGAGACGGAGGCAGAACCGTGAGCAGGTAGCAAATCTGGTTAGTAATACTGGAATAAATTCAGAAATAATACGTTCGAAAGTCAACGTTCCTACTTAAGTGCTTTGCCGAAATGATAAAGCTGGTGTGAGGTTGTGATGTCATGGTAGACAGGGATGAGATGAAGCTGGATGTTGATATGAGAACCAAGCTGTGACGCCTGTTGCTGACCGCCACTTCTACTCAGATTCTTTGGTCATAAATGACCTGGACCTGCTGGATGAATCAAGCTTCTATTGCCAACTAGAACATTTAAAGTCTAAGAGCAAACACCCTGAATCGTGCACACTGTACTTATGCAGTCATCTCGCAAGGACGGTCGCGCATTTGCCTACTGTTATCCAAGTCCTGCTCCGTTGCAGCACCAACATCCACGCATGAACACCTCAAAGACCGGATTCCTGTTAGCCAAGCGACTCTATATCATGCACATCGCATCAGGGTCACTTCAACACCAAGTCGGGCAATGCTTTGAATGCCTGGGTTCAGAGTCTGCATCTCACAGTCATTCCAGGACGGACAAGGAAGGCGTCCTACGAAGTGTTGTTCACATGCGCCGGCTCGACTTGGCAGGTCGAGAGACTCTGTTGTCATCAGCGCCGTCGCCACACCAACGATGAATGCTCTTTCCTTCCAATGCGGGAGTGAAACTCCCCAGTACCTGAACTGGGCTAAAGTAGAACTGACAGGAGCTGGGGATGAGTTGCGGTTCCAATTGGTTCAAGACATAGACATCGCAACTCCATAAGGAGAAGGCGAGGGCCAGGGCAGCTCTCCAAGTGTCCATCAAGGCCAAGCACGATTGCCTGATCTTTTGTTTTCTTTCTATAGACATGAGCGATGGTTACTCACTACACTACAGGAGAACTTCATCCAGACAGACATCATCATCGTTTGGCAGAGCTTTTTGGGAACATTGATTTTTGACCAATTTTTTTTTTTGAATCAGTTCCAGCATCACCATCAAGTCTACCGCCATGTCTACTGCCGCTGCCAGCCCCGTCGCCTCCGCTGTCGCCTCCCCCTCACGCCGCGGAGAAGGTTGCCGACGCTGCCATCGCCGCCGCCGCCGCCGCCGCCGATGCTACTTCCGCTACCACTACTACTCCGGCCGTGATCCCGGCCGCCCCCGGCTCCGCCGACTCCGAGCCCCCGCTTTATGGCGCCGAGAAAGCTGCGGACGCCGCCATCGCCACCGCCGCTGCCGCCGATGCTGCTGCCACTGCCGCTGCCGTCGCCACTGTATTGGCCATTCCGGCCGCTGAGCACGCCCATCTCGCGGCATTAGGATTCGCGATCCCAGATCACATTCTGGCCCCGGCCCCGAGCCCGAGCCCAATGCCGCGGAGAAGACTACCAACGCTACTATCGCCGCCGCCGCCGATGCTACTGCCGCTACCGCTACTACTCCGGCCGTGATCCCGGCCGCCCCCGGCTCCACCGACTCCGAGCCCCCGCTTCATGGCGCTGAGAAAGCTGCGGACACCGCCATCGCCGCCGCCGCTACGCCGATGCTGTTGCCGCTGCCGTCGCCACTCCATTGGCCATTCCGGCCGCTGAGCACGCCCATCTCGCGGCAATGGGATTCCCGATCCCAGATCACCTTCTGGCCCCGCTCCCGGCCCCGGCCCCGGCCGTCTACCCAATAGTCAAGCAAGCCCGCGCCTTGATCGTCCCGGAGATGGAGGAGCTGAGCAAGGAGCAGTACGGGGCCCAGCAAAAGGCACAGGGGTTCGATAACACCCCCGTTCAGACCCGCTTCCAGGAACGGAAGATGTGGTACAAGGTGGCCCAGGAGTCCCACAACGGGACACGGCGAGAGTACGTGGCTCTCCTCGCGGCGACCGTAGGGATTGGCGCTCCCTACAAATGGTCCGATCACCACAAATGGCTGGCCCAGGAGATCGAGACAGCCGACAAGATGCACCAGTTGCCAAATTGGCGGCTAGAGCGGCTGAGTAGTGTCGGCGATCAACTTATTGCTATTTTCAGCAACGAGGTCTAATGTCTAATGTCTAATGTCTAATGTCTAAGGAGACTCCGGATCAGGGCCTATATAAACTCAACAATGTGTCCGGTCGAGGTCAATCCATTGTGCCCGATCCAGTTATCTCGAGCAGACCGTCAATAGCTCGACGCACTTCTTACCTAACTCTAATAATATATCCGATCGAGGTCAATCCATACTACCCGACCCAGAATCCCGAGTAGACCGTCAATAGCTCAACATACTGTCCAGTCGAGGACAATTCAGCGCAGCCCATCTACGCAACCAACATACCAACCCGGAGTAACTGGCATCACCATCCTCCGTCGTGCTTTGCCTGATCACACTGCCACTGCTACACAGGCGGTCAGTCCTCAGCCTGAAACTTGCAGCACAAACACCACCCATCATCTACCACTCCCTCCGCCATCATGCCTTGCCCGATCCCGCGGCCACTGCTACACAACCCGTCAGCCCGCACCCTACGACTTGCGGCACAAACACCACCCATCAGCTACCACTCGCGTCGGATATCATGCTTTGACTGATCACGCTGTCGCTGCTACACCACTACCCTCAGGTCTCATCCTGCAACTTACAGCATCAACCACCACCCATCAGCTACCACCAAATCGGCCACGTCATCAGCGCCGTCGCCACACCAACGATGAATGCTCTTTTCCTTCCCATGCGGTAGTGAAAACCCCCAGTACCTGAACTGGGCTAGAACTGACAGGAGCTGGGGGTGAGTTGCGGTTCCAACTGGTTCAAGACATGGACATGGCAATTCCACAAGGAGAAGGCGAGGGCCAGGGCGGCTCTGCATCAAGACGAAGCACGACTGCCTGGTTTTTTGTTTCCCTTCCATGGGCATGGGCGATGTTGCTCACTTACCTCGGGGCCGCTTCGAATACTCAAGTCAAGGCAAGTCACGAGGAGACATGACGCACGAGAGCCCATGAGACTGTAGTGTCGTGGCAAGAATGACGATTCATTACCGGCGTGTAGAAGCTGCATACCTAGGCAAGGTAGGCATGGCAGGAAAGAACCCAGGTAGGTAGGTACAATAAAAAATGATGCAGGTGCAAGTGACAACACGTACCTACCGACGGGTATGGAAGCCGGCGTAAACATAAAACTTCATCCAGACAGACAGACAGACATCCATCATCATCGTTTGCCAGAGCTTTTTGGAAGATTGATTTTTGACCAGTTTTTTTTTTGAATCAATTCCAGTATTTCCAACAAGTCTGCAGCCATGGACCCTGTCGCCCCATCCGTCCTCCAGCTCACCGCCTACGCCGACGCCGACGCCGACTGGACCGACGCCGCTGGCCAGCTGCCCAGGGAGAAGAATGGCGCCGAGAACGCCGCCGCCGCTGCCATCGCCATCGCCGATGCTGCTGCCGTTGCCGCTGCCGCTGGCGTGGCCATTCCGGCCGTCGACCCATTGGTCGAGCGAGCCCGCGCCCTGGTCATTCCAGAGATGGAGGACCTGAGCTGGGCGGTGTACAACGGCCAGCGAATGGAGGTGGGGCTCGGAGAAAAAGACGTCGATAAAGCCTTCGAGAAAGAGATGGAGTGGTACAAGGCAGCCCAGCTGCACCACACCAAGGCCAAGGAAGAGTACCTGGCTTTCCTGGAGGAGACCATGGGGAGTCGCCCTCCCATGGGGAATCGCCGTCCCTACAAATGGTCCGAACATCACGTGTGGCTGGCCCAGGAGATCAAGGCCTACAAGGAGCAGCACCAGTTGCCAGATTGGCGAACAGAGTGGCTCACCCAGTTGGCCGAGATTGCGGCCGCTTGGGCTTTGGAGCAGGCGGAGAGGCGTGTATGGATCCTCATGCACCCTCTATGGGGAATGGGGTATTATACCCTAGCGAGCCGCCGGCGGCACGAGGGTCACGCGAGGTCATCGGCAAACGACTGCCTCGAATAGGTGGAGGTAGCTGCGGCGCTGCGCGCTGCCATGCTTTGATCGACCGTCCCCGGGTCTGACGTTATGACGACCCATCCCCTGCTCCAACGACATTCGGCCATGACTTGTTGGGATTTTATCCCCGGCATACCACACCCACTAGGACACAAGTGGGTGGTTTTTTCGGCATGCCGTTTTGTGAAGGAAAACACATCAAACCTGTGACGCGACATGATCAACTTTCGGCATTCTTTGAAGGTCTTGAGGCCCGCTGATGGACGGCTCCCTTTTCAGCAATCCGATCTTGTCATGATCAAGTCATGAAGCGAGGAAAGCGCAGCACACCCGAGGAAAAGATCACTCGTACTCTACTGCGAAGGAAAACGTACAATTAACCAACGACGTGGAATCGGCCGACACCCGGTATTCTCGGAGGTCTCGAGCCCAGCTCCCTCCCTGCGATCCGGATTTATCGGTACTACGATCCAGTCAGCGAAGGAAAACGCGATAACACCTGTGACGCGACACGATTCGGTATTCTTTGAAGGTCTTGATGCCTGTTGATGGACGGCTCCCTTCTCAGCAATCCGATGTTCCCACGTGCGGTCATGAACGGACGCGATTCGAGAAAAGATTGGGTATTCTGTGAAGGTCTTGAGGCCTGCTGATGGACGGCTCCCTTCACAGAAAACCAATCTTAGGATCGCGTTGTCTGGCGAAGGAAAACGCAAAACCTCCGACGAGGTCAAATCCAGTGTGGTCTGAAGGTCTTGAGGTCTGACGGTTGACGACTCCCTTCAGCACCACCTGGATGAGAATGACCGAGTCGGCTACGCCGACGATGAGTTCACACTTCTACGTAGTGTCGGCGATCAACTCATTGCTATTTTCAGCAACGAGGCCAAGATGAACTCAACAATGTGTCCGGTCGACAATCCATACCGCCCGACCCAGCGTCTCGAGCAGTCGTCCGTCAATAGCTCGACGCACTTCCCAACCAACTCCAACAATGTGTCCGGTCGAGGTCAATCCATACTGCCCGAGCGTCAAACAGTCTACCGACAGCTCAGCATACATCCCAAAAAGCTCCAACTGTCCAGCCGAGGACAATTCAGCGCAGCCCATTTGCGGCTCGATGCACATCCAGCCAACCCACATACCAACCCGGAGGAACTGCATCACCATCCTCCATCGTGCTTTGACCGATCACCCGTCACTGCTACACGAGCCACCAGCCTGCAACTTGCAGCACAAAAACCGCCTATCAGCTGCCACTCGCATCCGCCATCATGCTTTGCCTGATCACGCTGTCTCTGTTACACGAGCCTCAGCCCTCAGCCTACAACTTGCAGCATCAAACACCACCCATCAGCTACTACCCATCAGCTATCACTCTAATCCGCCATCATGCCTTGCCTGATCACGCTGTCGCTGCTACACGGGCCTCAGCCCTCAGCATGCAACTTGCAGCATCAAACACCACCTATCAGCTACGAGCTACCAGCTGTGACCCATCAGCTACCACCCACCAGCTATGACCCATCAGCTACCACCCATCAGCTACCACTCGCATCAGATATCATGCTTTGCCTGATCACGCTGTCGCTGCTACACCACTAGGCCCAGGTCTCCGCCTGCAACTTGCAGCATGAACCACCACCCATCAGCTGTCACCCATCAGCTATCACCCATCAGCTATCACTCACATCCGCCATCATGCCTTGCGTGGTCATGCAGTTGCTGCTCAACGAGCTATCAGCCCTCAGCCCTTGGCGTGCAACTTGCAACATCAACGACCGCCCATCAGCTACCGCCAAATCGGCCAGCAGATGTCAGCTATCACTTCTTTCTGCTATCTTACTTTGGCAGACCATGCCCTGCCATTGTTACGCAAGCTATCAACCGTCAGCTCGCAAAGTCAACTATCAGTTACATTCCACCGTCAACCATCATAGGTGCGCCATCACCTTTATCCGATATCGTGTCTTGGCATATCGTCCTGGCACCACTACACGAGCTTTCAACCTTAGCTTAAAAACCCACCATCAATCAGTCACCATCAATCAACTTCAATGGATCGACCACCAACGATCAGCCATCATCGGTCAGCTACCACGGATGAGCCATCAATCACAAGCGATCAATCCTTGCTCCCATCCGCCGGTGTGTGCCTTGGCATATCATATCACTGCTACACAATCTGTCGGGACTTCCGCTTGCAAACTCCAACTTCCACTGCAACCATCAATCATTACAGATGGGCTGTAGCTGTCACCATTCACCGGCCTGCATGCATCAACGATTTGCCACAGATCAGATGTCATCTTCGCCAGCTTATTACCATCAGTCATTCGGGGTCGGCTATGCTATCAACCAACCACCAACACGCAAAACAGGCTGTCGCTCTTACCAACCTCTAACGATTGATTATCCACCCATTACAGACAATCTATTATTTCCATCCACCGTCACACTTTGACGTCACCTCTACGCGGCGTATCAACGTCAAGTGTACCAAACTCAACCATCAACCATCATGGAGGGACACCACTGCGAATCCCACCAACTTCCGATAGCTCTGAGCCTCTCGATATCCTACTAGCGTCTGCCAACATATCAAGATGTTGTCAAGACAATCCAAAATACCCATTACAGTACCTCGAGCCGGTTTCCGCTTCCGCTCTCTCGGAGCCTAGCCGCTATCCATCATCTGCTACGAAGCAACGCGGACTCGCCCCTTCGACCTCGGCAACTATCGGCAATCGATGACAACCGTTGGCTTCATGCCCTTCAAAACCTGTATGTGGTGGTCGCCATTACCCCCCAGCGGCCATTGGCCTGGCACCGCAGTCACTACTCCTTACTCCCTATCACCACCCATGGGCCATCGCTGCCATCACAGCCCTCCCCATCAGTCAGTGGCCGCTATCAAGTGTTCTATTCGCGACGAATTTCTTTCGGAATTGCGTCTGATTCTTCGGCTGTCGAGTATCGGACCCGCCTTGAGCTTTGTTCGGCGACCACATCCTGTTTTTCAACCTCCACCAGCCATTTGAGGAGTCATCGAAAAACAGCGACACCCTGGTAGCTAGGCCCTCGTCTGCGATTTTAGTCTACAGCACCTACCCTTGCGACAATCAACGTGCATTTTCTTAATGCAAGCCGACTATCCGGGTTCAGAATAGGGTTCAATCTCGTGGTTTGCCTTTTTGCAACCCTTTCGGCGCCGTTGTGTCAGACAACCTTGAGCGACAGAGAGCTTTCTCCGAAGCAAAGGGTATAAATTCCCATCCCGCGCTCCTCTGCGTCTCATGCATCTCCTCAACTCTCCCAGCATAACGTCAATTGACCCTTCGTTGAAATCACACCAGGAATCGACCAAGTCACTCTTTACAGTGGTTCTATCATCCGTCTTTTTCATATCAACCCACCAGTTGACTCCAATAGCACATTGGATTCTCTAGCCTGTCACTGCAGCTTTCCTTACAAAACTCACCAGGATGGATCCTTTCAACAACTTGCCGGCAGAGATCCGCCTGAACATCTGTTTCTGGCTTCGCCTTCGTTCCAAGCGCGCGCATTTGCCCTTAATCGAGGCATCTCCCACAATGCTCCGACAGTACGCCACATCAAAAGCATACATCACGAAGACATCCCTGGCCTTTGACCTCGACGATGAGATGATCCAAGATGCCACGAGACTCATTGAATTTTCTTTTTGGAAGACCACCATCGTCTCCTCGGGGCTCCCTGGCTCCATTGATCGCACGTGGACGGCGCAGCAGCTCCCGAACCCATTCAAGACGGGGGACCATGTGCTCATCACAAAGATCGACAAATTACACAGCCGACTGTTGCTATTCATCGAGGATTACTTGACGAAGGCCACTGCGATATTCCCTCCCCGACAATACCTTTGCCTTCCCAACTTGTCATCAACCCAAGGCCATCTAATGTTCAAGAACGAGACAGTCTGTCCTCGATTTGATGCGGCCCATCTCACAAATCAAGAGAGGAGGCGGCTATTAAGGGCATTCCTACGGCATGAACTTATCTGCAAAATCAGCTTTCCGACCATAAATATACAATCCTACTTAGACTTGCGGCCACTACTGCGATACGGCGGTCGAACATTCCACCACTCGGAGCTAGAGGCTATTGAATGCGTCCGCACATATCTCATGTCTCTTTATGGGGCCATTTTCGCTCAATGCGGCGATTTCTGGCTCCCAGACATACCCGAAGGCACTCTCTCTGCTGGCGGCACAGGTTTACTATACCCAGACAATCTCTACGTCGACGATGGGCTCTACTCTTTTGACATGCGCTCTCGCGTATCATCTTTTCGGGCGTGCTTCGGATTAGATCTTGTGACGAGTCTTATCCGATGCGCCACATCCGGAGGGCATGGACGAGATCGCCTCAAGTTCTGGTTCCAGAGCCCCTCTACAGCTTTGTGGGTAGGATTTCGCTGGCCAAGTTACACTATCCCGTGCCAACATGCACAATGCATCCCTAGGGACGGCTTGGACCACGACTTCGACCACATGTCTGATAGCGAACTTCGTCGGCTCACTCTCTTATATCAATACCAACTTCCAAAACACATGCCTAACGGAGTAGTAAATACGCAGTGCCATTATCCAAAATACATTCCTGTCGCCGCAGACGATATGCGCCACCAGGAAGGCTCGGGGATGTACCAGAAACTTTCCTCTCGCATTGTGAAAGGGTTGGATATACATCGAAACATGTATCGACAACGAGCGTGGGTTTTCCTCGATGACGATCGATTGTACCCGTCGTCTGGCCCAGCACCCCACTTTCCAACTTCTGACGAGATGATGGAACAGTCCGCTGACACGGCGACAAACATGGAGTGGTTCACGGATCCTCACCGTACCAGAGCTCGGCATCGATCACAAAAGTTTCATCAAGAGCGATGTCCTGGTGGCAACGATGAACAACAGATCGATGAAGCGCAAGAATCAAGACTGGGAGTAGAGAGCGAAATCCTACTACCAGGGATGGGTGGTGTGACAGAAGAGTTATATTTCGGACGCTTGCCTCCATTCTGGCGATGAGTGCGCCTTTGGTGTTGGAGTAGAGGGATCTTTTCTTTTGAGCGGTTTATGTATAGTATTTTGTGCTGATGAGTTGGAACAGAACTAGGTGGCATGATGAGCGCAAGGTACGCCCGAGCAAGGATGTCGAGAGTGCAGAGTACTGAGGTGGAGAAGACGTAGATGAACAATAAATGAAAGGCATGACGGTAATGAGTGGCATGGTTTTCTCTTGGTTCCTGGTTGTTCTGTCCACCAGCTAGGTAAATAGATGCTCTATCCCCGAGCCTGGTACATATTTATTTTGATTGAGTTGATAGCTGAGTCTGGTGCCTCTGTCTGGTGTCTTGTGATTGAATGGTAGAATCAACGGACTGATGTCCTTTATTCTTGGATTATCGGCTCTGAAGCAATTGAATGTTCCCTCAAGATGACACAAATCTCGTTCTTGCCCTCAGCCTCGGCCACGCTTAATGCAGTCTTCCCTTGGCTGTTCTCGCGGCTAACGTCTGCCCCTCGCTCCAACAATAACTTCACTATCTCTACTTGTCCTTGTCTGGCTGCGCAAATGAGGGCTGATTCTGGTGGTTTACCAGAATACATCTTTCCATCTTGCCCCGCCACCTCCAAATCCTCCACATCAGCGCCAGCGTCCAGGAGGATCCTGACTCCTTCCACAGAGAATCCCGCCAGCATTTGCAAGGCGCCCGAACCGTTTATCCGCGCGCCTCTCTCGACCAGCCAGCGCAGCCTAGCTAAGAGTTGATCGTCGGTCTGCTCTAGCTGAGCGACGTATCGCAGTATCCTCACACGAGGCCATTCGTGGTTGATGTCAACACCCTGGGAGCACATGAAATCGACATATTCGAGATTCCCCCTGATGATAGCCGACGTGATTTGGCTGCCGGCCCGGAAGCCATGGAGGTATGAAACTGGGGGGATTCGAGCAAGTGCCGACGGTTCACAGCTCACAAATGCACGCGCAAGTGGAATGTTGCCTTTGAGTGCATTTTTCCTCAGGCATTCCCATGGGATCTGCTCTGGCGCGTCGCCAAACTCTGAATGCGGCGGACGGGCAGCAGCCGCGGCCTCGTCGACGAGATGAGGCACATACAGCGTATCCCACACTAGCTTGAAGATCTCCGGTGATTCAGCATCCACGGCAGCACTCAAAAGCGCCCTAGGTCCATAAGGAAGCGCGGTGTAGGGGGTATAGAACTCTTGTATCTCAACTGAGAGCTGCGGGAATGCATTTGAGAAGAAGTCGGAGAGTGCACCGAGATCCCGGGCCTTGATGAGCTGGTGGAGGTGATTTTGCGGATACGAAGGCGGATCCTTGGACATTGTTGACGAATGGATTGCTTTCTGGGTTCTGAGCGCTATGTCGTCCAAGGGTTGATGTTGGGATCTTGATCATGACAAGTTTGCGTGCGGCTGGTGCAAACAAAAGAGCCCAGTATGTGCTTACGTGGGCAGCCGCTACGACAGCCTAACAAACCCCGCTTCCGATGTTCTGTTGGTGGTGATACGTATGAATGGAAGATGCACTACGTCAGATAAATGCGGAGGGAAACCACCAGTTTTGCTGCTTCCGTCAGCTAGGACCTATGAAACATGGTCTTGCGCTACGGATTTGGAATGACAGTGCACAAAGAACCCACGGAACCTGCGGAACCCATTGAACCATTGAGAGACTAAGGTGTGGATGGGGGACTGTTTGTGCACTGCCTTGATCCTCTGTAAGGTAGGAATCTGTGGGAATGTGTCTTCCGATGTCTTTCCACCGGATGTGGGTTTTTATGGTTCGCCGAGATTGTACGAATCCTTCATCCTTTGACAGGACCATCGCTTCATCCATCTTTTTTCCTACGAGGGACGATCAACAATGACATGGTACGAGTGGTGCGTGCTCGCATTGTTTAATCGACCCGGAGTCTGAATAAGTTGTACTATGAATAAATTCACATAAAAACTGATCCGACTCAGAGCAAAGGTTTATTTTTTGTCCCGTATTCCCTGCAGCGTCAGAGTCAGCAACACGCGGCGCTTGGAAGCAGCGGCACAGTTTGGAAATGAGCCATGGCGAATTCTAAATCCCAGGCGACAATGCCGGGGGCGACGGTGTTTGGGGCGGTGCACAGGTGGGTAGCTGGAGCAGCTATCACGTACGGTAGTACAGAAAGGATTGAGCTGGAGGAGCTGGAGGAGCTGGCCCCCAGGTTTCTATATTCCTGGGTCACACCAGCTATGAGGGAACCAACGACAGGGCTGAGCAACCGTCAAGGTCATCGGATCGACACAAGCGAGATGCAACAGCGAGATGCAGCAGCTTGCTAATTACTCGGAGACTAATAAGCCGCTGCCGTTTCTGCCGTTGTCATGCATCCGTGAGTGGACCGAAACTAGGGATGAAACAGGGCGTCTAATTACGGAGGAACTGTACTAATTAAAGCCAGGCCAAGCCCTGCGAGACCTCAGGTACCATCGAAACTTGATTTGACCGAATGTTCTTTTCATATCAAAGACGATGCGGTCGTAGGTATGACTACGATTGACCCGCTGGTAGATCCGAGTGCTGCCTTTTTATGTGCTGTCACGGTGAAGCGATGGGGTAGTCTAGACTCTACAGCCGAGGAGCCGTTGACAAGGCAATCTGTGCAGCAAATGCCGAAGCAACGCATATCGGGCCATTTAAACAAGTACTGAAGTAAGGACCAAGAAACTTTCCCAGAGTGGCGCAAGCTTGACATCGCGATATTGGGCCTGCAGGGTAGGACAATCACACCCAGATCCATCAAGTTCGAGTTCGGATGGATAAATGGCAGAAACAGGATGAAACAAGCTGATGCGACACGGCTATGACGGAACTTATCACCCCTGAACGAGTCAGCGTGGTGATATTGCCGGGATTCCCCCCACACCATGTCGTAGTGTAGGAGTCGGGATGAATCCTTTGAATCCTTCTGACTCCTCCACACGATCCATCACTCCCACCACGGGCCTCATGGAGCGCCTGGCGGCAAACTCAACCCACTGCCAGCGTCAGCCCTACCCCTGGAAACGGTGCTGTTTTCATGGTGATGCTGGGGATTCGACTGAATTGGCGCCTGTTAATCTAACCGCGTGGGTAATGCGTGTGCGCGTCGAGATAGATAAAGACGCTGTTGCGATGAACAGCTGATGGCTTTTGTTGCTACGGAACCGTATTCTTACGGGTTTTTTGAGTCCTTCTTTATTCGGTTTTTGTTGCTTGGCCACCATGCGGTCGTTTACCTTCTCTCTTTTATGCGCTTCGGTCGCAGCACTTTCTTTTCCTTCCGATCTATCAGGTCGAGACTCAACGAACATTGTGGCCCAACTACAACCTCGAGTTGATGACCCTTTTGGTAAGTCTGCCGTCAGATATAGCTCTCAATGACAAACTTAACTCTGGAAATCACAGGCGGCCAGGTCGCGTGGACAGACATGACCTCGGGCGACGGCGCGAACTCGCGTGGTGATTCGGACAAGATCTGGTATCTGCAAGACTTCATTACCAAATACCTTGATCGCATTCCCGCAGAGAACCGCAATGGCGTTTTCTGGGCCGGCGGGTCTACTTCAGAAGATGACTTTGATTACATTGACGAATTCATCGAGTCTCCAACTCGCTTGGATAGCCAGGGTGTCAAGGCCGACATGGTCTACCCGCTTAGTGACTTCCAGGCCATGGGCTTGGATGGAACAAAGACTCAACTTTGGTGGAGGGCCATTAATCGAATGTCCAAAGGTGAATAATATCACACACAGCTCCGGAATCCCCAGCTGACAGGTCCCATCCAGCTTTGGCCGCAAGTGCCTCTGGAGGCGGTATCGCCTACGTCTACTTGAGGCCCGTCAACTGCCGTACCATCTTTTCGCCACCTTCCCAGAACCCTCAGGATAGTAAGTGAATTTCTCACCCCTTCACACAGTTCGCGATCTAACTTTTCCATAGACGATCCGGATCACGGTGGCGTAGCAACCAACGGCGAGATCTGGTACTACGCAGAACTGCCCATGTTGATGAGAAACACAAACATCAACCAGATCGTCACATTCTACAAGAATGGACGTAAATTCGAAACAAAGGTGGAGTGGGATGCCACTAGAGTCAGTTAATAACCGCTTGCAAGTTTATTGCTCCACGAGAAACTGCTAACGACCATTCAGGATGCCGCTACGCATCCTCGAAATGAATTCGACGACATTGCCATGGACGCGTCGCCCATCGTTCTCCCCGCTGCAGCCGGGCGTGCCCCGTTGAAGAAGCGCCGTGCCTTTGTTCCGAGATTTGAGGGTTCGAACACAACCATGACGACTCTTCCCATTGAGGCCGATACCACAACTACGTGGGCGACATGGAACATTCCGACAACCACCCCTGACGCTGTTGAACCCACCACGGAGTCTACTTCTCTTCTGGTTCCTGTTGAGAGTTCCACCGACGTGGTCTCCGAGCCAGCAAACACCGAGACCCCGACCTCCTTCGTCGCACCCACCACGGAGGCTGGGACGCCAACATCGGATCCCGTCGTCGAGGAGACTTCTACTACTTTGATTCCTCCGACCTCTGACGTAACCTCGGATCCCATCGGTACACCCTCTGCTCCGTCTACCGACATCCCCGTCCCGACAACCACAGTAGCTCTTACATCCGACACGCTCACCACTAATCCGGTTGCGGTTGACTCGACTACTGAAACCTCAGTCCTTGGAGAAGTCACTTCTACTACCTTTGCTGCTGCTACAACCACTGATGCTGTTCCTACGTCAGCTACCACTGGCGCAGTTGTCATCCCGGGTCTGGTCGTCGTTGATGGTACGACTGTGATTACTGGTGGCGACATCACGTCTCCCATTCCAGTCACTGTTACCACGTCAATTGACCCCAAGGGAACCGAAGCTAGCTCTAGCGCCATCGCTATCCAGAGCAGCATCATCGCCCTGATTCCTGACATCCAGAACTACATTGACAACCCGTCAAAGGACAAGGCTGATAACGCCAACAACAACATTATCATTCTTCTGCCTCTGGTCACAGTAAGTCATCTCTACATTCTACAATAGCAACACTAACACATTCAGAACCTGTTCGGGTCTCTCAGTGGAAGCCCAGACCCGAACCCCAAGCCGTGCTCCGCAAGCACAAACCTGATCAAAACTCTCTTCAACGCCGTTTCTTGCGTTGTCGATAATCTCACCAAGGTTACTAGCCAAATTACCAAGAGCGTCGAGGATGAGTTCAAGAACTTGGAGGACATTACAAGTACTCTTGCTTTGCTTCAGGGCTTGGAAGAGCCATTGGATACTAAGAATGACGAGGAGGAGGACGATGAAAACAGCTCAAAGACTGATCAACAATCGTCGACAGAGGCGTCGACAGCAGAGTCGACCACAGAGGCAACAACGGAGACTTGCACGGCCACCATCACTGCAAGTGACTGCTTGGTCATCTGTCCCACTGCCACCTCAGGCGTAACTCTCGCCGCCACCGCAAGCTGCAGCACCACTTGCTTCTCCACCGTATCCGGCTGCGACGCCACCGCCTACACGACTACATCCTACACTGTAGAGGCTTGCTTGCTGCCAACTGGTGACTTGGCCGCGCCAACCGGCGACTTTGTCGGGGTGTGGTGGGATTACGGCTTGTCCTGTGCCGGAAACTGCGGTGCCTACACATTGCCCTCCGCAAGTGTCGATGAAGCTACTTCGACGACTGGCGTTGCTGCTGAAGCTACCAGCACGACCACTGAAGGGGTTCCAACTTCGGAGACGACCACGCCTGGCTTGGCGTCTGTGACCAGCATTACCTCGGATCTTTCTACCCCGGTGCCCAGCACTCTTGTGACTTCCATCAGAACCACAGAGTCTGATTTGACATCTGATACGACAGAGACAACTACCACCGAGGATCTAACTACCACTGAGGCTACGACTGACGAGACTACTACTCTTGGCCAGGTTACTACCCCCGGCCAGACGACTACCATGGATGCGGCCTCCACCACAGCTGATATCACCACCACTGAAGCTCCGCAGCCCACGATCGAAGGCTGGCCTTTCTGTGGCGTCTTTGGCGGTCCACGCGTTGCTACGCCCTACTGCCAATGCTCCACAACAGAGGAAGGCCAAACATTCTTTGCCACCGCTACTCTCATCGATGGGCAATGCACAGGCTACACCAGCTTCCCATCCGACATCACCCTGGCGCCAACGGAGGCTCCCACGACGGCACCGCACGTGGCCGAGCCTTACACCGAAACCACGGACGGAACTGTCCTTGCGTATCCCGATCGCACTGTGGAATACGGAAACGTCTACACCGGAATCAAGGTCACTTTTACCTACGGCGTAGGCACGCCCACGACGATTTCGACGCCGGTCCCGACTCAGACCGATTCGAATAACAAGGGCTCGAGCCAATGCCACAGCATCGACGATGCATGCGACCGAGCGTTTGAGCAGTTTGAAGACGCCAAGGTCTACACCCAGTTCACATCGTATTATTCCAGGATCAAATCGGGTATCATTGTGGCTGCCACGTTCGGCCAGGCCGGTTGTACGGCGCAATGGGATTGCGACGATTTTGGTATCGGTATGACTGGACTGGATATCAAGAATGCGTAAGTCAACACCGCTTATTAATTCCCATCCACCTACTAATTATTTCATTAGTGTTCAGTACATGAAGGACAACGACGGTGTAACCAAGTGTGGTACCACTTATCTTTCCAACACATGTCATGTCACTCTCAACTACTGTACAAACTGCCACCATATTGTAGAATGAGCTGAGCATGGAAGATGGTGGATCAGTTCATGATCACACTGGTCACCAAATAAGCCCAGCTTCACAACGGCACACACAAGTCTCACTGAGAGATCCTTGTTAGCCTGTGTTAGATGTTTAATAAAGAAATTGAATATGACGTGATGCAATATCGCTTGCAAATGCGTGAACAATGATAACTTTCCGACTGGCCTGTATAGCAAATATTGCTTTGCACTCGGGACCAGTGTGACGAAGAATTTTTTCGTCTCCGATGTAAGTTGCCATTATGCTCCTGTTAATTTTCTGCGTCCATTCTACAGATTAGCCTTGTAACGCAATCGACCTCGGAGTTCAAGTGCTCCTCAGTGCGATTTCTGCCTTTGTTAAAGCTAGATGGCCCGAAATAGACATTGATGTCGGAGATCTCCTGATCTTCCAACTACTTCAGCATGTGTGAGTTGTCAAATCCCAATATGACCTCACAACCAGTTTCAAGTCAGGTCTAGCGTCATGCCAAGCCTTGTTAACGATCAGTTCATACCTGGTCCTCCTAGGTTAAGACCCTCTTCCCAAGGTGGATTCATACCAGCTTTCAGCTCCCTCACATCTGCGCGCTAACAGGACCATTACAGAATGCCAAGAGTGAGGCGCCCATGAACGACTCATTCTCCTCTCGCAATGCAAGTCTTAAATACGCGTGGTTTTCACAAGCCCATCAAATAATTGCCGTATTTGATGCGGTGTGCTGAAAGCTGTGGCGGGCTGAATTATGCGAGAGAGCTAGTGCAGACACTATTGAAGCTGCCCTGCCGTTGAGGTTAGTTCAGGAGCTAATGCGAAGACTATTGAAGCAGCTCTACTTTTAAGGCTAAGTTGTTCCTCTTTGCGGTGGGCCGCCCCGAGCTGGCCCAACGACAACGCTGCTGAGTGTCCACTGAAATACGGCATCAAAGGCGATTGCATGGCATGTTTGTTGTTATTTATACGCTGTGCTGCCCGGTCCGAACATTGCCGTTGCTCTCATCCTTTCTCAATTAGACAAGCGAAGTGAGTCTTCCGGAAGCACAATGATGGGCAATGCATTGCTCGCTGGAGCCCTCGTGTTGATGGGAAGCGTCGCCGCAACATCACCTCATCAATTTTATGAACGTGCCGCCTGCAACCGCGACAATTTATTCCGATGCTTCATCGATACCCGATACTCTGTTCAAGCCAGTGAATTTTGCACCGGTCTTTCCCCTTTCACGGCGACAGTCGCTACCACAACTGCAACCACGTAAGAACACACACACCGGGCCTATTTCCGTTCATTCAACTAACCCTCCCAGAACCACAACTGTACAAGCCCTAGTCACTCTTGACGCGGTTATTAGTACCGCTACTTCTACCACCACTGTTTTTACAGAGACGATTCCCACAGCCACTACCACCTTGACTCTCAGCGTCGGAACTGTGGCCAAGCGCGATGCCACCGCGAGCCCGCCAAAGTGCATGACAAACGGCGTCACCTATCCTGCCAGCCGCATCACATCAGCTTGCTCCTGCATCGATGTACCGGCCACTACTATCAGCGCCACACACACTGTGAGCACTGAGACGGTAACGCAGGTAAGCTTGCTTCTCAATCGAGACATCGTCTTATGCAAGGAAACAATGCTCATATGACATCAGACCATCACTTCATACACAACCCCTTCCGCCACGGTGACATCCTGGACAACCGTCTCTACAGCTACAACTGGTGGAGTCTTTACAGTCACCGTCGGCCCGCCGTCTGGAGTCAACCGTATCATAAACGGCGACTTCGAGACCAAAAATGCCGACGGCTGGGAGCTGATTCCTGCGAGCTGGACAGGCCAGGTGATAACAGGGAGCCTGGATTCAGAGTACAAAGTCACTGGTTCCGGCAACAGCATTGGCTGGTTTCGCCAAACCCAACCCATCTATCTAGAATCAGGCCTGTATCGATTCGGACTTCGCGCTTCGATTTTGCCATATCCCTACGCCTCAGCGGCTTGGGGCGGCTACGCGGTTTTGGAGCTTGTGAACCCAGCAACAGGCACGAATGTAACCGTCGCATTGCCTGGGACATCGGTCAAGCAGATTGACAGTGCTACAAAGTCTTTTTTCCACAAAGTTGAGCAGAACTTTGAGGTTCTTGAGAATGCGGTCGGATACAACCAAGTCTCTATTAGGTATCTGGGCTTCACCCCCCCTCCCGCAACCATAGATGATATTTTCCTGCACAAGGTATGATACGCACACTCGCGTTCGCCCTGAATAGATAAGCAGGAGCTTAGTTAGTTCAAGTTTAAGATGCTCTAGAGTTTGACAATACATCAGTGTTGTAGACAGCTCTGGGAACCGGCTGATGGGACGCACGCTTCGTGACATTCCCTTGCATCACGGATAAAGCCTTGGACTCTTTTGCCATTGGCGAGTGTCTTCGTTTCCTGTCAATTCCGTTCTTCTCCATCACCCGGACTTAAGACGGCCAATATCAGCAGGCCCAATCCTTTACTATGCTGCCTGCAATTGAAGTTAGTCCGCAGCAATGACGATGGTGTGGGGCTGTTGGAGGCCTTTGCCGCTCAGCCGGTGCATCTCTAAGCACGCAAATAAGCCACGGCGCAGGTTCGAATCAAACTCCAAATCTGGCTTGGTGTGTTGAGTGGACAAGGTTCGCTTGGGCCGAGAATATGCTCCGCCACATTTCCAGGATCTCCCCGCCTCCCTAAGCCCAATTCTCCCCGCCTGTTATTTAGTCTCGTCGTTCTCGTTCTCGTTCCTTCGGTGGTAAATCATCCAACATTGACCACGCCACGGCAGCCACCACAACGTCAGCTACATGGGTGGTGCATTATCATTTTCCCCGTGTCCGGCTGCACTTGGCTCTATTGTCTCATAAATAACCCCAATCTCTCAGTGCCGAACAACCGATCGGTGCCGAACAACCGGTCATTCCTCGCTGACCTGATCGCCTCGTAGAAAGGCAGCAAAATCCACAAGCGACTAATAAGGTCTTTTTTAATTCAATTGGCCGTTTCTCAAACATGTAAGATCGTGGCTGTGCAACGTTCTTGATGACGCTCGCACACTGGCAGACACGGCACACACGGGAACGACAAAGATATATTTGTACTCATCCTTCAATCCATCACTTCCTTACGAACTGCGACACTTTTCAAAGCCTTGAGATCCTACAGATTGTTTTCTTCACCTCATCCCGTTACAAGTGCTGAAGGTCCTCTTCAATCCTCCCCAGCAGCCGCGCCAAAGTCGCTTCGGTCCATCGCAATGTCAACACCAACAGCAGTCCCCAGCTCAACACCGCACATCATTAGGAATTTAGGATCACTGTATGTATTCACCACGTTTTTAATCGAAAAAAATGGAAGCTGACCATCTTTACAGCGAATCCTACCAAACTGCATTATATGCACTAGATTTCTACTGCGGCACCAGTATTACATGTCGCTATGGCATTCCTGACACCCTTAGGAATGCAACCCACAGCGAGCTCATGGATTTCATGGAGCTTGCGGTTGCAGACACCGTTCTTCAACATCCCCTTCTCCAGGTCGGACTAATTCATGAGAGTTCAACATGCCCCGCCTGGGTTCAACTTGACCACATCGACCTTTCTCAACACATCGAATGGAAGATTGTTGACAGTTCAGAGAGATATAACAATATCTTGAAGGGCATTGTTGAAGAGCAGGTGGACACAAAATTTTCCAGCCCTGCGAGCCGTCCTAGCTGGCGTGTGGTAGTCCTGAGAAACGGAGGGCACCATGCCTTGGATGTGATGTTTGTCTGGCATCATTCTCACTCGGACGGAACTGGTGCCAAGATCTTTCATTCGACTCTTCTCCAATCCCTTAACAACTTGAAAGAAGGAAGTCATCAGCCATTGAAGAATCACCTACTCAAGACAACTTCCACAGCTCAAAATCTTCCTCCTCCTCAAGACATTGTCGCGCCGTATTCCATATCTCCGAAATTTGCTCTCTCGGTAGTCTGGAAGGAGATTATTCCATTGAAACTGAGCTCACGGCTATATCCGCACACATCTTGGGGTGCGATTCGAACGACGGCATGCAAGACACAGCTAAGGAGACTGAACATCGACAACGCCACTCTCCAAAAAGTGTTATCTGCTTGCCGGACGCACAACACTACCCTGACAGGACTTTTGCACGGAATCACTTTCGTATCTCTTGCTCCACAACTACCGGAGAAGCAAGTAGCTGCTATGATAGGCGAAACAGCTCTCAACTTGCGACGGCTCATGGCACCAAACCCACCAGTGTATCCTACGCTAGAGCCTACCAAGACAATTGCGAATTATGTAGGAATAATGGAGCATAAGTTTGATAAGGCTCTGGTATCGAGAATCAGAGGCTTAGGTAGACAGAGTTTGAACCTTTCCGCAGACTCGGAGATGCGTGTGGCTCTTGAGGACGAGATTTGGAGGACGTCCACCGTTGTGCGAGGGGAAATTCAGGACAAGTTGGACTTGGGGATGAAGAATGACATACTCGGCCTGATGAATCGGGTGAAGGACTGGAAAGCGTATGTCATGGGAGATCAAGTGAAAAAGCCACGAGGTTCTTCCTGGGCTATAACAAACCTGGGCGTGATCGACGGGGGTAATTCTGCTACAAAGATTAAAGGTGAGACGACAGAGGGCTGGTCGATCCAAAGAGCAGAATTCGCTCTTAGCGCCAGTGTCACGGCGGCACTTTTTACCCTCTCCCCTATTGCTGCGAAAGGCGGCGATTTGTGTATCGATGTCACTTGGCAAGATTCTGTTATTGATGATGGTGTTGGAGATAGACTGGTCGCTGATTTAGAGGCTTGGTTGGGACATATTGGGTCTTAGTTGTTGCGGGGGTAGTCGAGAGGAGTGCGGAGCTAAGCAAACAGGTAGCATAGATTTTCTGCGGACCATTTCTTGAAGAGATGAGGTGCCTACATAAGGAGTCGCTCCAAAGGTGTATTCAGCATTGTCCGGTCGAATATCCAACGGTAGATCATTACCTCACATGGCGTTGGGTACGTGTCTTAAATGTTTCTCTTCTTTTGATGGCCTTGTTTATTCATTATCAACAGAAGCTACTTGCGTGTGGTAGTCGAATCATTGCTCATCATGCATGCTAATACCAGGGTATATGCGTAAATCTTGAGCCTTGGGACTGAGTGAACCACTCATTCGGCTCCTGCCATTGTGTCACCCTGCATCTTATCTCATCCCCGATCCCCGATCAACGGACTGCGACTCTATTGGAAATCGTTGGGCCAGCACTTCTCCTTGGGCCAGAGCTTCTCGTTGTGAGTGCTCGCGTGCACTTCCAGCTGGATCTTGTTCGTGTTGACAATCTCCTTGCGACAGTTCTGGCACTGCACCGAATCACTCAGTCACGTAGTCCATGAGCAGCGCGCAACAGGTCAATACTCACGATGGAAGTGGGCTTGGGCGCCTTGACAGGCAGACCGTTGGGCTTCACGGGAGCACGAGTACCGGCAGCATCGGCCTTCTTCTGCTCCTTGTTGCGCTGCGGGAGACACGGATAAGCAGAGGCGAGAGAGAGGGACTTGATCAACTAGACCTACTCTGTCTTTCTTGGAGATGGGCATGATGACGGACGACTGAGATGCGGAAAAACGGTGAAAAGTGATGCTATTGCGTGTTTTTCAAACTGCGCGAGGTCTTTGTTGTAACGTGATGCGATGAAGCGGCGTGGGAAAAAATTTGATACGGGTGAAGTTTACAGCCGTGCGCTAGATAACAGTCAATAGGTGGTGTGTTGCTGTTAAGGGTGTGGCCTTAGGCTGCTACCCGCGAGGGTTACCCTAGACCCGATCCCCTTCGGTCCACTGTAGAGCTACCGTGAAGACTCGGTAAATTGACGCGTTTTTATAGGCAAAAGCTAAGCTATATGAGGTTTAAATCTCCTATAATATTGGTCACCAAAAAACCGAGTACAATAAGTAGGCGATGGATTCCGCGTTAATTTACGGAGTTTTTACAGTAGATTAGTAAGTAGCCGGCACGCGCCCAAGCTGGCATCCCAGATCTACAAACTCGGTAAATTGGTATAAAATTCCTGCCCCACTTACGCAGGTAGACCCCGCAAATTCTGTAGCTTGACTCCCTAGTGGTTGGCTCTAGTTATCCCGATAACTCTTAGTTAACTGATAAGCCGCAGTAAAGCGGGGCAAAACTTCTGTACCAATTTACCGAGTTTACACAGTAGTCTTATCGGCCGAGCTTGATACAAGTCGCTAGCCATCCGTCGAAAAGATAAACGACCCTATTGGGTGCCTTATTACTTTGTGCCCAATCAACTTGCATGGCGAGTCTCGACACGTAGGTAGGTACTCTTCATAATTATATTAACCATCTCCCCGGCATGCATAGCTTTATTCCCGCGCCATGGGTCATCATTTGTCCGGCGGCTCTCGCTGCCTAATACTCACAGCCCAACATCACCCCGCATCTCACGATTGTCCTCCCAAAGATCGACAACCCACACAGACCTTATCGTTGAACTTTATGCCGGCCCCATTTCATGCCAACCCTTCCGATGCCAATTGGACGCGATAAACTCCGATCCGGCCTTGATAAATTCAAGGTCAAGGTATTGAAGCGACCGAAGACGCCCGTTTCCGGATCCGAGGCCACATCGGCCCAAGAGGCGCTTCCTCCTTCTGCCGCATCTGATCCGCCACCTGCGTCTGAGCCTGAGTTGTCAGCATTGCAGACACGACTTTGGAACAAAGCGTACGAAGGCGTGAAACAGAAAGAACCTACCGTTGCCGAGGCCTACGAGAAGATTCTGTTTGTGGAGATTCCCAAAGCCCAACATGATTCGACTGGGGCTACGAGCGAACAGAACGCAACATCGGCCGAGATGATTCAACTAGTCAATACCGGAGTGGAACGAACTAAAAAAGAAGTCGAGATCAAAGGAACGGTCAAGCAGTGGCTAGACATTGTCAACTCCGTGAAAGGCGTCATCGACAATGCCATCAAGGTCGCCCCCGACGCTGCGGTTGCCTGGGCTGGTATCTGTATTGGCTTGGAGGTTTGATGACCTATTCTGACTCTTGTAGCTTGGCAACTAACCGTGCTAATTCACAGATTATCACAAACCCGACCAAGGAGCCAGAACTCAACCGCACAGGCATCACACACGTTCTGTTGAGAATGCGGTGGTACTGGAAACTCGCAGATCTCCTCCTCGGAGACGAAAGAGCACAGGCGTCTCGTGGAAGCCTACGGGGTGAATTAGAGGAGCACCTCATACAGCTCTACCAAAGCCTCCTCCTCTATCAGATGAAAAGTGTCTGTCTATACCACCGCAATTGGGCTGCAGTTCTCCTTAGAGACGCCGTCAAGTTTGATGATTGGGCGGCAAAACTTGAGGCCATCAAATCGGAGGAGACTGCCATCAAGGCAGACATAGAACAGCACAACTCAGAGATTGTCAAGTCGACCCTTTCTGACATCGAACGCGCCGCTCAACACCAAAGCAACACGCTTGAAGACATTCTCTCTTCTATCCAAGTCCAGAATGAGCAGCAAAAGAAGCGGCATGAGAGTGATGCCGACAAACTCTGCCGCAAGGACTTGCTTCTGACAGATCCGAGAATGGACAAAAAACGGATCGAGGACTCAAAGGGCGGGTTACTAGAGGGTTCATACAAGTGGATTCTCGACCACTCTGACTACAAAACTTTCTTGGAGGACCCCCAAAGCCGCCTCTTCTGGATCCGGGGGGAACCTGGGAAGGGGAAAACGATGCTGGTGTGCGGCATCATTGATCATTTGAACCATGAGAAAAAGCCCGTATCCTACGTTTTCTGTCAAGAGACTTCGCTGGACCTGAGAACCTCAGTTGGTGTGATACGAGGCCTCATCTACGATCTCATCTCGCGTGATTTATCACTCATTTCGCATGTCCGCCGCAAGTACGATATTGAGGGGAAAAAATTGTTTGAAGGAGTCAACGCCTGGTGGTCGCTGAAGGCCATCCTCAGCGACATGCTGCGAGACTGGCGCGGATCCAGTCCGATCTTGGTGGTGGATGCCCTTGATGAGTGCACTACCGAGAGAGGAAATCTGATGAAGCTGATAGTCGAATTTTCCAACTCGCCCGACCACAACGCCAAATGGGTCGTCTCCAGTCGCGACTGGCCGGAGATTGCTGGCCAGCTGAAGGGGGCAAACAAGACCAGCATGAGACTTGAGCTGAACCAGGACAATATCTCCAACGCGGTCAAGTTTTTCATCGAGAAGAAAGTGAACGATCTGGCAATCGACAAGGAGTATGAACCAGAAACCAGGGACTCTGTATCCACAGAGCTAGTATCAAAAGCCAACGACACATTCCTGTGGGTCGCCTTGGCATGTCAAACCTTGGGCTCTGAACAAGTCACCAAGTGGAATACCCTAGAGATTCTCAAATCCATACCAACAGGACTTCCTCAGCTCTACAAACGCATGATGACATATATATTGGGGTCCCCGGATAAGGACATATACAAGCAGATCCTCGCCACTGTGTGTGTTATCCTTCGCCCCATTACGATCTCGGAGCTCAAGGCTCTTGTTGAGCAGCTCCAGAACCGCCCTGTTGAGGGTGTTAGGAATGCGGTTGAATCTTGCGGCTCCTTCTTGACTCTCCGGGAAGACGTTGTTTACTTCATCCACCAATCTGCCAAAGATTTCCTTCTCAAGGAGGGGTTTGACCAGATATTTCCCTCCGGAATCGCACACCAGCACCGCAAAATCTTCTTCAGATCGATGGACGCTCTCGAGGGATTGAAGCAAGACATGTTCGGTTTAAAATCGCCTGGCTATCTCATTGGGGACGTCCAAACTCCAGATCCCAACCCACTATCGCCAATGACTTACTCTTGCGTCTTTTGGGCCGAGCACCTCCTCACTCCAGAAGTTGCGGCTCCGGGTGAAGATAACGAAGCCCTGAAAGTGGTTGAAAAGTTTTTCAGAAACAAATTCCTCCACTGGCTCGAAGCTCTTAGCCTCTTGCGCAAGTTGCCAACGGGGATAGTCACAATGCTGCGCTTGGAGTCAGACCTCGTAAGTTGACTCCGTCCCACAAAATCATGGAACACGGTAACTTACAAGAATTAGGGCGAAATAGGCACTGCGAGCCTCGCAGAATCGCTCCGAGATGCGAGGCGATTCGTTCAGTCGTGCCATGCGATAATCGAGGCGGCTCCGCTTCAAGTATACGCATCAGCGTTGGTTTTCAGCCCGACAAGAAGTCTAGTGCGAGAGCGATTCGCGAAGAGTAACAAAGTGGGCGAGGAGGGAGGTTGGCTGCTGTCAGGCTTGCCTCTAAAGCCAGACTGGGATGCATGTCTTCACACCCTTGACCTTAAGTTCAACACCGTTAGCGTAATGGCGCTTTCACCAGATGGAACGCAAATCGCAGCATGTTTAGGCAACGCGGTCCATATCTGGGACTCAACCTCATTTGATTGCATTGCAACATTCCAGGGGTTCTCTTCCGAAGTGCTTTCACTCAACTTTTCTCAAGATGGTCAGAGGCTGGCAACGGGCGAGATGGACGGAGGATCGAGAATTTGGGCTACTGGTGCTGGCAGTTGCATCAGCACCTTTCGCAGCACAACCAAGAGGCCTATTTTCCAGATCTCATTTGCGTCTGATGATCGACAGCTGGTAACATGCTCAAATACGACTGGTCGGCGGCTTCAACTGGGGCAGGTCGAGGTCTGGGACGTGGTTGCGGGAGAACACACCCAACCCGCCATAGCCCACTACCAACTTGAGGAAGGGCTGGGGCGGTACGCTTTGTCGCCAAGCGGCATGATGTTGGTAGCGGCCAGTCATAGGAGCACAATAAATCTTTACTACACTCTGACGATGGAGTTGGTTAAAACTTTAGGACGCGAGGGCCATCCAATCAGCTCAATGGCCTTCACGACTGATGGTAACCAGTTAGCAACCGCCCCATCTCACGGAACACTCCAGGTATGGGACATTCAAACGGGGGCTTGCACCCAAGTGACCAGAAGCGACGACCATTCTAAAATGGTTTCGGTGGCATTATCACCGGACGGCTGCCAACTAGCCTTCAGTTTAACAGACAGATCTATACAAGTGTTGAGTACATCGACAAGCAAACACTTACAAACATTTAAGGGTCATACTCGTGATGTATCCAGCCTTGCTTTCTCGCCGACAAAAAAGCAACTTGTCTCTGCTGCGCCAGATGCCCTGGTCAAAATCTGGGACACATCAGCAAAGGATGTGAAAGATGAACTGGACAATGAAACCATCCAGGGCATCGCACTGTCACCAAATGGTCGGTTGGTTGCATCCACGTCGAAAAAATGCATCAAAGTCTGGGACGCCATCGAAGCCTCTTGCATTCACACTTTAGAGCACCAAAGGGATTGGCCATACGTCGACTTTTCCCCGGATGGTCAGAACCTTTGCAGCCTTTCTAAATCTCAGGATGGTCGACGTGGTGTCGACATCTGGTGTTTGAATCAAGGTGTTCGTGTCCTGAGTGTTGAAGAAGTCCTGTCACGATATTCCCCAACCTGGTTCGTGGCAAAAGATCATCGGGTAATTGCACTAGCCTTATTGGACGGGTCAATCGGCATCTGGAACCTGGCCGACGGCGTTCAAATTCGACAGCTTCCGAATGGCTATATTCCCAGCGACGATTCGAGGTTAAACCCCCGGCGATTGGTCGCCCTTTCCAGCAACGGCAGATGGTTTGCCTCTGGGTGCGGCACTGATATCAAAATCTGGAACGTCGACACAGGCCGTCTTGTCCATCTACTCTCTGGGCACCGCAATGAAGTGGAGTGCATAACATGGTCTCCCCTTTCCGACTACCTTGCATCTACTGACCTCGACGGTGACGTCAAGATCTGGGATATGACCCAAGGATCGTGCACTCACACGGTGTCCTCTTCCGGCTATTGCAGTGACCCCTCGCTCACCTTTTCGCCAGACCAGAAATTGCTCGTAATAGGTTTCCTCAGATATGAGCGTGGTTTCGAAGGCAAAACTGTTAACATCTGGGATATGGACAGGCGAGTTGTTGTCCGGACGGTGAGAGTTGCATTACAAGCAACTATCGGCTCCTTTTTGACGAATACTCGTCTGTCGACCAACCTGGGAATTTTAGACCTTGACGTGCCATCTCTTGAAGCGAAAGGCAGAGAAGTAGTCCCACTTGTTGGTTATAGCATGAGCACTGATGGATCGTGGATTACGAAAAACGGCGAGAGGATCCTTTGGTTGCCTCGGGAGCATCGGCCGCGTGGATTTCTCTGGTTGCGTTCACTTATCATCGCTCGATCAACAATCGTGATATTAACAGAGAGAGACAAGCTTTTGGTACTACGTGCCCCATGAAGAGGTCGGTGTTAATTAGGTAGGGTTGATTAGGGTTAGAAAGGATCTTCTACCCTATGCGGATTGGTGGGTTCTTGCGTGGCGATGCACTCTTCAAGTTGAGACAGAATGGGAACGATTTACAGACTGAGAAAGACAAGCGGCGGCATCTTGCTGATTAAGCGTTTGATATAATTTCCAACATGGGTTAATAATGTTGAGATGATGAGGGATGTTTGATTTATTGAACAAGCGTTGCATGATTGTGAGCAGCATCCCTCTCACCACAAAAATCATCCACTTTCACCAAACAAACACCAACCGACACAGTAGGACGCACAAAGTAAATCACAATATAATCAAGAGATAATTTACAGATTTTTCCATTGCAGAACTGCCCTTCTCTTCGGCCCATACCATCATCACTTCGCATACTTGATGCTAAACACTGGCGACACGGATTCATCCCAGTCACTCTCCTTCGTCTCTTCTCCAAAGACCCTCAGCGCCCGATACGCAATCTTATACCGTCCAGCAGGCGCAAAGCTGCCGTCCAACAGCTCACCAGTCCACTTCAGTGAGTTGGCGCCCATTGCGTTCCACAGCATGGGGAAGGTGACGGGCGCGCCGAGGCTCTTTGATGTAGAGTTGGACACAGCAGAGACGGGGATGACTTCGGCCTGTAGCTGAGAAGAGCCAAGGGCCAGGAACCATGTGAGCGCAGGCAGGACCGCGCTCGAGTCCTCACTGCCCGGGGCGGGGAGGGTGAAGCTGGAGTTGGCCGCCACAGGAGTCAGGCTCTTGTCAGTCGACAAGCTGATCCAAGTATCCTCAGGCGCCAGGACAGTCGCGTCGTGCAGAGATCCCGCAAGTCCCTGGTACGGAAGCGATAGTGAGGTTCCATCCGATCCGTTGATGGCGATGAAGCCAGACCACAGCGGGAGACGCTCTGCGGTGAGACCCTCGGGAGGAGTAGGAATCACCTCGATCGTGACGCTGTCACCCGCTCCGACGCTAAGCTTAGCCTCGCTGAACTTAAGGCTGGCAGAGCCGTCAGTGAACTCATTAGGGAACGCAGCTGGGTAGATGGAATCCTCAGCAAGCGTGTAAACGGCCTTGGTAGGGACGTTGGAAAGATCAAAGTCGATATCCTCACTGCCGGTATTCTGGATCGTAAAGTTGAGCACGCTGACAAAGTTGTCTGTGTCGTTAAACGAGAGGCTGGAATGGCTCAAGATGACGTTGGCGTAAGCAGCGTCATATGCCTTGATCAAACCACCACCCTGCTGAGGAACGGGAGCAAGGAAGTTGTAAAACTTGGCGCCGTCGTTGAAGAGCGTTGGGTCCGCATTGGCAGACAAGAGGTTCTCGATAAGAGCTGGCTCCAAGGTGCCGCGAACCTCGGCGATGAGGGCGATGACTCCAGCGACCTCGGGGCAAGCCATCGACGTACCAGAGAGGACGGCATAGCTGCCCTTGGCTCTGGGGTAGGTCGATAGGATGCTTCCTCCGGGAGCTCCAAACTGCGGCTTGACATCCATTTCCCACGTCGGTCCCCAGGACGAAAAGGTGCTAATGGAACCACCAGTCACGCCGTTGGTGCTCTCAGAGAGAATGACATTACCGTCAGTTCCGTCAGACATCTCGAGCGTAACGGTAGATCCGGCCTTGAGGAGCGAGATCATCTTTGCACCGACGTCAGCTGTAACCATGCCGGCAGCGAGGATGCCAGGAACAGTGGATACATCAATAGCCACGGTACCTCCAGCGTTGTTATACAGCATGATATACTTGGCACCAGCAGCTGCTGCATTCTGGGCCTTCTGCACAAAGGTACAAGTTCCACGGCGCACGAGAACAATATGTCCGCTCAGATCAGGGGTATCAGCAGGGTACGCATCGCAGCCACCGTTGGTGATGGTGGTGTCGAAGCTGGGTGCCCAAAGAGGGAGTTTCACACCTCCCCAGGCAGAAGGAGATCCAGCGGTAGAACCAAACGCGACCTTGGTGCTGCTGCCGTCGACGGTGTAGTGCGAGGTGTTGAGCAGCGCCATGTACTTGCTGTTGTCGTACGAGGCGATGGCCATGACCTTCTTGCCGTTCGCCGCCGTGCTGGCGTAGAACATGCCGACGTCGCCCGAGTTACCGGCCGAGACGGTGCAAGGGACGCCCTGCTCGACGATGCGCGAGACAGCCACGGCCCAAGGCTCCTCTGACCAGCCGCTGGGGCCGCCGATAGAGGCAGTGATGATGTCGGCGCCATCCTCAAAGGCCTGGTTGAAGGCGGCAATGAGCACATCGTTACCGGCGTCTCCGTCACATCCAAATACTCGGTATGCACCAAGCGTAACGCCAGGAGCGGCACCGGTGAATCCCATCTTGTTCTCCTGGGCGGCGATGATGCCAGCCACATGGCTACCGTGTCCTGCGCAATCCATCGGGTCCTCATCTGGGTGAACCTCATTGTAACCGTCATAGCTATCGCCAACAAAGTCAGTGCCGAAGGACACGAGACAGTCAGGACCAAAGCATCCTCCAAGAGCAGGGTGGTCGTAGTCAATCTAGATGAACCATGTCAGTCAAGCTGACCTTGCAAAAAGCCGAGTGTTGATACTTACACCAGTGTCGATGACGGCAACCTTGATTCCCTTTCCAGTAACACCCTTTGCTCGCAGCTTGTCGACCTGGGTCATGACGTGAGGCGAAAAGGTGTCGGCCTCCGTCTCGTTGATGGCCCGCTTCTTGGTGATGGCGTGCTCTACGCCAGGGGTTCCAACCCACTCGACTGTCGGCTTCGGGATGCTGTACACCTTGACAGGCCACATGTTCTTAACCGCAGGTAACGCAGCAATGTTAGTCGCAATGTCATCGGCCTTCTCCAGGTCGTTGAACTGGATTGAGACACCCTTGAAGAGCTTGTAGTTAAACTCCATACGGGTGGTAGCCTGCCCAGCTACCTTTCTGTTGAAACCCGCCAGGTTCTGTTCCATATTAGCTTTGCCTGTGTGGACGAAGACCGGACGGTCCATGGCCTGAATGTACACATACGCTGTCATCCTCGAATTCGACGATGTAGGCACCGGGGAGCCGAGAGGATGCCTGCTTCGTCTCAGTGTTGTCGAGTTGCACGGCGCTCGACAACCCTGCAAACAGGCATACTGCCAAGCTTAAGCGAACCATGGCAGCTAGTGCAGATCCTCCTTCTGGGAATATCAAAAATGAGAGACTGGGAACAGGAAATGGCAATGAGTGAAGACGAGTCCCTTAGCCTTCAAATACAGGGACTATATGGTCCTGTTATATAGGAAAACCATTGCTTCTACTTCGTGCAGAAAGGTTCCTTGTCGGCTCGAGAAGCCAGGATAAGACCGACGGACTAATTACTCAAGCACATGCTCACCTGTTCCGCGCAGCAGCCATCGTTGCGGCGATAGCCAAGCGACGAGCAATAGCGGGTCTTGACCGCAGCCAACATATCGAGAGATTGCAGCAGCTGCACCTATTGGCCATTAATGGAAGGTGTAGCATGGCATAAGTTCCTGAACCTTCGCAGAAGTTCCGGCGCAGAAGTTCCTCGAGACCTTTGGTTCTCGAGTGCTATCATGGACCAACCCACCTCCCTGTTTCGGTTAGTTCCCCTTGTTCTATTGCGTTGCATCGCAGCTATAGCCACGAAAAGAGCAAAAGAGGAACGGATCTACAGCCGGAATCACATCAATATCCCGGCATGCCCCTGATAATCCCTGCCGAAACCCCTGAAAATAAAGTGCTTAGCGCCGGGAAGTAACCCAGATCGATAGCCACAGCGCACGAGCGTCACGCGATGGAGCATAGACAATGCGTGGGAATAGAGCTGACTGGTCAATTCACCAGATTATTTTGCATGGAGTAGATGAACACGAGGGCGGAATTAGTAGACAATGGGCCTGACTAAAGCTGGGAGACTGTCGTCCCTTTGTATGCTCGAGGCCATACCCGCCCCACTACACGCCTACCCTAGATGGCATCACCTCCAGAATTGTGAATACCCTCAGGCGACGGATCTCTGTAGTATTTATTTTAAAAGAAAAAAATTAGCCTAGTTTTCACAGCCAGGATCGTTGAAAAAACCCATTGCTTTTTTCTATATCCATATAGACCATGAAACCTCGGGCGTCGAATTTTCAGTTTCATATTTTATTCGGCTTGTCTTTCAAGCTATTTGTTGTCTCAGCTGAATGTGTTAACAAAAAATACCTTCCTATTTTGCCTCCTCAGTCGCCTTTTGTCCAATGGAATTCATTTCCAAACTGAGTGACCCGCAAACGGGCGAGTTCGTGGTACATTTAGCCATAAGCACTCAAATTGCATCACCCCCGGTCACAGCGTAACGCAGGTCAGATGTACCCCAGCCCGATCTTGCTCCCATCTAGGGTTGCTATTGGATGTCACTTGAGGTGTGTGTACACTTCTATGCAGAGAAGGAAAATTCTAGTGTAGCAGTGATCGAATGGTAACTCAGACTACATCGTTGGTCCCCCCTGTAGCTCCTATACCCGGCTTTGTAATTGCAATCTCAATTTCTTTTGCCCGGGACTTATGTTCGAGTTCCAGTTCACAATCGCGCTCTAAGGTCGTGCTAGGTTGTGTTTTAGGTGGTGTGAATGGTGGGAGAGCTACAAGCTGCTGGGCTGAACGGTGTCCCCTGCCCATTATCCCTGATTGATGGTCCACACATGACATAGCCATATACTTCAACGAGGCAAAATACTTTCACCGCGCCCCGGACCCGGAGTGGCAGGGATCTATTCAGTCACGAGGTCGATTTAAAAAATGATGAACAGGATAAAGGTGAATTTGTTAAGTCATTTAGAGCAGCCGATTCAGTTAGAACAGCATTGCTCGAAATCAACTTGGAATTCAAGACGAGTAATCTCAAAGTTTATTGATGTCTGAGAATCAGATCTCGGCGGAAATGGCTCAAAGAACCTTACTGAAAGACTAATCCCCCCTCTCCCTGATGATAATCATCCTTCCAAAGGTCCTTAGTGACCACCCATTGCGTCCCTGCCTATAAGCTTTCCCGCGGTAGAAACGAGTTGTCTTGTGAATGAAGCACTCTTCTTCGAGGAGAAAATGTGAATAGGGGTTTTAAGAAGCGATTGCATATTCACGAGGCATTCTAACACGGATTTGACATGCTATCACAGCTGGAAGAGAGTAAGAAACGTATGGCAAACATGACGGATGTTGTATTGAGAGGTTGAAGGCTAGGAGCATTCGGCTGCGATAGAAGTGATTCTAAAACTCTTCTAAGTCTCGTCGAAGTCCTTACGCAGCTGCAACATCACTCCAAGATATTGACATGGCCAGATTGCTCAGACTATATAGTATGCACTATTTATCTGAAGAGCTCTAAGCCAAACCAACCAGCTTCAGCGAATCCTCCCAAAGGCGAGCCTCATTTCCTGCATCATAAGCATGCTTCGCATGGCCTATGGTAGCCGGCCCCGCACTCTCATCCGGTGAAAGCTCTGCTACCGCACAGTCGGCCAGATATCTGCCTCCAGTGTGCTCCAACTCCTTGCTTACTGCAGCCCAAACAGTTGTCGCGGCTCCTTGCTGGGGACTCTTCAATTCCTTGGCCGTTTGCTCATTGGTAGCCATTTGCTTGAGGACTTCTTCGGGGAGATGCTTGGCAAGGGGCGTCAAGATGCCGCCGGGGTGGAGGCTTGTTGCGTGGATGCCCTGGGATCCGTATCGACGCTCGATTTCGTTGGCCATGTAGATATTGGCTGTCTTGGATTGGCCGTACGCTCCCCAGGGAGTATACCCCCCTTGCTGGTAATTGTAGTTGTCCGAGGTATTGAGGCCGCTCATCGTGTGTGCGGTGGATGAAAGGTTGACAACTCGCGAGCTGAGTTCCGGGGTAACGGCGGCGAGCAGGGCGGGTTTTAACAACTTGAAGAACAAGAAGTGGGACAGGTGGTTGGTTCCAAACTGCAGTTCATGCCCGTCTTGAGTGAACTCGAGGTTCTGCACCGCCATGATGCCGGCATTGTTGACCAAGATGTTAATTTTATCCGTCTTTGCCAAGATGTCCTTTGCAGCGCTGCGAACGCTATCCAGCGACCCTTGATCCATCTTGACCAGAAACATGCGGCTCGGGTCGAAGAAATCGGCCAATGCCGACTTGGCCTTTGCAAGATCTCGAGCAGTCAAGTACATCGTTGCGCCGGTTTGAGAAAGAGCACGAACGGTTTCGATGCCAATACCGGACGAGACGCCGGTGATGACAATGACCTTGCCGACGAGCTTACCCTCCACTGCTTCGTCCTTGATGATCTGCAAAGCGGTTGGCCTGGCGTCGCCTGGGCCCTGAGGGTTGGCGTGGGCGGATGCGTATCGGGACATGGTGATTTTGAATGAAGTGGATTGTTTTGAAGACTGTGAGGTTGAGTTGCTGAGTATCCTAATTGACGAGTTCATCGATGTCTATATATACTGGGATTGATAGTTCACTTTCCAATCCTCAGTGTCATTTTCCTACGTCGACCGGAGTTAGGATGCAGTAGACCCGAAAGTCTCACCGCATTCTTCACCGTCCGAAGCCGTGCGTTTTCCGCTCTCCACACATTGCAGTAATCACACTAAAGCTGAGACATCACGACTGACGACTTCTGCCCTTTTCGTCCTAGCGTTGGAGTTTGGCCTCTTCCGATCTTTGTCAGCTGGCTGACATCTTTTGCCCCTTCTGGCTAGTCTCAAAGCCTGCGGAACAATCCAACTCCAGGCCATTTTTAACAACGACCAAAACTTCCTTTCCTAATCGTTCCACCATTTTCACCAAGTTATATCGACTTTTTATTCTCCTTTTGTACAAGCGTCGTCGAGATGCCATCCGCCGGCCAGAAACGCACCGCCGAAGACCGAAAGGAGCAGAAACGGATCCAGAACCGGCTGAACCAAAGAGCGCGCAGTGAGTAAGCGAGATCCCCACACGCTGGATTCATAGCTTAAGAGGATGGTAGGGCAGCGCCTTAAAGCGGAAGAGGATGCCAACGGAAAGACGCAGAAGCACCCCTATCGAGTTGATCGCTGGCGACTTCCAGATCCCAGTGTTTCAGCCTCTCCCAAGTCTATCTCATCCAATTCAGGGTCTATTATTATCCCAGATACGACAAGAATCAACGAGAGCCCAATCCAAGGATCTGCTGCTCAGAAATCTGGACCATCTCATGATTTCGAGCTTCCTCTATCCGCCGATCACCTCCTAATACATCTGATATCCCACAATGTTTGTCGAGGCTTGAGGTCGAATAAGTTCCTTTTACGAATGGTGGCCAACTTCATCAACGTCGATGATAAGATTCATATCCCACCCGTACGCGCAGACGTTTTCACTCCTTGCAATCTCGCGGTAGTCCGGCCTACACACCAAGCAATACCAGATTGCCTTGTACCGACACAGCTGCAGATGAACTCACCACACCCAACCTGGATGGACATAATCCCATTTCCCCGAATCAGAGACAATCTGATCAAGCGACAATATTTTTTCCACCACACCAACTTTTTAGAAGATCTTATCGGAGACGTGGTTTATTTAACATCATCTGTGGACGAGCTGACGCTGCCAGCACCTTCATGGAGTTGCCAGGGTGAAGATGGCGACCAAACAGATCACGACACGAAAGGCCTCGTCTTATGGGGAGAGCCTCACTTGAAGGAAAGTTGGGAGGTCACGTCCCGCTTTTTGGGAAAATGGGCGTGGATTACTGAAGGTTGTGAGGAAATTATCGACATCTCCAATGGGTGGCGAGTGACTAGAGGGGAGGATCCTCTGGGGATATCCGTGGCATCTACTTAAGCACCAGGAGGAAGAAAGAGTGTTGGATTATGGACCCAACTAACTCTGGCTACAGAAATATTAGGTGTACTCTCTTTTCAACGTCTAATATTCGAGACGTAAGTTATCCTTAACGCTTGTGCCGAGTTGTCTTTCGTCAGCATGCCTGCCGGTAATAATGTTTCCCTACAGCGCGCTGGAGCATTCTATCGCCTTCCTAACGAGCTTCTGATCACGATTGTGAGGAGCTGCGAGAGTCTAGACAATCCAGTCCCAGCGAGGCGCAAACGTTGGTGGCATGGGTCATACCGCCTCCTCGAGACTCTGAGACTCGCGAATCCACGGTTTGCCAGCTTGAAATTCATCAACACTCTGTTGTTCACCACCATCCAACTGGAGCCGACGCGAGCAGGTCTGAGGAGTCTACAGCGGGGCGATTTGTTACGCGTGGCCGAGTTTGTGCTGAGAATCACCTTCGTTACGCCATCGAGTTGGGCGCTTTCCTTCTAGGCCTTTAGCGACATCGGTTCACGGCTGGCCGTCGAAGCGCGCGCCGACGAGATTGACAAGGAAGCGTTCCGTCGCTCGTATTGGGTCTTCGAAAAACGCCAGCAGGAAAAAGTACGTGAACGAGCATCTCGGGGGCGAATGGCCTCTTTCGGAAGCACAGCTACGTGACGGCTTTGCCGCCTACAGGCAGGAAGCGGCGGCCACCAAGGCTTTGCTTGAAGGATCTGATGCCCATCTCAAAGACGCGTGGGTGAGCCTGATGAGAAAACTGGGCAGCCGACCACTCTACGTCCGGTTCATCAATCTGGACTGTGGACAGATGCGCCGACCCGATTATTATTACGACCCGCCCTGCAACTCCGACCCTAAGCCGCCATGTAGTCTTGCGGCTCATGAACACACTGGAGAGCCTGAAGAATATTGCACCCGGCCGGCTGCTGTGGCAGGTGACTCCCTCTTCGCCATGGCCATGTCATGTCTGGCGATATCAGGAGTCTCTGTGGGAAACATGGCTATCCAGCACTACATGACAGGAAGCTTCGCCTGGGAGACAATCACGGCCTGGGAAAGCCTCGATCTCAGCTCGCTCAAGACGTTCAACTTCAGCCCCCGAATCCTTCTGGGTGCAGCTCCCGGCCAGAACGACAGAGCGTTCGCTCCGCTGCCATTGCTGACTGCCGAGGAAATCGGGCAGCGCGCCTGCGAAGCCGTCCACGCCGTGCTCGACAAGAGCCATACCTCGTTGACATGTCTCAGAATCAACGCCGAACGCCCGATGCGCTGGCCTTGTCGTCGCGTAGCCCTTGCCCTGCCTGCGCTCCGAGATGTCCACATCATAAAACGCAGACGTCAACGCACCGCATCTGAGGCGGTGGATGGCCCAGATGCCGCAGCTGCACCTCTTGGAGATAGCTAATTGCCAGGTATTTAAAGGGCCCCCGTCTGAGTGGATCAAGGTTCTTGATGCCATTCGCGATCATTCAAACGTGGCTGGACCCATGCCCAAGGGACTCACGGTCAAATTAAACCCCATCCTAACGAGCAAACACACAGGAGCTCGCTATAATGGAATAGTGCGCCACGGGACGACATCATCGCCACCAAAGGGTTGAAGACTGCAGGCACATATGAGGCTAAGGATAGCCATAAGGCATTTGAGAGGCATTTTTACAACGCAGTGCCGTTTAGAAAGAATTATGTCCTGAGATATTGGCTGGATTGTTACATTCAAGACACTGGGTCGGATGAGTATGATGAACCCGAGGATAATGATGAAGATGAAACAGGGGAAGGTGATGAAGAAGTACGTATGATCTCAAATGGTATCCTTTAGCGAGTATCATTCGTTATTAGTGTCTTGCTCCAGGTTTTGAGAATTGAAGGCAACACCTTCAGCCGAGTTGATTCCATCTGTGGCAATTCCCCGCGACAGGCGCAGGGGGTGTCCGACAGTAATAGTCTTCCCTTCCGAGAATACCAATTCCCTTGGTCCTAAAACCAACGCCGACTTTGACCCATATCTAACCCATCTTTACTAAAAGTCTTATCCATAACTACGGTGCCATTGCGTCTCATCAGTCGATCCAATATTTCCCATGCCCTTGCATGCGCCCGCGGCGAGCAACACTCCTCCAACGTCCACTCCTTCTCGAATCCCGTATCCGACACTAGCAGCAACTCTCCGCATGGAATGCATACAACGGTGCAACGTTATGCAGCCCATTTGTGGGTAAGCATGTCCACCTGATGTCATTGTTAGGAACGGGGTCATGACAAGGGATGGGCATACTTTTTCGTACCATACACCGGCATGTTAACACTTGAAGACAAGTGCAAAACGGACTCCTCTTGTGCAGGCAAAAGCCCGTGGTGTCGAACAGGTAAGGGAATCCCTGTTGGCGCTTAATATCCAACTCGACTCAGGTCGTCACCAAGATGGCCCTATTCTTGTCAAGGCCTGGGCTTAGAGTGTTCATGTCCACGTACTCACTCACTGTGGTTGTGGCTGTCAACTCTCGTTGACAGAAAATGAATAGCTCTTATTCAAGAGATTTGTGGTGGCGCGATCTGTGACTCTTTGAACCATATCTTCTTCCACCTCACTGTCCAGTCCGTTCTGCAACAGAAAGTCAACGCGCTCCGTCAGCTCCTCAAGGTCGCTCTGGGTCTTAAGCAAAGCAGCCTCGTTATCGTGTACACCGTCATTCGCCTGTTCGCAGTTCGCACGCAAGATGTCCACTTCATCGCTGAGCTGCTCGACTCGCTTCTCCAGCTTCTCCGCATCAAATTGACCATCTTGCTGCGCCTGCCTATCCATCTCCAGCTGGGCAACACGCTGTACCAGCATCCGCATCTCCTGGCGCATCTTATCTGCCAAGGCGGAACCGACGTCGGTACGGTTGCCAACCGAGTCTGGACTACTCGAGTAACCCAGTCGGCGTCTCTTCCTGGTCTTGTTCTCAGTAGACAGGGTTACAGGCAGCGGGGATGCGGTGTTAGGGAGGGATGTAGATTCGATCGCAGTGGTAGGTGGCCATTCGGTCGCAGTGGAAGGCAGATGCTGGTTCGGAGTGGGAGACGGATGTTTGATCGAAGTGGGAGGCGAATATTCGAGGTCGTCATACGGCGGAGGCTGGTGGTCTGAGTGGTTTCGGAGTGCAGACACATCGTCGATGAGCTTGCCGCCGCTGCCACCATACAGCGAAGCCAACGTAGTCGGAAAATCGGCATCGAATGGTTGGAGTGCGGATTGACGAACGGCCAGGGAGAACGCTTTCAACTTGACAGCAGGTAGCTCTTTGTCGGATACGTAAATGTCGAGGGCTTTCACTCTGGCGAGCGAGCAGAGCTTACTACTGACGTCAGCCGAACGCCGCCTTCTCAGTTGTACTGGTTCTGTTGCTTCGGCTGGGGCAACGAGACGGAGAGGCTGAGAGAGATCGAAACGCAGGCGAGTCACGTTGCAGTTGAGTTTCTGTCGGACTGGTTCTGGGGGGCACGGGTACATCTCGAAGGAGAACGAGGTGACGTCGCTAGGAGGAATCCATCCCAAGATGGATGTGTAAGGCTCGATCCCCTTCAATCTGACGGGGCAGTGGATTGTGAAGGATACTGAGGCGGTGTGCGTACTGAATCGCTACTCCAATAGTACATCACGGGTCGCCGGGTCGGGATCGATCAGACTATGTGTGATATTGTCGCATTCCCAAACGACGCAAGCAGGTGTCATCATGTCGATATCGAGACGGGGACCAGTTGGATCAGCCATGATGTACTGAAACAAGTGAGAAAACAAAGGGGGATAATGACAAACACACTGGGACAAACCGCGAGCCGCCGAGGAGCAACTTCACAGACAAACAACCCGCCTGACCTCCAGCAACCTTGCAAGGCCGAGCGAGTCCTTTCCCCCGGTCCCTGGTCTTCCAACGAAGACGTGAAACGCGTTCGGTGGGTAGAAGCCAGGAAAGTTGACCGGGAGCGCGAAAAAGCCAAAGCAGCTCGTGGCTTGACGGGGAGAATGACAAAGGGGAAGAGGATGCAACGCGACGCGTCGAGCGAGATTCACAGACCGGTAACCCACCTGACCTCCAGCAACCTGTAAGGCCAAACAGATCCCGTCCCTGGGCCCCAAGTCTTCCAAAGAAGGCGTGAAACGCGTTCAGTGGGTAGAAGCCAGGAAAGTTGGCCCAGAGCGCGAAGCTCGCAAGACGACGTCACGGGGGCAAAGGGGAATGACACACACCAAAAGGAGCCAGACTTCACAGACCAGTAACCCGACCTGGCTTCCAGCAACCTGTAAGGCCAAGTAGATCCTGTCCCTAAGCCCCAAGTCTTCCAAGGAAGGCGTGAAACGCGTTCAGTGGGTAGAAACCGGAACAATTGGCAAAGGGCGCGAAGCTGGCGAGAACTCTTGGAGGGGGAAGGATGGGGGAGGGCGAGAAGGGGAGAAGGGGAAATCGGGTGTTGGTAGTGGTGAAGGAGAAGAAAAGCGAGAGCAAACGACGAAGGAGGAAGCGAAGGTGATGGTGGTGGTGAAGCAAGAGAAAATGACGGAGATGTAAAGAAAAGAGCGATGGCGAGCGACGATGAAGAGCGACGATGAAGAGCGACGATGGCGAGCGACGATGAAGAGCGACGATGAAGAGCGCCGATGAAGAGCGATGGTGTTGAAGGAGAAAAGGATGCTGGTGATGATGGAGAAGAAGAAATGAGAAGAAGAAGGCGAAAGTGATGGTGTTGATAAAGAAGAAGAAGCAGACGAAAGTGATGGAAAGGTCAGGTGAAAGTGAGAGACAGGTGAATGGTGGTGGGGTGGGTGCAATCACATGACGTCATCGCCTCATTCACGCCCTCAGTGACTCACGCCCTCAGTGATTCACAGACAACGCGCCTGTTTAAGCACCCAAACACAAGCCACTTCATTGCCACTCAGTAACAACACGCCTGTTCAGCCACCGAAACACAAGCCACTTGACTGCACTCAGTGATTCAAGTTAAGGCGCAGGTTCAGCCACCCAAATACGAGCCACAATCAGCAATCTGCAGACGCCACTTGTTCTGATTCCCTCAATCAGGGCTCAGCTTCTTGAGCCGACTACTTATATGTTCATACAGGTTTAGCTTTTCTAAGCTAAAAAGCTTATGTTTAGTTATTATGGCAGTATTAGGTAATGAATACTTAGGGTTGTGGATAAAACTGCGTTTTTTTAGACCTTGTGCGGGTAACTTGCTTATCTTGAGGGAGCAGATAGAAGTTAGATTAGCTCACCTTGAGGGAGCAGACAGAGTTAGATTAGTTCTGATTCCCTCATTCGCCAAACGACGGGAGTTACAGAACTCTTGTCCTGCAACGGAAGACAAGGGGCATTAAACCAGACTGACAACCTACAGTACGTAAAGTACTCATTTCACAGCATCTATAACACAGTCGAAGGTAGCTGACATAAAGGCATTCAACCCGAAAGTTGCCGCCTTATTAACTACAATCTAATAACACCTTGAAGCGAATTTCCACTACTGTTCAGACAATAATTTGCTAACACTGGTCAACCTGAGTGAGAATGACATTCCAGTCGCTAGAAATATCGAACAGTTGTCCACGGGTGACTGTTTCTCCGTTTTGAGCGGGAGAAGTGCAATAATCAACGATACCCTGTGCAAAGTCCGCCACCCAATTGGTTGGAATCCAGATGGGTATGGTTTTCTAAAGTGATTCTTAGCTTTCATCCCTATTGTGGCTGGAGACGATAGTTTAGGGCAGACTTACATCGTTGCATACTTTGACGGCCGCTCCCGTCCTCTGAATGACGTCTGGGAGGAACCCAATTGAAGTGCACTTTATGATTTGACAGTTGCCTGGTCCAGCATCGATTCCTATCCAACTCCGGCTATCTGACACGGAAGGGGGGGCAGTCCGAAGCAGGCCAATATCCTCTTGGAAGCCACTAGTTTGCTCTTGCACTCCAACAAAGCAGAGAGGTGGCCAGTTCTGGGATATTGTCAGTCCTGATTAAATGCAAGATACAAAAGATTTGGAGCCAAGATATTGAAGGAGAGGAGACCCACCGAGGTTCCGTGTTCAGGCAACCAAGTAGGTACGGGCGGCCACTTGTTGGGGTCAGTTGCAGTCGCAACAGTTGAAAAGACTGCAGTGGCCAGAGCGAGGGCGGATAAGAACATCATAGTGATTATAAAACAGTATAAGTGCAGTGTAGCTGGACGAGTCTAGGGGAAGGGGGAGGAGGTGCTGCGTATCTAGCTCTGAGTAGGCTGGGCTTGGAGGTTGTGTGGAACTGTAGAAGAGATGGCATATTGGCTTACTTATAAATGGCGCAAAAACAGAATCCAGCGTTAAAAAGACTCTAATTTTAGGGGGGACAGTAAGCGCGACACTCAGGGAACCAAAGTTCTCACGACACTCGAGAAACCAAAGTTCTGACGAGACTCGCGAAACCAAAGTCCTTACGATATTTTAAGCCTGTCCAATTATATACTAACCACATGCGCTGCTGCGGATCCTGCAGGATTACCCTGCATTCCAAAACTCGTATTGTCCGCATAGGCGAGATGCTCCACCCTGGAACGTAGCCGCGGGACGGCACATTGTTTCCGTGCCAGCAAAGCATGTCTTGTCCATTCTCAATCGCTTATCGACCTGGTTTTAGTGCGCTTGTATCATGTTATCATCAATCGGTTTATCTAAAGAAACATCAGTTTGCTCAAAAGCCCTGCCTCGTACTCGGGCGACGGAATGCGCTCTTTCTGCTACATCATCGTAATAATAATCGCTGAACAGGCTGCCATGCAATCTCAGTCACAGAACTGCTTGGCTTTCCGTGAAGCGTTTTCCAAGTAACAACGCCCAAACGCTCACATTCAGCATCTTCCAGGTCTTCCTCGGTACCACGATCTGGTATATATATGAGGAGGCCGACGTGCATCCGATTCCATGTCTCGCTCTTGGCGGTCCACCCTCTTCCAACATCTCCCAGCAGGAGAACCCTCACCTTTTCAGAATCAAATTCGGTATAACCATGATTACGCCCATTGCCAGTATATCGCCGCAGACGATACATCTCGGATGTTCGAAAGGAGGGAACCATGGAAATATCGTGGTCCAGATGTAGATTGGCATCTGGACCCCATCCCACTTCATCGGAGGAGCCAAACACCGTGCCACCATCGGCCGATATCGCATGACACAAGGTCAGAAATTGACAGTAGCTTCCAGTGGCAATATAGTCGCCATTTGTGAGTTTGATATTGGCAAGAATGTTGGGGTGTCTGTATATCATGAGGCTGATAGGAACTTTCGATTCCCCGGTAATCTGCCAGGTCATCCCATGTCTTGGGCGAGCGGTGTGAACGAAGAGCTGGCCTAAGATGGGGCTGCGTTGGTTGATTGCTCCTGCGAATTCAGTCACGAGTTCTTCCAGGGACGGGGTCTCGTTTGGCCGAGCAGATTTTCCAACGCAGATGCCATATATCTGCATGATCGCATAGATGCGGTCCTCTTTCCGGCTTGTGGTCCGGTAGCGAGCTGTTCCATACTGGACGTTTGGGTTGGTGCTGAAGAGATAGTAGAATCCCGCCTGGACTATCTTTTGCATAATATGCTCAATCCCGTAGGCGGTCTGCGCCAAACGGGGCACCAATGTCGCCTGGCGTTCAACTTCAGCCAAGTTATTGTACACATTCCGACAGTGGTTGATGAACATGGTCAGGTACATGCGACGCTCTGTCGGCTCCTTTTCCCATAGCACAGGCTCACCCTCGGTGGAGAGGACAAGAGCATCATGCCTCAGAACCACCTCTTGTAGGGTCCATAACGACGAGAACCATGGGTCACTAAATACGAGGCTAAAGGCGTTCTGGAGCTTATCAATCGTAGAGTCGAAGTCGATTTCGATCGAGGGACGGTGAACATACTCATCGAGAATGAGACTGTAGCCCAGGATATCATCCAAAGCAGATTGGAGTTGTCCACTTTGTACTCGAGACAGCCAAACGAAGGTGTTTCGTGCTTTCTTGAAGATGCTAGCTTGTTGACCGATCTCGATAGCGGCTTGAGAGTTTTCAACACCTCGATGCTGGTCGATGCAGCCGACGTCTATCCAGACCCAATCGGTACCTTCCATTTGTATTTTGCGGACAACGTTTTGGAAGCCCTGCACGATAAAATGCTCCTGCATCACAGCAGGAATTTTCCATGGAGTGTTCTTGATGGGTAGCACAGGCGCACTCTGCGCCGAGTCGTCTCTAATCCTCCAGCGACCCCAGGTGTATGATAGCGTGCTATATGAGGGCTCCTTTACCCTTAATTCGCCAAACTCATATACATTGGTGTCGTCTCTGGAGATGGACGTCATGGTTGGTATGTGGATAAGCCGTTGTGGCCAGTACTCGCCGACGTTCTCCCATCCGAAAGGGAGCCGCCCGCTTTCGTACGGATGATCCTTTCTCATGTCAGTAATAGAATAGTCCCTAGTGACGCTCTATACATACCGTCATATTGATTTTCTTTTGAGTAGGTTGCTACTAGGCCCGCCGGAAGACTTGGAATGAGGGAATTTCATGACGAGAAGCCGAACTCATCAGCCCACTATTGGGCACCAATATTGGGTAAGCTGCATTCTGTTGGATCTGCAGGCCGCCATGCCATCCTTTACACTTTTATCTCCGGTTAAATCTCAGTAGGCATAGCTCCATGGCTTGGTGAGAGAATTTGATGGTTTATTCAGTCAAATAAAAGAGCTTTCGAGCACTCAGCATTATTCGTCCAATAGTCTATTGCTGCGGTGTGCCAAATGGATAGAGGGAGAGGTGTAGGCCAATTAGCGTAGAGTCGGAGGCAGGGGTGCTTGTGTTGTAATATTAATATCTGAAGCTTCTAACTCAAGACGCCGCTTGACGCGTTTTATTTTCCTTCGGTGTCTAACTGTTAAATAACCCACGACTACCTCCCATCCAACTCGCGTGGTAGGCTACAATTGCCCAGCTTGGGAGAAGAGGGCAGATACAAGTCCAAACCACAGAAAGAAAAGTGGTCTAAAATAAAGTAGAGGAAAGTCTGCAATCCTCTATTAATGATAGGAAGTAGTGATTCAAGATAAAGTATTGCTCACCACCAGCAAGGTCAGAGACAGGACGGCTGAGTTGAGGCGTTGAGGGAAAGGCAAAGGTATGACATCTTAACTTTACAAGACACTGTATGTCACAGCACAAGGTTCAGTGCTAAGTATGTCCTTCTATTGTTTGCAGCTACAGTTCGACATTAGTCTATCTAACATCGTTAAGCGACGCGAGAAAGAGACAAAAAATACGACGAAATAAAGAACCAAGCATAGCCTATTAGTCATTTGTTGGTGGGAGAGGTCTTAAGTGCAGACCACACCCATCCGTAGGGTGAGATCTAGAGAGGGGTAAGACATAAGAAAAAACAACATAAAAGCGGTGTCTTAAGGGTAGAGGATATAGAGAGCTATTAATGTATTACTTCGAGATATTTTGGAGAAAAAGAGAAAGAAAAATATCAACAGGAGCCGCTGCGATAGCTATAGGGTAGCGAGTATACTGAGTGCAAGTATTAAAGAAATTAGAGAAGGGAAAAAATATACCGTCTTATTTTCTAAGCAGACTCAATGTCTTGAGTAGGGCCACCCTAAGCTAGTTGCTGGCCTCTGCTGTAATTAAACTCTAGGCGAATGGTTAGCCCTATCACGGTAATAGTAAACCTGTTTCAATTTCGGTTGAACTTTCCCTTTACAGTCCCCTCAAAGTCGAGTTTGATGACCTCCCTAAGCCCGGATATGTTCTTGATGTCAACCAGCCATCGTGATATGAGTATGTACACAGACAAGACGGCACTAATGTAGATACAGTGCAAGGGAGATGTAAGTTAACAGCAAGGGTGTCGTGTTCTTAACAGGTCTAGCGCAGTGTAAGTGCCAGGATGGAAGAATTATGTACACGCTATGCGAGGAGCCAGCAACCGACGGGATTGTGGGTACTTGCAAGGTTGTAATTATACGACCTGGAAAGCATCACAGCCTAATTTGCACCCGTACTTGACCTTATTTATGCAGCATGACCCAAGATTAGTCCGTGCAATTGGTGGAGCGAAGAACGGTTGTGATCGTGGAATGACACAAGGGACAACCGCTGAGAGGAGAGCTGAACAAATGGATATCGCTTTCAAATCTATTGCTTTAATCCATTATCCTCGTGAAATGAAATTCTAGTCACCTCAATCCGTTTTGAAATCCCCCTCATCCCCCTATTGCTAGTTGTAGCAGGGCTATCCATGTCACTGTCGAGATCGCTGCCTTTCAAAGATTCAGCCACAATATGTCTCTCGTCACTCTTCCTCTCTGGACTCGATTCGGGGCCAGTGATTGAAACCAGCTGCTCGTTCCTTGTTGCCCCTCTCCAGAAACCAGGATGTGATGCTGAGGCAGACACGTTGGAAAGGTTGTAGCCTTTAGAATTGCTATGGGTGTTGTATGAGGAGCTCTTCTTGGTGAAGCCGAATACTCGCGGGAACAGTTTGCTCATTGGGCGCTTGAGAACTGGTAGACAAGCGGCAATGATGCCACTGTTCGCCTCGATAAGGGTCCACATTCCACGTTCGATGAAGTTGTAGGTGATGTCTTCTTTGTTCTTGAGCGAGTTTTGTACCGACGTCGTTCGGAGAATCGATGTGATTGTGACACTGTTGCAGGCCAAATTAGCTCGTGTTTATCCAACCGTTGGGGATACTTACAATCCTCCGAGAAGAAAAACGCAGCACAACAGTAGTCTGTCGCGCATACTCATCTGGAGTCTCATGATGGAAGGAATAGGGAGTACGAGCACCATGACATCCGTTAGAATGTTCATGACCGCGTACGCAATCCAGAACTTGTTGGAGTCGATGCAATTGCCGTCGATATTTTTGTTCCAGGATGCCTCGATTGGGATGCACTGCCAAATAGTTGCGCCAACTCCACCGATACTCCATGCCACGATGATGCCCATTACCACGAAACAGGCCATGCGGAAGTCCTTGGAGACGAAGAGCCGAAGGTAGAGCAAGATGGCTGCTATCTTGTTGAGACAAACTGTGACTTTGTATGGAGTTTGAGCAATGAAGAACATCTTCAGAGCTGTTCCACGCTCAGGCGGAGTAAGGTCCAGTTTGTGCATGCCATAGCCACTGTGGATGGCAAGTTGCATGCAAACCGAAACGACAATGGAACACAGCCGCAATGAAGTTAGCAGAGCGACCCAGACGAAGAAGAACAAACTTACCAATGACACAACGACAGCGGCATCGTCCCAGCCGAGCTTGTTCATCGTGACTCGGGTTGTAACCCTAAAGATCACAAACAGTCCCGCCGTGATGATCATCACCAGCGAGGTGATGTAGAGCTTCCATCCCTTATTGTCGACCCCATCGGTAGGGAATCCCATGCCTTTGTCGCCGATCATGATGAGTTACGTTGGAAGATCATGCTTGATTGGATTTAGGTCGAGGTAGAGCACCTAACGGCTCCTCTAGGAGCAGTTGCACTTGGCTGGTATTTATCAAAGGCCCGCCTTTCAACAGCAGACGAGCAGCATCGGTCACCAGCAGAATCGTTCATGCAGGGGAACATGCATCCTTACAGCCACGGTTTGAAGAGGGGTGCGTGATTAACAGTGATAGTGACCCAATCCAATCAGATCCCAACCCATTCCCACACCGTCGGTTCCTTCGGACACTGGCCATTGAAGTCGCTGAATATCATTTGTGGAGAATGGCCCTAGACAGGCTTGAAAACAACAGGGGTTGCTAACCGTAATGGGATCACACCAGGGCCCTTCCCATTAACCTGCTCGCTTCGGATAGACAAGGAAATAGCTTCCGCAACCTGAAAGTATGATAAGAATAGTCAATGAGGATTGGACTGCTTCCCGCCGAGAGAGCCCAAGTCTTGGAATAAAATTCACGCCACCAAGTAAGCTTAAAATGTTAAATGATTGCGCGGCAGCTCGGTTAGACGCTCTTCGGCGAACTGACTTCTGGTCTAGGCAAGGGTCCCCGGCAGGGCTGCTTACCACGGACCCGGAGATGAGCTGCCGAACTCGGTAGAGGTAGAGACAATCCTTCGTTCGACATGGCATGTCTCGGTTCATGGAATGTGGCGTGAGTGGCCTCGCGTGGTGCCTTTATGAGACATGCAGGGCTCGTGTGCGCAAAGGTACGAAGGGTAGCACTCGGTGTATAGTTCCACCTAGTCCCTCTATTCTGGGTCTAGGCATTCCCAACGCCAAGGGAGGGAACCTCACTCCATGGGACATGTCATTGCAGCTAGACTAGGCTAGGCCCGTTGTGCCATGGGGGCCTGCTGGGGAGAAAACGTGGATGATAAATTGCGCAACTCCACTGTCTCGCATGGGAAGATCGGTGTTGATCAACAAAAGCAACCGGGAAGCTCGGAGGTTCAGGCTTTGGAGGAAAAGGAGGCAGAAGACATGGTAGTCGGTACTACTCCAAGCGAGCGGTCACTATTGAAAGAAGAATCATGGTGTATACATATTGTTCAATATGCAATCCACAATGGACCATGACGTCGTCAGCTCAATTGACAGCTTTATGCCAATATTTCCTCAGGTGATATTGGTGAACTAGCCGAGCACCCCAGACGACTCCCCACGAACCCGTCTCCACGTCCATGGAGCGGGAAATGAGCACTGATGCTTCGTATCCACCCTTTAGTCTTCAAAACGTCCCAAGCTTCTCCCCAGGAATCGATTCGAAGCAGCGGCTATTCTTCCTCACCTTCCGTGTCCAGTAATTGCACAGCAGCCATCATGTACCTGGTAAACCTTGCGGCGGTTGCCCTCTGCGCCAGTCTCGCGGCTGCAGCGCCGACGGGATGCAACACGGCCAAGTACGTCACCGTTGACACGTCCAACGGTCCCATTACTGGACATCTGGCCGACAACTCACAGTGTGTCGTCGAGTATCTGGGCATTCCCTATGCGAAGCCTCCGGTGGGCGATCTGCGCTTTGCGCCGCCCCAGAGCTTCACCTCCAGGGAGCCGTACGAGGCCAAGAGCTTCGGCTTCGACTGCCCGCTTTCTCCCAGCAAGGCCGTGGACTATCCGGGAAAGACGGCGCAGGCACAAGATATCATTTCGTACTTTGCCAGCGCCGCCGGTACTCCCCAGAGCGAGGACTGTCTCACTCTGAATATCTGGTCCAAGGCGACGCCCAACTCTGCCAAGGCCAACAAGCCTGTCTTGGTCTTCTTCTACGGCGGACGTAAGTTTAGCAGCCCATCTTAAAGAGCCTCATTGACAGATGTAGGATTCGCCATTGGTAACACCAACAGTCCTTTCTACAACGGCAAGTACTTTGCCGACGCTGAGGACATTGTCGTCGTTACCGTCAACTACCGAATCAACATCTTCGGCTTCCCCGGCGCCCCTGGCGAGACTGCCAACCTGGGTCTCCGCGACCAGAGAGCTGCTGTCCAGTGGGTTCGCGACAACATCTGGCGCTTCGGCGGCAACCCGGGCAAGATTACCATTGCTGGCCAGTCTTCTGGCGGTGTCGCCGTGGACTACTGGGCGTACGCCTACCAGAAGGACCCCATTGTCAGCGGCATCATTGCTCCCTCCGGTGATGCCTTCAGCTTCCCCGTGAACACTGCCAGCGTTCAGGAAAAGAACTGGAACGCAGTCGTCCTGGCCGTCGGCTGTACCGCTGCCTCCGACGTCATGGCCTGCATGCGCAAGGTCGACTGGGAGGTTATCAAGACGGCAGCTGCAGCCATCAGGCCTGCAAGCAGTTCCAGCGTTCTCCGATCCATTCCTCCTTTCTATCCCAAGCCCGACAACGAGACCGTCTTCTCCGACTACGTCAGCCTCACCAAGGCTGGCAAGTTCGCCAAGCTTCCTATTCTCTTCGGCCACAACAACAACGAAGATGGGTACTACCGCATTCCCGCATACGGAAACGGAGGAGTCGTGCCTACCGATGCCCAGGTCACATCATTCCTACTCGAGTCGTTCACCTGCCCAGTCTCTTACCAGGCCCAGGCACGCCGCAATAATGGCGTTGCTGCTTGGGCTTATCGTTACATGGCTGATTGGGACAACACCCGCCTGTTCCCTACCAGCGGTGCCTACCACGGCGTGGACTTGCACATGATCTTTGGCGCTTCCGGCGACGTCAGCGGCATTGCTCCTACCGCTGAGCAGAAGAAGCTCACTAAGATTATGCAAAATGCCTGGTATTCTTTCAGCGACAGCCCATCTAATGGCTTGTCAAAGCTCGGCTGGCCTCAGTTTAACGCCAAGGAAAAGTCCCTGATTTTGCTTGGCAACAACACCAAGGCGAGAGTGGACTTTGTGAAGCCGTCAGTGTACGATGCACCTTGTTCCACCATTACTATGGGTGCACTGGGAACATCCGTTTAGAGTAGTAATTGAAGCGTAGGCAGCTCCTAAGTTGTCTCTGCATAATCCCATCCTCTCTATCTCGCAGCTAACTAAGCCTGTCAGTAGCTCACAGCCGTGCACACTGACCGCCTTCCCAACCTGACCACCTTCTGTGCCGTTATCTGGCCCGTTCTACTTGAATTACTTGACCGTCTTCATTAAAATTGCCCAATCCCTACCAGGGTCGCTTAACCCTCTTGGGTGACACTCCTGACTCTCTCTGTTGATGTTCCTTGACCTCCTTCAGGGGCATTACCTGACCCCCTCTATTGGACGAGGCCTATTGAGGACATACAAATCCCATCTCAATTGCTAAGCTACTATCTCTTTTGGTCCTAGATGTGTTGCATCTAGCAGATGGAAATAATCATATGTGCGAGAAGCTCTTGCTATTCTCCCTATTCAAGACAGGGTCTTTGGGTTAGTCTTATGGATGAAGAACACCTCGGGCCGAGACGCTCCAGATGCTTCGTGGTCTTTGGCTTCAGCTAGATATTGGCTTGTTCGGCTAAAAGCCAGGTCTAGGATAAAACAGCTGATGTGGAAGGTGGTGATGGACGCCTATGATGAAGGAAGAAAGCTTCAGTGGTGTTATTCTGCAGAAACCCGATATCCCGATACATGTGACAGGATGGGGTACTGAATTTGTGTCTCTATTGTTTGCGCCTCTTTGATCTATCTGATGATATGGAGTAAAGCCGTAAAAAGAAAGATACAAAAATATACAAATCTCATAAATTAGCTTTTGAGACATAGACTACGACGGCTAGAGGCGCTTGATATTTCTTCTGTTAAGGCTCTGCTTTAATAAAGATTAGATATTCTTAGCTACTTAATTAATCACTTTTAACTAATTGAATCTGGTAACCTTTATTAATACTACTATATAGTATTACTTTAATAATAAAATATTTCTCAACTTTATTATTAATTTAATAGCTCTATTTTTATTAGCCTTTAAAATGCTCAGTTAATTCTATTATTTGTTTTTTTTTTAGCTTTACTTAATATCATTAGATAGATCAAAGCCATATATTAATCTCAAATAGTAAGAATAAATAATAAGTACTACACCCAGCACTAGAATAAACAGTAGCTGAATAATAAGGTTATTACCTACCGGTCTCTGCCTGAAGCTTCCATTCAACCCCTCTAACTTCAACCCTGCTATCTGCAGTCAACGACCTTGAGATAGTAACCTTATTCCGAGCTATAGGATATAAGGGAGACTGACCGTCTCCCATCGTCAAGAGACCAACTTCCCTTCTGATACTCATCCTATTACAACTAATTTTTAATATAGCGAATTTCACTTAAGCAGCTCTTTCCAGGAATAACCTATTATATCTATATTATAAATCCCAATTTTAATATAATCTTAGATTCTCTTAGAATCTAGAAGATAAATTAGAAAAAAAGAAGCTAAATTTTCTTTTAAGCTTTCTTAAGAAAGAAAATCTATTTAAGCTATTATTATACTATCTATAATATCTAAATAGAAGCTAATAGATTATATTAGCTATTTTTAGATATTATTTACTTCTTAATAATAAGATTAGGATTAATAGGTAAGAAAATTAAATTCTTATCTATAATCTTATTCTATATATCTAAATAGAAATAGCCGCACTTTACGACTTGGCTAAAAATATCAACAATCCCGATTTAAGGGGTCAAGTCTTCCTCTAGGATATCGGCCCAATACAACCCCTGGTTCGAGGAGTTGTTATGTTGCGTCGGGCTGGTACGGATGCTAGCCACCTAGGGTGGGATCTTGGGGCGTTAGGTCGGGTCGTGGGAATTGTCGGTGCATTCATCAAGGTTAGAATGGGTCGAAAAAGTTAGACAGGATTCCGGCAGAGAAGAAAAAAGCAGCTTGAAACCCAAACTTGGGCCCTGGCAACTGTGACATGCGCGCAACGAAAATGCAGTAAATTCAAACACTAGGTTCCCTCATCGAGGAGTTAATTCTATTATATATATTAACTATATTATTAATTCAAACGGTCGACTCTAAGCACGACCAGGGTCCTTCTGCGCTATTTTCATCGTACTGTCCTGAAACCCTGAAGATGGGCAGCGCCATGAGGCTCAAAGAATCACCGCAATAATCTCGCTGCTAGTCAAACGATAGGAAGTGTTCATGCTGCGATCAGAAGTATGTCGGGGCCCTCAAGGCCATTGCGACCATAAGCTCGCTCTAAAGCGGCTAGAATCAGGCGACTGTTGACGTGAATGTTTTCGAGCGCTCTCTTGTAGAGTCAAAGTGGTTCTGTTCCCTTGCCGACGAGGCTACTTTGGTATAGCCAGTAGAGCAGTCACGGCCACCGAGGCAAGGATAATGGAACCAAGCCAGAAATACCATCTCCAACTCAAAGATTGCAAGGAAATGCCACCAAAAAAGATGCCTGCAAAGAAACCGATCGGCGTAATAGCTCCATACATAGCAAAGATGAGATTTTTCCGAGGTCCTGGCCGGTAGATCTTGCCAAGAAGCATAAGTCCGCCAACGAGGAATACAGAGGAGCCAATGCCTGCAAGGGTACGGCATACTATTAGCAGGATGTAGTTTTTGCTGAAACCGGCAATCAGACACCAGATGGAAAACCAAATCAACCCAAAGTTGAAGGTGACGTAGCTGCCGTACATGCCGCTGAGCCGGCCGGCTGGTAGCAATAAAGAGCCCGTGACAAGCGAGAAAACGCTTGCTAGCCATATTCGGGCAGCCGGGGGAATATCGAGTTCAACGCCTAGCTCTGGGAGGATGATATGGAAGCCACCAACTAAGTGCTCCTACAGCAATGATATTAGGCCTTCGGTTCTAATATCCATTGAGACCAGAGCCCAGAGCTCAAGCAAATGAAATCTCGGGCAAGCGAGAACAATGCGTACGACACCCGTTCAAAACTTACCGTCATCAACATTGAGCTTAGGATTGCAAAGCAGAATCCAACCTCAGATCATTGTGAAATGAATATTATCGGTCGCTGACGGCCAAGTTTATCTAGGTCGAACTCATGTGTTCCGATGTTGGTGTCGAGGCCCCGCGGCGTGGTGTTTTGCGGCATTGCGAATGAAGCAACCGGATTCAATCGAGAAGAAGATGTGTATCTGGTATCAGCTAAAATAGAAAGTGAAAAGAAAGACAATAAGTTAAACCCTCAAATATTTGAGCCATGTTGGTAATTGCTGGCCCACTTTGCTTTCGCACTCGTGGGTTGATGACATGAGCTGCGGTAAAATGCCCTAAACAAGCTAGCCCCATATCCTCAGTCCACGTCTTCTTTCCCATGCGCCCCGGGAGGCTAGAGTGCAGGAATTTGCTCACTGAGGGATCATTTGAGCACTATTAGATAATGAAACAAGACTTTCGGCGTGACTGCCTAAGTTGTCAGATATAAAGGCTGATAAAAAACACCGCACTTAAAGAAGATCATTTTTGGTACAGTGGCCTAACGGTTGTCCGATATGAGTGAATTGAAAAAGGAATGATGACGATATAAGCGTAGGACTCTGCGAGTTATCACCATAAGCGAGATACGCAATAACATTAATATCAACTCCAAAATGCGCAAGTAGTTCATCCCTCTTACCCACGGCCCAAGTTTGGTTCCTTTGCGAATTCTGGGCCACAGTAGTCACGACGGTCGATCTCAAAGTCCACCCGGATATGTCTTATGTAGACTATCTCGATTCATCCGTCGATAGGTATTGGTTTGTTCCCAACCACCCCTGCACAAAGGCTCAGGCCACCATATTACCTTTGCTTGAATGGATCCCAGGATGAGTGGGATCCGCGGAACCCGAGGATTTACGGAATCAAAATGACTGAAGGAAAGTATGGCATCCCTTGGTTGTTGACTTGCCCTCGCTTTTGAAGGCATTGGCAGTTCTGCGAGGAAGTATTCGTTAGCACTCTATATTTTCATCTGGTCATGGAAGCACATGGGTTTGACGACAGTGACTCAAATTGCAATCGACTTCGTTGCCTAACATAGTCAAGCTAGTGAGTTCCTATATCTTCCGACAGTCTCGATTCTACATGCAGTGCCCGAACCGCACTCAGCTTCGGAATGACAGCAGTACACCTCCCTGTTTGGTGATGACATGGCCTACCAGTTGAGAAGTGTGGTACACCGTACAGAGTGGTGGTACCAGCTGGGACGCCGTCCGGCTAATCGTCAGCCCGAACCCCGATCACTCGGCACTACCGCAGAAAAGTACATCCGGGGCCGCGTGGCAATTGCTTGGTCAATCATCAAACATCAACTCACCTCAACCTCGACAACACCAGCAGGGCGATGGGAATCTTTCGGCGACATTCGAACTTGGACGTCTAACAAAGCCTTGAACGTGCGGGAATTCGGAAGCAGAGGTGGAATACCACTTAAAACACGCCCGCCCGACAGTCGGGGTCGTCTGAACGACCTTCCATCACTATATCCATCGACTGATGGCATGCTCAAGCTACGAGCACATTCCAGAAACCGGGGTCCTTGCAAGGCCTGTCAGGCATCGAAGCGGAAGGTAATTGAGGACTCTCACACAAGTTTATGTTGGAAAAGTCCACTCACGACACCCCATAGTGCGATCAGGCAAAGCCGCAGTGTTCGCGCTGCCGCAAAAAGAATCTAGACTGCGAGCCTTCGCTTCAGGCCAGATGGAGAGTTCAGACTCTTCATAACTCATATGATCGAGAAACCTCATCTCAAACGACGCCAAAGACCATAGGCCGTGTCAGTGAGACCCGCTTAGTGCAGGAGGGTCCTCAACAAGCTGACCTCATCGATCACACGTCGGCAAGTGCATTCAATCAAGATGCGGGCAATGTCGAATGTACTGCGCACATAGAAGATGCCCTTGCCTCGTTCAATCCCCTCGAATTTCCCTTCAGCGACTTAGATACAAGCGGCTCGCAGCCCATGGACTCTTTCTCGTGGACTAACTTGGGCTCGGAGGGCTTATCACCGCTTCTTCTCTCGGTCCCTTCCTTCTCTCAGTCGTCTTTCGGCGTATTTTCACATGAATTCTTAAATACTCCCCCCCGCCTACAAGTGAGAGATTCCCCCTGGAGAAGCACAGACTCCACTCTGCCGAATGGAACCGCGGTAGAAATTACGAATACTACCCAAGGACTTAGTGACTCTACTCGTCTAATATCCGACGCCTTGAGCGCCACCATCGAGGACATCCTTAATCCTGGAGGCCTGACTGAACCGAGTCTCTCGGAACACAGAAGCTACTTTATTTCCTTGTGGCAGTCATTTGTTGAGCAAATCGCGCCTTTTCTGACACCATTCGGGAGCCGCACAGATAACCCATTCCTCAAGTACCTGGTGCCACAAGCGGAAAAGAGCTCGGAGCTTTTGATTGCTGTTCTACGTTTGGCTCAGATCATTGTCAGACGCGGCCGCAAAGGTCCAACTGGCCCAGATGGCTGCTTCCTGGAGGGGAGAGCCAACGATATTCAGCAAGTCATGGAACACGCCAATGCTCTCGCGCCAAATATCTTGGGAGGGGAGCCTGAGGGTCGGACCTCGCAGACGCTTCTGACCTTATCAACCCTGTTAGTCCTCTGCATGGGCTTCGTTGCTACTCAAGACGCCGCCAAACTTGTCTATCACTTGGAGTACGCCGCCATAATTTGCCAGGACTTATTCAAGACACTTGCGGAAGACGAAAGATTTTTATACCTGGCCAAGTTGCTGGGGTTCATCCAGAACACGTTGCTATTTAGCACTCATTCCAACAGCATCACCACTCCGGACTACCTCAGCGTAGCCTTGGAGTTTCACGACCAGACACAGAGCAATGCCTTCCGTGAGCTGAACGGAAACTTGCCAGACTGTGTCCACTTCCGAGACTTGGACATGTTCTCCGGTATGTCGACCTCAATGGCAAGCATCGTTTATACACTAGGAAGGCTTGTCAAGACAAAGAATGCAGGCCTACATGGGACTTATATATCCCATGTGGAATGTATCAGATCTTTTGAATCCGACGTGGATGGGTTGGAGGCACGTCTCAGACGGCACATGGCTTTGATGACCAAACACCGAGAACAACACCCAGCAAGCACGTATGACGTTTCGGTGATGCGGTTTTTAGACTTATTTAACGAAGCAGTACTTTGGAGTGCCTGGACCATCTTCTTGACCGATCTCAAAAATCGATCGTCAGCCAGCGATGCCGACACGCATGATGCTGTAGAACACATCCTCGACGCCTGCGCAGAAGTGCCGGAAGAAAGCGTGACCGCGCAATTGTTCCTTTTCCCTCTGATGATTGGTGGCATACGGGCGACTAAAAAGGTCTACCGTGAGTTCGTTTTGAACAGGATGGCAAAGTTGGATAATATCGGCTTGACAGACACAAAGACTTTGTGCGAAGAACTCAAGTATTGGTGGTCCGCCGAGCGGTCCATGGGTGGTCCGACGGAGCTATCCAAGTTTGTCTTTTAGAAGGTTGTTCTTAGTTCAATGGTACTAAACCATAGGGACTTGGTGACGGCGATGTGGTGCTGGTTTCGCTTCATTTGGCCTTTGTGTTGTTTGCTAAGAAGCCTGCATCAAGGTTGATGGGCAGTTTTAAATGAATAAACTTAACATCTTGACCTGCGACGCTAGTTAAAAGATATTGCACGAGTTTAAACACAGGCATGTCTATGTGAGAAGACGCCCGAGGCCCAATAAGGCCGCCCAGCCCTTGCCTCTGTTCCACCCCTGCTTCTCAATCGAGCTCGGTGAAAAAAAGGCTTTGCATCCACACGTTCATTCGAGAAAAACGGGAACTCTTATCATCCACTGGAGGATTTCGTAAATGATCTCCGAGACGACAATGCCGGTGGTCTCTGCAGTATTATCGTAAGCAGGAGTGAACTCGACAACGTCGGAGCCTACAATCTTGACTCCCGCTTTTTAAAGACCGTCAAAGATCCGCAGTAGTTCTCTCGATGTCCAGCCGCCTGGTTCAATGGTTCCGGTAGCAGGAGTGAAGGCTGTATTTTATGACGGTGGTTAGTGAATATCACCCACCACGCTGTTGTTCCGTTGCATGAGTGGTTCTCACGTACCTGGGTCCAAAACATCAATATCAATACTCAAGTACACGTATTCGTCGCCGACTGTGTCCACAATTCGGTCGACTACGTTTTCCACACCCATTTCGTCCAGTTCTCGCGCACGGATGTATGAGAAGCCACATCGAGCATCGTTCTCAAGATCGTACCTGTCGTCAAAGAGCATGGAACGTGAGCCGAGATGCATGTTGGAAGTTCTGGACAGCAAATCCTCCTCGTGGAGGATATGGAACATGGAGCCGTGTGTGACTTGGGAGTATTTAGTCAGCCCGCCACCGAGTTGCTTGGGATCCCATGAATCCAGATGTGAGTCGAAGTGCAGAACAGCAACGCGACCCCAGGTCTTGTACAAGGAGCGGATTGCTGGAAGACTGATTGTGTGGTCGCCGCCAATGCCGATGATTCGAGGAACGTTGCCTTTGGCGGTGTTGTGAACCGTTCTTGCGCCGATGGCCTCCCAACCTTTCTGAAGCTCGTGAATGGCTTGAAGTTTGTCGAAGGGTGTATTGCTGATATCTCCACAGTCCACCACCCTGGCCCAGTCTCGAAACGGGTTGACACCATGATCCATGCTGTGTCGTTATCAGTTCGGAAGCGCTGCGACGGAGTCGTAGGGAGATGGTATACCTGTAGCCCATTGAAGGGGACAACCTTCTCGAGCCCATCCTTGCTGCAGCAGGGCCGAATCGGGCACCAGGACGGTACGTCACGCCCAGATCGAAGGGAGCGCCGACGATGGCGATGTCGAAAGTGCCATCGGTAGAGGCAGAGAAACAATTGGTGTTGTTGAGGTGGGCAAAATAGGCAATACCCTGGAAGGGGATGTCGTCTTGGAAGTCATCATACACATGTTGCACGGGTTCGTCAACGGAGGCTAAAAGGGCTGATTGGTGGTGGAAGATGGAAGTCTGAATGAAGTTGGAGGGTTGTTGTTGCATCGGCTTCTGGATAGAGTGGCCAGAAGCCAAACTCAGCGAGAGGACCACAGCAAGGCACGTTGCAGCAGAGATGGACATTTTCTTCTTCTTTGGTTTTGGGGACGTTGGAGAGATAGAATGGAAGTGCTGAATAAAAGGTCGAGATGTTGCTGGTGATCTAATAGCGGAAACGCTTGTGAGGGCCGTCTTATTGCCGGGGGGTAAATAGCGCGCTACTGAGAGCAGTTCTGGACGGCGGATAGGCTACCGGAAGAGGCTTAGTGTAGTCCGAACCAAGCAACAACTGCGGTAACATGTTCACAGCTATGTGAGTTAGGGATGCTTCGGACCGTTCAAGTCACAAGCACGATGCGGTGAAACAAGGACGGCGGCTAGAGTTCCAAATCGGGTCGCATTACTACCGCTCCCTTTCATTACATCAAACCCAGCCTACTGAAGCATCCATCAATATCCACTCGTTGGATCGATTAAAACCCGAACGCAGTCTTCGAAAGGGATATGGCCAGATCAACCCTAAACTCTTCCGATTCTCGAGCTCAGCCATGCACGGGCCGAGTCCTTCCTGTACACCCAGTCCCCCCTGGAATCTCATATCATCTTCCACTGACCGCAAACGCAGTTGGAGAGGTCTCCCACAATGAGCATCATGTGGATGAGACTACAAGCCTCTTGCACCAAGTTGAGGATTCCCGATCGGGCAAATTAGACACCCTTTCTACCACACTTGGCCTGAGATTAAAGTTGTTCGCTCGCGAATGCTTGATACTCGCCCAAACGTCATTGCCCATCATCACATCCTATATTCTCCAGAACTCTCTGCAGACTATATCCATCATCGTCGTGGGCAGATTGAGACCTGATGATCTATCAGTCGCCGCTTTCGCCTACATGTTTGGTACCTGCTCCGGCTGGTTGATCGGTATGGGTGGCTCCACGGCCTTGGACACGCTCGCTTCAACAGCCTTCGCCGGAAGCGACAACAAACATCAGACTGGTATCCTCTTACAGAGGGCATTCATCGTCCTGACGATGCTCTACCTTCCGGTGTGTGTGCTATGGGTCTTTTCGGAGCCCGTCTTCGTACTGCTGGGGTAGGACGCCGACCTTTCACGCGATACAGCGAGCTTCCTGGTCTGTCTCATTCCAGGCGGCCTGGGCTATATATATTTCGAAGTCATGAAGAAGTACCTTCAGGCCCAAGGCATTGTGCGGCCCGCAACCTATGTGATGCTGGTTGTGTCCCCTCTCAGCGCCTTTCTAAATTACCTCTTGGTCAACACATCTCAGTTTGGGCTACTCGGGGCGCCACTCGCTACAGGCATCTGTTACTGGCTATCATTCTCTGGCCTAATCCTCTACGTGAAATTTGTTGCCGGTAGCCAATGCTGGGGCGGCTGGAACAAGTCATGTCTGAAGCACTTGGGTGTCTTTACCCGAATCGCTATCCTCGGCATCATCCAGCTTGGCACCGAGTTCTGGGCTTTCGAGATTGTGGCTTTGATTGCTGGACGCCTGGGAAAGTTGCCGTTGTCTGGACAGAGCGTGCTCATGACAGCTGATCAAGTCCTCGTCACGATCCCCTTCGGTATTGGAGTGGCCAGTAGTGTCAGGGTGGGTGGCGCGCTCGGCTCGAGGGACATCAAGGGGGCCAAGAGAACAGCACATACAGCTGCCATCCTGAGCGTCTTGGTCGCAAGTATTGTCTCCCTGGTCTTGATTCTGACAAGAGATCATTTTGCCAAACTGTTTACGAGGGACCTCGAGGTGGTGCGCTATGTGGCTGAAGTGATGCCATGGATTGCGCTGTTCCAAATTGCGGATGCAGTGAACGGAAGCTGCGGTGGCGCCCTTCGAGGAGTGGGCAAGCAGCACATTGGAGCCGTCGCAAACATCACAAGTTACTACGTAATCGCGCTTCCTTTGGGCTCTTGGCTGGCTTTCCGGGGCTGGGAACTCTCGGGCCTTTGGATTGGACAATGCATCGGGATGGTATTAGTAGGATCTATGGAGCTGTGTTTTGTTCTATGCATCAACTGGGAGAAGGAAATCGGTCATGCCTTGAAGAGAATCCAGGAGGATGAGGTTGCACAGGTGGCTTGATCGATGTATATTTATATGTGCCTCTCATCTATTCGTAACATATCTTGTGCTGATAACAGATGAGTTAGCAAATACGGAAAGTATGTTATACTTAACCATTAAAGATAACAGACATTTACAGCAATAGAAAGTTGAGCACTTAGTCAGCCTCGTCCAGGTTACGATCACCAAACTAGCACCTCCAAATCCGACCATGGCGCATCCTAGCTACAAGCTGTTGAATTTAGAACCAGCCAAATGAAATCGTACTCATTGTTTTCTGTTCCCACCTTGTGTTGATTTATATGGTAGAATAAAACAGGTCCAAACACTACGTCAAATATTCAATACACCCCTGATACTGAAGAGATGTGAATGCAGGCAATGCGGTTCACATTTGCGTAGTGACTAACACGTATGTGTCGCTTTAAAGTGAACGGCAAAACCAGATAGAATATACATAGCAGCTAACCTAAACCTAATAATGCATTCTTGTCCTAGCTAGCCTCTAATTTGACCTCTGCTCACTCCGACAGCTGGGATAATCGACAAATCTGACATGGGAACATCAAATTTAGCTCTTCCAAATAACCAGTAATATGAAGCACCAAAAAGCAACCACCCAGCCAAAACGACAGTTGAGTAGTTCATTGTTTGAGGTGTAACCGGTATCGTCGTCGGAAACGTGCTGAAAATGATGACAAGAATGATCCAGGCAATAGAAACGACATTCATTGATACACCCAGCCAATCAGGAAGCTTGAAGTACCTGTAGGCTTTCTTTGTCGCGGGCCGACGTCCATAGACAAGCATGTATACAATGGGCAAGAGGTAAGAGATGTACATGCCAATAATAGCCATAGAGAGTGTTGCATTGAAAGCAGTAGGACTGCCAAGATAGATGAATCCCATGGCGGCTTGCAATGCTGTCGTGACGAACACTGCATTGGCAGGAACCTTGAGTCTTTTATCAACCTTGCTGAGTTGTTTATGGAAAGGTGTTGCTTTATCACGAGCGAAAGCCCATAACGTCCGTGAAGTCGATGTGAGGCCGGCGACACTAGCAGCAGCGGCGATAATAGGTACCGTTAACGATAGGACGGTGGTCCCGGCTTGGGAATTGGTTGCTTGAAGATAGATATCCATGAAAGGAAAACCAGTTGGCGTTGCCAGTAGAGACTCAAGTGATCCAGTCGAGTATAAGAGAGTGATGCAGTATACCAAGCCCATTAACCCGTTAGTCACGACGGTGCCTATCATGGCCAGAGGCACGTTGCGACTAGCAGATGGCAGCTCTTCGGCCAAGTGACAGGCTGCGTCATAGCTATGCAATGTCAATATGCTTCATAAACAGACTGGATTCGTAGGGGACATTCACCGAGACTTACCCAAGGAACGGATAGACTGCGCTTAACAAGCCCACCAGCCACGATACCGCATCATTGCTCCAGCCGCTACTATTTTCCGACTCAACAAAGACGAATGATGAAGGGTTCTTATCCGACATGACCAAGATGGTGATGACAGTACCCATGAGCCCCGCTACGTGGATGACCCCTAGCATGTGTCAGCTTGTTACTGAGTGGAAGCACAAAAGACTAACCAGCCGCCATATTTGTATGAGGAAGCAGCTTGATACCCCATACATTCGCAACGCAAGAGTATGCCAAGATTGCCCAGTAAAGAAGCATACCATGCCAACGGGTCGGCTCGTACTGGCTTCGGTTCATGATGATCAATCCTTGAACCTCAAGTCCGGCGGCGAAGGCGGCAGAGGCAGAGAAGACGAGTTGCCCGCCAATGGAGACCCATCCTGTCGCAAATGCTGGTCCAGATTTCCTCGAAGCCGAGCTGAGAGCGGCCACCCAGTAGTATTGTCCTGGCAAACATTGTTTTAGACGAGGTGGATGCAGGGCGAAGATGGAATGCTCACCTCCGGCTGTTGGATATATGGATGCAATTTCAGCTAGGGAAAGGGTGATGCACACCGTACACAAGAAGCACATCACGCTGCATACGAGTTAGCATAAAAGCCTGGCTGGGAAGACGAGAGACGGTACTAATTGTAAAATAGACATGGCGGTCCGCCATTAGTCAACGCAGTAGTAATGACGGTTGCTAGAGCCTCCCAACTTGCCATGAGACACGAGCAGAGGGCGGCGAGTGTGAATACAGAGAACTCTCGCCGGAGTTCCTGCTCGTGACCAAGGTTTGCAAGTACTTCTTCATCCGCCTTGCAGGCATCATTCTCCTTGTGAAGAACATGCTCAGGTGTAGGACGATGGTTGGCATCTTTTGTGTCCATATTGATTTGTTTCGAAACACGGTGTCTCGAGAGAGCTGTTCAAGCGATAGTTGATGGCTAAGGGAAGACGGATTATGAAAACAACAAGTCAGCTATTTATTCCCGATAAAACGGAACAATGCTGCTTGGTCTGCATCGGCACCGGATTGATTGATGAAGTCGGATGCGTCGCCACATATACCAACGTGGGGAACGATAACGTCGACGGAGAGTATCTCGTCACTGTGTTGTCACAATCCATTCCCAAGCCGTTCCCTTCCCTGCATCTCAATATCTTTGAAGCGGACCGAGAGCGACGTTATCGCCTAGCGGTTATACTACGCTTCGGGGTCTAGCGCGGGCGCCATCATCTGGCCACTCTGAAGGTGACTGTCCAACTGTTACGTACACTGATATTTCTCATGTTCACACAGAAAGATAAGCCCTCCTCTTTTCCCCAGAGACCAATGAGTGTGAAAGTCCTCTGGTCGAGGTTGGTTCGATGGCGTACAAACTAAAGACCAACCCCAGTCCCACACGCTCTGTCGTTAAGAGTCTTCTCGATCACACACATATCCGCTAACTGACTGCTAGCGGGGTTGTTCAGTCGGGTCGCGGACCTCGGACCGAAATGTGAACCATGGGCCACATGGTTCCACATCCCGGCCGTGTTTTGAGCAACGCTCTCACATCGTTCGGACCGGCCTGAGTTAGCATTTTGCAAGACCCTGGGGTTTTTTCCCCCAGGTGACGCTGGTATTGTCAAATAAAATAGCTCGGTTACATCACGTCTCGTATGAAAAGATAAACTGGCTTCTAGCCACGAGCCAAGAGATACGCGCCCATGGTCCAAGCCCCAAACGGTCATGAGGCGGCATCTGCTCCTGTTAGCGATGCCAACTCAGCTGCCTCGAGCAACTGCCATCTCCCCGCCAGATTCCATGCGGCCTCGGTCCAAAGTCCAGGCTGTGTCACTCGGTCGAGGAGAGTGTCGAAACGGAACCTACGAAGGGCAATCCGAGCCTGTCTCGCGTGTAGGGCTCACAAGGTTAGGTGCGACGTTACTCAAAGGTCGCCATGTGGAAATTGCCGATGGAGCAATTATTCCTGCATCGTGAGGGGTCGTCGTGGTGAGAACAAGTACGAATTCCCTTCCCATTCCCGCCTTGGCCGTCCGATGATTTGGCATGTGCTACGCTTCCTAACGTATCACCTCTGAACAAATGGTCGATGGTTTTTTTTTCATTTTCCCTCATTACTCACCCTCTTCGAAACACAACCAAAAACGCAATGCCTCTGACAAATCGCCCAGTGACTGGCAACATCAATACCACCTCGGAGACGACGCCTTGGTAGGAGTGGCTATCTCTTGGCGCCAGGCCGAGAGAGCAGAGGACACCCATGAATCCAGGCCTAAGCTCAGAAATACAACAACACGATGACCAGGAGCTTATAAAAGCAAGTAAGTTGAGTCCCAGTGCCAGACCTTGCCGCTGCTAAGGCCGCATGAGACTGCTATGACTTTGTGCCTAACGAACTTGCTCCCGGTAGCTAGGCAACCTTATACACTTGCTTTTGGGAAAGAAAAAAAGCCAGAGGCTCCCGTCGTCTTTTAGAAATCAGCCAGCCGTAGACTCATCGAAGCTGGAGCAACAAACACGACCATGTCTAGATCCACAAGAAGCCTCCTTTTCTTCATTCTTACCGAGATTTATCTCGCATCTTAACGACTTCTTTGGTAGTACCGTGGATAGTTTCCCCTCGGCGTCGAATCCAACAATAAGTAAAAGCTTGGGCTTGGCTTGTTTTGATCAGAAGCTTCTCGAGTGGTACGATACCGTGTCACATTGCGCTAGGTACCGTCCTATCTCATGCGATGACATTGATACGGACGGAAACGCAACAGCCGCTCTGAATCGTTCTTTTCTACATATGATCTATAACATGGCAATGCTTAGTCTGCATCGATCGAGGTTCACGTCATTACTGAACGATCCGAAAGCATCTTTCTTCGAGAAAGAGTTGTCGGAACTTCTCATGAACCACGCGGCGGAGCGCATTTCAGACATTGTAGGAAATATCAATGAATTTGGTCTTGGAGATTGCGAATCATTGAGTCAATGCATGAGGTGTGCGCTGCTGCTGACTTAGGGAGGGTCGCCATGGATATGTCGCTTGAAGACTTACCCGATCATGCATATTCTAGCTCAGTCGATATAACGTGCCTGATTGGAGGCTCTGCTTCGTGGGATGATTATGGGCTGTCAGATGAGATGCTTACAAGTGACTTCAAGGACGAATAAGCACCTTCTCCAGAAAGAAGCGAGGACAGCGGCCAAACACCTCTCTCGGTCGAGTTTTCACTGCTAGGAGACCGGCTAGAATACTCAATGGAAGGGGTCGAGATTTTTGAGGGTCTCATAGTCTAAATTGTCAATTCAACAGCAAACCATCAACATACTCTTGATCCCCAAACCATTATTATGCATTTTGCTAGAGTTATAATAACCTATGTGATTCGACATAGGACCTGACTCTCGTCCACTGCATCCTCTGCCTTCCATTCCGTCTCGAAACGACTCTCCTTGGTTGTCTTCAAGCTCACCTTCATCCCCATACTCTCTATCACCATAACCAAGTCCCCAGGCTTTACTTCCACAGCACGTGCCTTCTGGATGGAGAGTACCTTGCACGGCATCGATGGCACCAGGTCCTGTTGCGGCACACTTTGGGCTTCAATTATCGTTCGACAGCCTTCGATGTAAGAGAGAAGGCTGTCCCTTTGGAATTGGATCGAAGTTCCCAAGTGAGAAAAATGGCAAATGATGACTTTCGGTCGATTGAGCAAATCTTGCCCAGCACTAGGGGTGACATAATGCGCCACGATCTTGGAACCACCAATAGACACCTCCAAGGATCTTGGCTCCAGAGTATCAAGCTCGAGCTTCTTATGACGGTCGGGTCTAACCTACGGGTATAGGGTGTAGTAGAAACCTCCAACTTCTACTACCCTTCAAGCGCCAGCGATCCAATCCGGATGTTTGCAGCAGGTGCCCGCCACCACCTTGCTTAATACTACGAATTGTGATTTATCAAATTTGAGATACTGTATTAGAATCTTATCTAAGGTGCGACTCTTCCGCACGCTCCGCCCTCGCTAGCTCCATTCGGTAGCTTTACCGCAAGCTTAAGCCCCCGAATTTGATTCTCTGTACCATGCAGCTGCAGTTGGCATGACCCTTGCGTTATGTACTAACTTCATCTAGTAAACTTTACCGCACTTAATGTGATTTCGTCTCATGGTGTACCATGAAATGTAAACCGCTCGTGCTCTCCTCCTTTACTGGCTTGAGTCGACGTTAACTTCACTACCCTTTTAGGTAAGTTTGAGAGATTGACGAAGTCCCATTTCCTATCAAGTCGAATTACACAAAACTTATGGGATGATTTGCCTGTCTCGGGCCCCGAACTATTATGGGGCAATCTAGGAAGACATTTTACTATATAACAGGCCCCTGAACACTTGTGAGCCATGAAGCCTCTTGTTCCATCGATATTGAAAGTTATCCTGCATTCCTGCACCTATACCACCATTATGGCTCCCAATGATTTGACATCTAAGCGCTCCTTGCCGCTGCCTGAGTCAGCTCGCACCTTGGACCAACTCAACAAACGGTACAGTGTCGGCGGCATCAACTCTTTGCCGGTTTACTTGGCCTCTGGCGAGGGGTCTCGCCTGAAGGTAGATCATACCGCCACCCTTTCCTATGGTTCGAGGCGCTAACGACAGATAATCGCACAATAGGACACTGATGGCCGTGAGCTCATTGACTTCATCTGCGGATTCAGTGCTAGCAACCTGGGACAGCGCCATCCGCGTATCCTCGAGGCGCAAATCAACACAGCTAAGCAGAGTGAGCGGACAGTGATACCATGTGAGACAGAGCCCTCACTAACTACCCACCTCTAGTCACGCTCGCCAACATTGCTGGCCAGGCTGCGGGTTGGCCAATCTTAGCAAAGCAGCTCTGTGAAAAGTTTGGTTACGACAGAGTCACAGCTATGACGACCGGCTCGGAGGCTACTGACACGGCTTGCAAGCTGGCTCGTGGCTGGGGAGTAAGCGTAAAGAAGATCGATCCTAGTAATGTCCTTGTTCTTGGAACATCGGAGAACTACCATGGCACGCTTTCTGGCGTCTGGCCACTGATGGAGCCTGAGGCAGGCTGGGAAGGTTAGCTTCTTCATCGAGTATCCTCCATGCTGAGCTAATCTATGCAGAGTTTGCCACCTTCAGCAAGAACATGACCAACATAAATCCCAAGACTGGCAAGGTACTTCGCTACCTGCACGCTGAGGACTACGCCGAGGTTTTTGAGCAGATGCATGAGCGTATTGCCGCTGTCATTATGGAGCCACTCCACGGTCTTGCACGGTAAGACTACCGGCCTATTCTCCGCCCAGAGCGAATAATCAGAGGTGCTAACGATGAAGGATAGGTCGATGGATGAGGAGATCAGCTTCTGCATTAAGGTGCGCAAGCTGTGTAAAGAATACAACATTCTCTTTATTGCTGATGAGGTCCGGATGGGCTCATGCAAGACTGGCAAGTTCCTCAGCTCGGACTGGATGGGCCCTGAAAACAAGCCAGACATGGTGACATTAGGGAAGTCAATTTCTGGCGGCGCCTATCCGACGTCGTACGTGCTTGGGCCCAACGAAGTCATGAGCAAAATGAAGCCATACCATTCCGTCAGCACCTTCTCCATGTCGGCCATGGCCGTCGCGGCCGTCCAGGCTGCACTGCGTGTGTATGAGGAAGAGAATCTACAACAACGGGCTCGGGACATTCAGCAAAAGTGGGTTACGGAGACGTCTACCTGGAACTTTCCGTATCTGAGATACGCTCCTGGCTTCGGCGCCGACTTGAACCTGCTCCTGGACGAGGAGTATCAGCGTCGCCCTGAGAACATCTCGCCTCGTCGGCTGTCGTTGCTTTGCGTGAGTAAAGGATTGCTTGTTTTCCCTGGACCCCACGGCCGGGTGCGACTGGGTGTGGCTCTGACGATCAGCGATGAAGCTCTCCTCAAGGGGTTTGAGATCCTAAGGGAGGCGCTGGAAGAGCTACCTCTGTATGGAGATATTGAGGGGTCTGAGGAGACAGCTGGGGCATTTTAGTTGGATGGATCGGGTACTGCTGGAGTTTAGTTTGTATTTTATTATACTTTCCTCAACTCCCTCGATGAGGGAACCTAGTGTTTGAATTTACTGCATTTTCGTTGCGCGCACGTCACAGTTGCCAGGGCCCAAGTTTGGGTTTCAAGCTGCTTTTTTCTTCTCTGCCGGAATCCTGTCTAACTTTTTCCACCTGTAGCCAGTCTAACCTTGATGAATGCACTGAAAACTCCCACGACCCGACCTAACGCCTTAAGATCCCCAACGCCCATGATGACCCGTTTTCATTCGAATCCCCCCTCTAGCCAGCACCCTAGGTGGCTAGTATCCGTACCAGCCCGACGCAACACAATAACTCCTGGAACTAGGGGTTATATTTATCCCGGCCGATTTCTTTCATAAAGTCTTGGCCCCTGTTGTTATTATTATTTTCGATATTATCAGCTAAGTCGTAGAGGGCGGCCTTCTCTATCTGAATATATATAATATCTATACCGATAACTTAATTTTCCTATAAATTAACTCTATTTTAATTATTAAGAAATAGACTATATCTAAAAATAGCTAATATAATCTTCTAGTTTTTATCTAGGCCTTCTAGATAGTATAGTAATATACTTAATAGGTTATTTTCTTAAAGGAATTTTATAAAGATATTTAGCTTATCTTTTTTTCTTTTATTTTAAAGATTCTAATAGAATTCTATATTATATTAAAATCCAGTTTTATATTTCTAATATACAGGGATATATATAATAAGAGCCTTGTAAATAATAGTAGTCGATATATTAGAAATTAGTTATAATAGAATAAGTATCAGAAGGGAAGTTAGTTTTTTAATAATAAGAGATATCAGCTTTTCTTATATCCTATTACTTAGAATAAGATTACTATCTTAAGGTTATTAACTGCAGATAATAGGGTTAAAGTCAGAGGGGTTAAATAGAAGCTTCAGGCAGAGACCGGTGGGCAATAACCTTATTATTCAGCTACTATTTCTTCTGGTACTGGATATAGCCCTTATTATTTATTCCTACTGTTTGAGATTACTATATGGCTTTGATCTATCTGATGATATTGAGTAAAGCTAAAAAAAAAAAAACCAAATACTTTCCTCAACTACATTTTCTCCAAGGGTCTCATCAATTATTTCAATCGCATTTCCTTAGTTTAGATGTCCCTTACAACACACTATGTTGAAAAGCTACGGGACCATAAGGTTGCGAGACTCTGGGGGACTGAGACCCTCTATCAAAAGGCTCCAGTGCACCTAACCGTAATGTTACTTAGACCTGGGTCGTAGGGGGCTGGGGTTATAGTGAGATTGGTGGTTAACAGCGAGTGGTACTGAATGAAGGTGTTGCAGGGAGGTGAGTGGCTAGCGAGCCACATAAAGCCGCTCCGGGATAAACGAGTTGCCGGGGGCTTAGTGTACCCAAAGTTTCGCTCCGGCTCTTGACTTCGGACCGTGATTTGAGTTAAATGGAACAGGGAATTGGGCAACAGGGAGGAATTGGGCAACAGGGAGGGATTGGGCGGGTATCACACTGTCGACCGGAAAAGGACCAACTCAGTACCAAGGATTGGATCATTCGGCAACGCAAACCCTGTGCGTCAAGGACAAGGTCCCCAAGGGGAATCAATCCTTCCAGGGCTCTCCCCGCATCCCCAGAAAAGGATGACTAGTCTAAGCCCCGGATTTGGGACTCGCCCTCCACACGCACTCCACACGCGCGCCGCCTGCGAACAATTCACGCTGTGCTACGGAGTACCGCACCTTGTAACTTGTAAAGAGCTTGGCTCCTGGTGATGTCTTCTGTACTGCAGTCAACTATTGCTTACCCCGCTCACCCTCCGATTTCGACTCTTCTCTGTTCTTCTCTCCAGATCCGAGCTTCGCTTCCTTGCTAAGCATATTCCAACACTGACTCCAATATCACTCCCCATCGGCCATCGTTGGCTGCCCTTCGTTGCCCCAAACTCATTCCATCCTCTCTTCCTGGTCTCGACGCAGGCCGCGATATGTTGCCACCTCGCTCTGCCTCTCATGATCAAACAACCCGTCCGCCCAAGCGGCCGAGGGGTGACGTGGAAGAAATTCCCGCCTCGTGGTCTTACCCTCTACACCCATCGAGATCAGCATGGAGCTCCATGATCGCGTTTGCCAAAGGCCAGTGAGCAGTTACGCCACAGCGCTGTGGCTGGCATGATGGAACGCTCTAGCTGAATATCCTGGTAGTGTAACAACTCCCATGGAACTCTGCCTTGTTGCGATGATCCTCACAGCTGGCTACGCGCCGCGAATCAGCCACTGGTTTCCGAGAAGATTAAAGCTGAGAAACTATCCTGACTTCTGTGGCTCAGGCTAGTTACACTCCGCAACCGTCGTGTATGTAGAAGGACCGTAATGCAAACTGCAGCCGGGGTTTGGCCATGCAACAGTTGGACTCGAGGTCCAGCCTTATACACTCAGAGCACCCGAAGTCGATGCATGGCAGCCCAACGCTGCCGCACCTTAATCCTCAGTCAGCCAGTCCAATCATTCAGGGCGTACAGGGAATACTTGGCAAAGAGGGGGCTTCAGAATTCCCTCAACCAATGTCAGAAATGCAGGTTTGTATGCCTATCAGCCCACTGCGCCTCCGCCACGAGGAATGTTCTTATAACTGCGCTGTCACACGTCATACCCTGAGACTTTCTCCCCCGCACTCGTCACCTCTGGAGCCGAAAAGGCCTTTGACCCTGATCCTCAACTAGAGTGTCCTCTTGAGATAATGGCAAACATCGGACGCATCGCTTTCGCCGGCTTGACAGCCGCCCTCGAATCTACTCAGGCCCTCGCCAACGTGAACTTTGACTTCTCTCTGGTCAAGGTAGAGGCTCCGTGCGAGTTCCACGGTCTTGGCCAGCTCCTCACCCATTCGCGCCGCGAAAGTGCTGAGGACGGGCCGCTGCACGTTACCGCCCGGCGGCTCGCCGCCATCTTCGGGCCTCTCCTCCCGCAGACACCGGAGTTGATTCGGTGCTATGGGCTCCGCGCCTCGGAGATATCGCGAGAGTCGACGCAGGATGCGCCGCCCGTTGGTGTCGGCATCTTCGCGCAGCAGGTTGGCATCGACGGCGCAAGCATTTGGGCCGGTGCGACGTCGGGCGTAAACGCCATCCAGGTTCACCTGCTGGCGTGTATGCTCGCGCGTATTTGGACAGGCCCCGAAGCCATCTCCATCTGGGTCGAGCTGCTCAAGTCCCGCCGTGACAGGATTCAGGCCCAAGTCGCGAATATGGACTCTGTGGACATCGGTTCAATCCTGGCGGCGAAGCAGGACATCAGCCGCGACCAGCTGGGCGAATGGGACGCCAGCGCGCGAGCGTGGCTCCGAATTGCGGACACGGCCAAGCGTCTGCAGCAGAAGCAACTTCTCCTCATCATCGGCAATATGGAGACCTTTGTCAATTCAAAGCCGGTTCTCTACGACAGCGTCATAAAAGCATGGACTACCAGCCTCACGGGCATGGAAGAACTGTTGAATGGTTCCCCTTTGGACATGAGAAGCGGGGATTTGCCTCTGGCCCTTACATCCTGGCACCTATATCCGGACCTCAACATTGTAGGCCCGGCGACCAAGGTAGTCCATCAGAAAGACACTTTAGTCCCCCAGTCGGGAATTTTGACCATCGGCCTTCAAGGACCCAGTAACTCCGAGAGCAACGGACTGCACTGGTCGCTGCCTTTGGCACATCTTCGATTCTATGGTGGACCAGTGCAACGAAGTCATGCGATTCGCTGCGAAGGCGCCCGGCTATCCCTCGTCGAGTTCAACGTGGCTGTTCTTGGTTGCGTACTGGGCGGATGGGGTGTTGAAGATGACGAGCTTGAAAAAGTGATTGATTGGGTCAGTCGGCTCTCCGATACTTTCCTAGCCTTCTTCAAAGGTCAAGTGAACTTAGAGAGAACTTGGTTATCAATACTAGGCGAAGCAGCAAGCACGATCCTCATGTCTGAGGGCCTCGAGCGGAGAATCTTCACAAAGCTTCTCAATATGGGACGGAGGCGTTCCTCATTCATTGGACATCCCTCTCGCGCATTCTTCGGCTTATGCAAGGTGAACAACGCCGTGGTCATGGCCAAAGACTCCGAGGAGAGGGTAGCAATCCTCAGGTCCCAAGCTGCCAGGGCAAGATTGCCTTGGAACCACGCCATCATCCGTTACGTCTCTGAGGTGACAGGAGGAGAAGAATTCGCATCGGCCACTGCCCTACCGGTAACAGCCAAGAAGAGAGCCAGCTCTGAGGAGACAAGGGAAAATGTCCGCCACGTTCGTTGGATCCAGAGCAACTTACCGCCCGAAGAACAGCAAGAACCAGTTCATCTCAGTGTCAAGACAGATGTCTTTCTCGGCTCCGAGGTAGACAATGCGGATACTTGTCCAGAAGTCCCTCCTGATCCCTCATCACAGCCACCCTCACTACAAACGAAGCTAGACAACATAGTTGCCATGCAGCGAGATCGCTTCATAGAAATGGGCGAGGAGGTACGAGAGGCCGATTCAGAGCCGCTCAAAACTGTAGCCCCTCTTGCGAAGGCCATGAGGGTTGTCTGGGGAACACCCGCTGAGCCCCTCGTTGCGGATTGGGATCCCCACGACCACTGGTTCGGCGAAATGAAGCATTACGAGCACTGGTTGGGCGATCCGCACTCGGCCGCAATATTCATTCGACTCGACCAGTCCATGCCAGAAAACGATGTGATTCCCTTCACCGAACTTGCATCCTTATTCGAGCGACAAGCATTAAGCCCTAGCCGCATGGCCGAAAAGCTAGCCGAATTCTTAGAACAAGGCGACCAGAAGTATGTCGGGGCCCTCAAGGCTATTGCGACCATGAACTCGCTCTACAGTGGCCAGAATCAGACAACCATCGACGTGAACGTTTTCGAGCGCTCTCTCGTAGAGACAAAGTGGTTGTGTGCCCTTGCCGCCGAGGCTACGTGGGTATGGAGGGACGACATCGAGGAGGTCGCTGGATCCGAAATTGACCCCCAAGATGACGAGAACGATGATGCATATATGCCAAAATTCTTCGACGACATGATGCGGAGCATGCAGCCATCTAGCAATGCCCAAAGGAGTTCGGTCGTGACTCCTAGACTACACCTTGGGCAGAGTTTCACACAGACGTTGCGTAGAGCTCTCCAGCCAAGCCGCATGAGCATTAGCCAATCTTTCTCAGGCATTCTCTTTTTCGAAAATTTGTTCGATATCCCGCCATCTCAGGTGTCCAACGTCATGGCCATGTCGACCGGCAATTCACTCTTCATAGCCGCATCTCTCCTGTGCGACCCGGCCAAGCCGCCGAGAGGAAGCAAGATCCGACACGTCATGGGAAACGTGGGAAAGCCAGGAATGGCGCTCCTCGTGCCACCCGTCCAGCCCAGGATGATGACATTGGGAATCGACAAATGGCACCTCATCGACCTCGCTCGGTGGGATGGCGTCGGAAGAGACTCGTTCGAGGGTAGCACCCTTCACCTCTGGTTCACGGGCAAAAACCAGGAGGTCGACGTCGGTTACACTGGTGCTCAGGACCAGGAACTTTATATCCTCGAAAGTGTCGTGTCTCTGTACGGCAAGGGCGGCGAATGGGTCGCCGACCTGGATATCCTGAAGATGCAGAGGGAGCCGCCTTTTGTCTATCAGCAAGAATATAAGAGGCCGGGCTTGGACGCAATTACCGAGGGAACAACAACGGGTCTGTTCCTGGCATGCCATGGCAAGCACGTTTCTCAGTACCGATATGAAGACCTCCCGCTGGCGACGGTCGAGAATTGGGCGGAGCTCATCGAGGACATGCAGTCAAACTACATCTGCATGGCGACTGGAAACTGGCAGGCAAGGTTAGCGGCGGCGATGGTATGCATTGCCCAGGGGAGGAGGGTTTGTCTGCTTCCTGATTTCGTGTGTTGGCAATGTGTCGCAGCCACAAAGAACTCAGAGGCAAAGTTAAAGGACCCTACCGTGTATATACATTAGGGCAGCCTAGCATGTGCAAGAGAAATCAACGGTACTAAATACAGGCGCGCCATCTTATTGTTGTGTGGGTTACAATTGTGACGAAGCATGAATGGTGAAAACGGGTGCAGGGTGATGGGAATGAGGTTCGGCTGATGACTTGAAAGCGAATATATTTGATCTTTCATGAAAGAGTGTGGCTTCCACGCACCGGATATATCTCCTCATCAATTTAAATCGTCAGGTCCACTGGTGGCGAAAATCACAATCACTTCAGCGAGTCTTCAATTCGTCTCATTAAGGACGCCCTACATATACGACCACCTTGATGTTCAGAAGAATACAAAATCAACTAAAACGGTGGACAGGTTTCCATGAGCCTCTTTGGCGGTGTCGAGACAAGTTGTTGATTCTTTATTATATCTTAGCATCGATTACTTTTTGAACTACAACTAAAACAATCGCAGGCTCTTAGAAGTACTAGTGGGACCACTCTCCCCATCACCTTCAAGCCTAAGACTGTAGCTATAATCATGACTTGTGTCTCCAACTGTATTGACCCGACGTCAGGCCAGAACTCGACGAGCCTCCAGATCAAGCCCTGAAACCAAGTTTACGTTGACCAAAGTAGCTTCAAGCGTAGTTGTCCTTGAAATTGCCAGAGTCTGAAAGAAGGCCAGTCCTCCACCTCTGTCTACATCCTCTATTCAAGTTGCTCATCCCGTTCATGCTACACCTTTGGAGTAAAGTGCTCCTCGATGTATTCAATTGATACACGGTCCTTCTCGACGCAGGATCGCGTGTATAGTGTCTTCGTGTCATTCCAAAACACAGCCGTCATACTCCCTTGGTCCTTATTGCCCCCGGGAAGGGCACATTTACCTTTTTTAGTGCAAGCTCGGGCATTGAAGAATGTAGCAGTTCCCCAATCGGGGAGAATGTACTGCGGTCCGTTCAGATACGTTCCTGCCTCGATGATCCTTTGCCAAGTCAGTATTAGGCCGGAGGTCAGTAGTCCTTGGAATGCATCTCACCATTCTGCAGACGCTCCCTGGGATGGGAAAGTAGGGCCGCGCCAAGCTGTTGGGGCGTCTTGGCTGTGTAGGTATGTTTGGCTGGTGTTTAAGTTAGTGAGCGACGTGCTGCCGTGATATCCGTTGTTGGTTGTCTTCATAACCACATGGACATGATCGCCCTCTGAGATAGCGAGGTCGGCGAAGTTGATGGATATAGGGTCATCAGGAATCCTAGACGCCTTCGTTAGCTAAGCTTTAAGGAACAACCCCGGAAAGTATCGCACCATTCATGAAATCCCGTGTACTCCGTCGTCCCGTTGGGCCACACCGACATTATGACGCCAGCTTGCCAGAGTCCACGGACGATTTCGGACGAAAAATACCCATCGAGCCCAATCCAGTAAGAAGCAGTGTACTGCGTGGCTTTCTCATGTGGCTTCTTGGGAATCGATAGATGCGGCATTACGAGCGTAGCCTCGACCATGGTGAAGCCCGTGGTGTTGCTAGATATGTTGTAGTTGTCCGCGAAGCGCACCGGCCCGCCCCATCCTGTGCCGTAGAAGGGCGGATATTTGGCGTCATTTTTCGCTGCGCAAGCGCTGCCGAGAAACAACGCTACAATTGCTTTGATTTGCATTATGGACGTAAGTGATGGGAGAGCACTGAGATTGTGGAAGAGAGAGCCTGAATCTGCTGAATCTGGATCGGCAGCTTTATACCACACGGGTTCACTAGCGCAGGGTTGAATACGAGCTTATCCACTACAAATACCACAGCGGCTCGGGACTACCGGATAACTAGGATGATGGGGCCATGGCTGGTTGTGGCACGAGATCTGGGAGTTGCTAACAAATCCTCTTTCTAAGTAAGGTGTTGGTTTTAGTCTCGTGTTCGATAGTGAGATCTTCCCGCGGCCTCAAAGCTGGATTTTGCTTCTAGGCTCTAATAGATCTTAGTATCGACGAAAGGTGGTGTTTCGGTAAAATCAGGCCAAGTAAGGCCCGCGATCTTCGTATCCTTTCTCGTATTCCCTGTCCCTAGCTTGATGGACACCGAGGCGATCTTGGACACCGTCGATCGTTGGTCGGTGAGAATTTTGGAATTGACCAAGACGGCTATCGTCTATACAACTGTTGATCACGACAGAAGCTGGAGTTTTTTAGTCGCCCAAAATATAGAAACTCAATGGCGATTGCATTGCGTACATCTGGGACGCTTGTAGCGAGAACAAGGGTTTGTTGAACAGTGGGCTCAGCGCTTGCATCTAGCGGTGAGCAGAGGGCGACGTGCCCGTGATGCACGATAGCTCAGGAGACAATGCAAGTACGTGCCAATTCTATCATGCCTGTTTCTAACCTCCATATAGGTCTTTTTCTTGTCGCGCAGTTCGTCACTCCCAAGAGAAATATTTGTGTGATTGCTGGCTAAGGTTGATTGCCTTGAATAGCCTACCGACCTAAGCATACCTATTTTTGCGACTCTTGTTCAGCGTCCTCCTGTCGATGAGCACCTATTCATCACTTTCCCTAGCCACTTTGCAGTTCAAAACTGCTGATTTCCTCGGTCGCCTGTCTAGAAATACTTGCCGTCACCCCACTACAGAAATCATAACGCTACTAAAAAGTTTCAGCATAGTCACTTCACCCTACTATTTTTTTGACGACAACTTGCGGCCACTCTTTGAATAAGGAAACATCAAAACCCGTCCTAGAAATATGATCCTTAAAAGTACTCCGACCGGGGCAGCGGAGATTGTTGGCCCATCTTCGGGTAAGACGCCAGCCTCTGGACAGAATCCACCCACGACCGGTCCTCTTGGAAGCAAAGCAAGCGGGCTCAATCCTCCAGCCATCGCTAGCGATGGAGGAAGATCAAAACAGACGCCAAAATCAACACCAAAAGGCTCAAACCTCACAAACGCCGCTTCATACGGGGATCTTCTGAGCCGTACAACGCATTTGACTACGGAGCCGCCAACACGCCATACGAATGCCGCAGGGGAACATCCCACTATTTTCCTCATCTCTCCTGATGCCTCCGATGATGGAGTCCAGCTGCACCCAAACTGACCATATGGCAATATTTCCGTGTCCGGATTTGTGCCTGCAGATTTCTCTTGAAACACTGTCGTCGTTGGCGAGTGTTGTTCAGGCCATCAACCATCCGCTGGTTGACACAGACTGCAAGGAATCCGACACTGGAAACCAGCCGGGAACAACTCAACCCCCAAACTGGCCTGAGATGGAGCCTATGTTCTGCTTTTTTGTTTGGGACGTTGGAACGGCATTACTTCAATGTTCATCGTGGTCCTATGCAGTTGGTCCATTCACTGATATTTGCTAGAAGTATGCCGTGCTTGGAAAAGTTGAGCTCTGCATCATGAGAAGTCTTAGGACACAGAAAAAATCCAATTGGTATACCGAGAGGGAGTGGTTTTTCGTGATTATAAAAAGCTGTAGCGAGGCGCAGAGTACACGTAGCAGCGCGGTCCCCGGGCTTGGTATAATTTTCACCTACATCGCCCAATGATAAGCACTGAGTGGTGAAAATTTTGCTGCAATTAGGAATAATCCGTGATTAGCTACAAACACCTGAAACCGCCTGTGACTGTAAGCTCGGCGCAGTGAGAAGCACGCTCCACAAGAGTACTTCAGGAACATGTGGGGAAGGTTGCGTGGGAGAATAGTTTCGTCAAAGTACCATAATAGACTCGCGCTGGGTGGTACCTCGGATCCCGTATTCAGGTGCCCGAGGCGATCCTGGATCCGGAAATTCCAGGCCATCCACCTCCAGTTTGTTATCCCAGCTGGGCTTCAATCGCTTTGCAGCCTATGCCGCCCCTAGCCCAATTTCCCTATATGGGTGAGACAATGAATCAAGCTCAAACATCTGTCCTCTCATATGGAGCCTCGGCTCCAGATGGAACTTCAAATCTTATGGAACATCGACTTTTAATAGAGTATCGAATCCTCTCGGGACCTCGACTCGTTATGGAACATCGAATCCTTGCGGAACCAGTGGCGCAGCTCCTATAACTATGTCCCCTGCTGGAATTTTGGTCATCGTGGCAGCATTGGGTAACAAATGCTTGAATTATAGATAAAACTGTGTTTTTTTTGGACCTTGTGCCGGCAACTTGCTCACCTTGAGGGAGCAGACAGAAGTTAGATTAGTCCCCTGCTGGAAACCTCAGGTGCCGTGTGGCAACAAGCACGACGGCGATTTTTTAGCCATCGGCCGGGCGTCGCAGGTCCAAAGGAAAACGGACGGTTCCAAATACAGGCTCGCCCGTCAAGTCACCTTGTCCGCTAACCTCACGTATGCCAGGCCAAAGCTCACGGCGGGTAAATAGTCGAAGCTGTCAGTCCAGGACTTTGCCAGGCCAGAACATAAGTCAAATCTGGGATTAATTATATCTACTAGGTAGTCTCGATTCAAAAGTATTTGAATACTCGCAGGCAAAAAGGAAGTCCCCGAGACCTGGCTCGAACAGGTGACCTTTCGGTAACGAAGGTGGCAGTTACAGCCGAACGCTCTTCCAGCTGAGCTACTCGGGGAGTCGCTAAGGAAGACAGGGTCTTTTTCTTGGCGGTTTGGCGGCCTCATTCACTATAGTTAGCCTGTGAGTTAGTCACTCAGTAATCTGTCCTAGTGTGACTTAATTGAACCCCTGCTTAACCGCGGTGTTACAAAGGAAAGTAAACTTTGAATTCATTTCTATGTGCCGAAACGCCAAGACGTGTACTCTACATATTACTACATTAGACACCACTATATTATATAGCCCTGAATTATTCCCTTACTCCTTCTCGGTCTTTGCTGATGCAGTAACAGACGCTGGTGACTCCGAACTATGAAAAAAAGACCGCATGCTGAGATTTGCGATATGCATCAACGCAATCGACTGGTAAATGTGTAACCCTCCAGGAGGGATGACGATGTACAAATTAGAGCATTGCTCATCATCTGGTCGAAACTTGTTGTAATACGCTGCTTTGCCGTTGACAGACACAGACTGCATTGCACGCCGGTAGCCACTCTGCGTCATCCATGCTTGCAGGCCCGTCTGTCCAGACACGTCGCGGAGGCTGCCGAACGGCTCGTAGCCGAGACTGAGGTAGTCGATGCCAGCTCTGGCAAGAAGTTTCATGGCGGTAATCACGAGCAGGTCTGTTATTCCGCGCTGCGCTGTAGACGAGGCGACGCAGGGGTCTAGGTGGAATCCGCTGTTGGCGCCGAGACAGCGGAGGGCTGCGAGACCGTTGACACATCCATCGCGGTCCTTGGCATATAGAAAGAGGGTTACGTCGGGGCGGGAAAAGAGATCGTAGACAGTGACGAAAGCCTGTGAGTTTGCACCGTGGCTGCAGTTGCGCTCCTTGCGCCAACCATCATAAAGCTGCTGCAGCTCGATCTGAAGCAAAAGATCGCTGCGCATGGTGCTTGGGCTGTAGAGATGCAGAGTAACGCCGCCTCGCTTCTGGTCCATTAGCTGTCGAGTCTGGCTAATCATCCGCTTCCCTGCGCCTTTGAGAAGCACCGGGTTCGTCAACGGATTGACGACTCGTTCGCGACCGAAATGCAGCGTGGCCCAGTTGCGTTCTCGGGCATATTCGGCAAACGTCTCGCTCACCCCCATGAACGCGATGCCCAGCCCGAGCTTCGACCGAAACTGGCGGAGCTCCTCCAACAGCTCTCTGAAAGTATCTGGCGCGCAGAGAGGATCGCCCGTGACGATGACGGTGCGGCTTTCAATCTTGTATAGCAGCGCCCCGTAGCCCCGTTGGCTAGTGAAAAGCTTGTAGGAAGGGTCGAGGATTCCCATGTGCGCCGCTCGTCCGTATCGTTGATATGCGCGATCGAAGTCATTGTGTTGGTCGGCGTAGGATTTCGTTTCTGGGTGTGGCACTGCAAGGTACGTCGCGTGCTCGTTGAGAGATGGCGGGGGCGTAGGGACGCCATGGTTGAGGCAAGGTTTGGTAGGAAGGCCTCTGATGTCAGGGGAAGAATCGAAGACGGCACATAGGCTAGTGATGAGATGGCATGTTGTGTCGAGGCTGGTGGCTGTGATGGAAGATCTCGGGAGCGACAATGTCGACATTTTTTCTACTGATTCGTAGAGGTTTATGATGAACAACTTGGAGCAATCGCTCTCACTCGGTCCCGCTGGTTGTCTCCTCTATACCAAAACCTCCCACGGATATCCTTCGTATATATACAGCTCAAATTACACCCAGACACAGCCCTCCCCGTCGTCATCAGGACCTTTCGTACGGAAAAGGCCGAAAGCTGATGCCTCAGCTCACCACGTCGTCGCCGTGGCTGATAGCAGTGCAGATTGGACAACTGAGCACCGCCATGGCTCGTGTGTTTCCCCTTCAGCCCAGCCCGGCACTCGGCTATCGTATTGCGCGTCTGTCTAACTCGACAGGCTGTGTCGTAGACGGTTTAGTGGGGCGACGGACTGATATTCGGATATTCGGCTGCCTTGTGGAGCGTCCCCAAGCCACGAGAAGGAGACGCTTTGTCTGGATTGGTTACGGGCGAAGCACAGCCTCGTTCGGTGTTACGAGCCGAGATGGAGTCTAGAGCTTATGGGAGCTTCTTAAACAACTGCCATGTGTTTCAATCTTACTTCATATTACGAGGGCTGATTGAGCCTTGGCCATTGTACAGGAGCTGAAATGGAGTGCTAAATGACAAAGTCCCTAAATGGGGACTTCTGCTCTCTTTTAACGAACTAGCTTTGATAATAAACGCCTAATGCGGAGGGGAAATAGCGCATCTTATAGAGTAGTCCATCCAAAGATCCCACGGCTACTCAATCGGGACTTTCTCCGCGCCATAGTCTATTTTGTGGCGACTCCAGGCAGCCCTGGGAACATCCGCGAGCCGTCTGGTCAGGGGAACAAATGCGCTTGGACTGTTTGTAGTCTTGCCCCAGATGAGCTGAACTGTTCAGCCACAGAGGTGGTTGAGTTCGGGACGATGAGATAGCAACACCCTTGAAATAGATGCCTAGATTTTGATTAGTGTGACAGATGCCGAGGCTTGTGATGTGGGGAATCCATGTATTCTCGTATTCAAAGTACTTTTGAATTGATCTTTGAAACCGACTGCTTTTTTTCATGATTGAAAAATGATGCCTAAATTGGATGAGGGAGCTTGAGGAAGGTAGTACAGTTCGAGGCACAGTGCGTACTGTGTTAGCCCCGTCACGGTCACCATATTTCGGAATATGCAGGCCATCTCAGTAGATATTGAAAATGAAATTGGATTTGTATCCTATTTTTTCAGGAGTGATTAGGCTCAGGATTGGTTTCACTGAAACCACTGTTCTGCGTGCCTATACTCCATTTATGTTGTTTTCGTAAAGTACCGATCCTATCATCACATCCCATCTCCTCATTGCTCATACCCAAAACCGTTGAAACAAACTAACTGGCCCGCCAGAACATGAAATAATTTAATCAAAATCGTGATGGAAGGTGCTCCGAAGCGGCAGCTCGCCGTCAAAGTTGTTCGACTCCTTCTTCATGTGTCGATCAAAGCTCTGCGTCGACATCTGCACCTTCTCAAACAAAGCGCGATCCAAGACCGGAGCCGCAGGCGGTAGCTGGCCACGGCTTCGAGCCAGCTCGGCCTGCGTGGCGTAGTTGTGCACCGCGAGGCTGGACGTGATCTGGAAGGCGCTTCGGATCTGTCGGCCGTTCCAGCAGCCGGTGGACCGGGCCAGTTCCTCGTAGTGCTTGGTGGCAAAGTCAATCACCTCGTTCTCCTTGATGACGATGGCGGGCTCGCCCGTCATCTTGTGGCGCTCCTGCTCAATCTCCTTGAGCTTCGCAATGTTGAGGCGGAAGATGTCGCGAGTCTGGGTCTTGTCGAGGGGAGGCTGCACGAGGAGTTAGTCTAACAAGCTGATGTGAGAAAAGCAGGGAGAAACTTACGTAGTAGAGAGACAGGTGGATACGAGACTTGAACGCCTCGTCGATGGTACCCACGCGGTTGGTGGTGAGGAACAGAAGACCGTTGTAGTACTCGAGAACTCGGAGGAAGACGGAAACCAGCGCATTCCTCTTCATGTCGAGCTTGGAACGCTGCGAGAGGAAGACATCGGCCTCGTCCAGCAACAGAACGCAGTCCCACAGATGGGCCAGGCGGAACACGTTCTTCAGCGACGACTCGACATCGCGGGGCGTCAACCCAAGATCACCGCAAGTAATGACAAACAGCGGCTTGTGGTTCTCCATGGCGACAGCCTCAGCGGTGGCCGTCTTTCCCACACCGGGCACGCCGTGAAGCAGCACGACCAACCCACGTCCCTTGCCCTGGATCAGATCCTGGCCGGGACCTTCGGTCGCCGTGTCGGCATAGCGGCGCTCCAGAATCTTCTTCTGGAAATGCGACGTCACCAGCCCGCGCACCACGTCCTTGTACTCGGCCTGGATGCGCAGGTTCTCGAACACGCCGGGCTCGCGGCGCACCGGCTTGAGCAGGTTCAGGTCGATGGGCAGGAAGCGGCGCTCGCGCAGGGCGTAGGCGAACATGCGCTTGGGGAGCAGCACGAGGTCCTCGTCGCGCAGGTCCAGCGCCTTGGGGTTCGTCTCGAAGTTGCGCGAGCCCTGGACGCGCGCGCGCAGGAACGAGTCGACGCTGAGGTTCTCGCGGCGCTGGCGCAGCTCGACGCCGTCGGCCTTTTGCACGATCTCGCTCTGCGAGTAGGCGAGCGACTGGCGCGAGCCGTTGAACCAGTGCTGGATGGGCATGTCGTCGTCCTCAACCTCGCATCGGACCGACTTGTTGACCGTCACCTGATGGAACCTCGGCCGCCAGTCGGGCATCTTCTGGTACGCCTCGGTGAGGTCGACGACGACGTCACTCTCGACGAACTCGGGATGGCGCATCTTCTGGTAGTCCTCGTTCTCCAGAATCTCATTCTCGGGGTCGGTGCCGTGCGCCGGCGGGTTCCTGGTCAGCGTCCAGGCATTGTACTGCTGGTGGCGGTCGTCCAGGTACTTGCCGAAGCTGCGGCCTTGGTCCTTGAGCGTCTCGAGGAGCTCCGTGTGCTTGTGGCGGTAGCGGATGGGGAAGACTTCGAGAGATTCGATGGAGCGCTCGCCGACGAAGGCCTCGATGTCGAACTTGCGGCGCACTGCACCAAAGGCCGCGCCGTCGTGGTCGACGTAGTAAGCCGAGACTGAGAACTGGGCGTTGTCGACCTTTTCGGTCTCATCCAGAAAGAACTCCCATCCAGATGAGGGATACGCAATCTGGGGCTCGGGTGCCTCGACGCGGTAGATGCGCCAGACTTCGTGGTATCGACCACCAGTCTCACCCGCGGCTGGCATGTAGATGAGGTCGCCAACGCGAAAGAGAGACCACAGGTCGTCGAACTTGACCTTTTCTGCGTCTCCGCCGTTGAACTGGTCATACAGCGGCATGATCTCGGCATCAACAAAGTCCACATAGCATCGCATGTCCCGCAGAGCCTCAGGGCTGTCCATGAGGCCGTCAAAGTCCTCGTCGGCATTCGAATCGACCGACTGCAGAGACTCGGTGTCGTCGTCGTCGCTTCCCTCATTTCCTTCCTCGGAGTTCGGGGCATCCTCGACGACTTCAACCTCTTCGCTGTCCACACTCTCGACTTCCTCGCCAAGCTCCTCGACGTCGGCCCACTTCTCCTCCAGCGTGGCCAAGATTTCCCGCATCTTGGGCTGGAAGTACACCAACGCCTTGAAGGGCCGCATGAAAGTGCGCGGAGTTGATCGTTGCTCCGTGTCATTGAGCAGTGAGGTCAGGTGGCCAAGAACAGGCTGCGACTGGATGCGGACGCGCTGAATGTCACCACTCGGCGCCTGCATAAACTCGCTGCGCTTGTCCCGCTTGATCTTCTCGACCGGTTCATGTCTCTGCTGGGTAGAGGCATTGTTCCGAAGATTCATGTAGCTCTGGCGAACGCGCGCAGCCTGCTCGCGGCGACGGTATCCCTGCTCTCGGCGGATCTGGCCCTGGAGACCAGACCCATCCACGAGGACGTCAATGGCATAATCGGGCTCATCAATGTCCTGGAAGCGGTTCTTGAAGTGCTCAAAGTTGACCTTGCGGACTTCGGGGATCTTGGGGCGCCATTTGGCCGCAGTTCGGCGACGATCAGCGAGGATGCGATCGCGACGCTCTGCTTCCTTCTGGAGCGCCATGAACTCGTCGTCAAACTCGCGATGACGGCGCTGTGAAGGGACAGCCCCGGTGCGCTGTGAAGGAGGAGGTGGAGGGCGGCGACCACCACGGCCGTTAAGTCGGGATCCTGTCTGCTTAGTTCGCGCCATGGTGAATTCGATAAAGATTGAGGCTGAGGAATTTGACAAAGATCAACGCTGAAAGAGGGAGCAAATAACGAGGGATGTGCAACAGATGGGTTTACGAGTAGTTTCGAGTTTCAGAGTGCTCGAGAAAGCTGATGAAGAAACAGGATTAATTGAAGAGTCGGCGATGAACGACTATTTAAATACCACATATATCAATCTTATTCGCCTCTTCAACCCTCCAAGGCTGACTCACGCCGGTGTTAAAGTCTCACTTGCAGGTTGTCTGCCTGTTGAGCTTCGGCAGTGCGCAGGCAGCAGCAGGCGCTAGAAGACGTGAGCCTATAGGCGTGGGAATTGAGGTTCCACATGTAATCATCGTTAATGCACGCTCGGCTTATCTTGCATGTTACTGGAGCTTCTCTCACGGCATAGGACTTGAAGCGCAGAGGGACTTTCGACTGCGGGGAAGTTAGGCAACTGAGCCGATATATCATATATCAGAAGTTGGAGTTAATAAGATGCGTGAATATATTTGCTGTTATCTGCTGGGCATGCTGTTAAGTAACAGCTAACAGCTTAGCCGAAGTTCAGCCATTATACATTTCAAGTATAGCTACCCTACACTCTAGAACAATTTACACAAGCTGCACAAAAAAGAAATCTCAAGCAAGTCAACATTAAAAAAGAATAAAAACCCCAAAAATAGTACCAACTGGCAAAATTATAGAGATAGCAGAGATAGTAGATATATAATATAAATGGGAGAGATACTGAAGATAACAGAGATAGAATATGGATGGTAAAGTTTCTAGATATCGTTGAGATGGATGTAGGTGGGATACAGGTGGCAGAGATGGTAGGGATGGTAGTGATGGCAGATATGGGATATAGATAGCATGTAGATTACAGCACATTTTTGATACAGCAGTGTACATGTGACTCTAAAACCCGGAAATGGTTACAGATCTGGAAGTCGAACCTACGACCCCCCGAAGGAGGATGGAAGCAGCGGGAGAGCTCAGGAGCCTGGACTTGCCAAACCCGTCACTGCCCCCCCGCTGCTAATGGATGGACGGTATGTTTTGAATTATAAAGGTGACTCTGGAAACCCTTTGGGTTCGTGATCCTCAGGGTGTTCTGGCTGAGGCTGTGGCTTACTGTAGGGTGGCGTACTGGAGTGTGGCTGGTGGCTTGTCCAGCTTTTAGTGAGTGGACCCTGCGGGGTTATTGTCTTCTTGTTTCTTGGCTGTATTCTTCGGGCTATCATTTCCCGACCATAGTGAAGTGACGGCCTTTGTGCTAACTCGTTGTTTTCATCGGCTCATTGTTGACCGACTCAGGCTCTAACGACCGGCCTTCTCTCCGCCACTGTGATGGAACCATTCCTGATGTAGTATTGTTCTCTTGGCCGAGTCGTTAGTTGCCATATGGTACCCTCCGCGCTGAGGCAATAAACGACACCCCATCAAACATCCACCCATCAAACGACCTGGTTCATGCCCCGTGACTTTTGCATTATGGATACTGCATGCTAACCTCCAACTCGGCCTCGGCCCCGCGTCTGCGATGCTTCTGCTGCCTTTAGTTACTCCGCATCCCCCACAGACTCGTCTCGTCCATTCCCCTGCTCCAGACAGACGAGGCGGAAATCATGTTCGAGGAAGAGTTTGTCCAGTTTGCAGCTTCGGCCGGCTCTGTCGACCTTGTTGGTGCTTCCATTTTGGTTGACGCTTCAGACTTCCCCGGCGTTCAAAGAGCATGTCGCCATCTGGCCCAGGACTTTGGCCGCGTGACGAGCGGCACCGCCAGCCCCGTCATTGAAGTCGGATCAGAATACGACTCACTTGACCTGAAGACGGACACAGCCATCATTGTGGGCAGCCTCGGCTCAAGCCGCATCCTTCAGCTCCTCGAGAAATCTGGAAAATTGAATGTCGACAGTATTCGCGGCAAGTGGGAGTCCTTTACCACAGCAGTCATTGACAACCCATTTGCCTCTTGCAAAAGAGCACTTGTCATAGCTGGCAGCGACAAGAGGGGAGCCATCTTTGGCATCTATACCCTGTCCGAGCAAATTGGTGTTTCCCCGTATGCTTGCACCCCGTCCTTGTGTGACTGACTTGATTCTGATCTTGTGCAGCTGGTACTGGTGGGCAGATGTCCCATCCAAGAGCCACCCCCAGATTCATGCATCTCAAAAGTCAACAGTGCATGGAGAGCCAAGTGTGCGATACCGCGGCATCTTCCTCAACGATGAAGCCCCCGCCCTTACTGGTTGGGTCTTGGAGAAATACGGTGCCTACAATTCGGAATTCTACAAGAATGTGTTTGAACTACTTTTGCGACTAAAGGTAAACCTATAGCTGTTGATTCCCACCCAGATCAACCATCTCACGGCCTGACCGGCTAACACTCCCAGGCCAACTTCATGTGGCCTGCCATGTGGCCAGGCTACCCAAACCCCGGGGCCTCTTTCTTTGTCGATGATCCAAAGAATCAAAGCATGGCGGACGAATATGGCATAATGGTGTCGACGTCCCATCACGAGCCCATGCAGCGTCTATCCAACGAATGGTTCGACGAGAACCCAGATGGCAGCTGGAACTGGCTGACCAATAAAGACAAGATTACTGAATTCTTCAAAGGCGGTGCGGAGCGCGCTCAAGGATATGACTCGTACTTTACTCTCGGCATGAGGGGCGAGTACGATAAGAAGATGGCTGGCGATGACCCTGCCGCGGTCGTTCAAGATGTTATCACCGCCCAACGCGAGGTGTTTAGGCAGGTGTATGGAAGCGAGGACGCAGTGCCCCGTGAGTATTAGACCACGGACCTCCGAGGCTACCTCTGACATGCTACAGAACTCTTTGCTGTGTATAAAGAGGTCCAGTACCTCTTCGAAACCGGCCGAATCAATGTCCCCGATGATGTCACGCTACTTTTCCAGGATGACAACTTTGGCACAATTCGCCGTCTCCCTACCACCAAGGAAGCCGAGAGGAAAGGTGGTGCTGGAGTAAGTCTTGCCTGACATCCATATGCTAACATGACTCACGTTAAATAGGTTTACTACCATCTCGAGTATGTCGGATCCCCTCGCAGCTACAAGTGGATCAACAGTAATTCCTTGGTATGATCGCTTCGTGGAAAGTCTTGTTTAGATGTGCTAATTTAGAAAGGGGAAAATATGGCATCAGTTGATGCAAGCCTATCACCGCAAAGCGAGGCAGATTTGGGTCTTTAATGTCGGCGACCTCAAACCTCTGGAGATTCCCATGACGTTTGCCATGGCTCTCGCATGGAATGTGGACAACATTCCATCGGATGGGATCCAGAAATTCCTCGGCAACCTAGCAGAACGTCAATTCGGCCAGGAACTCTCCGCGGATGTTAGCTCTGTCTGGCACGGCTACGATCGTCTAGCATCCTTGAGAAAGCATGAGCACATCGAGCCTGACACCTTTTCCCTGCTCCATTACAACGAAGCAGAAATCATTCTACATCGCTGGAAGGACCTACTTGACCGCGCTGATGCGCTACACCGTCGTACCACTCCCGAGCAAAAGGCAGCTTCGTTCCAGCTCATTCTGCACCCAGTCAAAGCCTCATACATCTACGTCGCGCTGCAGATTATGCGAGCGAAGAACCAGCTCTACGCGCGCCAACGCCGAAACTCGGCCAACAAGGTTGCTCAAACCGTCTTGGACCTCTTCGATGAGGACTTTGATCTCTCGGAAGAGTTTCACGCGCTCTTGGATGGCAAGTGGAATCACATGTTGATGCAGACGCATTATGGCTACGAGGAAACTTGGCATGCACCATCGCGCGACATGATCAGTGGGCTATGCTACGTACAAAGACGTCAGAATTCCAACCCGATTGTTGGCCAAATGGGCGTCGCCATCGAGGGCCATGAAGGTGTCAGACCGGGCCGTATCAATGAGGAGTCGGAGCGAACGCATCCTAGCAGGCGAGATTTGGTGCCAGGTGTCACGCTGGGACTTATGAGCCGCTATGGACCGGAAAAACGATGGTTCGAAATATTCACGCGCGGAACATCGCACATCCATTGGTCAGCATCGGCGCCATATCCCTGGATGAAGCTGTCAGTTACATCTGGTACGCTCGTTCCAGGCGAGGATGATGCACGGGTCGATATCTCTGTCGACTGGAGTGAAGTGCCAGAGAGCTTCGATGAGGAGACGCTCATTGTTATTCGATCCGAAGAGGGGGATCTGGAGCATGTTCATCTACCAATCACTGGCCGACGAGTACCGAATACTTTCCAGAACGGTTTTGTTGAAGGATGTGGATATGTCTCTATCCCGGCCACGGGGTGTGATATCAAATCCCCCCATATCCCTTTACCTGATGCGGGAAGACTGGAAAGTGGCTCAGTAGCTCTCCAGCCCTCTTTTCCAAAGGAAGATGAGACCTTCTTCCTGACCTACCCGTTTTACCTCTTCTCGGAACCTTCTTCTCCAACTTTGCTACTTTACTTTGCGACTACCTTGGACTTTTCTACCGAAGACATCTTGTCTTACGACTTGAAATTTGACGATGGCGAGGCAATGAGCCACCGCCTCCAGAAAACCAGTCCTGAGAGTGATAAGAACGCCGCCGAGTTGGGTTGGCCGGCAGCTGATGACTGGTTCTTCGCTGCGTCCGACAACGTTTGGGTACGAAAACATGAGATATCTGGCCAAGACCTAAAACCCGGAAAGCATCTCCTTCAAATCAAATTGAGGCATGCTAACATGATGCTGGAGAAACTGGTGGTTGATTGTGGTGCGGTTTCGGACAGTTACATTGGACCACCATCAAGTGCTGAGGTTAAGAATGGAGAAAATAATAGTAAGAATGTTGGAGAACATGGGGATAACTTGGGTTAAGCAGTTTTGTCCTGGACGCCAAGTTGCAACCCGATCACGGAGGCGATCGGAATTGGAGAGGGTTGCCAAGAAACGCATTTTAAATTCTTCATATGCGCAAATTACCCAGTGCAGGATTCCCCTGTGAGTAATGCGCGTTTCAATGCGCTCCATGTTCCCTCTCTGGTGACTTTCGTGATTGGTACTGGAGCCTGATAGTGGCTTGAATAAGTCACTTGGCATTCCTGAAGATGCTGAATATGGAGGATATCTCCAGTTATATTGCCATGGAGTAACGAATGCAAGGACTGAATAGGGAGCCACACATACGGCGATGATAATCGACAATCAACTCGTGGCAAATCCAATATAATCTCATTTATTAAAAGCCTCGTTACTGCACTTTCAGTCAATTATAATACACCAGAAACCACTCCGCCAGGGGGCGTCCAGCATCTACCACGGTGCCATTCAAAACCTTCGAATACCAAACGTTATGGTTCGTTGGAGGTCGATGGTCCGATCACACAGCCAACAAGAGAGCACCGAGACCTCCTATAGCAGCCAAGACACCAAATTCCCCGTTCTTTCCGGCGCCAGCGGTAGTGACGTGAGTGGGCAAAGGTGTGGTGGTGGTGATGGTGGCGTTGGGCGCAGGAGTTGGAGCAGCCTTCGGAGGACTCGTCGACATGCTGGCTTCTCCGGTAGCCGGCGGCGCAATAACGCTCAAACTTGCCGTGGCTTGGCATTTTGAGAGGGAGTATCCATCCGGGCAGCAACGGAAGCCGTCGATGCAGTAAGTACCGGCGTCACAGTGCCCTAAAAACCTGGGTTAGCAGCTTCATATCGCAGAACACTTCGTCAGGTTGGGTGGCTAACATCCGTTCGAGCAGCAAACCTGCCCCATGCCAGGATTGTAGCAGTGAGCTTCACTAACGCAATTGATATATCCCTGACCATAAGTTACATCGCAAGCCTGATAATGGAGCTGGCGATCCACGACTCCCACTGCGGCTCTCTCTAAAGGTCGAAACGCCGGTGACATTTCGGCCGACCGAGGGGAGGCGGAGGCTAGCCCGACAACGACGAGAGCGGATATAAGCTGCATCTTGGAGATGGAAGAATGCAAATAGATGGGATGATTCAGATTGAACTGTAGTGTAAGAATGAGTGTTCTGGGACTGAAACAGACGCGGCTCTGAAAACTTGTGCAGCTTTCTATGCTGGGTACTTATAATCCCCGATATCATCATACCTTGGGCGTCTCAGAGCACGCGGCCATTCCAGGTAGTTGACACTTGTTCGTGGCCCTCCATGTGCATACTCGCATTGACGCGGGCACCACCGTCGAAGTTCTCGAGAGTTTCCGGCTTCCTTGAAGGTTTTCTTAGCATGCGTTAGGGCTCGTATTGATTTGGGTGGGCGAAGTTCGGCTCAGCCGTAATCTTTCAATATGCTATAAAATGCTATTTCTGATCCTTTAACAAGTCTCCCACTTCTCTGGGTCTCCGAAATCAGCATGGTAGGGCTGGGCCGAAACCGTAACCCATAAAAGGGTAGGCCAGACTGGGATGATGGATCGATCGTTTAGAGACTATCAAGTGTAGCAGCAGTAATTTCCTCCGTCAAAATGTTATCGCCATGTTGAGGCTGACAGCACCAAGACCATTCATTACCCTAAGACTGGAGACCTGCAATATGGTACAACGCAGCCGGGTCCTTTTGTTTATGGGATTCCGCTTGGGTTATTGCTACTTTGCTACCTGCATTTGATTAGGCTACCTACTCCACACTGCCCAGATCTTTCCCTTCCGATTGGATTCAGTAAACACCTTGGCTGGTTGAGTCTCACCGAATTGGCACACCATGGCAGGGTAAAGTGGGGATCCTTCAGCCCCAGAAACGATGCTACGGGCCATGTCCAGCCTCTCTTGTCGGCCTGACTTTCTAAATTCTGGTCTGATTTGGAGTCCGAGTCGCTCATATTCGAAGGCGTTAGAGATTAGAACACGTTTGTCCAGATGTGGTTACTAGCAATGTATAGCTACAACAAGTTCCATAACAGTCTTGTGTTCCTTGCTCATCGATGGTTGTTGCTGCCCCTAATTCCGAAATGAGGGGCTACAAATACACACGTAAGAAACCAGGCCCGTCTAACATGTCAATGACCTTCATTGGAGGAAAAGGCTAGATGCCCATCCAGCCATCATGTACCATTTCTTCCGATACGAGATTTGATGCATTTCGCATACCGGGCCCGGCTTGGTCACCCAATAGTATCGTGTAGTGGCAATAATCTGACTGTGCACCTGGAACCTGCAAGACCAGTAGCTAGCCTAGGGAGTCTTGAATGCAAATACTATATTAGCCTGAGATGCATTCGCATGATTCGGTGAATCTGAAAAAGAAGGGTGTGCCACCTTCCAGGTCGGGCCGCAACTGCGCACTTGACCATGCTTCCCAGGTATCTTCAAAGGAGTCCCGGAGATACCCAACATAGCCTTGGACCATTTGAAATCTTCACGGGATTTCACTGGAGAGGTTGGCCTGGCCAGCATCTGCGGCGTACTATTTCGCAGTCATTGATGCTAACATTAGATGGACAGCCATTTAAGTGTTACAATGCGGGACAAGAGGAAACTGTGCCAAGACTGAACTAAGGAGGACAAAGAAGTTACATGCGAGGCCGTTATACGAGGATCCGGGCTTGAAAGCGTCCCCGGCGAAGCTAGTGCATGTCCTGGCAAGCAGCACAATACCATCGGAGACTGGGCTTGGAACGAGACTAAGAAATAGACTTTACCTACGGGAAATAGGCCTTGCCTATAGGAGAGGGACGGTTAAACGCCCATCTTTGAAATTGGAGGGGACTAGAAATCCCTTTATTTGAGGAGATGATTGATGCAGGTATAAGCAGCTAATTTACCGATGGTTCAAGCATCAATGGAGCAAGGGGCCAGCGTCTCCAATCGCCTTTCAGTCACAACGGCAATCAAGTCGAACAAAGCCCAATACCATCCCCAGAGCTCAGCTGCCAAGGGTGCAAGAACTCTAAGCTGAGCGGTTCAGCGGCTGATCTGCACTCCCCGCCTGACTACGGTGAGACATAGAATTGATAGCGCCACAGAAGCGTAAGCCGCCTCATGGAGCCTCATGCAGTGGCCTGCAAAGTCAAGGTTAAAGAGAATCTCGGGCACCGAAAAGATGGCGGTGCCTTGTCTTGCAAGCGTCGGTGAGCGCGAGTGTGCTGATTTGCGTTGCGAAGGAGCGGGAGGGGTGGGCGGTTTTGTACGACGTCTGGGACACGAGAGCTCTGCATGGACAATTCCCGAGGAAGCTGCGTCATCAAAAGGCGCCGATATAGGGCCTTAAATAAGGATGCCACCGGAGCATCTTCTCCATAGGTCTCGAGTGTCCGGTTGGGTTACATTCGGAGCGGTTCAGCTTCAGCCACTTTTAGGGCTGAACTGGACGGCCAGGGGTCAACCCGAGAATAAATGCTGCGATTTGCTGCGAGGCAAAGCCAAAATTCAAGAATGTCCAGCTGCCGACGATTTTATGACGGCATGCAGACGTCACTGTCGAAGGGTCGACGCGTCCCCGATATATCTCGCCGCGTCAGCAATTGCTATTCATGACCCGAGGATTTATTAGTTGCGTAGACCAGCGCAATAAACTGGTCCCAGGTCGGTCAGCCAGTCAGGTGGTAGCATCGTCTGCTAATTTGTAATGATGGCACGTTTGGCCTATGATTTCTAAGCTAGATTGAAATGAAGTTTGACATGCAATTGTCCTGATCGTGGTTGAACTCCAGACGCCGTCAACTCCAAATGCCACAATGCCAACAAGGCTCCTCCTACTCCCAAACACTACCAGTCCTCCATCCTGTAATCATGCTGTCGTAGATGTCTGACATGCTATTCCTTTATTGAGCCTCATATCCCTTCCACCCAGCATCTAATTCCGCGTGCACCGTTCTGTTATCGCCGCGCACGCCCCCAATGGCAGCTTCTCGCTGAGCTAATGACTCAGGAGAAAGCGGGCTGACTCCCGAATGGACTTCCGACTTCAAACTATCGTTGTCTGCTGGTACTTCGTGGGCTATCGTGGCGCCGGGATAGTACGCAGCCTTTCCGGCTACAATGGTAATGCTGTGGCCGTTGAAACCACCGTCAGGGTTGCCGTCAAGCTCTCCAATTGACTTCTGAGGTCGTCGTTGCAGACGTCGACGACGCAGCCAGAACGCGACAAAGAGAATAGCTGGAACTCCTACCAGGCAGGCAACGACAATTCCAGCAACAGTACCACCAGGAACACTGCTTGACCCACCTGACGAGGCAGGCTGGGACTCAGTCTCCGACGGAGTTTCGGATGAGGTAGTCTGCAAAAAGAAGACGTCAGCAATTTTATACACATCTTGGAATGCGCCCAGCTTTGCGGCCGCTGCATTCGTGTACGTACAGTCTTCGATGTGGTGGTCACCATGGTAGTCGCCATGGTAGTCTAGAATCGGTCAGCTTCAATGTATCATTATTTGAGAAATCTCTCACTAGAGACGACTTACGCTAACCGGGAGTAAATCGAGAGCAAATCCATCAATGACATGGCCGTACGCCTGATCAGCCGACGATTGTGCGATCCACTCGACCGTTCCAGTGACATCCTCGTTATCGTAAGCTGTGACCGTCGTCGTCTGTCCGGCCTTGAAATTGCTGTAGCAAGTCCCTCCATATGCCGGTCGGTTGGAGTCAGATGTGACAGAGGGCGGTGCGAGGAGGTAGCCACTTGCGCAGCAGGCAATATAGCCACTCGTGAATTCCTTCGCCGTATGCCACCCTTTGGGACATACCAACGGGCTCATAAGCGGTGCGATCGAACTCGACTCGTTTGCGATGCTGGTGTATCCCTTCATAAATTGAGAGGGGTAGCAATCGGTGCTTTGGTTCCCGGCCACGGGTTGAGGTTCGTTAACCCATAGCTCGTAGCCTGGCGACGCGAGTTGCGAAAGTCGAGCTTCTGTACATGTTGCTGGCGGCGTAAATGTCGTCGTGAGGGGTACCACGCCAACAGTGAGTATAAGTATAGATTGCGTGACTTTCGTGGCCTCTGTGGAGCTTGCAGCCTCGTCGGTGTTTGTTGTCTTGGCTGAAATGTTCACGGCTAGCGCCAGTAATGAAAGCAAGGCTAGGCAGCGCATCTTTGTGGCTTAGGGAATGTACGCCGAAGGAAGACACTAAGGATTTACAAAATCTGAAAGATGAAATTACTAAAGGTTCAAAATAAGGGGGAGGGTACTGGGTAGTTATCAAGCGCGGGGACGGCTGAGATCTGAGACAGGGGAGAAGTGGCAGCGCGTAAGCCTACATCTTATTTGGCGAGAGTTTCGTTACATCAGTGTTTCCCTGATCAACCACCTTATCACTTTTCCACAAGCGGGAATAGTCGATCCTGGTAGTATTTCGAAGGATCACGAAGGATTCAGAGTGGAGCTCGACGGTTTCATTTCGACCCCCCAGAACTCTGGAATTCAGAACAATGAGTACTTTCGCTCCCTGTATTATCACTCAGTGACTTTAGTTACGGACGAAAAACTGCGCAACAATTTTAGGCTCGTCAATCCGCTGAGATAATTGTGATATTTAAGGCGTACTTTTGCTAGTATTGAACGGATCATGACAATAACGATCCCAGGTTTGTAGGATTCGGAAAGTGGATCTCAATTGCCCCTTGCATACAGGGACAGGAGTTTGAGTCCCCCTTCTAGTATAGTCACTGTCTGGGGCTCCCCTACACGGGTTGCAATTTTATTACCGTGCCACTTCTTAGTGGTCAAGATACGCAGTTGTTACATCAGACAATTCTGGTACGCGCCCAAAACGATGCTACCTAGAGCACCTGGTTAAAATCCTCCAATGAGCTGATTGATGCTACGGGTAGCCTGACTGTAACTCAAGAACTGGTTTTCCGGCAGATGTTCATTATGTGTTGAAGGACCTTCCTGCTCACGCGTTGTGAGGTGGCAGCACCAGTCATGATAGTCCGTTGAGTGTATGGAGCGAATGCTTCACAGATAGTATGAATAAATGTTCAGTTCTTGTACTCGTCAATCTACCCCTGTGTCTTAACCTCCTGAATCCTATGCAGTAACCCTAACCTCTTTGCACTCAGGCTTCCTTGCTGTCACCACAATCATGGGCCAATAAGCATGCACACTTCTATCACGCATATCTTTCTTCGCCTCTGCAGCCAGAACGTTCACCTCTTCCGGCCCCCACCCAAGGCCCCTGGTCAGTGCCGCCATCAGAAATCCCTGCAGACCCGTAACGATGTTCTGGTGATTCCAAGAGCCAAGCTCCTTGTAGCTGGCATCACGTGGCCAGTCGTTAGAGGGCCATTTGTAGTGGTACTCATGAACGCCCTCGAAGCCTGCTTTCTCAAGCATGGGCTTAATAGTCTTAAGGTCGATGAAGGCGTGGTTGAGTTTCGCGGCTGCTTCACCTAGGTGGTGCATTGATTTGTAGAGGGCGTGGTGTTCGGTGAGGGTACCATCGTCAGACCGAGGGAGAGTGAATTCTTGAAATTCGACGTAGCCGCCTGGAACTAAGTGGCTGGGTGTATTGTGAGACGCCGCTTCAAGGTGGAAGGAAGAACTTACTGGAATGACTTCCGAATGTACTCTTCCCAGTTCGAGATGCTGGAATTGTTCATCCGGCTGTGGATATAGTGGAATGGCTTCGAATACGTCCACTCGTCTTCGAAATCATCGATTTCGAATTTAACGTTGGTAGGGACACTACAATTTATTCAGTCGTGAGTTGAATCACCAAAAGGAACCGGGGTTTCCTACAACTGAGGCTGACTGGGTGAGAGATCAATGCCTATGACCTATAGTAATCATGTCAGATTGGTGAGGTTGACTCAAAAAAGAGGTTCCCACCTCAGCTTCGGGGTGCTCGTCCCCAAAATCCAAAGCCCAGATACCGGTGCCAGTGCCAAGATCTAGCACCCGCTCAGCCTCGGAGTTTGGGTCGTTTGGTGGAGCAAGGCCCAGTTTTCCGTTGAGTGTGAGGTAGAATATGTGGTGTTGCAGATCTAGTCACGGATATCAGCCAGTGGGTTCCCATAGGTAAGCTCGAATCACTTACCCAGCCGCTCTTTTTCAGCCTCGTCGTTAGGAAAGTGATACTCTGGACGTCTATATTTAGCTCACAATTTACCTAACTCTCGACTAGTGCACCAGATGAGGAAAAGACTGACGTCCGTCATGAAACTTGTGATATGTTCTCCCATTTTCTCTCCTGTAGTCGAGAATGGAACTATTCAAGCTGGTTGTCGATAGTTCCGTAATCTGCGGGTGTTCGGGTCAGTCGGGTATAGACGATGGTGGCGTTACCGATGATTCATACTGTTGTCTCAGCAACGACTGAATCTTGGCCACTGACATCATCAGGCTCGATGACTATTCCTCGTTGCGTTTCCATTTCCTCAATCTGCTCTGTGTCTTCAATGGCCTCGGTTGATGTCTCTCATGAATAGCACCGGAGACTAGGCGAGGACAGAAAGCACTTGACCATTTTAAAAGGGAGGTCACATCTATCACGAGCGGGGTTAAATCACGCGTTCAGGGTGTCTGAACTGTACGGATGCTGATTCGTTGTTACCCCTGCCATTTCACGTCACCGCCACTTGTGATCGTATAGGGTAATGGATGTAAGGCCACAACTTCGTCAACGAAAGCAAGCCTCTCGTAAATACAGCTTATCGATTTTGTCTTGCGTCAGCTCGCAAGTAAAATTATAGTTAAATCATTTTTTTATCCGCAGCTTGAAATTTAAAACGTCGAGATGATTTAAAATACAAATGTTGTATTGTTGATACTATTGTTGGTGTTTTTTTTTTACTGTTGAGCTTCTAGTCACCCCTCTGGGTATGTGTATTAGGGCACCCTAACCTCTTGATACAAATGTATTGCAGCATGGCTCTCTTCTCAATGCTTGCACAAAACACGACTTTCAAGTCATGTCGAGTCTGTGAATAGATACTCTAAAACTAATAGTAATATTATCTGACCATTATTTTTTATGCAACAACCACCACCCAGGTCGAGGCTTAGCGGAGGAGAGCTCTATAGTATCTATCTCCATGCCTACTAGCCCAGCAATAATCAACGCTTGTTCCTCTACAAAGCCATCAACAACACGAACGGGCACATTGACAGTAGCAGCTGGAATCTTCTCCCTCCCAATAACGGGAAAGCCAACACCCGATAACTCAAGCCTGGCCCACTCCTCGGGATTTTTGCCCAGGCTCCATTGGCGGCTGAGCTCTTCATCGGTGTACGCATATGTGCGTGTCCCATCGACCTGCCAGAAGCAAAATGCCGTGAGCCAGCCCGATAGGGTCACTAGGCCACCTGAGGCTCGCTGGCCGCCGGCGTGAGCGGCGCGCATCCAAAATGCCTTGACCTCTTGTGCGTCAGGGTTGTCGAATCCGGCTATCATATGCACGAGGACGCAGTCCAGACACATAACCCAGTCGCGAAGTTCCTGGAAGTCCCCTAGGGTTGTCAACTGCGAGATGGACTGACGTATCAACTCCCAGTCTTCGCGTGTACCATGTAGTGTCACAGAGGGGAAACCGCACCCAATCCGCATCTGATAGTTGAAGTACTGCTTCATGGAGCCCATGAAGATCATGGCGGCGACAGTGGCGTCCGTTTGTGTCGTCGTGGAGAAGCGCGGCAGCAGCCATGACGCGACGGCGGGATCGCGAAGCCGGGACTTCACCAAGTCCACCATGCGCTCGACGAAAAGGTTGATGTCGACATCGTTGAGTGAGTGCGGTCGCATGTCGACCTCAAGGCTCATCTGGCCTTCATGAGCGACGAAGGCAGACCGCAGCTCCTCGCCATGGCCCTTCACGAAGAAGCTGAATTGCGAGAGGATGGCCAGCCAGACGTCGTCAGGGCGCAACTCCAGATGCAGGTCCTGCTGGAACGCGTGCAGCACGGTGTGGACGAAGCCATTCTCGTAGTGCACAACCCCAAGTGAGGGTGAATCGGAAGAGCCCAGATCGGGGAACGAGGTGTGGAGAACCGGGAGATAACTGTCCTGATACGAGATTTTGGTGAGCAGCTCCTTGGAAGTCCGGAAAACTCGGTCTTGGCTGCGGCCAACTTTGGACGGCTGTGGTCTGATGACAGTGGGCATATTAAGGATGGCCGTTGACTTTGAAGGAATGGCAATCTGACATGGAGGATTTTTGTCGATGGCTTCGACGTCATGGACCCCAAATTGATATTTCCCCTAGCAAGCCCTTAGTCGCACCAATAGCTGGCGAGCATAGCCAACTACGAGCACAGCGGGAAATTCGTCTGTAATTAAATGGGTACTTTGAGAGCGGAGTTGCAACCGTTTCGGAGCCGGGAACCCGGAAATAACAAGGATCTGGCTTGCCATTGCCTGCCGTCCGAGCCTCTCTTCTCGGCCAACCCTGAATAGGGCTGTTCCCGTGCCGGGCAGTGCTTGCCGGACAACTTCGGTGCCGTTGCTGTGCCCTCGTGGTATTGAAGCGGGGCGATGTTGATATCCTTGATCCATGTTAGAAGCGGGGATGGAAAGGCCCGATAGATAGGACGAGGGTTTTCCGAATTCTTGATCAGCCATAACTATTGCGGTGGATATATGGGCGGAGGAAACATTCCGGCTAGCTCAGGTTGGGGGGTCTGCGAAGTTGAGGTTGATGGACTGGAATCGCCTGTGTTGATTCATTCAACGCAGCAGCGGTGTATCATCAGTCCCACCAGCGACATGCAGAATGACTATAATCAGTGACCGCATAATTGACCGCCCATAAGCTTTTGTCCCATTCTAATTTGCCTTATGCTTGCCTTGTGGGACCGAACTCAAGTTAGCCAGGGCCAAGTGTAGGAATTTCGGTTGTCGATCAGCTAAAGCCCACATTTGGCACCTTTGTCGCCCTTGATCTAATTGCCCCTGCAGCACTTGGCCTGGCAGGGCTGGAAAGGGCCATTTACGCGGCTCGGACCCTGCAAATCCAGGGCTGGAGCTCGAGGTAAGGTTTGGCAGTGCCGGCAAGGCCCGCAAGCCTGGTCGTCTTCGTGGCCTGCCTTTGGTCAAGATCCGAGGTTATCTGTGCACTCCTTGTTGATTATGGAGTTGTGGAGTCCGTTGGAAAATGGGTTGACCTTGGACATTACGGGATAAGCTAATTTGTTCCTTGCCTGTCTCGAGCTCCACGACATGGCTACAGTACCCTGGGACGGGGTATCTCGGCACCTCGCGAGGCTATCGTGGGCGAGCCTTGGTCCGCTGCAGGTACTTAAGTAGATGGATATTTCACTTCCTATACTTGGAAGATTCTTGGCTTCATCCCGGTCGGCTCTACATCCTCTGACTCTCAGAAGACGTCGCCAACATGTGGGCCGTCAGTCTTCTGGTAGTCCTGTTGGGCTGTGTCCGCGTACAGGCGACGAAAGCCGTCTTTGCGCATTTCATGGTGAGTGCATGAGGCCTTTGACTATGTAACAAGCTAATTGGGTTGGATCTAGGTGGAAAATGCCAAAACCTGGGACGAAAGCAAATGGGAGAAGGATATTGACTTGGCGCGGGCAGCGCACATTGATGGCTTCGCCCTCAACATTCGGTCTGACGATGCCTCGGCATGGGGAGCTCTGAACACAGCATTTAGCGTGGCCGACGGCAAGGGAGATTTCAAGATGATCTTGTCTTTCGACTACGCCGGCGGCGGCCCGTGGTGTGCGAACATTGTCCAGCAATACATCCTCCAGTTTTCCGCGTACGACTCCTACTTTATCGATGGCGGCCAGCCTCTGGTGTCGACATTCGAGGGGCCAGCCAGTGCTAGCGACTGGGTTCTCATCAAGCGGAAAACAAACTGTTTGTTGCTCCCGGATTGGTCTTCCCTGGGAGCTAAACAGGCTCTCGACGCTTCTGATGGCGTGGTGGACGGCCTGTTTAGTTGGTCCGCTTGGCCTGTAAGTGGCATACACACTCGTCTCCTTCCATTGAAAGCACGCAAGTTATGAACTCGAAGTCCCCTTCATGATTGACCTTGGACTACTATGGATTGTATGAGCTGACTGTTAGTCGACTAGTGGGGTAACATGGCTATGAACACCTACGTCGATGCCTCATATCTCCAGTTCATGGAGGACTCAGGAAAGGCGTGGGGAAAAGATCTCAAGTACAGTATGTTACAACGCACTGGGATACAGTAATACATGGGAAATATTAACGTGACTTCAAGTGATGCCTGCCAGCCCCTGGTTCTATACAAACCTGCCCGGATACGACAAGAACTGGATGTGGCGCGGCGACGACATGTGGTTCGACAGGTGGCAGCAAATCATCTTTCTCAACCCCGACTACGTGCAGATCATCTCTTGGAACGACTTTGGAGAGTCCCATCATATTGGTCCGCTCTACGTAGACGGCGATGACTATAAAGCCTTCGAGGTCGGCGAGGCGCCCTTCAACTACGCCGCCGACATGCCCCACGACGGCTGGCGCCAGTTCCTCCCGTACGTTATCGACATGTACAAGAACAGAAAGGCAACCATCACTCAAGAAGGCCTCACGGGTTGGTACCGGCCGACGCCCAAGCAGTCCGGCTGCGACGATGGCTGGACCACGGGAAACACGGCGAGCCAGCTGCAGCGCGAGTACTATCCGTACGAGATTGTCGAGGACATGATCTTCTACACGGCGCTCCTCGTGAGCTCCCAGCCGGTCAAGGTCACGGTGGGAGGCGTCGACCTCGGCGCCGCGTGGACTGACGAGCCCGAGTATGGCAGCGGTCTGTACCATGGAAGCGTCAAGTACGGCAATAACTTGGGCGCTGTTGTGATCCAGGTTGGATCCATGACGCTCACCGGACGCGAGATTACCTCGGCCTGCAACCGCGTCGACGGCCAGGACGGCAAGCAAAATTGGAACGCCTGGGTTGGAAGCCAGACTGGTGGTAGCGCCAACAAGGAGGTTGACATCTCCAAGTGGGTGTGTATCGAGGGAACGGCACCAGGAGCTCCCGAGTTTGCCGATCTCTGTGAGTTTACCTGCAAGTACGGATATTGTCCTCCAGGAGCCTGCTACTGCAGCAACATGGGCGCCCAGAGGGAGAAGCCCGACTCGGATACGCCTGGATACGGCACCAAGGGCTATCCGGCCGAGGGAATGTCGTCCAGCTACGAAGGCCTGTGTGCGTTTGCCTGCGACTTGGGATTCTGTCCGTCGGCCTACTGCGACACCAGCGAACACGCAAAGGTTGTTCCTAACGTCTCGCCCTTTACTCCCGACGCCTGTACTTCGGGCAAGGGTGGCGAGGGCCTCGTCGGGCTCTGTGACTTTGCCTGCAACTTCGGCTTCTGCCCAGTTCATACGTGCACCTGCTTGACGATGGGTGCCCTCAACGAGCCGCCCGCTCAGAGCGGCACGAGCGGATCTGCAAAGAGCGGTCTTGATGTTCGCGTGTTCGACGCAATCTGTGACTTTGCCTGCAGTCGAGGCTATTGCCCTGATGATTCGTGTGTCCAGGATGCTACCGGTGAGCACGAAGTTGACAATCCAGTTTACATCGGTACCGAGTACGTTCCCTCATGAATCTGTTCACACTTATAACACCATGGCTAATTCAAGGCACTAGCATCTTCAAAACATCGACAGCTCATTGCTCACCGCCCTGTGTGCTGGTGCTCCCCCCGAGCATCCTGCCCTCGTCCACGACGATTAGCATTCCGCCGTACACGACATCAGTCGAGGTTGGCTCGACCACATCGACCGTTACGCTGTCACCTCCGCCCATCACTGTCGGCCAAATCCCATTCTCAAATGTCCCCGTCACCACGTCAATCTCGGATGGAGCTGTCTTCGTGGCCTGCACCAGCTTGGCTGTGGACCCTGTAGATGTTACCATCACTTACACTACGGGCGGTAAGACGGTCATCACCACGCGTGAATTGACGCTGCCGCCGTGGCCCCAGATGACTCAAGGACCACCTGATAGCTGGACCGAGACTTGTGATGTGTGGGGCGCTGGAGGAGGCTCCGGTGACGATAGTGGCTCGGCGACTTCGCCAACCTTTAGCCCGAGTGATCAGTTCACTTCGACAACCAGCACACCGTTGCCTACTTGGACCGAGTTTCCTCCTGGCTACATCGAAGATGATGGCGAGGATGACGATGACGACGACGACGATCTTGTCGTCATTTTCGATTGTGACGGGTTCTGGTTCTTTTCGTTCTGTATCGACTTCCCCGAGTTCAAAGTGACAAAGTGGAAGTTAAATCTCCCCAAGGGCAAAATTGGACCTGGGCCGCCGCCTCCCTCCATTATCCAACGAAAAGGATGGTCAATCAAGATCAAGGGAGAATTGCCCCCCTGGCCCGTCATCACGCTACCACCTGGGCCAAACCCTGTTCTCGAGAAGCCCGACCGTCCAGATGACTGCAAGACCGTTTCTCAACAGGTCGAATTTGAGACCGTTTCGCAGGGACTGTCTGTCTCCAAGGGAACCACCGTTACCACGACCGAGTCGACCATTACTCGCACCGGCTTTGTCTACGGCTGCGAGGTTCCCGAGTACACCGAGACCATTTCTTCCTGCGCTATCGCCAAGCGGAGTGAAGTGCCCCGTGCCGTTGTCGCCGAACCAACAGCGAAAGCTACATCCGAAGCTGAGGCTGAAGTTGGAGAAACCGAACTCGACGAGGCTGAGCTAGAGGCCCGTCAAGCCGCCTCCGATTCTATCTTTAACCAAGACAACCCGATTCAGTGGGAACAAGACATGAGCTGCCCTGGCAGAGAGTCCGACTACATTCTATACCCTCACAAGCACGGCTCCGCTGACTCGTCCTTGATCCGAAGTCGTCTTGCCCAGTCGACTGGTACCAACAACTTTGAGTTCCTCGAAGTCAAGTCGACTACATCCGACTACACGGCATACTTTGTCATTCGGCAAATGCCGGTCTCGATGGTATCTAAGGTGAAGGGCATGACCCAAGTGCGCTACTTGTACGACTACCAGAATTTCCTGCGGACCAATGGTCAGACTTGGACTCCTTTTGGTACTGTTGGCCGCCGAGAGGCAACGGAGAAGCCTGCAGACGATGTTGAGGTCGACGTTGAGAGTGAGAGTGAGATCGAGGACGCTGGCAACACCACGTTTGTGCCCCTGCAAAAGCGGGCAAACAAGGAGGCCCCGTGGCATCTCTCACAATTGGGTGCACCGGCGGGAACCAACTGGTTGAATGATGTCAAATATGTAGCTACTAACGCTTCAGGCACATTCTTCAATTACTGGTACGACCCAAGTGCCGGGGCTGGCCAGGTTATCTACGTGATTGAGGATAGTTTCCCGGCATCGCCCCAACATCCGGTGAGTTTCTCCACAGTCTGCTGGAATGAAAGGATATAACTGACACATACGCAGGAGTTCCAAACCATGAACTTTGGCGGATCTCTTGACGTGCCAAGCTACGGCCCCGTGTCCGCGTGGAATCCCTGGCACGGCGCTGCAGTTGCCGCGGCAGCGGCTGGACAAACGCTTGGAGTTGCGCCAGCTGCCACGGTGGTCCCTGTCAGCATGGGTGGCATCTTCAATGGAGATCAGCCTACGGAGAGATTGATTCATGCGCTTCTCCTGATCGCGGATCACATCAAGAACAACACCTTACAGGGCAAGGCAGTCATCAACATGTCCTGGGGGTCCAAGGTCGCCTACATGAGCCCTATCAAGCCGTTTGAAGAGATATTCGGTAAGCTAAGCAATGTTATTGTTACTCTATTTGGACTTGACTAACACGGCTGGAAACTAGTTCAAATCCTCGCCAGTATCCAAGATGACCTCAAGACTGTACTCGTCACGGCATCCGGAAACGATGGCCGCGACCCAACCCAGCGCAGCGAAAACTGGTACCCGCAGAAGTTTTCTCATTCCGGCCAGCTTCCGAACATGCTTGTCGTCGGTGCGGTCGATAAGAACGCTCGACGATGGGGTGGTTCCAACTATTTCACAGCCAACCAGCCGCCTTTGGTGTATGCATGGGGACACGACACGTAAGTTATGACAGACCCCGCAGCTTGGTTAGTTGAGAGGGAGGAAATTGACAAATTCTAGACTCACACCCTCTGCATCCGGAGGATATGACAAGGCTAGCGGAACTTCATTCGGTAAGTCAAATCTGCTATATACATCTAGGCATTTGTACAGTTGCTAATGAATAATAGCCGCCCCTGCCGTTGCCGGTCTTGTGGCCTATCTTCGCGGCCTTCCTTCTAACACATACGCACAAGCCCTAACGGAGCCCTCGAATGTTGTTGAGGCTGTCCGCAAAATGGTGAGAGGACTCGTCATCGATGATAAAAATATCCAATCCGACGATGGAGCACCAGACAGCCTCGTGTGGAATGGCCAAGTCCAGGGAGACAATTGCCTCGTGAACAAGGTTGCGGGTTGCCCGTCCTTTCTCAGTCCAGGCGGCAGCGGCTCAGGCTCTGGAGGTCAATACACGTTTGAGCAAGGCTCTCCTTCGCCTACTTGTACAGCTGATTGTGGTGTCTTGTGTACTGGTTACTACTGCGAATCCAAGCCAACCGGGACACCCCCAGACTTCGGTAAGTTTCCTATGCTGGTGCTGAACCAGAAATCAACTTCCAATTTCCCCAAGATTGAACCAATACTGACTCTGGCTACTAGCTGACCCCGCAAACCCTACAACCACGCGTACTGGCGCTGCTGTTAGTTCCACAACTACCCAGTCCTCGCCCAAACCAACCGGAAAACACGCTGTGGATGCCCTCTACGTACACGGCGGCCAGTTCAACATGTCGCTCTGGTACTTTATGAAATCCATCATCGATGGCAAAGAGCAGGATCTGTGCAACGAGAGCCAGCTCGTCGTCATTGGGGCCAGCAGCAGCATCGACGCCGACAACCCTGGCTTGGTGCCTTACGACACTGATTTCCACGGCGACGAGATCTTCGATGGCTTCACCAACTGCAAATACACCCACAGCAGCACGGGCGGAAAGATTGAGTGCGACGGCGGCGTTACTGTTCAATGCAAGGCGGCCACTAACAAAGCTTTCACCTGTGACGAAAACGCCCGGTATCCTGACATGAACATGGTCCCGTCTGTGAGATGCGATTTCTCGAGCTTGTAGGCAGGAGGCAGGACTCATTGATAGCTACCTCATAGTCATACTCTAGAGCTCTACTCCTAAAGAAGTAGCTGCATAATGTTTGAAACCCATTTTCAGACGATGCGAAGATTAATCCCTTGTCATGTTAATTATCTATTAAAAACTTGCCCCTTTCTTGAGAAGCAGTTGCGCAATTCCCTGTTCTAGTTATTTATCTTACAACATATTTAGTTCCGCACCACCTCGTGTCTCCAGGCCGATTCGGCTATCTTATGTATCACATGTTGGTCAATACATGCCCGTAGAGCAGAGAGGTTCAACCGAGGATATGCGGACATGGGTAGGGACGAGAAATGAAGCCCACTCGCCATGCAATGACATGCATAGATGCATCGCTAGGCTTGATGATCATTGGCATGCATCCCTGGTCGCTTTCCATCATACTTCGAGGGATGGAGATACTACGCAGAACGTTGGGAACGAGTGGACCCCTCCATCAACTTCTTGGTATCCTCTCAACCAGACAGCTAGATAGACGCAGCCCGACGCGGTTAGCTAGGCAATTGCCAAATCCCCATTGCCATTGTGTAACCGCCTAACGGACGAATGGAGTCCCCGGCGTGTCCGGCACTGACGGACTAAAATGCCGAAATCACATCATCCTGCAGGGCCCAACGCCCGCTAGCCACCGAACCCACCGAGCTATCGCCGTTGTTTCTCGGTGACAGGTAGTGCCATGTGCAATAGCGACGGCGGTGCCACTAGCCAAGTCCTAAAGCCATATGAGGAGTCACCTCTGGGTCTCGACGGGCATCATGATCAGGGTGAGCCCAGAAGAAGTGACCGCCTATCAGTCATTCCCTGCTCCATTTGAAAGAGAGCGACCCAGCTTCCCAGTGCTATCGCAATTCCTATCTCATCTCCAACAGAACGGCGACTTGCTTCCCCTCTTGCTCACACAAGTCGATCATTACTACTCATAGCGGATACTGGCGCGCTACCCTCAAAACGACGCTATATCGAAATCCGGTTAAAGTCCCGTCCAACAATTTGTAATTCTTGCATCTACCGCGAACCGAGTCCAATTAACGACGTCTCCGAATCGGCTCCACACCTCCAGGGTAAAACTGTGGCCAATGATAAACATTCGGACTGAAGGGCTCGCTATCTAAAGTCTCCGCTCTTAATTTTAAGTGCCGTAGTAGTCTCTTTGCTGGAGTCAGGTTCATGTAATTTCGGCCATTCAGTGGCTAGTCTCGTTATTACTTCAGGCAGACAGAAGAATATTAATTTAAGAGGTCAGCATCTCTCGTTTAGCATCGAACATTACAAAGACAAAGGCGGCCGATCCTGAATCATTAAACAGTTAGCCACCACATGCAGCCAATCGTATTATACCATTATACAACTCAGAACACTAATGCGGGAACAACATCATTTCTCCGTCACTATTCCTCTCCCCAGCAACCTGCCACCCTATCTCGTCATTGGCTGGCTTCAAAGCTACACCCCAACCTTGCAACACAACTTTTCTGTGGCCAGCTTTCAAGAGATTCCGTCTGACCCCAACTCAATCGCCAATGATACCTTCATAGGGCCATGGGACGCCACAGTGCGTACATTTCACGTACACGAGCTATATGAGCTAGTCCCCGGCCTTATAGCGCCAATGCAATGGCCTGCGGTTTATAGATCTGTACCCGATGGCGTTCGCCTTCGCGTATCTGCTCCCAATGGCAATACCATCAGGTCGCAATGGATTGTTCGTGCAAGCCGGGGTGGCTCATCCCCTGCGAATTCTGGAAGCAGCAGTTCTGGGTGGAGTTCAACAATCGAGCCGACGGAAGAATGGGAATTGTATGATGAAGGAGTCCTTGAGGGTCACAGGTTGTTAATGCCATTTACCAGCAGATACATTGACATGGTGCATAATCACCTCTCTCAGAGTCTCGTGAACGAGGCATATAGGGCATATTTGAATGGGACATTAACAAGTGTCCTCTAAAGGAGACCAATATATTTACAGTCTTGTGAAACGTGACTTCAAGAAACTAATTTAGGGTGGAAGTGGCTTTAGTATCTATTGAATACCCCAGCAGGCCCCAGTATACCAATGTGGGCTGTATTTCCGGCGAAGATAGGAACACTGTCGGTGCGCCATGATGCCTTTGATCTACTAACCTACCCTGGAGCTACAGCGACGATTCACCACATGCCTGGTACACTTGATAATGGGAAATGATAGTTGTATTGACAAAGTTAAAGCGAGTACAGTGTTTTGTCTTCTGCACCCAATTGGGTCTACCCGTAGAAAGGAAAAGAGCGAAGGCAAGGAAGGAGAATGAACGTGGCTCAGGTTCAACCACAGAACTCTTGACAACGGTAATTCCTGCATGAGTTCTGGACACTAGTGCTGAAAATTCTCGCAGATGCTACTTACGGGGAAAATATTCACAAAATAGAAATACTGAAAGCAGTTTAACTTTTCTTTGAAACAAGCGTCTCCAGCCGCTCGTCTTTGTTGGGCAACTTCACAGAGATTTCATTTGCTTTCACGATTCTTGTCCTAGATCAGCCGGCGGCATTTCTCGCTTCCGCTTCCATGACAGCCTTCCGCCAATCTGTCACGAGCAAAAAACTATACTCAATAATTGAGACACTATATCCACTGTTAGTTGATTCCCAGCTGCCGAGACACTGGAATGTAGAACTTACACAATAAGCCCAACGGTGGTACCTATCCACAGGCCTTGGATTTTCATGTCGAGCGCAAAGGCCAAGTGCAGCGAGATAGGTAGCGAGACGAGATAGTACGAAACCAAGTTGGCTGGTCCTCCAATCCCCTGTTTGCCAATGCCTCGTAGCAATCCATGTGCTGCCACCCCAAGTCCGTCAAATAATGTCATGACGGCAACCAGTGGCAAGACGAGGGTGACGAGCGTAGCTACAGCGTCGTCGTCGGTAAATATAAATGGTAGCCGATATTGAAACGTCATGTACGTGCTAATAATTGCCAGGGTGCATATACAAGAAGAGGCGATAGCCTGTGTTGGTTAGCATCAATATCTTTCCAACGAGTCCGAGTAACCGAGTATGAATTATAACTTACCACCCTGGCAGCAACTTTTGCGGCACTGATCCGTCCAGCGCCGATAAGGGTTGCCACTCTCGTGGATGCAGCGATGGAGACAGGGAAAAGAATTTGGTATGAGATCGTCGTGAGGGTAATCAAAATGCTTTGCGCGGCGAGATATTCTGTACCAAATCGACTTGAGATGACTGTCATGATCTCGAAAGCAAGCCATTCAGCTTCCACCATGATCATGCCTGGAATGGCTAGGCGAATCATCACCCACCAATTAGTAAGTGCTCGCTTGCTAAAACCTCCCCAGCACTCGGAGCCGTCAAAGAGCTTAGTATAAAGAACGAGAAGTATGGGCAGCAATGTCCTTGTAAGAACAACAGATATCGGGGCACCTATAAACCCCAGTTTGAGCTTCCACACTAGCAGCCACTGTAGCATAGCATTAACAGGTGCTCCGATGAGAATAACGTAAGTCGTGGCTCTGAAAAGCCCTTGAGCTTGAAGAAACCGCTTGCCAGTTTCGAAGAAGGCATATCCCGGAAGAGCGAAGATCAGAATGTGGAGGTATGTACTAGTCAGGCGAGCGATTTCGGCGTTATGAACGAGCCTCATGATGATGTACTCGGAGTTGAGCCATAGTACAGCCATCGGGACCGATAAGCAGAGGAGGAAGAGGGTCATTCGTTGACAGTAAAGTCCGACGAGATGCTTATTTCCGGATCCGTAAGCTTGGGAGCACAGAGTATCCAAGCTTGTTGCTAGGCCTTGGAACACTGCAAAACACGAGATCGATGCTGACATGTTGGCCACTATGTATAGGATTAGCACAAGATACAGCAGCTGTAGGGGGTCAACGGACAGGAAACAGCTCCCAATTCGATCTTGCCGAGCCTCCCTACAGCGATGATGCTTGATATGTCGATCAAGTACTGGAGGAGAAATGTTACGATGAGGGGCGCCGCGTGCGAGGCGAGGACTTTGGCCTCATGTTGCCAAGTAACGCCGGTTTCAGCGATTACTGTTATTTGGCCCAGTTGTGACTCGATGTAATCCTCGGTAATATTTGCAATTGATGCAACGCCATGGGAAGCATCGGACCCCAAAAGAGGAGAAGTCTCGGTCGGACCATGCGAAAGAGTTGTGGTATTCTCGTTGCGAGGACTGGCACTGAAGAATAATCGGTAAATACGAGCCGCTAAGCCTCGGTCTTTCTCTTCGCCACGATGCTCAAGAGGCCGGGTATAGGAACTTGATAATGATTCATCAGCTTTCCATACTTCAATCTAGCTCGAGGAAGTGGATACTTACACGGGTTGGTGGTTGACACCAGTCTTCACGGGTGCATGCAAAGCCGGGGAAGTTCGACGACCCCTGGCGCGAGTGGTTTGTGCCGGTGTAGGGCATTCATTTTCGGAAGAACATTTTGAGTCTTCCTCCGAGAATACGGCCTCCTCGTCGGCTCGAGACTGGTAGATGGAGTGGCTGGTAGAAATCGCCTGTCGTCTAGGTCCGGATCCGTCCGCCCGTCGAGGATCCATCGTTCTGATTAGGAAGTCCGGGATGGAAGGTCCACAGCTCCAAGCCTAAAGGACAACAAGTTAATTCCCGAAGATGGGGAATTCGGGACTAAGGAGGGGATGTAGAGGATAAGTAACTTGACGCAAGGCGACTGGTTACTCAAAGCTTATGGAGAATGGGCTCGAGTATTAAGTACTCACATTGTCGCAGCCTAAGCATCGTACTGCACTACGTAGTAGAAACTCCGTAAACCCGGATCTATTGGCGTACAGGTCCGTACTACTTGCCATCGCGGAACTGTACTACACATGCAGAGAAATGCATGTCTATTATCTCCACGCGAAGATCTGCAATGAACGAGAAAACAGCTGAGACACGGGAAGTCCTTCTGGTAGGATGTGTCAGCGATGTTCTGAATAGCATAGGGTACTTACAGCCCAACTTACTGGAAAGATTAGTAATGTTTCCTTGCGTCTTTTATTCTTGATGGATCTGGCCTGTACTCATACAGCCATCTACGATGATTCTTTCTTCGCTCTGAAAGATCATCTAACATGCGAGCGAACAGCGCGGTAAGCGTGACAAAGCTGCAGGCTGGTCTCAGTTGGTGGATTAGGACTGTAAAAAGGAAACATGTCCGAGGTCCACTTGTGTACTGTAACCAATGCACAAGACACACCGGATCTACCGGTCAAGCTGAGGTGGCCACTGAATAACACTTGGGTAGCCTGTTTCTTACCACCCAACCAGTGCACCCCATCACAACCCGAATAGTCCGCCACAGTTCGTCGTGGTCCGTCAACGCCCGAGAGTCCGAGACTGTGCACAATACATCCATGTTCCCCTTATCTCTCACAAATAACTCAACCATTACTCCGTTTCACTTCCATCGAACTGCAATAGTCATAACCTGGTACGGCATATGGAGATTTCCGGTATGTTTCTCCACGTATGAGTGCTATGGCAAAGGAGAATGAGGAACAGGGAAACGGCAAGCAGAAGACAAAAAGGAAATACATCCCGTCCCTCAATATGCGCTACAAAAGCGGCCAATTGGAGTACTTTTGCACTGTGTGACAGTCCTTATCTCGCATGCATTTATTACGTACGTGTTGCGTTTTCGAAGATTTTCTTACGGTGGCAATTCAGCTCTGAACACGGGATAGAGTGCGACGCATCAGTGGCTTGGTCTCGAACATCAATTTGTATCTCGACGGATGACGTGCATGCTCGGTGGGCTTGTTCAGTTGAGGGCTGGATATGTCCCCGCTTGGATGTAGCTTCATAGGTTCACAACTTCGAATGGGTGAGACAACGGCTTAGGCTAGCCGTGGGAAAGACGGCTCGGTGTCTTCGCGTGATACATGTCCCACGGGGTTTCCATTGTTCGCCACCCATGTTGTGGCATCGATTGGATGTGTTCTTCTGATATCGGAATTGGCCGCGGCTGAGCAGGTCCAGGCGCAGCCACACCGTAAACTTCCCGACGTGGTGCGTCAAGAGTGGAAGTGGAATGTCTAGTCGTGATGGGTTGTAATTGAACGCGGAGAAGGCGGTGACAAATGTGCTGTGAACATCAGTGCCCACGGGGAGAATTTGAGGTGCTTTTGGCATGTCGGTGTCTTAGTTCTCCTCCGCTTGGCTTAGGATGTGGGTGTTTCACCTACCTATTTCAGCAAAAAAGCGACGTTAAAGGGTGGTTTAAAATGCCCCCAACGGGGGTAAAACCCGATCAGCGAGTCCCTCTTCTGGCCTTATCCTTCAAACATAGTCTCACGAACCACTTGAGCTCATTTGTGCTCAAACCACAAGAGTCTTGGCGAAGGATCTCTATATCCCACACACTGCAAGTGCCTGTACAGTGGAGTCAAGTAGCTTAGCAGTGATGTTGCAAATTTCGATCTGAATATGTAATGCAATTTAGCCAAGGATAAAGCCAACCGCCATCCGCAAATGAGCTTCCAGAATATCAGATGGAGATCGTTGACGATATATAATTCTGAATATGACTATGTAGGGGACCCAACGCGACCTGGGGGGTCTACCGACGTTAGTATTTACTAGTCTTACGGTCTGTCGGTGAGCTGTTGCTCCCAACCTAATTGGCCTTGGGTTCGGTGGAAAGAATACGGTTTACATTTCGGTCATTGTTTCTGGTTTTAGATTACGAGGCCAACTACTCCAGTTTTATTAATCTTATCCCATTGATAAATGGGACATACGAGACCAACCTCCTCGACCGGGGGATTGATAATCCCTCGACGTGGTAGCCTGTATTTTATGTCTATAGCGTTGCCCCGTGTGACTCAGAATTGTTGAGATTCGCCGGAAATTAAAACTCATTCTTTTGATCTCCCCGTGATTCTCAACTTATTGAACCTTCCCGTTCCCACAGCCCACCAAACTCCCCTGCCCACATTGACTGGAACCATCCCACCCATCATCTTCTGCAATACCAGGGTGCGCGTGCGACATTTATTTGGCAACCCATTATGCGTCAATTTCTGTAGTGTAGATTGGCACGTTGTCTGTTCTGGTTGTTTTCTCTACTACTAGGTATTGGGAAGACTTCCTCTGGTTCAGAATAATGATGATAACGAAGGTTTGAGATAGAGGAGTTGGAACAAAGTCTCAGACAAGGTAACGGTAGCAACTCCGCTTTATTGACGAACTATCCTGACACTGATTGTAGTACTGTGTGCACTGATATTTCGTCCCATATTGAAAGAGCTACACACATCTTCCATGTTCAGCGTCCACAATGATTGTACGTGCAATCTTGTCCACCCGCACAGCATCCTCGCGTAACTGTTACACCCGCGGGCTATCGACGGCAGATATATCAATCTGTGCGGCATTGATACAATCCAGGTACTTGCGCACAGAGTGCTCGTCAAACAACGGCACGGGGTAATCATCGCCCCCGAAGACGTGCTCCCCGACGGGCAAACCTGTGACCATTGCAGATGCAGTTTCGTCGGTGTAGCCGTCAACCACGGCAGTGATGCGGGCTAACGGGCTCTTTGGATGTGCCGTTGCGTAATTCAGTGCGCGTTGCTGCCACTTACTGAAGGGCACGATCTCTTTGCCACCGCTGGCAGCACTCATGAGCTTGAAGAAGTCATCGAAGCTCGGCGCATGCTTGTTGACAAAGTCGAAGTCCTTGCCAATCTGATGCATATTTTCCGTCATCACGCTGACAATGGACTTGCACAGGTAGTCGATGGGTAGCACAACGGACAGGTCGCCGTTCAACGCCGGGAAGGCACCCATTTCAAGACTTCCGGAAATGAGGTTGTGCAAGAAGTCACCGCGATCGAGTCGGAAGTGACCAGTGGTGGCCGAGGCGGAGACAAAGGGCAACCGGTACGCGGATGCCCTGGCGCCACGCCAACGCGCTGCTGCCAGCATTCGCTCGGCCATATATTTCGAGGTGCCGTAGCCGTACTCATGGTCTTCTTCGGTGAGGTCATGGCCCATGTGCTTTGGTAGGGTTGAGATGGTGGACACGAGGTGGACTGCCTTGCCACGACCATGAGAAGCCAGACGGAGGATCTCATGAGTACTGACGATATTGGGACCGACGTAGTCTTCCAGAGGACGCATCCAGTCGACCAGAGCGCCCGAGTGGCAGATGGAGTCGACTTGGTCGGCCAATTCGTCGAACATCTGCTCGGTCAAGCCGAGCAGTGGCTGGGCCAAGTCGCCAACCACTAGGTTGAGCAGCGGCGCGTAGTCGGGCTTCCAGAGGCCGTAAGTCTCCAACGTGCTCACCATCCGTTGCCGTGCCAGATCAACGCTCGAAGCACGCACGAGGCAGTACGTGGTGATGCCCTGCATGAGCAACTCGTGCACGACAAAGGCACCGACAAAGCCTGTGCCACCAGTGACCAAGACAGACTGGGGGCGGGAGGCACACGTAGATGCGTTGCCGAACGTGAAGCTGGGGTCGAGGCAGCCCTTGCGGATGGCTGCCATATTCAGACACGGCGTGCCCAGCGTCGTGGTGTCAGGGGTAGCACCGCCTGACGCCGACGCCGACGACGATGTATTGGCCCAGGACTCGTTCAGCTGGGACAGCAAAGCCTGAGCGAGGGCCTTGAGGTTCGGGTGAAGCAAGACGATATTCACGGACAGCGTCAGGCCCGTCAGCGTCGCCAGATTGTTGCGTGTCAGGACGGCCGTCATGGAGTCGATTCCGATGTCCTGCAAGGGCGAGTTGACATCCACATCATCGGGCTGCGCAAACCCCAGCGCCCTGGCTACCGTTTCTCGGACCATGCGTAGCACAATGCTGGCGTGCTGGACCGGTGGCGCTTCACCGAGCACCTTGCGCAGGTCCCGGGTTCGGTTGACTCTCGTACTGTTCCCAGCCAGCAGCGAGCGAAGCAACGACGGGATCTCACCCAGGTCTTCGTGGTAGACCTGGAGCCGTTCCAGATCGAGTGCAGCGGCCACGGTGAGCGGACGGCCGCTGCGCGCAGCCAGCTCAAACAACTCCAGCCCGTCTTCCTGCGTGAGCGGATCGAGGCCAAAGTTCTCCAGGTGAGCATGAGCAGATCCAGTGATCTTGTCCATCATCCCTTTGCCCTCCCAGCCGCCATATGCCACCGACGTGGCTGGCAGGCCCTCGGCGTGACGCAGGTGCGCCAGTGCATCCAGAAATGAGTTTGCGGCAGCATAATTCCCGAGGCCCGGCATGCCCGTGACACCAGAGAGGGATGAAAACATGAGAAAGAGGTCCAAGTCCATATCTCCAGTCAGTTGGTGCAGGTTCCAAGCGCCGTCCACCTTGGGCGCAAAGGTCGTGGCGCACCGCTGCGGCGTCAAGGACGAGAGGACGCCAGAGTCCAACGCGCCAGCAGCGTGGACGACACCGCGCAGTGGCCGGTGCTCGTTGAATGTTGCCATAATTGACTTGACGCTGTCGTAGTCGGCTATGTCACTCGCAATTACAGCGACGGTGGCGCCGAGCTCAGCGAGTTCCATGACCAAAGCATCTGCGCCTGGGGTTTCCTTGCCATGGCGCGACGTTAGCACCAGGTCGCGGATGCCGTGGGTCGTTACCAGCCAACGGGCTACATGAGATCCGAGATCGCCGAGACCACCGGTGATCAGCACCGCGCCGTCCTTCCGGAGGAGTGGTTGGTCGTGCGGTCCTCGAACCCGTGGCTTCACGACACGTTGCATGCGCGGCACAAGGACCTGCCCTTGCCGCAACGCGCATTCGGATTCAGATGTGAGCATCAGCGCCGGAGCAAGCGTCTTGATGGCTTCCACGTCACCCAGGTCGATCGCACGCAGATGCAGCTCGGGGTGCTCGATCCGGGCGGTACGCATCATGCCCCACAGCGGCCCGGCTCCGAGACCGATGGCGCCGTCATTCGGACTAGGACCGGAGCCGGTGTCGATACCGACCGCCCGGCGGGTGACCCACACTAACGGCGGCGTAAACCCGGTCTTGATAGCGGCCTGCAGCTGGGCCAGTGCCTTTGCGGTGAAGTCGCGGGCCTGGCCTATAACGTCCGCATCTGAATCCCATAGGCATAGCAGGCCATCGAGATGCTCTGCAGCCTTAAGATCCTCGACCTGGATTAGCTGTATGTTGGCGCTAGACAATGCTGTCTTGACCTCCGATGCCCATGGCACGTCTTCGGTCGAGTATAGAAGACCCCATGAGCCACCAGGGGGGGCGTTGTTCCTGTCTGCCTGACGCCAGTTGATCTCGAACTCGAAGCGGTCCACCTGGCTCTCTGCGTGGTTGTCGACAGGCGCGTTCGTGCTGTCACTGCATGGATTGTAGTTCTCATCTGGCTTGGCCCGCGTAGGCTGGAAACCTTCGCGCTGGAAGGCGTATGTGGGCAATTCAACCCTTTGACAACCAAAAGGCTCAAAGTAGCCAGCCCAGTCAATGGGTACTTTCTGCACGTGCAACTGGGCGACCTTCTGTTGTATATATTCGGCTTCCCGCTTGGTAGGCATCAGTGACGGAACCCAGATCATGTCGGCATCGTCGGGGAGACATGCTGGACCCAAGCCAGACAATACAGGCCCAGGGCCTATTTCGAGAAAGACATTAGCGCCTTGTGCGGCAAGTGTCTGGATCCCGTCACTGAATTGGACTGCCTTGCGCGCCTGTTGAACCCAATAATCAGGTTGTTCGAGCTGGCCAACGTCAGCCAGCTTACCAGTGAGGCTGCTGACTACGGTTATCTGGGGCGGATGGAATTGCACAGTATCAGCAATAGCCCGGAACGACTCCAGCATAGCGTCCATATGGTGTGAGTGGAACGCATGGCTCACACTGAGGATCTTGAACTTGCGGGATTGCTCGATGAACTTGGCCACCAAGCCCTCAACGGCATCGATGTCGCCGGATATGGCGGTTTGGGATGGCGTGTTGTACCCGGCGATATCGACATTGCTTTCGTATCCCGATTCTTGAATCGCTGCTGTCACCTCGGCAGCGCTCGCTTCTAGGATCGCCATCTTTCCGTGGCCAGGAATGGCCTGCATCAAACGACCACGGGCTGCCACCAGCCTACAGGCGTCGGATAGATCTAAGATGCCAGCTACATGAGCGGCCGCGAGTTCACCTACGCTGTGTCCGAGCACAAACTCCGGTTGCACGCCCCAGCTCTGCCACAGCCGATATAATGCCACCTCGATGGCGAACAGGGCAGGCTGGGCAAAGTCTGTGCGATGCAGCAAGGCGGCACCATCGCTGCCGTGCTCGGCCCACATGATGTCGAGCAGCGGTGCTTCCAGACCCGTGAATTCGGACACAATCTCGTCCAGAGCTTGGCGGAAAGCAGGATAAATGGCATACAACTTGTCGCCCATGCCTAGTACCTGGCTGCCCTGTCCAGTAAAGAGCATCGCCATGCGCGGTTCCTCGGTCTGCTCGCTGGGAGACAGAGACAACGTGAACGGGCTAAGAGAGGCGAGCCGATGTAACAGCTCCGCCTTGTACCTGGCCATCAACACGTACCGTCGTCGGAAATGAGTACGGGTGGTTGCTAGTGAATAAGCCACATCACAAAGCCGATCCTCATCAGTCATGCTGCTGACGTGTCGATGGAGCTTCTCAGCCTGTTGGAGCAGGGCCGATTCACTATGACCCGAAAGCAGGAACGGAAGTAACGGCGGCGGCAACGGAACAGCCACCTTCGTATCAACAGGTTTGGTAATTTGGCAGGGCGGTTCCTCGATGATGGCATGTGCATTAGTCCCGCCAATGCCGAACGCACTAACACCAGCGCGGCGCAACCGGCTGGTCGTTGCCAACCACGGCCGCTTCTCCTGCACCAGCGCCATATTGGCCTGCTTCCAGTCTACTGCTGGAGTAGGCTCGGACACGTGTAAAGTCTCAGGTAGCATGCTATGTCGCATGGCCAGCACGACCTTTAACAAACCCGCCAGGCCGGCGGCCGCCTGCGTGTGGCCGAGATTGGACTTGGCCGAGCCGACCCACAACGGCCCTGCATCGGACCGGCCGGCGCCGAAGACCTCCGCCAGCGCCGTGCCTTCAATCGGGTCGCCCAGCTTTGTGCCGGTGCCGTGAGCCTCAATGTAGTCAATGTCACCTGGTTGCAGTCCGGCTACGGCGAGCGCTGAGCGGATGAGTCGCTGCTGAGCAGGGCCGCTGGGTGCCGTGAGACTGGCACTGCGTCCGTCGTGGTTAACAGCAGTACCGCGCAGCACGGCATGGATTGTGTCACCATCACGCTGGGCATCCGACAGCCTCTTGAGGACCACGACAGACGAGCCCTCGCCCCATCCGGTGCCCTGCGTGTCGGCTGAGAAGGCACGACAGCTGCCGTCCGGCGACATGCCGCGTAGCCCGCTGAATTCTACGTGCAGCCCGGGATTGAGCATGAGGCTCACACCGCCGGATATGGCCATGTCGCATTCGCCTTGACGTAGCGCAGTGCAGGCCAAGTGGGTGGTGACTAGCGAGGAGGAGCATGCTGTGTCGAGCGTCATGGCTGGGCCCTCGAGACCCAGGACGTACGAGACACGACCGGATAGTGTACCGCCAGACGAGCCCGTTACTGTGTATCCGTCGAGATCTGCTAGGTTCCGGATGGCAGTAGAAGTGAGGCTGTTGTGGGCTGATATGCTGCTGGTGCCGATGAACACACCAGTCTGGGTGCCACGTAACTGGTCCATGGTGTAACCGGCACGCTCAAATCCCTCCCAGCACGTTTCCAGCACCATATGCTGCAAAGGGTCCAGGGCGCGCGCTTCCCGCGGCGAGATGCCGAAGAAAGGCGCGTCAAACGAATCAATGGTGGAGATGAAGCCGCCTCGGCGACAGTACGACTTGCCCAGGGCGTCCGGGTCGGCATCGTACAGGGCATCGGCGTTCCAGCGGTCCTTGGGCACGTCGACAATTGCGTCGCCTCCGCGCTGGAGAAGCTCCCAGTACTCTTCCGGCGTGGTGATGTCGCCGGGGAGCCGGCATGCCATGGAGATGATGGCGATGTCTTCGTTGTAAGACGAGCGCTGGTGTGCGCGGATGGGCTCCGGGATGCTGTTGTGGGCGTTCGAGAGGTACGCCGCAAGTGCCTTGGCTGTGTAATGCTCGAACAATTTAGCTGGTGATACCGTCTGACCCAATAGTTTCTCCAGTTCTACTTGGACCCGGACGACGCGCATAGAGTCGCCGCCGACCTCGAAGAAGTTGTCATTGACGCTGATGCTGTTGTGGCCAAGGACTTTTGACCAAATGGCCAACACGCCGTGCTCCAACTCGGTAGCAGGCTTGGTCGTGACTGGTTTGCTCACCGCCACAGGATCTGGGAGGGCTTTTCGGTCAATTTTGCCGTTCATTGTCATCGGGAGGGCCTCCAATTCGACGAACAATGCCGGCACCATGTAGGCTGGTAGACGCTCGGCAAGCCACGGCCGCAGGATGCTGTCCAGCACGACCTGCGAGGTTTCTTCAACCACAGGCACCTTTGCATCTCGTACACAGTAGGCGACCAGTCGGTCATCACGGTTGACCACGACGGCCCCGGAGACGTACCAGTGGTCAGTGATGGCGGCCTCGACGTCGCCCGACTCGACCCGGTAGCCCCGGACCTTGACCTGGCTGTCGATGCGGCCGAGGATACTCAACTTCCCGGGCTCTGTAAAGCAGGCAAGATCACCAGTGCGGTAGAGGCGGCCCTCGTGGAAGGGATTGTCGAGGAATCGGGACTGAGTAAGTTCGGGGTTGTTGCGGTAGCCGCGAGCCACACTGGCACCGCCGATGTAAAGCTCGCCAGGAGATCCCATCGGCACGGGCATCATGTCTTCCCCGAGCACGTAGAGTCTACCGTTGGCATTGGGCACGCCCAGGACCATGTCTTCGCCTCGCCGCACCCTCCAATTGGTAGCGTACGTCGTCTCAGTTGGCCCGTACAGGTTCCACAGCGCATCGCCACAGTCAAGCAGCCGCTCTGCAAGACGCCGGGAAAGCGCTTCACCCCCTGAGAGCATCTTGGCGAGACGCGGCGTGCCTGTCCAGCCCGACTCCAGCAGCATCTGCCAGGTGACGGGCGTGGCTTGCAGCATGGTTATCCCGTGGCGCTCCATCAACGCGAGCAGGGCGCGCGGGTCTCTGAATTCGTCGGCCTGGGCGATGACGGTCGTTGCACCGCAGAACAGCGGCAGGAACAGCTCCAGGAAGGCCATGTCGAAGGAAGCGCTCGTCACGGCCAGCAAGCGATCCGTCTTGTCGCAGCCCAGGTCTCTCTGCGACGTGAGCAGTACGTTGGACAGTGACCCGTGGCTCATCTCGACGCCCTTGGGTTTGCCCGTCGAACCGGACGTGTACATGACGTATGCAAGATCTTCTGACCGCACGTCTATTGCAAGGTTTCTGCTGTCGGTGTCGGAGCTGGTGTTGTTGTGGAGTGTTTCGTCAATGTTGAGGCATACCTCGTTCCAAGGTGACACCGCCTCAAGCGTGTTGGTGCTGGCGACAATGAGACTCGGACCGGCATTGTCCATCATTTGCCTGATGCGCATCTCTGGAAAAGATGGGTCGATAGGCATATACGCAGCACCCGCCTTAAGCACTGCCAAGAGAGCCACGACGAGATCGACAGACCGTCCGAGTGCCACGCCGACCAAGTCGCCAGGACTGACTCCTCGCGCCACCAGGACGCGAGCAAGGCGATTCGCGAGCTTGTTCAGCTTTGCGTACGTCAATCCCGTGTTGCCGCAGATGAGGGCAATCCGACTCGAATGGCGGTCGGTGGAGTGCTCAAGGAGCTGATGCACGCAGTGACCCAGCATCGCGGCATCGTCGGTGTTGTTGAAGTCCTCCACCAACAGCTGGCGGTCCACGGGAGAAATTTCACTCATCTTACTGATGTTCGATGTGTTGTAGGTGAAGTTCAAATTAACTTTCCGTGATTATGTACGGGTGATGATTGTTGATTTTGATCAAGGAAGGGTAGACCAGACAGTTACGCATCTTTATATCCATCATATTCTTGACAAACGCTTCATTATCAGAAAGCACTCCCTTCAGTCTAACGGCTACAAGCCTCCGGTTTGCTTCCGGTAGGAACAGGGTCAATCAGAGAGCTTCATCCGAAGGCATGCGGCCATTAGCGTGGATAATTCGCCAATGCTAGTCACAACAGCTTCCCGTCCTACACGGTACCCCTCGCCACCGAATTCATATCGCCTCCACCATCTGCAAGATCTAAGATTTTCTTTGTATCTCTGTCTCACACGGGAGAGACAAATGTGGCTGGTAGTAATCGGAGGCTTGCAGCACTCAGAAGTATAGTCGCCCAGATCTCTTCGAGTTTCGCAACATAGCCAACTCAGTAAAATTCTCAAACACAACTGGACCAGCAAAGCTAACACGATCTTGAAAACGTCGAGTAAAGTAGGACAAATACAAGCAACGACCGCGCTCACCGTCCTTTTCATGCAGTGTAAAGGCCTGAGGGTGGGTCACTCTGTAGTGTTAGGACGACCGGGTTCGTGGAGTTGTCCCTGCATATTTGTGAGTGCAGCCGGATCGCGACATCTTCTGTCTAGGGCAAAGGTCTCGCATTTGATGTGTAACATTAGCCCTTGTCTATTACGAGGTAAGCGGAAAGCGACGGGCATGTGTCGTCCCGTCTTTGCATCATTTGCTATCCTCCTTTCGTACTTTCAAGAGAACATGCTTCTTCTATCTACATAGCATATCATTGTTTGGGGCCAACTCTGTTCCACTGTCTATCCAGTCAAGACTTTAAAACAAAAGTGCAAGAATCGATACTATGTCACTGTTGGAAGATGACCCTGTATTACGAACCTCTCATAGCTTGATATCCTGACCTCAGTTAGAAGGGAGGTCTGCTAATCCACTTCGGGCCGGTCCGGAGAGCAAGCATCAACATCATAATCACTGCTTTAAACACTATCCATTGGATCGAATTGACCGTAACAGACCCAACAGATATTATCGGTGCTTACATCCGGCCTAAGCACTGGCCAAGGAACTCCATTAGCACGGACATCTCATTTACTACCAGTTTTGGATCAATTCCGATAGGCCTGCGAGGTTCCGCGAAAGGTTTTATGGAACTAGTCCTGCCATGGCAGCTTGCAAGGGCTGGCTGAGAGATACCGACTTCGGCCAGTCTGTGGGTTCATGTATCAAAATGCAGTGGCTCAGGTACGTGTACGCCGCGGTTAGCGCAATACGAAATGCATCCTAATTGTGAGAAGCTGTTGAGACACGACATGCTAGGAAGAGCCGATGGCCGGCTGGCTCCCCATTTTCCCGCGCCTCAGAGGGTCCAGATAATCTCAGGTATGCCAGGTTCAAGGCTCTTGATTAGTGATCCTCAGTCGTGGCTATACGAAATTCTCAAGGACTCTCATGGATCGACGGACGTGCGTAACAAAGTTATCGTTCAGCAGATCGGAACGGCTACTGTACTAGGGACCTGGAAGTACTGAAACTGAGACATGCTTGTCTCGATGCCACAGCATGACAACGAAGTATGTCTCGCCGAGGCATCACTATGCAGCCTGTCTCGGCTTTACGCTGAGGCGTCGATGTGCCGATAAGTGCTACCTCAACCAGTTGGGGTGTACTACTTTTTGGACAGGCTACTGACGATGAAGAGACACGGCAAGAGCGGTCAAGTAGATTGCAGTCAGGTAGTACATCCAATCGGGAGTGCCATCGACCGTAGGTGGTACGGCATCTCCGTGTTCTTGGCCCGATCATATCCATATCTCGGAATGTACGTGTTATATCCGATTGGCTGCCCTCAAATTCAGCAACAGTCTCCTGCAGCCAAGGTACGAGTTCAGCACGGCAGGGGTCGCCATGGCGTTGCCTGCGCCGGTTCTAACCTAGCCGGCTCATCTCCTCGGCCGTCACTGCTGGGTAAAATTAGCCCATGGGAATTATCTGTTTAGAGGGTGTTGCAGTTCTGAACATCATCGAAACTTGTGAAAACGAAACGAGGCACTGTTCGTGACGTTGATTGAGAAGGCTATCTGACGTTCATTGGGAAGCCTAGCGGGATGACTGCATACGTTGGCCAACTATTTACCCCCGCAATGATAACATCAAACAATCGCATTCATTCCCTCATTTACCTCTACAGAATAGCTTCCGCATCACGATCCAACTCGGCCAAACCATCTTGCAGTGTTCGGAAACGAAGACCCGGGAAATACTTTTGTCGGTGAGCTTGCACTTTCTCCTCAGGCAAAGAGGCCGCATGAGATACAGAGAATATCTGCTGGTCTACCACGAGTACAAGTTCTTCGTCCTTGGAGGTCCTGGCCGTCTCCACAAGCTCGTAGAGTGAGCGGTACTGGGTCTTGAGGTCTGGGCCGAACTTCTGTTTGACGAGCCTCACGACATCATTCCAACATGTACGCTCGCCGGATATGTAGGTGTAGGGCTCCCAGGTTGGCGCGTCGACGAGCTTTGCTAGCGCTTTGGCAACGTCTCGCGCCCATGTGATATCCACGGGCTCGTTTCCGGTCCCTGGAATCACAATGCGGCTGTCAGCCAGGTTGATGGGAACGCCATCGCCAATGTCCTTGATGTACCGGTTCTTGGCTGGTACGGCGTAGTCAGCCAGCCAGCCAATCGCGACGAGAGTCCACTCGAGGTCTGTTTGCTCCCGTAGGACTTTGCGGACGGGGTCTCTGCAACGGGAGTAATAGCCGGGCTGGTCGGGGTACGTCTCAATATCGCCTACAAACTCCGAGGGTATGAACCTCTTGCATGTTGGGCTTTGCTGGCAGGCTTGGATGAGAGTACGGTGCACGTCGGTGTATGACGAGGTCCAGTCCGAAATTGTCGATATGAGCACCTCGCTATTCGCCAGTGCGGCGCTTAGCGACTCCAACCTATAGTCGGTAATGAACTGGGTAACACCTGCAAGTTCGAATTGTGATTTGTGCTTCCGGGTCAGGACGACGAGTTCGTGACCGACTTTGGTGAACTCTTCGCAGATGTAGCGAGCCAAGTCACCAGAACCAGCGATAACGACGCGCATTGTCTTGATGGAAAGCCGAGCTCGTGTTGAGATGGCGTGGGTCCAGTATTGAGAGTGAGCGATGTGCAAAATGGCTAATAAAGTTGTGGCTGCGGTCCAGTAATGACAGCGATTAGCAAGGAGGGTAAAGGCACGAGTTAAATTTCGAGGCAGTGACTATAAGCTTCATTAAATGCAGTGACCAAGTGTTTACTAACCCTCGGCACTCCCGAGTCGGCTGCCATCGTGTTTCTCGGAGCAATATGCGTCTCATCTCCAACCAATCACCCATCAGGACGCGGGCGAGCGGTTCCGAAATGCAACATCCGGGGCGGCTGGTGGCTAGGATACGAAGTCTTCATGGTCTCAAATACACGGCATGGCAGTCGAGGTAGCAGTGCGTCGGTTTCGAACGCCGCCACGGGCGGTTAAAAGTGACTAGCGGATACTAATCTCGCACCGGGCGGCAGATGCTAAGACTCATGTATCAACACGTGGCACGGCGAGAATGATACGTGTATGTTCCTTTGTGATACCGCAACTCACCCCCGTTCTAATTCGCTCAAGCAACAAGCCACTCGGTCTAGATTCAAGCGACTGGGCTTATTCCTGCCTCCTCAAGTCAGCCTGGGCTTAATATGGATTTAACCCGCGAATGATGCTTCTCTTGGCATGTATGGCGTCCACCCGCCGGCGGGGCTGGTTTTGTCAGTTGTGCTGTCTTATCCGTGAACCTTGACCGTATCGGATTCGGGGCACTAAAATAGCAGCGGGCCAAACAGACGCATGGTATGTCCGTATGTATCGGGACGCAACATGACTGTATTACCACAAGGCGACAATATTCCCCTGCAACAATGCAGCCTACCAATTTGTTATTTCATTTAGGAAACAACCCCTCTTAAATCGAATGCACAATCATGGGCGGGTCGCTACCTCTCAGGAAAGAATCTGCGTAATTATTATGTCTGGATGCGACCTGCAGGCTCATTAGTAGGGCTGGATACATAATCACTTATGAATGTAATGGTCAGCCAGAGGAAGTAAATGATCTCTGCCCTGAAATATAGCGTTTCTATTCCTGATAGTCCCTGAGGCAATTGTATTCCTTGAGTTGATTGTTTCTTGGAGGTGGCTCGTAACGATCTCGTCTATGCTCGGTGTTAGTGTAGGGTAAGCGGGATACTTGGGGTGTATAATCTAGCGCGACGTCACGTAGTGTATTTACTGTCTGTAATGTTAGTAGAGACTGTGAGTTGGTTATAGATCACGTCTAGTCATGGTTAGGCTAAATAATGCTCTCTACCGCGGGCAAATTCGAACAAAGCCTGGGGTTTCTATGAACAGGGGTCCTACAGTGAGATCTATATTTACTTTGTTAAAATTGCTACTTATCCGGCCTAGAAATTCTCGCACAGCCCGGCTTGCCTTTTTTTTTTTTTTTAATATAGAAAAACAAAAGAAGCATGCATAATAGCTAAGCTATATTTGCTTTGTAAAAAGTCGAGAATCTTTCCAAGCGAAGGTACTGGCTAAATATGCTGTTGTTATGTAACAATACAGTGATTAAAGCACACATTGACTGGACTTTTCACATCTCAACGTAGAACAAGGAGCGATTATGGAGGAAAAAAAATCCAGTTTTTAATGCTCATCGGAATACGTTAGTTAGTAGGCTATGCCTAGAAAAAGAATCTAGTAATTGTATAACCGTAAATCCGGACTCGCTCTGCTCTCACTGTCCCGTATCGCCTCCTTTAGGTCTGCCTGTCCCAGCTTATCCGCAGATCCTAGGTAGCACCTGATCAGGGTCATCTTGTTCTGTTCATCCAGGTCATATAACGCGCATGTGGTGATCTTGATAATGTCGCCAGGTACCACATCAATGTCGTGGACGCCCTTCGCCTTATTCAGGTACTTGAAGTATGCTTCCATCTGGAGAAAGACTTTTCCGCGGTCGCTCATGACGGAAATGGGGATAACGAATTCGTCAGCGTTGGCGTGGACTGGCCCGTAGTGGTCCATGATCCCCTTGCTGCCTTTAAGGGTGCCAATGGCGGGGTCCGGAACGATGAGTTGGACATTGTCAGCATAGAAGGCATGCTGCTTGTCGTAGTCCTTCTTGTTAAAGGCGCGTAAGTAGTCGAGGAACTCGGGGATTTCTAGTCGAGGCATTGTGAAGAGAGATGAGGGTCAGTGCCGCCTTGATGGAATAATTGGTTTAAGTGAGAGATGATTGCAAACTTTTTATAAAGTCTAGCCAAGAGCTGAGAACCGACATAGAGCTCGGATGCCGGGTTAGGTAAATGTTTCGGATGCGAGTCATGTGGCTACGAGCACGGTATGTGGTCGTCAGTACGGCATGTGGTCGTCAGCACGGTATGTGGTCGTCGGTAACGGCGCGTGGATGTGAGTACGGTATGTGGGGGAATGAAGTAAACAGTGTATTGGATGAAACCCAAAGGGATGCCAGGTTAAAATAACTTGATCTACACGTACAAGTACTTGCATGCATATGGGGAATCGGTCGAACATGGGGTAATCAGTACTTGCAGCATTGACACCTGCATATCAGCCATACTGATGAAAATAGCAAGTGAGAGCATAATGTAAGACGACTTCCCAGAGAGACCTAAGTTAACACTAACGGATTCAACACTTGGCATCCGTGTAGGGATATCGTGATGCTACGACATGTGGGAGCTTAGGGATGGCGGTACGGGTTGTGGGGGAGGCTCTTGAGGCTTACCAGCGAATGTCTACGCGCCCTGGGTAAAGAGATGGCTTGAAGTCGAAGTCAAGATGCCATAGCAATTACAAATCTGGAGTACTGGGGACGTGTAGTGATCCTGGAGCAATGTCGGGATAGTCCTGGGGTTACTAGGATGCGGGGGCGGGGCCGACAGGAGGCGAGATTTCTGCTGGTGGCGGGACTAAACAGTTGTACCTTTGTTCTCAGCCAATCTGCGCTTGTTCCCAGCCAATGTAGGCTGGTTCAAGCCACATTGGCTGGCGTTAGTGCAAACGAAGATTTGATGATACGTAACTTATAAGTATAGCCTTGCTATCGGCGTCGTTTGAAGCAGGAAACTCAATGAACTCATACTAACCCCTTGTGCCAACGAGGCTTTCATTGTTCTTTTACCTCTTGTTGATAATTTCTCTTCCCACGCCATCTTCCAAACTAATTGTCACGTCACCAGTTGACCGTTGTCACTCCCCGTCAAGATGGCCAAAAACGTTGACGTGGCTCACGTCGAGAGCATCTCGCGGCGCTCGCCTGCTCCAGCTCCCCTCCAGAAAACTACACGGTTCATGGTTGTATTTGCCTTTTCCGTCGGGCTCTTCGGCTGGCTGGCCAATTTTGACCAGGCATTCGGTGGCATCGTGCTCCTGATGCCGGCGTTTAAGAAATCCTTCGGCACCTGCGCCGACGTGGCATCCGACAGTGGAACAGTCATGGAAGAGTGCTCGCTCACAGCGCTCCAACAGTCTCTGGTACAGCTCAGTATTCTGTTCATGTCCGTTGGCGGCGTCGCGAGCGGCTTCACCAGCCACCGCATCGGCCGTCGAGGGACCCTCCAACTTGCCTGTGCTATCATTGCCGTCAGCGCAGCGGGCATGCTGGGCACGGCGGGTAGTTTCCTCAATTTCATGGTATGCAAATGCATTGGCGGCATCGGCATTGGTATGATCTATGCCGCCGCTCCAACGTGGGGGTCCGAATCAGTCGCTTCACAGAGCCGAGGCTTCTTGATGAGCTTTTACAACGTGGGATTGGCCTCTGGAAATGTTATCATGGCAGCTGTAAGTGCCACAAGATTCAAGTCAACAAAGAACCAAATACTAAGGGACAACGTTCAAATAGGTTTGCGCCAGCTCATCTAAGATCAACTCGAACTGGTCGTGGCAGGTGCCGATTCTTTGCCAGATTCCCGCTGCAGTCGTCCTCGCCGCCGGTAGCATGTTGTTCCCCGAGTCTCCTCGATGGCTTCTTCTTAAAGGACGAGAGGAGGCGGCGCGCAAGGCATTTGCCAAGTTCAACAAGACCGAACCCAATTCCCCTCAGATAAATGCGCTCGTCGAGGAAATCAATGGGCACATCGAGCTGGAACTCTCCATGCGCCGCAGTACAGATTGGACAAACATCTTCCGTGGAATTAATCTGAAAAGAACCCATTTGGCTGTGCTTATCCTGGTTAGCAATGCTATATCGGGAATACAATTTGTCATTCCTTATACGGCATTGTTTCTGGCCCACATTGGGTTGAATAACCCGTATATCCTCAACGTCGCCATCAGTTCCTGCAGTATGTTGGTCCTACTTTGCCTGCCTCTTTCTAGTCTAACGCCCATCTTTAGTTCTTGTAGGCACCGTTCCTGGTCCATTCCTGTGCGAGTATGCTGGCCGTCGACTCGGTCTTATTGGAGGCTACATTGTCATGGCTGCCTGCATGCTCATCTTCGCCGTCGTGGCCTCTGTCTTGGGACAATCCGCTGTGACAGCTCAACACGTGCTGGTTGCGTTCCTCTGCATCTGGGCCTTTACGTTCGGGGCTACTAGTGGCCCTATTGTGTGGGTCGCTTCGGCAGAGATGCATTCGCTGCGATTGAGATCGTTTGGTCAGTCATATGCAGTGATGATGTACGAGGTGTTTAGCTTTGGCGCTGCATTCTGGACACCATATATGCTGAACACTGACTATGGTAATATGGGAACAAATGTTGGATACTTTTACGGTGGAATCACACTTGTTATTGTTGCTCTAACAGTCATGTTTGTCCCCGAGACTGCTCGTTTAAGTTTGGAACAGATCGATACGTATTTTATGGAGGGGACACCTGCTTGGAAGACTAATATTCGGGAGAATAAGAAGATTGCTATGACTGGAGGGATGAATATGACGAATATTAAGGGTGAAGATAGCTAAATTTCAAATATTCTGTGTGTTCTTGCCAAAGAGAGTCGCATCTAAGGCCTGCTTGAAAAGTCACTTAAATCTACCTAGAAAGTAGGTCAATCAAGACTTTGGAGTGGTGAGTGCTAATTTCGGGCCCCCCTGCCAGGGCTATGTTCTTTCCTGATACTGCAGCTATTTATCCAACGTTCGGGGCGAAATCATTATTGAAAAATTTGAACTCGGCGGCGAATCCGCCGGGTGTACCATGGCGGTGATATTCCTTGATACTAGTAGCGGGAAGATCGCATGTCGGGTCTACTGAACGAAGGTAGAATTACATAGTTTTAGGTAAGATGAGTAGCTATGTCTATGGCCAGCCTGATTCTCTCTCGCTTCTTGGCGCCAGACTTGGCACAGCGTAATCGATTTTTGATGTTCAACTGCTCCATTTAGAACTGTGTTGTAGCCTTGGTGAGATGTTCAGCCACTGTATCATGTTGATGTCTTCACAAATGCTCTTGAAGTACGCAATGCAAACATAAGACATCAGTTCTTCGCAAGGCAACTTGATTTAACCCCCCCTTCATGTCACACAATTATGGATTACGGAAAGTCCTGCTCTTGCAACAAAGAACGGCATAATAGACGCAGCTATCGAGTTTTCTATAAAAGACATTATTCCATCGGAATACAGCACCAACCTTAAGTCTCCCTTGTCGCAAAAGCTCTCCACTGCCACGGAGAAGGCTCAAATCCGGCAGTATCTGAATTTGTGATGCCAAACACTACCTCTGCCACAACCTGGAATGGTCTGGTACTACTTTTAGAAGACGTACGGCAAGGGATATTTCGGTACCGATTTTAGAGAGCCATGTTGGAATGATAGGCTGGTGTTAACATCGACGGCCGAGAAGCATCTTGAGGACACAATCAGAGATGTCGCGAAAGAGGTTGGCATTATCTAAGTTAGGGGATCATATTTCATCTTCACCTGCTATATCCCAATCTAGGTAAGGATTAAGAATATCTACTCACCATCTATAATTATTAACCAAGATGTAGTTCCAAGTTATCAAAACCACCAGTGCATTTCAGTCCGGCATCTATTCTTTACATGTGATTCTAGCCAGTGTTGTTGGAATCATTACTGCAGGGGGCCTCAAGACCAGATTTGGACACAATGCTTTATTCTTGATGGGCTGTAGTGTTACGATTTTTCTCTCTGACAACAAATTGCATCGATCAGCCAGAAGAATTCAGAACTCTTACTAGATTAACCTCATATTTGGTTTGCGAACGTCGCACTGTAATGTATATCACACTGTCCATCAATTACAGAAAGCCTCAGTAGTGCTATAAAAGTGCATCATCCAACCCAATCCCTTCCACAACCCCGGACGCACGCTAGTCTATGCCGTTTGTAATTTGCCGACGGCGATAAGCAATCTCCGATTATGCTCGCCTTGTTTTCATCGCTAATTGAGGGGTATAAGTGAGGCTAGTTGAACCCGTGGTCCCCACAACTCCAAACTTGCCGAAGGAGCCGTTGGCCAATAACCCGCATTTCAATTCTTGCTCTATTTCTGGCTGTACGCGTGATCAGCGAACACCGACGACATTCAAAGCTGTTAACGATGACAAAAGAAAAGGCGTGTGACTCATGTCATCGCAAAAAGGTACGACCGCGTGCGCACCACTCTCAGAACACAGCGTCTCATACTGAACAAACCAAGATCTTTTGCGACAGAGGCGAGCCGAAATGCGAATGGTGCGCCCATCGTGGCCTTCACTGCACCTACGAGCGTGCCACCTTCGTAAGGACGCGGAAACCTATCGGGTTAGTATTTGCTTCTGAAGCAGTTCTACGCAGGCGATAATTGATAGTCGTGAACAGGTCAACTCTAGCAGATGAGATGGAACAACGCCTCGAGCGCTTGGAGCGTCTAGTGGGGCCCAGAATACGACAAACGAGGGAAATGCAAACCCCCGAGGGTACAAGACGAGACCCGTCGACGAGAGACGGCGGTTCTTATGGAATGCTTAACATACCAGGCTATGACCTGGGGATCATTAGTTCTCACGGTGGGATTCCTGTTTTCTCCAGTCTGGCACTGAGATGGATCCAAGAAAGAACGGGAGACCCGAATGCATTCAAAGCTGCTTATTCGGCACATGCATCAGATTCTTCAGCTCCTCCAGTTCGGTACCGACCTGGCCCCGAGCTTCCCTCGAGGACCGCAGTCGAGTCATGTCTGGCTTTGTTTTCCTCGTCGCCTTTACGCTTGGTCTGGCCTGTTGTCGACATAGACAGTTTCCAACAGACGATCCAGTTGGCGTACACCAGTCCTGAAACACGATTGTTGGAAGTCCGCATTGCAAAGCTATGTGTTCTAGTATTTGTCGCATTCCTGTCAGTTCTAGAACCCGTGCACACTTCAGTCGTATCGCTGGACCCGAAAGCTTGTGCAAAACAAGCCCGGGATTCGCTTCTTTCTGTTTTGGATCAGCCAACAGTTGAAGGGCTACAAGCAGCTATCACGCTCGTAAGTACCCGAAATTTCTTTATGTGGCGTGCTAATGCTGTCCCAGTCAATATACTATGGCTTTTCCGGGGAACTTCAATTGGCATCCATGCTCCATTCTCTGGCTTGCCGATGTCTATACAGCCTTGGCGGCCACCTAAAGCAGGATTCGGGACAGCTGCGTAATGGCATTACCAACGACGCCAATGGAACAGCAAAAGGGCGAGGGGATTTCCTGCGGGAACTCTTCTGGCTCTGTTACTTTTTCGACAAGCACATTTCACTTCGAACCGGCCAGCCGCCATGTATAGACGACGACCAATGTGACCTCACATTGCCGGGTGCGCATACGGGCATCAACTGCGTGGAGTTATGTCCAGACCCGATACCTCTGGATAAGATATCTCTGGACACAGAGCTGCGTCCCGTCCTACCAGGAGACCTTGCACTTACGATTATCAAATCCAAGGTTTATACAAAGCTCTATTCGCCTCACTCTCTGAGTAAAGATGATACTCATCTCTTCAGGACCATTCGCGAGCTAGACGAGGAGTTGGAGAACTGGCGCATGGCTGTTCCCGCAAGTGTGAGACCGCAATTGTCGGTCACGCATGAAGCGCCAGCCATTGTAACACAGCATCCCCTTGGCATGAAACTAATTTCCGCCCACTTTGGGTATCTCTATATAATCGCAGCGATACACAGAGCCTGTGGACGATGTCACGCATTGCGTGGTGGCGGAGAGGTCGAGGCGAGGGTGGTAAGCTCGAGCTTGGCCGTGTCTATTCAAGCGAGCCGATCGACCCTTATCTACCTCGGAAGGGCTTCGAAGCTCGTGCATAGCGAATCCTTCTGGTAAGTGAAGGTCGACTGGTTTTTTTTGTTCTTCTTTTTTTGTTTCTTTCTTGTTTGCCCCATCTCAAACTACAAAGTTTAACACAGCTTTCCAGGATCATAATCTTCTATCCTACCTGGGCCACCTTGAATATATTTTTCAATATTTTGCTCAATCCCGCAGGGGAGGAGGCTGTCAATGATATTGGATTGCTCGAATTCACACCTGCTCTTTTCAAAACAATGCGTCGTAGGCAGCTCACCGTAAAGGAGCAATTCCATCTCAAAGCCTTCAGCTCATTCACGGAGGAGCTCGTTCGATTGGCTAAACGTGCGGTGCGAATGGAATTGGAGAACAGCTAGCTATGAGTTAGGAAAATATGAGCCGATAAAGCTGCTTTTCTATAGTGCTGAGCCTTTCATTCTCACCGCCGTATGAGACGTGCCTGCCATACGATGCTACAATTAAAGCAATCTTGTCAGTGTTGTCATGAGGGAGGCGTGACATTGTGTACATACCGAAAGTGGTGAGGAGATAGACTGACGAATATCATGCCACATCTTTCAAGTTTTTGAACTCATCTGGGATACGAGGGATCGCTACGGCGATAATCTGGTAGCACATTGTTAAAAACTACTTCATCGTTGTCAATATGCAGGGAGAAACACCGCCCCATGTTATCTAGAGTCACACAGAGCAATCCCAGCATCAGACTAATGGTAATGAGTACCATTTTAAATCCTGAAACTTTGGAAGGTTTCAATCTGTCGTTGTATTGATCGTTTCCCCATTCAGGCCTTGCTCCACGGTTGTACCCGCCATTTCTTTGCCTTGGTGGATGGACATGTCTAACGAGGCGATAAGTCGAACCAGACTGGAGTCGATAAAAGAGATGAAGTGACTCAGGGAAGGTAGAGTGTGAAGGTAAACAATAATAAAGATGAAATTGGACAAAAGCTGTAGCAAACGTGGTGGTGCTGGTAAGGAATTGGAATTAGGACAAATCGTAATAATAATGGTCAATAAGCCTAAAGCTCTCCCTTCTTAAATATGATGTTTTCGGCCATTAGTCGACTCAAGTCTAATCAGATGCCCAAGATTCCTCTTACTCCAACGTTCGCCTCAATACTTCCAATACTCGGTGTCCGAGATATGCCCGGGATCTACCACCGGTCCCGTGACGGAATATGATTCGTCAGGCTAAATTCGGCCGTCGCCAAGTCTCGCAGATGGTCGGACACCGGAAATGCCCCGCACGAGGCGACGGAATTTCGAGGCCGAAGGCCGAAAGCTACGGGGAAGTTGGGGTACGGCGCGATGCCATCCAAAATGGGCACCCGCGCGGCATCTCTGCAGGTGACTTGTACCCATAACTTAGTGGTTTAGCTGCTTTTTTCATGGTTGTCGGCACTGACTGGTATTTAAAGGCCACATGGGAATCCGGCTTTGCACTCTCGACTTTGAGTGGCCTGGTTCTCGGATCTACTGTGTATTCTATTCACTCGCTAGTAGAGGTATTCAGTTCCCCACCACCAGTCTTCATCCAATACGAAGCAATTTCCCTTTGCTTACTTCCTCATGAGCGACCTAACCGAGTTGCTTGAACAACCCAAAGCCTTTCAATCCAATGAGCGAACAAACGGTCTCAGATGCCAGAGATAGAAGAGGCAGCAACATTGGTAGACCGTTCGATGTCTCTCTACTTTCCTGTACCCAGTGTCGGACGAGGAAATTGAAGTGTGACCGCTCAAGACCATGCTGTGGTCGCTGCATCAAACTGGGCGACGTGTGCGCCTATCCCCAATCGAGACTTCAACCGGTCCGCAGAGGGAACAAAGTCGCAGAATCTGGGACGAAGACGGGTTAGTATCCTCTATCCTCTGTTGCATTGCATGTAGCTCAGAGTCGTTCCCTCCTCTCACCATATCCATGCTTACAAGCCCAGGTCAGCCGGAAGACGTAATGAAGGCTCCTAAAGAAAAAGATTTTCGCCGGGTCGAACAGGTTGACATCGATGGCCCAGGCGAAGTTCTATCCAGTCCTAAAACTCTGGAGCCATTGCTCTGTGGGACGGTTACTGGAAAGAATACATCGAAGTCTGAGTCTCACATCCACTCCTCTGCAACGGACCTAAGGAGCAGCAGCCTCTTGGAGCACCCTCTCTGTTCTGTATTGATAAAACACCTGTAAGTTGAAATCAAGGCATTTCCTTGTGGGAGTATGGGCTAACCATTGATTACTTACTAGGATATCGATTTACTTCGATAAACTCCATCATGCCTCGCCAATGTTACATCGACAACGCTTCATAGCATCATTAGACTTACCAACTCACATGCAGCCCCCATTGTTTCTTCAATACACCATCATGGCTTTAGCTGCAGCTAGTTCAGACACTTATCGCCACCTATCACTACCATTTTATCAACGCGCTAAGGCGTATGCTAACGGTGATGATATTGAGGTAAGTTTGTTAGTCTTGCCATACCCATGCAAAAGTACTAAAACGTTTGAGAATCGCTGTGTTACCTTGGCTCATGCCCAATATGGGAATTTAATGGCCAAATTCGAAGCCGAACACCTCATGTTCGCAAGAGCATCAATGAGTCTATGCCACAGTGTCCGAATCGCTCAGATATTGAATCTCGACAAGGTGGATGCGGGTGAAAAGGTGAACTCAGATCTTGGGGCACCAAACGATTGGGTCGAACTTGAGGAACGCCGCCGAACATGGTGGGCAATCTTTTGTTGTGACCATTTCGTCTCCGCAACTACCAAATGGCCAGCTTTGATTCATGTGCAAGATGTTAGATTCAGGCTTCCCAAATTAGATGATGCAGACCGGCTGACACTTTTAGATTCAAACCCTGCTGCCTTCTTCTGATGAAGCCTACGAAAACTGCTGCGAGGAAAAGGCCTCCCTGTTAGTTGATGCACTGCATCACGGCGAAGGATACTCTTCATTTGCGGGGAGAGTAATTGCAGCGCACCTTTTCTATCACACTCTTGAACACACGTTTCAGGTCAATTCACACTACGACTTGGACTTTGGCTCCGACCCCTTTTGGGAGCGGCACAGGGACTTTGATAATGACCTAGCTATTATGCTGGTATTGTTACCAAAGAATCTTCGTCTCCCTGGAGGCTTCCGCTCCCAGAACGCAGTGTTCGTTAACGCCATGCTCCATGCAGCCAACATCTGCCTCCACAAGGCAGCTCTCTGGAGGGCCTTGTCACAAACAGTGCCAGACTATATGGAGCGCCAATATCAGAACAGGTTGCTCCCGGCGGCGGAGGAAATTCTCAGCATCTTGAAGATGACGCCGGATATATATGCGACCCTTCTGAGCCCGCTGATAAACTTCTCTGCATACATGGCTGCTGTGGTATTTCTAGAAGACGTTTTGGACGAGAATAGTTCCCAAAGCGAAGATAACCTGGAATTTATGTTGCAGGCGATGGTCGCTGTTGGGAAAACCAATGCAGTGACGAGATCCTTAGCAAAACAGCTTGTTGGAGAAATGGTGCAACATGGCCTTGAGTTCTCAATTATGGAAAAGGTAGGTTTGGAGTACCTTTTTCTTTAAACAAACAGGGTGCTAGAAGCTAACATCTTGGCAGGTTAAAGATCTACCTTCAGATGCAACCATGGTTCCACTTTTGGCTAAACCAGATCCCAGGTCTCCTAGTATAACCTTCTGTGTACAATCATAATATCTGAAAATAATCGACTTATTCTTAAGACAATAGCTTCATATACTACGTATTTGGCTTTAGGTGGAATTTGGTTTTTAATCTTTGCTCAATATCATCAGATAGATCAAAGCCATACAGTATTCTCAAACAGTAGAGATAGAGAGGAAGTGCTACAACCAGCACCAGAAGAAACATGAACAATAAGGTTGTTACAAACTGGTCTCTCTCCATCTTTAAATAAAATACGGAGTTTCCCAATACCCTGGGAAACTTCATTTTTTTCGGTCGACAGGGATGGCTGCTCCATCATCCTAATTAAATATATATCATCTTTAGTAGTATCGCTTGGTTCCGAGCTTTAGCTGTGTTACTACGTAGCGTGTGGCTACCTCAGACGTGATGAGGTAGTAAGATCTACTTGATAGTTCAAATATTAATACAAGTAGGGGCACGGTGAGAGAGCTAGAGCAGATATACGTTATCCTAAGACTGGAACGTGGAATAATAATGCTCCCGAGCTCTAGTGATCTACCCTACACTGCCGATGGACTCCCTCTACGTAGTAAGCCATCTCAAGACTAGTAACATACATTGCTCCACACAATTATTTGCTATTCTGTTGGTGGGAGAAGTACTTAGTGCAGACAGGACCTGCGACAGCAAGAGTCTGAGATACCCTACAGTTCGGGGCAAAAGGAGGTCCAGCAGCTAAGACCAGCTAAGGGAATCCACGAGAAGGGTAGTCAGGCACTTAATCAAGTACTTCAGAATGCAATGAGATAGAAAAGATCAATGAGGAAGGGACAAAATCTGCTGCGACAACTGGAGTACGGGCAGGTCAAATGACAAGGACTGTCTCGAAAAATTCAAATTGAAAAAGGGAAAAAGTGTGCCCTTCCTAGCAGAGGCTGAGCTCATCCTTTAAGTAGTATCTAGTCTGGTAGGCTATACCTACTATTATTTAACTCCCGTGTGTCTGCCAGCACCATCACACTATTGAGACCAGTTCGGTATTTGTATATTCAACATAACTCTACGGTTGCGACCCCTATTCAGAGGACTCCCAGCCAAGAAGTACAAATCGTGCGGATGAGTCGGGCCGAGTAGCGAACAAAAGGATAAAGTGCTACCCCTTGACGCTTGGCGTCTTCACTCAACCTCTTGATGGCCCCATCGCGTTCTTGGCACCCTTAATCCTATCTCAGGGGTCAGGATTTAGCTTACAACTATGCATGAGCACCTGCATCAAGCTAAAACGGGTTTTTGCCACCGAAAACACCCTAGAACGGACAAATGCAAGTGCTAGAGCAGTAGGTAGAATGTGAACTTTAAGATGGCGTTACCTAAAGTCTAAATACACTGCCTTAATGAAATACCCATGCATGCTTCGGAGTGAGCGAGGGTGTATGACCAGGGCTACCACCACCGCCGATCCACTTAGCGGAAACAGTTATTCATAATACGAGCCCTTTATCCGGCCGATTGGTGGAACCGGGCCCCCTATTGTCCTTAACGGCAGGTTCGGCCACTAAACCTTAGAAACAAATCTTCCGTACCCCCCGTTCCACGTTGAAGTTGCAGCCGACATTCTTCCTGGTGCCAGAGTCGGGTCGGTAAACAGCACATCTAAGCCTCTTTGAGACTCGGAATCGGAATATGAGCGTTTACAGTAAAGTAAGAACATGCCATACCGCTGATTGAAGAACTATAAGTCAGTGAGTTCTGCTCTTTTTATATCATTTCTTCATTCCATTCCAACAGACTCACTATACTCCTTCTCATCCTCGCCGCCTTTCAAAATGCAGTTGACTTTCCTCCTCTCGAGCTTGCTCGCCGCTTCTGCGGCCGCAACACCCACTGCTACCATTGACAAGCGGGCTCAGACCTGGTGCGACAGCTTCGGTAGCCTCCAGACCAACGGTTATGTGGTCTACCACAACAACTGGGGCTCGGGTTCTGCCTCCTCTGGTCGCCAGTGCACTACCTTTGACAAAGTCAACAGCGGCAACTCTTTCGTATGGTCTACAGAATGGACCTGGGTTGGCGGCGCGGGACAGGTCAAGTCGTACGCCAACGTTGCGCTTGAGAAGGTCCACAAGAAGCTTTCTCAGATCAAGTCCATTCCCTCCAAGTGGACGTGGCGGTATGTTAAGCTGAGCAAATCAACCAAGATGGTATCGACTAACAGCATCAGCTACACCGGCACCAACATGATTTCCAACGTCTCCTACGACCTCTGGCTGGCGCCTTCCACCACAGCCAAGAACTCGCATGAGATTATGGTCTGGGTGGGTGCCTATGGCGGTGCTGGCCCCATCAGCGAGACTGGATCTACCATTGCTACTCCTACTGTCCTGGGCAGCAAGTGGAAGCTCTTCAAGGGCACGAACGAGGGCGTCATCGTCTTCTCGTTTGTTGCTGATAAGAATATTGGCAACTTTGAGGGTGACCTGAACGAGTTCTACAAGTACCTTACCTCCAACCAGGGCGTCAGCAAGGATCTGTATGTCACTAGCCTCCAGGCTGGCACTGAGCCTTTCGAGGGTAAGTTACCGTTGTGATTGATGAAAGATATTATCTAATGTTGCTTAGGCTCCAACGCTGTCCTGAAGACCTCCGCGTACACCATCACGGTCAACTCCAACTAAGAACTGTTCATGCACGACTAGTCTTGCATTTAAGCAGCATACTCTTCAACTCCCTTTTATTGATGGTATTGTAAATAGTGCAAAAATACATAAAGTCACATTAGGCACGCACAGGGTCGTAGTATAGTGAAGTTAGCATATCCTTGTTATGACCGTGTATTTACTTTTAGTCCCTTAAGAGTGACCGAATTTTCTCGTTTATGTCATTTACCAAGTCTCCGTTGCACGCCCAGCAATGCCGACCACTACAGATAAATGCCTCCGAGGCCTCTATTGAAGAACTGAAGAGTTTTTATCCCTAGATTCCAATTGCTAGCTAAATCGGCGATAAGCACTGAAATGAAAGCTTGTTCCCTTTTAATCTAACTTCTATCTGCTCTCTTAATATAAGTAAGTTACCGGTATAAGATTAAAAAAAAGAATTTCTATTTATAATTTAAGTATTTATTATTTAATATTATTATATAATATCTATTTTAATAAAGATTTAATTCTAAAGAAACTTTATTATAAATAATAAAATATATTAAAAGCTCTTTAGGATATAATTATAGATAATATAACTACTAAAATAGATAAAAAGAAGTTAAATAGTATTAGTAGAAATAAGATATAGCTGCTAGAGCTGCTGGGGTTGCTAGAGGAGGCTCGGCGTAAGGCTGCTTTATAAGTCATCGGGGGCGGAAGGTTTCTGGGTCGAAGGTTGGCTGCAGGCGAAGGTTTGGAGGGGCCGAAGGTTATTATACATTAAGGTTATACTCTAATTCACTTTATTGAGTAATACAATGGCTTGTTCCCTTCAGTTTCTACCTATGTTGTAGTAGGGGTGGGGTGGTTATCTCGAGCGAAAAGCTACGATTCCTCATTGTAACACCAAACGAACTGAGCTGTCTAATATTTAATATTACACTGTTCCCATCTTTTCAAGCAGGGTGGTACCTTCAACCCTCACTCTTCCTATAAACCTAGAAAATTAGGTTGGTAAAAAATGACGTTCTGCTGTCGATATACATATTCATAAAAGGCTGTACGCAGACCTCCTGTGCGGTAGGACAGATACAGCTGCCACTGTCATGGAACCAGCCACAACGCGAGTGCTTTTTCATCATCTGGCTTTGGACTAAAGGCGTCAGGAAAAACGTCGAGTTTCCTTCCAGCCAGGTGCGAAGCGCCTCCATTGAGAAGTTGTCCGAAATCCAAGCGTCTCCATCACTTACCCGGCGATACGTAAGCAGTTCGGTCTGAATCGTGGCCCAGAGAAGACCTATTTCTAGACTATTGCATAGAAAATCTATCAGCCAATGCTGAGGGTAGTCCGCCATTATGCATGCCTCTTTGTCTGGAGACCTAGGCGAAGCGGGCTTCGAACCTGCAACCATTTCTTCTATGGGTCCACCGCTCACCCTTCTGTCTGAATGCAAGTTTTGTATCTGATTCTTGTCGTCTTCAGCTTGGACTAAAGCTCGGTAGACACAGGCCCATCCAGTTTGGCATTTTGTACTCCAACCTTTGATGACATTGTCTGGCACAACCTGCATAAGTTCGGAAGCCGACAAAAGTTTGTGATGGCATTTCCCTGGCTCTGAAGTTCTCAATATCTCTTCAACAGAGATATTCACCTTCTGACAAGCGTCAGCTCCGATACTCAAGAGACAGACCAATACAGCCAAGGCTCCAAATAATGTCTCCCCGGGCATTCCCAATTGCCCCAGGTAGAACGCCGTGACGACGAGCGTATGAAGCGCTCCGAGTTTGAGCTCCAGACCACATTCCGTGCAACGACGCAAGAAGAGTCCGCTCAGAGCGTCTATATTCAGCGAAGATGGAGACGCAAAGATAGTAATGATGCTATGGCAAGCCGCTTGCACAGTTGTGTGGCAAAATGGATGTTTCCATTTGGTGGGGATTCTATTATATCCCTGCTTGAATAGCTCGCGGACTGTCTGGTGATCTGCGTCCCATCTACCACAAATGTCTCTCTCCTCGCCGGGAAATCGGCTAGGAGAATGAAAACCGTAGCTCACAGCCTCAGGGGCGAGACTCGTGTGGGAGCGAAGAATGGATACTATGAGGGTATCTAGTATCGTGTGTCCAAGATTGTCGATATTGTCATAAAAGGCGTAAACTGAACCGAGAATTTCGGACAGTGTCACAAAAGTCATGCAGCAAGTGTGACCACCGTCCAGAAACGATGCTGCAAGATGGAAAGGATAAATATCCTCGATTCTATCCGGTGCTTCGCCGTTTTCGTCATATAAATGATTTAGAAGATCATTGTTTCCCGCCATTATCGCCAACCTCCAAGAATCCAACTGTAGAGCCGTCGGATTCCCTTCCAATGATTGCGCAATAATATCCTGGGCGAGCGGAAGGTCGCATGCTGGTGTCTTGGTGAAGGTATTGGCGGTCATGGATTGGTGTAGGGATTCAACAAACGAGGGTGTCCAGACGCTAGATGAGGCAACTGATGGCGGCTCTGAATTGAGCGGCTCTGAATTGACCGACTCGTTTAGCAGCAGGAAGGGACGGAAACAACACCCAACTCATTAACTTACCCTTGGGGAAATGCACAGAGAGTCGTCGCACAGGCGTCTTGGCCGGTCAGCCCGAAGCTGCACCAGATTACGCGTATGAGGTTGGACAGGGAACGTAGTAACGGCAAGAAGGTTCAAATAAATCTCTCAAAAATGAAGGCAATCAATTAATAGACTTCCTAGCAGCCTCGAGCCCTTCCCGCCTCTCTGACTTCTAGGAAGAATCTCTGATGAATGAAAAAGATGATGATTTTCCCCTGTGACGGCACTGACCTCCCCTTTTAACCTCACCCGGGCCACCCTAGAGACATCCCCGCTAGCGACCAGCTAGCCCAAGCGTCCCTAACCGCCTGTCACACTCGCAATCCACGTCCGCTACATGGATGCTCCATCTGCAAAGCTGTGAAGGTTCAAATGAGGATGGACTTGGTGAGGGGCTTGAAGGAAAGTCTAGAAAAGCCGACGGCGTCCAAGGACTTGTTGCGTTGCATCCCGGGGGTGTGCAGGTGAGAATTGGATCTGTACTCACACCCCACGGCTCGAGCCCCCAATTCTTTGCCATTTTAAAGCCATGCATGTAGAAATCGTGAAAGTAGTCGACCACAGTGCTTTGATTGGTCAGTAAATATGCCACACCCTAAATGCAATGGCAGATTGAAACGAGGAAAAGGTTTCATGAGAACGTACCTGCGATCCTCCCTACACATGCTGACAACAAGCTCCTTCAGTCGCCCTTGAAGGAAGAGACTCGCACGATCTTCCTTGACTTTCTGATAAACAAGTTGCATGTTCGGAGAAGGACCGGCTGCCTCTCGACCTGGGGTCAGGACATCGGGACTGTGGATGTTCAAATATTCCGGAGTTGTGTTAAGAGGTCCAAAGGGGGAAGGTTGGTCTGAATTCTTGGGGAGGGACGAAATGAAGGCGGCATACGGGAGATTCCACGATGGCAGTCTAATGCAACGGGTTAACTACATTCTCCCATATATTCACCTAGTACGTCGGGTTTAGAACTTACAACCCTGGGGCTAGAGATTCGACAGGATTGGAGCGCCCCTTATCTTTGAGGTGTCTTTTCAGCTTTTTGACGTCGAAAGGTTTGTTTCGGCCATTCTGCTGAATAGCAACCTGAGAAGTGCTCGTGCCGGGTCGTTTTCGCCGCCCGAGAGCGCTGGTGATGTCGTCCTTGACATCTTTTTCGATTCGTTTGTTGACATTCCAGGCTCGGAAGCGAGGCGGATACTCCGATTGCCTAGAAAGAAGAGCCAACATCATCAGCTTGTATGACGATTAGGGAGGGGGAAGTATCGAATGAATACATACGCCGCATGGAAAGAGTAATGAGCCTTCATGAACTGGACCACCTGAGTGATGGTTGTCGACTTCCCCCCTCTGCCATAATTGCCAGTGTACAGCTGGACAATAACTGGCTTCAAGTGGTCCCATCGGTCTTTGTGAGCAATGTGAAGAAATTTGGCCTCGTGTGATTGAGGAAGTAGTTCCACTGGGACGGGGTCCATAGTGACCTGGGCTGATGCAGCTGGTGAGGGAATGGAATCAGGGCTAAGAAGTAGGCGGGGCAAATCAAGAATGGAAGAGTGATGATGAATGGGGGAAATTAATCAGGTTGAGATCGCAGCAGGCCCAAGACTTTGAGGCTGGCGAGAGCAGATGCTCCTCGGTTGCCTCGTTTTGTTATTGCATCACTCTGTCTTTATTCGCGAACCACTTACTTAAGGAGACTTGCGACATCAGCCTGCAGCGCTTTATGTACGAAGTACCCCTTGAAATTTACGGAGGGTATGGCACGCCAGAAAAAGCAATGAGGTTACACAGGATAGGTTCAAAAAACAGGCTGTGGCAAATCTGCACTCGATAAGACGTCCAAAGAGGTCAAACAAAACGTTACGGGCGAGTCATGTCCCTGGAACACGCTTGTTCCCTGCTGCAATGATCCCAGATCACCCTCACCGTTGCATCAAACAGATGCATGATGACTATGTGTAGGTACCTAGACCCAGCCTCAGTGGAGTCTAACAAAACGTCACAAACCAATCAGCAAGGCGAACAAAACGTCACGGCCGAATCATGAGTATCGACTCAAATTTGGGGCCAAACAGATAGAAGTACATGTACACGCACCATCATCAGTCCCGCCCCTTCAGCGCCTAGACCCGTTCTCCCCTCGAATTTCTTACATGAGGCCTAGCTCGGGAGGCTCTCAGATCTGCTCGACAAAACGTCACCAGCCAATCGAAAGTGAGTGATACTCCCGACCGTGATACCAGCTGGGTGATGCCTGGGCGTAGGATAGACGTACTGCATGATGAGGAGTTGCTCGGCCAAGCAGATTCCAGCCACCCAGACGGAACGACCCATGACCCATCTAGATGCCCATATCGCGGCCAGACATGTCTGAGCTGCTGTTTACATGCCGGTATGAAGTGGCATTTGCGACGCATTAATTGCTTGCCCTTGTTGGCTGGCTCGGTCAGGTCAAGGCGACGTAGTAAATTGCCTTGTTCAGTTGGTACATTTTGCCTTTCTTATCCTCCCCAAGACGTCGATAAATAGCTGGTCTTGTCCCTCATTACGGCCCGTCTCATTACCACCCTCTTCACCATCTCATTGCGTTCCCTCATTCTGCTTGGAACCATCTAACGCTACTGTACCACACTCTTGTTCTGGCACGACAATACCGTTATTCCTCCACTCCAATCTATCCCAATCCTCCGCCGAGTTACTGGCCTCTTGCACATTGCTCCCACCTCAAGTCTCAGACCTGTACTCCCTGACCGTACCAATGCCAAACACGTACGTCCATCACCTTGAAACTGCAAGTCGACAAGTTTGTAGGCAGTCCGAATATCCCACAGCTGACTTCATTCCCAGGGACGAGCCCGATACCTGGAGCACTGTTGCCAGAAGCGGATCACCAAAACCTCCATCATCTGCAACGAATGGAGTTGTTTTGGTGACCTCAGGTTGCTGTCAGGGAAAATCTTTGATGAGTGAGGAGCAGAGGAAGAATATGCAAAACAATGACCTACAGGGGGTTGGGCTACACTTTGGCTGAGGCTACTAAGTCTCTATAGTATATGTACCGATTGCAAGAGCTAAATTATTCTCCAGATATTAATTGAGGGGCAGATACGGCAGTGAGCATGCCGCTTTAGTGCTGGCATTACGTGTAATGTCAACTGTGTGCCTATTGTTTCTGCTGCTACGTTGGTTTGACGTCTCGTGGGTTGGGACTGGTGAGATTGAACAGCTTGTATCTCCCACGATGTCGCCTCTTACCTAGTGGTTTCATTATCCTTCTACCATCGTCAACTACAATGCTGCGCTCGAATAGTGCACAGTGTGGTCGAAAAGAAGGCACTCACTAGGAATGGGTTGGATTCAATATCATACATACTAGCCCTTCAAGTGTGCTAAGGTTCAAATGCGTGCTTCGCTCCGCCTGACCCTCACTGGGAGTGATTGACGTGGAGGAGCATGTAGCTATGATAGCTATGTCAATGTAGTCGTGGGCCTTCGGATACAGATCCTCGTAACGTCAAGAGTCAGTGAGACTTCTGCTGCTACACAATTTGGATGGATCATTATGTACCTCTTCACTAAGCTTTTTGCTGGTTGGCAGGAGGCTCTTCGCAAAATTCCTCAACCAAAAGGAGCATACCCATGCCAGCCGCATTTGGTAGCCACCTGTCCAAACCCGACGCAGCCACACAAAACAAGGGTCGTTATATGGTCGCGTGGTGTTCCCAGTGCATTCGAGGGGTCCCTTGTGCACATGCTCCAGAGCTGCAGTAGCAGAGGAGTAGCCTTGCCAGCCTTGTACTCTGGGCAATCAGACCAGGACTTCTTTTGAGCTGTGGGGACTGAAGTGGTGGACCAGCCTGTAATGGGTTTCGAACTATCGGGTCGTGTACTCGCGATGAGGAGTCGGTCCACGGTCGCTTTCTTCCCAGGCCAATTGTTGTTGCTTGACAGTTAATCAATTCGTCAAGCCATCACGTTCCTATTTATGCAGTGAAATATTTTTTGGGCATTGATATACCTTCAAAATTCTTAAAAAGCCCTAAAAATATCATTGACAAGCTAAGAAAGATCGCTTTAGTCTGGTGGAAGTCTCAACTTCTTTTTGCTATGCTATCTTTCAACAACACCTATATGCGACACGCCAGTAGCATCCACGTTCTGGACCGAAGTGGTTCCGGGGCTGCTCGACTCCCTGACATCGGCAGTTGCGTTGTAGGGCACATCCTCCATGGTTTGTGCAAGTCCATACCACGAGATCAACGCGATACTGAGTATACCAGCAAGACAACTGAAGACTAGGGCAACGATGCCGCGGGGAGTGAACCTGCCATGATTGATCAGTCACTGCTACTGCCAAAATATATGAGGAATCTTTTCCCTTACCCCGCAGGTAAAACCTTAGGCGGCCTGTTCTGGCCACTGAGATCAAGGAAATCAATCGTGTTGGCTGCAGCGTTACCGGTATAGTCGTTGTTGCCAAGCTTGCAAGCGTCGTAATGATCTTGCGGGACGGTGAGTTGCTTCTGTAGCACATCAGGAGCCTCAACCATAGTTGCTATCAAGCCCGAGGCGACGTGCCACTCGATGTGACAGTGGAACAGCCAGATACCTTATAAATGATATTTGTCAGTGTCAAGTACCCGCCCGACTCCAAGGGTCAACTTACCAGGATTGTCCGCTTTGAACCGCAAGACGATGTTTCCTGCTGGCCACAGCACTAGAGTATCTATCCGCATGGGGGCCTGTGGGAAAGTCTGGTTTTTATCACCGCCCTCATCCTCATAAGTGCCCACCGCTTCGGCTCCTCGGTGGATGGCCTGGAAGTTATGCCCGTGCAGATGGAACGGATGCCGTCCTGAGTCCAGATTGTTCACGACAATTTGCACAATCTGGTCCTTCTTGAGCACGAATGGATGCGTAAACTCTCCATATATGGCCGGATTCATGACGAGATCACCCGAAGAAAGCGCAGTGTAGAGAGTCGGTACTTTTGGCGCTCTGTAGGTGATGTTATTGAAAAAGGCGTAGTTAGCGCCATCGCCGAGGTTATCCATGATGACGTTAAGCTCGACGACCATATCGGGCTCCGGGTAAAGCTCAAGTCTGTCATACGGAACGAGATTCATATCATCAAAGTCGTTGTAGCTGTCAACTAGAGCGGCTTCCGGCTTCGGTTTGGAATCATCATATGTTAGCCAACCAGTGGAGTTGTAGTTCAGCTCCGGAGGCAGCTTGTCAAAAAGAGTCCATAAAAGTATAAAAGTTAGCGATACGTCATCTATCTCGAGAACAATAGTGATATTGACCCACCGTATCCATGCTCGCCACAATGGGAAAGTTGGCGGTCGTGTCGTTGTTGGTTGTAAGGAGGAAGCTGACACGTTGCGCGGCAGCGATATACACGGTATTTGCCTCTGCGGCTTCGGTATACACGCCGTCGACCTCGACTATGCGTAGCTTGTGGCCCTCAATCCACAGATACTGACCGGCAAAAGCACCGATGTTGATTACGCGAAAATGGTATGTCTTGCCAGGTTCCACGGGGACGGTCAGGTTCTGGGTCTCATTCATCAGTGCCGCCTTTGGTACGGGTTCGGCGCCAGAGGGATTTGTCTTGGCGATGAATCTCGGGATCAACATGGCCATTTCATCGTGATACCAGTCCGAGAGTGTCATGACAAACTCATGGTCGACTTGATGCTTGTAGGGAAAGTCGTTGTCATGAACAATGAAGGGCCCACGAAGACCGTCGGAATACTGTGCATGAGAATGGGAGTGATACCAGTAGGTCCCAGGTTGGTCGACCTGTTGGATGGATTAGTCTTGGAACTGGGAATACTGTATATGTATGTTATTACTGACGGTGAAGTTATAGGTCATGGACCCTCCTGGAGGGATATCACATTGAGTCACACTAGGAGGACCGTCCATGTGCGTTGTGCCATTCATGAACAGACCGTGAAAGTGAAGTGATGTTGACTGATTGCCAAGATGATTGTTGACGTTGACAACGACTCGGTCACCGACATCGGCATCAATCTGGGGAATGGGCCACTGACCATTGATACCGATAGCCGTCCGCTCGAAGGCGCCATCTGGATTGGCTCTCACCCAGGTGATGTTGAAGTCGTAGGTGAGAGTGGCAGCGGCAGCAAGGGTCGCGCCGGCCGCGAGCATGGCCACCCTGGCAAAGGCTGTCATGGTGGTCGAGGGTGATGGACAGAATGAATGCCACCAAATGGGATAAGAGGGTCAGGGAGACAGCTTGCTCCAAAGGAGTGTGAGTAGTAAGAGGAGGTCAGGAAACCCAATATATAGCGCATGTGCGGTAGATTTAGGCCCATGGGCCAAAGTTTGGCGTGATCCGGAGTGGTTAAAGGAAAGTGGCGCAGGAGAGGGACTCCCGGGTGAGCAATTTGCCTGTCACTGGACAGGTCGTTTTAGTACGGATAACCGGCACTGATCGACCTAAAAACTTGGTTCTACGATCTGATAACAGCAACGTAACTATGCCCCGCACAACAGGGGAATGATGAGGGGGGATGGGGGCAAGGAAGAGGGTTGTTGGACATGATCGCTGCTCGGCCAGTGGTTATAGCCACACCGAGGGTTAGTAGTCTCCATCCTCGTATCATGTACTATATGGCGATGTCGGCGATGTACGACTAGCAAAGGGATGATTTCGGATCCGTAGACAGGGATCCGTTAAGCCATGTTCGTCGTCTGTATGCCGTCGCAGGCGGCCGTTGGGCTTTGGCGAGAGCCAGCATCCTTGGAGGCTAACATTACCCCCTGCCTAACCTATGGTGGGATTTGGATCATCGATAGATAGAAACCGAGAGCAACTCACTGCACTCTCAACTGGATATTGAACGGCAAATAGAATTTCTCACCCGCGTGGGGGGCAAAGTTCCCCGATGGGAGATAATTTTCTGCATCAGAATCGTCATTATCTCGTCGTTGAACCAGGCTCCAGTGTTCTGGATTGTGATCATGCTTGACAGAAATTTTCTTTGAAAGGGCCTGCTAGTATGTTCAGCATGCCCTGGTACCACCATTCCATTGGCCTTCCCCTCAACCACCTCACCAACGGACATGAAGGTGGGTAAAATCTCTTGCTATCTAATCCATCGGAGTAGATGGTGGTTCAGCCCACATGACACCCGGCACAGCCACCTCTAGCGTTGGGAACTGGAACTCCCTACTCGGTGACTCTTTGGGGATGAGGAAACCCCACTGGGTATGGAGACGATCTTGATGCGGGCGGAACCTGGGAGTTTGTGTAGAAGAAGCCACCATTCGGGGGTATCGGTGATATCGGCGCAGACCAGGTTCACCAACAGTGAGGACATGGGATTTTTCAAACTAAAAACGCCTTTCACTATGATACTTTACGCACGAACGAAAAGGGATTAGCACAATGGTAAGGCGTCAAAACAAAGTCTGAAATAAGTCTGAAATAGAGTGTAATACACAGGCGGGAGCCGCAAACTTGGCATCGCCAAGTCTCACACGTCTGCAACTGGATTCCGGCGACCCCCAGCCCTGCAGTAGGGCTTCGGGACCCGCACTGCCAAGGCTTGGAGAGTTCGCCGAGTAGCCGTCGCTGCTAAAAGTAGTATAGTACCAAGGATGTAGAGAGAAGAGAGTGTACCTAGGCTGATACTCGTATGAAAGTATGTTAACACAGAGGAAATCGTCTTACCCAAATTCGGGTAAGGTGGGGTGAGGGCCTCTTAATATATCCCTGTCAGGTACGGTACTAAGGCGGCATGATCCGCAGTTTGGCAGCAAAGATTAGGGATAAAGCCGCAGATATGGCCGATGATCCGAGGAGAAAGCTGCGGTCAGCATGACGTTCCCCCCTCCCCTCCCTGCCATTGATCCCTGCCATTGGCAGAAGCTCCCGTCTTGTAAGCGACGGGTCCTCGGCTTCGGCTGAATTTGGCTGAAGCGAACGAGGCGCTACCCGCGGATTGAAGAGCAACTCACAAGATGCCACAAGACCAAGTCCAACCTCGATTGCATCTACGGTAATTGCGTATACTATGAAACTGCAATTTCTCCTAACATCTCCTCCGCAACGACATCGTTCTGTACATGACATATGTGTGGTCTTGGCGGGTTGCGTCTCTGTACTACGGAGGTCCTCGGTCCTCACACCTTGATAGTCGGGTTCTCGACCGACCTCGCACCAGGGTTCGAGTCAATCTCATCCAGGTCCTCGCTCGTCGACTTCTTGCGCTTCATGAGGGGCCAACGACCCTTGACCTCGCGGAACCGTGACATGATCAAAAAGCTACTCAGAAAGATCCAGTAGATATTGTAAGAGAGGACTGTGCTGTAAGTGGCCGAGTTTGTCCATCCGAGGATACCGTTGAAGACACCCCAGCCATACCCGCCTTGATAATCAGGGCTGCAGCACTACACATCAATTAGAGTCTGAGATGGTAAAGATGTAGCGGTCGGTTACTCACGTTGACATGACAGACGCTGCGGTCAATATCGTAGGATCCCGGCCCAGCACCCAATTCAGCCACATCCGCACCCACCATCTTGTTCCAGTGAGCCTGTTCAAAGTACGAAACTGAACGGGCGACGAGGCCGGCGGCTACGAGATAAAGCAGACAAGTTGAGGCAACGAGGAAGTATTGGAGCTTTGCCAACGAAGAGCCCCTAGGCAAGTCTGGTCAGCACGACGAGCTCCAGTAACATGAACTGGATTCCTTACTTGTAGAGCATCCATCCAACGATAGATCCGGCAATCAAGCCCACGAACACGGGGAGTGGTACAGAGCTGGCGGGGGAGGAGAAAGAAACGCCGGCAACGAAGACGATGCCTTCGATGCCTTCACGAGCGATAGTGATGAAGGATAGTGCAAAGACGGCATACTTGCCCGAGAAGGACCCGCAGCAGTTCCTGGCGCTGTCTCTCTTGACGGGAGCGTTCAGGGCGGCGCTGATCTTGCGCTGCCACTTCTTCTGCATCTTTCCAATCCGAAGAAAGGCAATGCCAACGACAGTGATGATCAGGGCAGCAATGAGGTAGAAGACGCCTTCGTAGTAGTATTCAAACTTGGTCCAGACATTCTTGCCAAGGTTGTAGAAAGCTCCAATGGTCGCGCCACCGATGATCAAGCAAAGGAGGAATCCAAGTCCCGCTCCGAGCCAGACCTAAACGCCTGGTCTTAGCCTCCGACTGGAGAGAATATCACGTTCAATCGCATGCACGCACCTGTTTGACCATTGATCTGTAGGAGGCCTTGGTCGCTTCCGAGTGACCGAGCGTCTGCTTCAAAAAGGCAAGCAGGACGGCGACGACCACCACGGCCTCGAGGGTCTCTCGAAAGACCACGAGGAGGACAGGGACTGCAAAGACATTGGGAGCCATTTTGGAAGATGAGGGAGAAGGCAAAGACGGCTAAGGATGTTGATTAGGTAGCGTCAGACACGGAGAGCGGGCGCTTTGCCGCCAGATATAAGATATAGAGATCTTTAAAGCCGAGCCGAGTTGTGCAAACTGGTCGACAAGACGCGGGCTGGCTCGTTTCTTAGAAATCTCCCCATGTGGCTGCATTTTTATTCGACCGGGATCGGGCGTTGATGCGGTCGAGTATCTGATCATCAATGGACTGGGTCAACTGACACTTACAGCTCCGTCTTCGTTTCTTGCCACAGAATTCGGGACTAGCCACCGCACAACCCTGCAGACTCGAGCGCCATGGCGTGGGACAGAATGGCACCACCAGGTCTGTGGCCGACCCCCTCAAGGGAGGAAAACACCAGTTAGGACGAGTTAGGTGAGGAACGGTAGCAACGCGTGCGGTTTATTTCTTCCCCCGCTTACTCCTCTGCAACCTCAAGCGCCCAATCCAATGTGAAAGGTTTTCTTTTAGCCTTACACGTAATCCTGGAGCGTCATGGTTGACTAAATCCGAGGGGGATGGAGTAATATCCGAGCTCCAACGGAGGGGGTCGTTCTAGGAGGAATACGAAGCACCGTCCATTGGGTACCTGAGCATCACTGCCGAGCTCCCTCTGCAAGGCCGTATCAGATCCGACATTGGCTAAACCGAATCCGCCTTGAACATTTACTAAGCGTGGACGCGTACTGGCTAGTACTCGGCTTTCATATCATCGGTTCGGCATTAGCGGGAATGTGAGGTCTCATCATACTAGTTTCGTCCCAACGCCCGAGTGTATTGTTCCCGTTATTAGTGGGCTGATCCAGAAATCTTATCAATCTGCACTGTATCCCTGTTCTAGTACCTGCATTCTATTTTGTCCTCTTCTGTCTTGAAAACTCTGGACGCGGTCGATCCACAAAATCTCGGTCCTCCACCCAGGGCTCCTCAACCTGCCTCTTCCGACGGAGCCGCCGAGAACGGCGGGATACAATGACACCGGGGATGGGTTGATTTTCGACAGATCCGGCAGAGATTTACGTAAATCTAAGTGTTATCTTGCCTTCCAGTTGAGCCGAGTCAGGGATCTAGCTACAGGAACTTGGCGCAGGAAACAGCACCATGGCTGTACATGTCTGCATAGTGGAGCAAGATTGATAGCATGACGATAACCCAAACGCACATTCGTTGATTCAGGGGTTCGGCGATTCGCCTTGTGGCTATGGTCCACTGCCGCTCGCCATAGGGGAAAGCCCTATTTCAAGTGAGGCCCGCATGATTTTTAGGGAGATTTTCTTTGGTCTTTCTATGAACTCAAATACCTTGCTTCGTCCTCGTCAGAGATTACCATTTGTCACTTCTCCTGCTCCATAACCGAGTCAAGATACTCCAGTTGTTTCCCGTGCTTGGTAGAGCATTCCCCTAACCATGGTCTCCCCACGGGCACTCAGCCCGAAGCAGCTGAAGAATGAGAGGGCACTCAAGTTATATGCTGCCTCTCTTTGCGGTATTTTGGTCATTATAATCATCGGTCACTGGTTGAATCGTGCCATTCAACGATTCTCCCATCGTTCATCGTCAAAGGAAGATCCTGCTTCCTCACTTCGCGGTCCGCTGTAAGAACCTCCATCTATCCCGACACAGGAAAAATGCTGACGCCTTCCAGGCTGTATTGGAGAAGGCTAGAGATCCTGTTATCCAAAAAGGTACCCGGGCTGCCTTCTTTGGGTCACGCTGTGATACTTGGCCTGTTCCTTGCCGTCAACCTCATTCTTTCCTTTACAAGCATTGTCAGTCTTGCCACCAACTATTTGGCCTCTAGATTTGGCTGGTACGTCAACTTATTCATTCTTGGTTACTCCCGAATGCTGACTGCTATCTAGGCTAGCCACGGCCAACATGGCGTTGTGTGTTTTCTTAGGTCTAAAGAATACACCATTGGCCTTTCTGATATCGGCACCATACAACTACCTCAACATTTTTCACCGTCTCGTCGGCTTCACCTCCATCTTTCAAGTTCTTCTTCACACCATCTTTTATATGATATACTTTGGTGGCCAAAAAGGCGAGTGGGCCACATTGATTGAAGTTGAAAATAGAGAAGGCATTGTCGCTGGCATCATAATGCTGATTCTGCTGATGGGCATCTTTCGACATCTCAACTACGAGTTGTTCTACTTTATGCACATTGTTGCGTTCATGTTGACACTCATCCTGCTTGCTCTTCACAGACCAGACTGGAAAAAGAAGGTGCCGGTTGCGGTCGTCTTCATTGCCTGCACATGGGGCGCCGACCGAATTATCCGAGGAGTCAGACTTCTCTACAACCTGGCCAACAATTCAGCCACCATTGAGTCCCTGCCTGATGGTGGCACCAGGTTGATCCTCAAGAAGCAGCTGCCAGGTGCCACGCCCGGGAAACACTGCTTTGTCTGGATCCCAGCAGTCCGCATGTGTCAGACACACCCGTTTACTATCGTGTCTAACTCAACTTCGGGCCTGGAGCTGGTGATGAAGTCTCACAAGGGCTTCACAAAGGCCGCCTTGGAATTTGCCCTGTCAAAGGCTGGTCACCGTGTGATGGCATCGGTCGATGGGCCGTACGGCTCGCTACCCAATCTCTCACGCTATGATAAGTTAATTCTTATTGCGGGTGGTAGCGGTGCGACTTTCACCTTTGGGCTGGCTGCAAACTTTGTTAAGCACCTTGAAACTCGTTCCATCGAGTCTACACAGTCTATGAGCTTCATCTGGGCTGTCAAGAAGACGAGTATGTTATTCTTCCCCTGTTCCTAAGACCAACCCCATCTAACGTTTTCAATAGACCATCTGGGTTGGTTCAAGGAACATCTGTCCGCCCTCAAAACTCAGTCATCCCATGTGGCGGTAAAATTGCATGTCACTGGTCAAGAACTATCCTCGTCTCCCGATCTTAGGATTGAGAAGAAGTCTCAAGAAGTCACCTCTAACGTCACCGCAACGAAAGAACATGACAGCATGAATGACAATATTGAGGCTAACACTTCCGGCAATTCGTCTGACGACTCACCGGATGCCGTCGAATTTGAGGAAGTAGTATATGGAAAGATGATACCTGAAAACACTATCCTTGAGGCAATGCAACACCTCAACAGGAATTCACGCGTACTTATTGCTGCCTGTGGCCCAGTATCGTTACTAGATGCGGTTGCAACTACAGTGGGGAGCCTCGATGTTGCAGAAGTTCCGATCATAGAAGTTCATTATGAAAAGTTCGACTGGTAGAGGAACGCCACGGCGATGGAAGCTTCCAGAAAGAGATGAATTCATGCTGGAGAAGACATTATCATGAGCTTGGCTATAGAGTGCATTATTCTTTCAGCTAGAGCGAGAATAGACTGATACTAGTATCTTATGACAATCGATTGAAAGCCGCAAACACCAGTATGGAGTGAGAATAATTTCTTTCTGACGGATTTCGCCCAAAAATTTTCAATGGAGTGCCTCATCGGAGAAGCTGCCTACGAACGTCCCCAAGAGACTTAAACACTAGTGGGAAGAATATTAGCAGACAAGGCTACCGTCAAGTGGGATAACACTTCCCGTCATATGGGATGCCTCGTCACTAAGCAAAAAGGCCACCAGGTTGGCGAACTTAACAGGCTTTCCTGATTGGCCAAGCTCAACTCGCAATCCAACCGGCCTTCTCTGCGATTTATCCAGTTCTTCTTCCTCATACCCGGGCGTTGCAAGATAATAATATCTTTCCTCGAATTCAGAATACCATGGGAATTTACGGTAATCGCGATCTCAGGCAGCCACCAGTATAAGCCGTTGCCAATGCAACGGTTCCACAACTGTTTGTAAGATAAGAAGATTAAAAAGAGAAGAATCAATCCCTCAATGAGAAAATCTAATGTTTGCATCTGCTGCGTTTTCGTTGTGCATGTTGCCTAGACCCACGTTGAGTTTAATTTCCATTTTTTTCGATCTGCCCGAGTACTATCTATCAAAGGCAAACAATGTTGAATTAAGAGCATTGCTGTCTATGCGGTACCATTTTATTATTTATACAGTAACTATGTTTTTCCCCCCACTAAGATTGCGACTGCAATTATATGACAACCTGGTCGATGCGCAATTCTTGATCAAGTATCTCTGTAGTCCAAAATGCCACTTCCATCACGTTATTTTAAGACCTCAGGACAGCAATGAGAAGGCCGATGAGCCCAGGCGGCTAGAAGCCAGTGCAGTACTGTGTTTTGCATCCAGATGACGGTGCTAAGGTGGGATGTTGTTAGTGGCAAAAAGGGAAGGTATTCTAACTATATGAATAGCCATTCTCTAGATCAAAATCTCAAGGACAAGAGTGCAATACTCTTACTGTGTTTAACACATATATACACCACTACTTCTTATCGTCTCTCTTTATTCCACCAGTTAAAGCCCTCTCTATCCTTATGGTTTATCGTACACTCCATATTATATAGCATGATAATTGGCTAGAATACCAGCAAATTTACCTCCAGTAAGGTCAGTGAAGAAAATTGACTCTACTCTAGCTGACTTAAAACTTGATAGCGTAGGGGCTCTGAACTTTCTGTCCCAAAGTCCGAAGCCATAATATTTTCTCGTGATGCAAGGGACAGACCAACCCCGAGGCGGTTCGGGATTATGTTCATGTTTCGCAAAGTTGAGAGGATCGCCGTGGATAAGATCTATAACAAACTTGGTTTCAAGTAATGCGGTACTCGGTGTCCGCGGGGTGCGGATTAACTCCGCTCAAGTTGCGGACATGTAGTGGAGACGTTCGGCTGAACTCCGCTCAACACCTGTGGCCTCGGCTACCCCACTTGTCTGTGTACGAGATGAAACTGCAGGGCTTGGATATTTAAGTGAGCAACCTCCCAACTTTTCTACTTGGATCTCGGGATTCGTAACTGATTAACATATTCCATCCAATCAACATACGACCATGCCTTCTATCGATAATCCCGCTATCCCGAGGGGCGCCACGGTTCTCGTTACCGGAGCCAACGGCCTCTTGGGCTCGCATATTGCCGACCAGTTCCTCGAGTATGGCTACAACGTCCGTGGTACTGTCCGAGATACGGAGAAGAATGCTTGGTTGGCCCAGCTCTTTGAAAAGAATCATGGACCAGGCCGCTTTGAGCTCTTCCAGGTGACAGATATGACTGCAGAAGGTGCTTACAACGAGGCGGTGAAGGGTAGGTGCAATTTCCGGAGGTTCCATTGATACAGACTAATGACGATGAATAGGCGTCTCTGTCGTTGCTCACACAGCTTCCGTCATGTCCCTTGACGCTGACCCTAACAAGGTCATCCCTGATGCTATCGCCGGTGCCATCAATGCATTGAAATGCGCCTATGGAGAATCAAGCGTCAAGCGCTTCGTCCTTACCTCGTCATCAGCTGCGGCCGTATCCTCTAAGGCGGATCAGCCAGGTATCACAGCCACCGAGGATACTTGGAATGAGACTGCCGTAAAGGAAGCATGGGCAGAGCCTCCCTATGGCCCGGAGCGTGCTGGGGCTGTATATGCCGCAAGCAAGACTCAGGCGGAACAGGAAGTGTGGAAGTTTCACAAGGAGAACCGCGAAAAGCGCCCGGAGCTTGTTGTCAATACTGGTAAGTCTGAGAGATGTAGGAATCATTTACGTTGACTGACCAAGTCCAGTTCTTCCCAACTTCAACTTCGGCAAGGCGCTTGATCCAGTCAACCAAGGATATCCTAGCAGCGCTGGTTTGCCGGTTGCCCTGTACAAGGGAGAAGTCACATGGATGCACAAGCTGATTGTGCCCCGTAAGTGCCCATCATCGCCTTTCGATGCGGAACACGAAACTGAACATACTTAGAATACTTCATCAATGTCCAAGATACTGGCAGACTTCACGTGGCTGCCGCCGTCCTCCCACATGTCGAAGATCAACGCATCTTCGGATTTGCAGGACGATTCAACTGGGATCTGATGTTAGATATCTTTCGAAAGAGTGAGCCAGAGAAGAAGGTCGTTGAAAACTTTTCGGGTGGAGAAGACCCCAACGAGATTGAGCCTCGTGCCAAGGCAGAGCAATTGCTCCGTGATTTGGGACGCCCGGGCTGGACAAGCTTGGAGGAGACTATACTGGCGAATGTCAAGGACGTCAAAGAATAAGGTGCTTCATCTTCGAGTAGTAATCTCATCTTTGATAAAGAATGACACGAGCAGTCCTGGCCTCTCTGCTTCTCTACGTGCCTTTCCAAATGAGTTTCCCGTTATTATCTCGCTCCTGGACTCGTAAGGAAGCACTTTAAATCGCTCTTCGATCTGCCGGTCATGCTGGTAAGGTTGGTTGTTACGATCTACTTAAACATACTGCCTTAAACGCCATGTGCGAGTCGCCAAACTCGCATTCGTTCGCCGACAGACATGTATTCACCGCGAAAGCTCATTGGCATAGCTCTCTTGTAAACAGGGTCTTATTTGTGTCTTCGAAAGCCCCTGCCTCCGTAAAACAACTACATCCATCTCTGTCTAGTGATCAATCCGAATTATCACCTTTGAGAAGTGCTTCTGCTCGTGCAATCGCTTGTATGCATCCTTAGCCTGACTCAGTTCGAATACCACGTCATCTACTGCAGGGACGACTTTCCTCTCATCAACAAAGCGCACCATGTCCCGGAACTGACTCCTGCTGCCGAGAAGCAGACCTCGAACAGTGCAAGCATGTCCCAGAACCGAAAGAAGGGGAACCGGTTTATCAGCCGTACCTAACAGGCCCGCTGAGGCCACGATGCCGTCGGTACGCACTGCTGACAATGATTGAGCGAGGGTCGAATCACCGCCGATATCGACAACCATGTCGAACCCTTTCCCTTTTGGGGTGAACTTTTTGGCTTCTTGTCCCCAACCATCGGGGTTTGATCGATAGTTGACCGTGTGTTTTGCACCAAGTGTCATGAGTCGCGCCGCCTTTTCTTCTGACGACGTCGTCGCAACCACAACAGCACCAGCTGCAACAGCAAACTGCAGGGCGGCAATACTCACGCCCCCAGTTCCTTGGACAAGAACCCAGTCTCCAGGTCCGACTGCCCTCCCCTTGAGACCAAAGAGGGAGTTCCATGCCGTCAATCCGCTGCATGTCAGCGTGGCAGCTTCGAGCCATCCAAGCGACTCAGGGGCGTGAACGAGAGCGAACTCGGAAAAGATGCCCTCTGATCGCAGAGTCCCATCAACCGCTTGTCCTAGGCCGGCTGCGATATTCGGGTAGGCAGGTGCTTCATCATCGCCGTCAGATTCGACCAGTCCAGGAGCCAAATGAGCAATGACACGATCTCCTTCTTTGAATGCCGTCACATCTGACCCCACGGCCTTCACTATGCCCGCACCATCCGATCCGGGAACGACATTGGGGGCTATCTGGCCTGCCGGGCCATTCTACTCAAATCAGCAAGCATTTCAAATATCCAGAACTTTCGGTTTGACGCTACCTCAACATTGGCGAGGACAATTTCGCGATAGTTGAGGCTGGCGGCGTGCAGCTCAACCAAAACCTCGTGTGCGCCCGGTTCCGGCGACAATTCCACGTTCTCTTCGTACTTCAAAGATTCTTCAAAGCCCTTCTGGCCCGTAAGAACCCATCGTCTAGACATCTCGTGCTTAGCGGTTTGGTTTGGGCTGGCTGGGTTTAGTATTGAAAAGGCGGTAAATTGTCGAATCTTAGTGTTTGTCGATGATTGATTTCAAAGCAGATGCGTCACGCCACAACCATTGAGAGCGGGGCTCTCCACCCAAGTGGAAATGGAATTCTTCAGAAGAATGTCTACTGATTCAAGCTTGAATGGAAGGATCAGGCACTAGTTGTCGTTAAGAACTAGTCTAGTCTACATCGGTGCGCGATGCACCACATAAATCATACGCTAGAGATGATAATGAGGCGGTCTAATCTATATCGGTGCATAAATTGGTTGATACATGAGTCAGCATCAACGGTGGATCATGGAAACATGATTCATGTGCACAATTTTGCTCTCCATATCAGTGACATTCCCCAAAGTGATGGCTGATTAACATATGCTTACAAGAACAGTTAAGTTTGGCTCGTCCTGTTCATCTGACAGAATTTCCACGAGGACTGTCAAATCAATGCCTAATAAATCAGACACGAGAAGAAGGCCAGTGCCCGTTCTCACATCTTCTAGATGATGGATCGAAGTATAGGGTAGGCAGAGTAGAAATCTAGCCCCATCCACGGGTAGGAGATAGGAACGTGTCGGCGGAACATCAAGGAATTATACCAATAAGATGAGTCTACTTGCAACATTGAGAAGTTCGATACATTGTTCTGCGAGATGGATAAATTTAAGATTATCAAGAAAACATGTACGCATTTGAATCCTATCGTGCATACTGGTTAAAAATTCACGTCCGTATTTTAATTGAGGAGCCTTATATCTGTCGAAGACACACTTCGGATATAGTCTCTGGTACTTTAGGTCGAAAGAAGTGTTCCTATAGGGTCACGGGTTAGGCCGTTCAATCTAAGGTGGGATGACAGCAGGGAAAGGAGGGCGGAACATAATGGGATAGGCCTATGAAATCCATTGAAGGCGAAAGACTCGGCCTAACGCATTACCGCAGTATCCCGGTGTGAAAGGCGTAATCACATAGCTGGCAAGGTATGGATTCAAAAGGTATAAGTAAAATTAGATAAAATTGATCACTGCACCACTGATTATAGAAGCCCACAAATTTTCACCCAGTATGTAACTTGAGACATTGTCCAAAGCAAGGACTATGTGCTGCTCTCTTGATAGGTACCGGCCTAATTCACTATATACCAGAATAAATCTCACACAACTGTCACTAGACCATGAAACACACGCATCAACATCCAACCAGTGCTCTACTTTGACAGCGCTGTGACAATGGCGTTGTATGCGGCCTTGGGCTGGTAGCTGTCGTTGAAGAGAAGAGGGGTCTTTCCAGTCCTCCAAGAATCCTGCGAATATGATTAGTTTGGAATTGATCAACGTGGTGACGAATTCGCGAAATAGTGTAACTTACAGCGTCGCGGACGCCCCAGACGGTAATTCCAACACACTTGGGAACCGCAAGGCAAGCGTTCGTAACAGCAACGTAGTCTGCCGAAGGAGCTCCAGCGATGTCAAGTTCAGTGACGGCAACCTCAGAAACACCGGAAGCAGCAAGAGCCTGCAGAGCACCCTTGGTGCCGCTGGAGCCGCCAGCGCTCAGGTGTGACTGCGAGCCAATGCCGTCGATGGGGACGCCAGCAGCAATCCACTTCTTGACCTTGGGGACCATACCCTTGGAGACCTTGGCGTAGCTCGCGCTGTCCAAGTTGTAGTCGTTGATATAGAGCTTGGCAGCAGGATCAGCGGCGCGGGCAGCCTTGAAAGCGATGGAGACAAATTCTTCACCCAAGACCCGCGAGAAGACAGAGTCCCGGAGAGATCCGTCCTCGTTGAAGATTTCGTTGACAACATCCTATCTCACACAATTAGATGCTGTAAGTTTAAGTAAAGTTCTGGATTGGATTTATTTACCCAGGCGTAGATCTTGCCCTTGAAGTGCTTGACAACGGTGGTGACGTGGTTGGTGATGACAGATCGGAGCTCAGCAGCGTCTGTAATGGCCGACACCCAGCTGGGGAGCTGAGAGTGCCAGAGGAGGGTGTGTCCTCTCATAAGCTTGCCATTGCTCTGGGCAAACGAAACTACGGCATCAGAGTTGGTAAAGGTGAACTTGCCGCGGGTTCCCTCGGTGGCATCCCACTTCATGCTGTTTTCCGGGGTGAGCTGCCCAAAGTAGGTCTTGATGACTGCGGCGTTCTTCGCAACATTGAGGAGGCTAGGGTCGGAAATAGTGCCATAGTATTTTTTGCCCTTGGCGACGAACAGCTTGTTGATGCTGGCGGTGGCCCGCTCCTCAATGAGCGGCGCCGCAGCAGCCAGCGAGGCGACCAAGAGGAAGAGGAAAGACTTCATGGTGAGCTTAGTTTCAAAAGAATGAATTCAAAATACGATAAAGAGAGTGGTGCCAGGTGCTTCAAGCAGAATTGGCTGAACGAATGAGAGAATGAGAGAAAGATTGACGGAACAAAACGAGGCAAGAGCCACTACCTACAAGATATATATAAGCCAGTATAAGACCTCCTGAATACACAGCTCCGTGCACTTTAAGCTCTACAAGCGTAGTCTCGTATTCGGTGGCCGCAGCCGTCGAGCCGAGTTAATCCCCGATGCGGCAGCAGTGTCGGAATAGTTACTCTTTCGGTTCGTTGAGACCCGCTTTTATCTGTTTTGCAAACACCGAAACATCTTGGCATTGGTGGAACATTGATCTTTTGGCGACTGTTTCATCCACATCCGCGCTTCAGGCTGTATCGGTTCATCTCAAACCGCCACCGGATTCGCCTGGAATTAGCTTAATGGAGTCATCTGATCCCTTTTCATATATATTAGAATCTCGTATAATAACGTTCCAAATTGACTCGGATCATGCGGCTCCGTCTCGACAATAGTGGATGGTCGAAACATTAAAAGAGTCGATATCTCCCGCGGTCCCAGTGCGCAGAAACTAGGATTAGTTTGTTCTCAAAATATAGTCGCCTCATACTCGTCAACCACCTGTTTTCTCAACATGTTTTCCCTGCTACTGCAATTTGCCTTAGCCGTTAGCAGCGTTGCGGCGGGCATTGTTCCTCCGCTCAATGGACAGCTAGACTCTTCTTTAGTGAAAAAAGCAGTCGCTCTTCCAAGCAGTTTCCAATGGAGCTCAACCCAAGCTCTTGTCGGCCCCAAAAATGACGGCCGCAAAATTGCCGGCATCAAAGACGCCAGCATCGTTCAGGTCGGAGGGACGTACCACGTCTTCGCCAGCACGGCGCAGGAATCCGGCTACAACATGGTCTACCTGAGCTTCACAGACTTCAGCAAGGCCGGTTCAGCTCAGTTCCACTACCTTGACCAGACCCCTATTGGTTACGGTTACCGCGCCGCTCCTCAGGTCTTCTTCTTCAAACCTCATAACCTGTGGTACTTGGTCTACCAGAACGGAAACGCTGCATACTCAACCAACACAGACATTTCCAACCCATCCGGCTGGACTGCTCCTAAGAACTTCTTCTCCGGCACTCCCGCGATTATATCTTCAAATATCGGCAGCGGCGTCTGGGTGGATATGTGGGTTATTTGTGATGCCTCAAACTGTCACCTTTTCTCGTCTGATGACAACGGCCACTTGTACCGCGCCCAGACTACCCTCGCCAACTTCCCCAACGGCTTCTCTAATACGGTAATTGCCATGTCGGATTCGAACAAGTACAGTCTATTTGAGGCTTCTTGTGTCTACACCCTTGAGGGAGGAGGCTACCTCCTTCTCGTCGAGGCCATCGGCTCTGATGGCCAACGGTACTTCCGCTCTTGGACATCCAAGAGTCTTTCGGGCTCCTGGACTGCCCATGCTAACACAGAAGCCAACCCATTCGCCCGAGCCAACAATGTCAAGTTCAGTGGATCTACATGGACCAAGAGCATAAGCCACGGAGAGATTGTACGCACAAATACCGACCAGACCTTGACCATCAGCCCCTGTAAGTTGCGCATGATGTACCAAGGCATGGACCCGAGTGCAAGCGGCGACTACAATTCTTTGCCATGGAAGCTGACTCTTCTTACGCAAACAAACTCAGCTTGTTAAGCTTGATCACAAGTATTATGGTTGCAGAAAATTATACATATGCAGGTGAATGCAGGGTAGCCACGCCTAGCGTTGGCAGAGATGAATCCCGTTGCCTGAAATTAAAAACCTACTTTCAAATAACCTTTCAAGAGAAATCATGGATAAATAGATTAAACAAGAAAATTTTAATAAATTACAGGATACACGGCACCGTCATCCGGAAGGCTGGCTCTTCTAAAGCGTTCGAGACCTCGACGGCCCCGGAGAGTCCTTGTGAGCCTACCGACCCGGGTCATTACGGCAAACTTGAATCCAGTGATTGATGATATTTTGGGTAATTGGCAGGGTTAATGCGTCAGTACCGGTTTGTAGCTGAGCACTAAGATGGTCTATACAATGCGTGCTGCTTAAGGGTTGAGCGGGAGGCGGGCCTGTTTCAAGAGCTTCTTACTTGATCCTCACGCCGGGAGTCAATACCGACGGCCCGCTGATCCCCGCGTTGCTGTTATATCTGGACATTTTATAGGCAACCACATCATGCTATGTTTGCGTGTGCCCCTCAGCCGTAGTCCGGTATTTTCCCCTTTTTGACCCGTAACATACCCTTAATAAAGTAAACAGATATTCACCTGGTTTATAGTAGACCTGTTATTGTTGATACTATTGGTTTTTTTTTTTACTGTTGAGTTTCAAGCCCCCCCTCTGGGTATATGTGTACTAGGGCACCCTAACCTCTTGATACTAGACCTGTAAAAATCCGTGCCGCGGCACAATGAGATCTGCTTAATTATAGACTGCCCAGGACGACCTGGCTATCCACTTGCACAATTGGGGGCGATGCTGAGCTCCTGGACGAGAAATATTGAGACGGGTCGAGAGACGGTGGAACCCGGAATAGAAGATGGCTCCAGCAACTAAAAGACATAAGAAGACTGGAGATAATAGTTACACATATCAACTGTCAGGGTTCAATGGGCACGACTTGGCGAGGTGTAGTGAGATCGACATCCAGCTAGTGATGAGACAAAATTTCTTTTTTCGACATCAAGTCAAATTTTCTTCATTGCCTAAGTGGCCGAGTTACACTATCGAGCTGTCACTATTCCTATCACTGTTGAGAGAACACTGTCTCTATCTTTCTTCCATTAAACCCTTCAAGTACTTGCTATTAGATAAACGGGCCGCTGCATCCTCGCTCAAAGGCTGCAGTGGGAGTCTGGGTGCCGCAGGGTATCCGAACTGCTGGCTAAGCAAGTACTTTAGCCCAGCCACCTTGAATTAAAAGTTAGTATGCTGTGTACGCCTGTTATTAGAATGATATTACTCACGCCTCCACCCAATAGTTCCGCTTCGGCCAAAGAGGCTGTTTCTTGGAGTCGCCTGGCTTTCGCCCAATCTGCAGGACCATCCAGGTTTTCGGTACTGCGCCACAACTCCATAGCAAAATCCTACACTTGGTAAGTAATTTCCAATAACACCCAATAAAATCTACTGCCAATATTACTTACTGGTACAAGGTTCGGTAATGGGCTAATAGCACCGGCGGACCCAACCGAAATAGACGGAAGTAAGAAGTCGATGAACCCGGCGATTGTCCTGAAAGATTCGTCTACAAGGCTTGTAATCCTTGAGACTTTTCCAACATTACCACAGCTATAAGACATTCTTAGCAACCTTGGATAAGTTCCGAAAGCAATAGTGACTACTTACGATAGCATAACACCTCGGATATTTGGTGCAGCCCTTGCAATATCCACAATGTCGTTACTCGTCAGATCGATACCCCCTGCAACTGGCGGAAAGTTGTAGATAACCCTAATTTATCAAGCATCCTTGTTAGCGAAGAGTCCATTCTGTCCTGCATGTAATGCTCGACAAGTTCTGAGGCATGCATACACTGGCACTGGCGATTCAGAGGCCACATCAATGAAGAATGTCTTAATCGCAGTCGGGTTTGCCTTTAATGCACTCGCAAAGTAGCTTGGCGCTATAACGAGTACAAAATCGGCACCAGCAGTCGCCGCATCTTTCGCGAGACTAATGGTCTCTCGAGTGCTTGTCGCACCTACCCCGGCTACAATTGGCGTCTGGCGGAGCTCATTTTCATCAAGCGCGGACCGGAGAGCCCGGATCAGTTGTATGCGCTCTTGGCGATCCTATAGTTATTGTTAGAAAGCTTTAATGCGCCTAAGCTGTAGGAATTTGTACAAACCAAATGTGCGGCCTCTCCCATTGTAGCGGAGACAACGGGAATAACTCCTGGTGTAGCGACATCTGTCCTTGTCAGGTTAGCAAAAGATATCCTTATTTTCCCATACATGTTGGCAAAAAGAATAGTGTCATGTTACATAAAGCGTGCTTGACGTATGCTTTCAGGTCTAGATGAATGTTAGTAAACATTCCCGATTCAAAAACAGGAGCGTGCTTGCCCAACTCATCCTTATCATTAAAGAATGCTGGTAGAGGAGCGTAAACTCCTGGCGGGAGAGTTTTCGCCATGGTATGTTAAATTGTTTAATCGGACTTTGAGAAAAGCTTTGCTTCCAGGTGAGTGAAGTGTTGATACTGATCTAGGACATTAGTGGGAAAATCCCATTCTTATGATCGATTGCTCCTCTATACAAAGCATCAGTGACACAATCCCGGGACCTCTAAAAATCTTGACAGCTAAGATTACGTATGGCGTATGCGATGTCACCTCCGGACATCCCGGCTCGGTAGATTCGCCGAGTGTTTAGTTTAAGTTTTCATCTCACCAAGTGTCGTGAGCTTAAATGCTAACGCCATCCCGGGACGTTTCGATGCTATTGACCCCGCATTGAGATGGCCTCTTCCTATTCACTACTTCGCTCATGTGCTTACAAACTCAAGAGCGTGCGAGGAAATACGGACGGCAATGACGGCAAAGCCGGAAATACCCGCCTTGGCTAGCAAGGTTTCCAGACGTCATAATACCATCACCCATCAGCTAGGATTAATACACTGCGTTTGTCCATCTCCGTGTTATAAGTAACCTCAAGTCCTAACTGTAAATCAGCCCAAACGCCTCATTATTTCGGGTGAATCCATCGCAATTTTACAATCAATACGCAATGGCTCCAGCAATCCAAGGACGGAAGATCGCCATTACCGGCGGCAGCGGCCAGCTCGGGAAGCCGACTATCGAAGCCCTCCTCAAACTGGGCGTCCATACTATCACCGCTATTCAGCGACCCGGGGCTACCAGCACATTTCCTGCCGAGGTCATTGTTAAGAAGGGCAGCCTCGAAGATGAAGCGTTCCTCGCCGACGTGCTCAAAGGCCAGGATGCCCTCATATTAATGCCGCCTCTGCCTCAACTCGTCCCGCTTCAGGAGCCTGCGATCCGCGCGGCCGCCAAGGTTGGCGTCCCCTACGTCTTCCCTTCTGAGTTCGGCCCCGACCCCTTTGCCGGCCAGCTTGTGGAGGAGAATCAGCTTCTCGTTGCAAAGAAGAGCATTCGTGATTTGATTGAAAAGCTCGGCGTTAGCAGTTGGGTCTCTGTGGCCGTCGGCCCGTGGCTCGATGGCGGTTTCGCTGCGGGCTTATGGGGCATCGACGCAAAGGCTCGCAAGGCAACGATCTGGAAAGGTGCTAACGCCAAGGTCAATTCGGCGACCATCGCACATACTGGTCAGGCTGTTGCTGCGGTGCTGAGCCTACCTGAGGCTGATCTGGCCAAGTACAAGAACAAAGCTGTGTACGCGCCGTCGTTCCACCTTACGCAACGGGATATCCTAGATGCTGTTCAGCGCGTAACAGGCACGGCCGACGCGGATTGGGAGATTGTGTCGCGGGATGTGAATGAAGTGGCTAACGAATATGAGAAAAATATCGGTCAGGGCGATGGTTTCGCACATTTTGTCAAGTTTTTTGTCACACACTTCTTGGAGGGCCACGGCGGGGACTTCAACCACAAGGTCGACGCGGCGGAGGTGGAGAAACTGGAGCGGCTCGGACTGCAAAAGGAGAACCTCGACCAGGCCGTCAAAGCGGCGCTGAAGTGAATTGTATGGAATGAAGCAATAGTCTGTGAGTAATGTAAATTTTACTGAGTTTCTCTTGGCTACCATGACACTTAAATCATTTAAATGAAGTCCTGGTTCCGTACAAGAGCATCAATGTTGGTCATACGCACAGGATCCGGAAGAATCAAGTGTTTAATCACCAGAAATGGACTTTCGTCGCTTACAAAACGCCGCCTGGGGGAGAGGGCGGCTGATCTTACCCCATGCGCAGGCTGATTCATGCTCAACCAGTGCCTCACGGTCTGAATGTCACCAGGAATGAAGCGCGGGGGCGGATACATTACGCCTTGCTGTCGTCAATCTGTTTGATCCTGATGTTCGCAAATAGTCTGTATTTCTGGTTACCCGGACCCCGAAACGGAGCCACGTTCTTGATAGAGTATTTCCCAGAATAGTCAATACAAGTAACAACGCACCGAAATGTGACGGACAGCAGTGGAACTCTAGTACCTACTTGAGGCTGTATTGCATCGTGGGGTCCAGCCTGGGCGTAAGCACCAGCCCCATCCTCCCTTAGCGCATCCTTCAGATCGCCAGATCGGATTGGCGCTGAAAGAGTGTAAACGGCAGCCACTTGTTTCATCCCACAGCTTTGGCGCTACCTCGCAGCCCTGTATCTTTAAATAAAACCATTGTGGGGGATATTTGGGCCTCGCGGCGTAAATGGCTGGTCAAGATGAAACCTGTTTTTTCAGCTGAGGCCGATCCATTCCTGTGGGATGAGAACTTCTGTGCTGGAGGCACTGCCGTGTTGCTCCTCAATCAGGCGACCAATGGCGAACGCTGAATACCTCGGACGTCTCACTAAAACCCCTGAATATCATATAACCTTAAAATTAAGTTACAAAATCCGGTACTCCGTAATGATGGAGTAGATGTCGAGGAGTGGAAAACTATAAGAGATCTCGTTCCTGTGTCGAACTTGATGGGTATCCAAACACTCATCACTTCACAATTCGCCTTCAACATCAAGTCTTACAACTATCTTTCCAGTCTATCTCACTACAATGTCAGTTTTCAGTACCATTAAGAGCTTGGCTATTGCTGCCGCAGTAGTCCTTCCCGCAGCTCTGGCCGGCCCAGCCGCCAGGTATCGGTCCATCGTCGAGCGTGACCCTCCCCCAAAGCTCCCTGGTTGTTCTACCACCGGCGATAGAAAGTGGCAGCCTGGTAAGTGACACCTGATTCTGATTATCAAACCACCCATAGTGGGCTGGTGATGTCATGACATGCACACTTTGAACCGGACCGTTGCTGACCACAGATATAGCAATGGACTTTGACACCGATGGCTGCTACAACACGCCCGCAATTGGCATTGACGGAGTCCTCAATCCTGGCATGAACAACTGCTACACCACTGGACCATCCGGTTGCAGAGATGAGAGCGATCTTGACAATAACAACGTCTACGTGCGTGCCCGATGCAATAATGGATGGTGTGCGCACATCTACGGCTACTACTTTGAGAAAGACGTCAACCTGGAGCACGTCTGCGGCGTGGGCGCCGGCCACAGAAATGACTGGGAGCACGTTGTGGTCTGGGTCCAGAACGATGTTGCCAAGTACGTCGCGGTCTCTGCTCATGGAGACTACGAGGTACGACCCATTGAGGATGTGCTCTTGGACGCAGACACACACCCCAAGGTTGTCTACCACCGAGCTGGTGCGCAGACGCACTCATTCCGCTTTGGCGACACGCCCGACGACGGTATCGAGAACCACAAGGGTGTTTGGTTCTACGGCGACCTCGTCAGCTACCTGGGCTTTCCGTCTAACGAGCTCCGCGATACCATGCTGAACAATGACTGGGGCTCTGCTGCTATCGACTTCAAGGACAGCCGGATCGCAGATGCGCTTAACAAGGCCAAAGGGGGCAAGGAGATTCCTCTGGATACCACTTTTGATGATCCCATCTCCCCTGGTATCCCTGACTGTGTAGTGTAGACGGAGTGTTGAGAGATTATTGTGCCATAGTGCCTGGGGGAAGAGGGTCGTTATCTGTGTTACGTGAAGGAGAAGATGAAATCGAGAATTTGTACGTCTTTAATGGTTCTCTGTAGCCATATTTGTTTAAAAATATAGTTGGTTTAACTCAAGAAATGTCCGATCTTTCCAACTAGTACACTTGGGCTTTGAGAAATTGTAGATGCCAGCAACATGCGTCATCCTTTTGATCTCGGTATCTTCTATCTTATGATTTCGGCAAGCAATCCGGGAACTCCAAGTAATATTATTGTCCACTGTTCAACCATCCTCAATTTCTCAATTTCGATCATAATCACAGATAGACCAATCCAAAGCCAGTCGGAATTGCCCACGAGAGCGGGCAAACGTGTAGGAGAAGGAGTGGTCGCACAACACCGTCCCTCTAGGGACAACTTCCAGCCATCATTCCCATAAAGATTGAAAGCAGCGGAGACCAACACCCTACAACGCTGGTGGTATGTAGTACTAGGTTCATGATTTAATACTCCGAGGGACGGGAATTCAAATCTGCCTCTAGGGCTTGATGACGTTAACAATACTCCGCTTCGCCATCCGGTGACGGATTAATATGCCAACCTGGAATAGACCGGTTTGTTTGCAAAATTTGGCGGGCCTCAGCATGCCCTCTAAGCACTAATTACTGCGAATAAAGTGGATGTCATGTAATCAACGACTTCCTTCTGGCCAAGATGGACCCGGTATCCATCTCGATAAATTGGGCACCGACCAGGGCTGGAAATGAAACTCGCATGGAAAACACCACGCTCACGATTCACGACCATTTGATGCGCCCATCCACTCTAATCGCTGAATCGTGTTGCACTCCCATTTTGAAATAAGGGAAAATTGAAGTGAATGATCATGGATTTCTCTCTTTGCAATATCCCCAGCAACACAAACAGGACCACAATGAAATTCTTGACGCGCTGGGTCTTACGTGTATTGCCGATCCTTCATCCTTGTCCTCGACGTTACAATCCTCGGTGCTGTGGCCTCATCCGGTGTAGGCTCAGTGTACTGGATGTGGAGCGCTCTGCTTCATGCGCTTGGACTGTCTGGTAAAACCGACCTCGTACTTTTCCAGATCTCTCAGATCGACTTCTTCATCTTTTCAATCGACAATTGCAAAGATGTCGACGACTACGGTCGCATCCACGCCCCTCAGCGTACTTGTGCCCAGCCTCACGATGCACAATGTGATGGCACTTGTTGGCTTATGGCTGGGATACCAGGTTTTCACGGCATTGTACAACATCTCGCCTCTTCATCCGTTAAGCCACATCCCTGGACCAAAGCTGTCTCAGGTTGGGGTTAATTAGCAATCAAAACTTGGCCTTCGCATTCACTAGATCGAAGATCATTGTGAGGCTGACATTAGATTGAACCGTCTGTATTAGGTCAAGCGTTGGATTGACGGTAAGTCTTTGGAATCATCTCTTCTTCTCTTTTCGAGTCGCCTCTCCATCGCTGGAAATAGAGCGAAGTTCATGCAGACCGATCTGCATGAACTTCATGGGGTGTATAGGATACCATAGAGTCAACCATCAAGGTCCTTACCACAGGGGTCGCGCGGGGGTGGCACCACCACCTGTGTAGCCCTTCTGGAATGTCCAATGAGCGCATTGGGATAACCTAGACGCCAAGATGGGACTATCTAGGTATCTCGACCGTTGGTACCACGACTCTCGGCCACAAGGCGCGGACGATCAACGAATAGCAATCGCGAAGGCTACAACAGCGTCACTAATAACACCAAAAGCCCACGAGGATAGCGGGTTTAAGCAGTGGGTGAAGAGTAGGACGGCCAGGGTAACGGTTACAGGCAGCAAGCTGGAGTGTTATTTGCGGTTGGAGCTATAGGAAGCTGATGATTCTGTCAACTGGTAGATAGCTTACCAGGGCTCTTTCCCCGTGCTCAGCCAGCTATCTCTTGATATTTTTGCTGTACCAGTAATGGCAACTGACTGTGAGAAGTATTTTATTCTTGCAAAGTTGTCTTTAATATTGCAGAGGCTATTAATAAGCGTAGCAGAGGTAGCTTATATGACTCAACAAGCGCTAGCCAGTTAATCTTTAGATAAGTAAGAATCTGCCATCTTTTTATTCTCTCCCGTGCTATAATAAAGAAAAGACTCGATAAAATATACTATTACCTAAGGCTTTCGCTACTTAATATCGTTGCCCATGCCGCATATACAGCCCCTGGTGTACCAGGAGCTGCACCCTTATCTTTACTATTATACTATTAATCTGATGCTGGAAAATTTATCTTATGGGGCTGCCGCAACCTGAGCAGTAAACCTCAGCTAAGAATATAGACCAAGGCCCTTCCTTACTCGAGTTTTTAATCTCTACTACAATTATTCCCTCGTCTAACTTTAGTATTGTCTTGAACGGATACGGTAGCATCCTATAAGGATTAGGTTCCCGCGCTGCTATTTCGATCTGCTTATCCTCATACCCGGGCTCTAGTAACTGTACTAATAATCGGGATACGATGGATTCTAAGATATCTATACTCTTTGATATTATAGCAAGTATCTTCTAGCTATCTATCTCTATATTGGAGTAACTGAGACTGCTCTGGTAATTGCTTCTGTCGACTTGTAACTATTTTCCAGGGAGGGTGCTTTTACTATTCTGTAGTCTATTTTAAAGCTGTTTAAAAGTATTCTATATAAGGTACTATTTATAAAACTATATACTGTATTGAGTGAGGGAGTGAGCAGAGGACACTAAGAACACACACAACCCACCCAGAGGCAGAGTAGTGATGACCGCGATAGTGTTGTGTCGGAAAGGTCGGATAGGGTCAGGTTTGGGGTCCGGATAAATCGGACAGCCGGGCAAAGTAGATAGCTTTTTCAGCTGATACCGTTTGATCAAATGGACCTTCAATAGGTCACCAAAGGATAGGTCAAAAGACTGTCAATTGAAAAATGATGAGATGCTTAAAGGATGATGCTTGTGTTGTGTCCAGAAGGCCCTGTCCGAGACCTTCCCAATTTATGGCCCCAGTAGGTCTGGCTACCGGTCCTACCCGATGCAGCACTTCCTGTTGAAGGAACCCACCAATCCTAGCCCTAGTGGCTGCAAGCATCTGATCAGATGACCTTTATCCCCAAAGACCGGAAAGCCCCGACTCAATAGACTAGAGGGATATTAATATATAGGTAGCAGCTAAATTATCAAGAAGTAGTAGTCGGACGAGGTTAGCAATACTGAGAAAAAAGCACTATAGAACTTATAGAAAGACTGGTTATAATATAAGAATCTATTAGGCTGTTATTAAGACCTCTGGAGAAGAATATAGTAATTAGTTTTAATTAATTTAAGGTCTTATTGTGGTTTTATAGTAATTTAAAAAGTAAGGGTTAGGATTTTTAATTAACTTGCTTATTTAATTAACTTGCTTATTAAGTATATTAATTTAAAATAAATTACTACTAATTTAAATTAGATTACTACTAATTTAAATTAGATTACTACTAATTATAATATCCAGACCTTTAATTAACTTACTAATTAGATATATATAAATAGAATCTTAGGTCTCTTAAATAAGAGCTCTAAGCTCCTTAGCTATTAATATACTTAGTTATATTAAATCTACTATTTTACTATTACCAGACTGTAACCTATATTGCTTACTATAACATCCTGATCTACTCGATTATATACTACATATCTCGGACCTACTCTATACTCTTAAGTTAGACCTGACTATTATAAATATATATATTCTTAAAGCTAAATTTATTAATAGCTTAGAAGGTAGCAGTATAGAAGAGGAAACCTCTATATTCTTATTAAATAAGTCTATAATAATAGAAATTATCTATAAATAATATTAAGAAAGTTAAATTAAAGGCTGTATAGCTAATAAGATTAAATCTATATAAAATCTACTTAAATAGACTAAGATCCGAGTTAATCCCTAGATATAAAATATACAGAGCCTATTAAACTATATACTAGCTGACTTATAAATAGCAAGAGATAGAGAGACAAGCTTATTTTTGTTGAGTCGTATCCTGTTGCCGCGCGTCGTATATGGCTGCCTGCGGCCCCCTGATGGCTTGCCGGGGTGTTTTGGCAAACGCGTCGGGCGACAGAATCGTCGCGTATAAACTACCCTACGCAACCTACCCGGGACACCTTCGATGTACGTGGCGATCGACAATCAAGTCGATCGCTCGATCGATTTCCAAGCTTGCGTTACACCACATAACAGACAACTTACCTATTGAAAATGTTGATATGACGATAAATAACATGCATTTTATGAGATCCCTATGATTTATTAATTATTTATCCCTAGTAGTCAATATTTAAGCATCCACTAGGAAGCTTGCATTTATCAGCAATTCTACAAGGTGTGCATAAGACTACTCGCCAAGCCACTCATATAACGCTTATATAAAGATAAGACCATCCTCCTCCCTCTGATTCAAAACCCTCTCAACCCATCCCAAGCCTGCAACTACAACAACACAAGATAATCATAAGGACAACAATAACAACAACAACAATGGCAGCACTAATGGCAAATTGAAATACCTAAGCTCTAATTTCGCAAGCCATGACAAACCCTGGAGGGACTTCGAGGGGCTAAGGTTCATAACACAGGAATAGGAGAAAAACCAAGAGATTATTTCAATCACGAATGGAAGAATTCTCCCCTAAAATGATGCCTTTAAGGTCTCTCTGCGGCCCATATCGCTATTGGGCGGGATAAGTGCAGGAAAAGCCTAGCTCACACTGCTCAGGGGTTGCTTAGTGACTTGGGCGCTACTCAGGACGACTCAGGTACTCCATCCCGCAGATTTACTTAAAGCACCACAGCTATATTACTACTAATATGGTTGTTTCCTGAGGTCATGAAGATCATGCCTACCCTGCGACACAAGGCGTAGAAACTGCCACTCAACTCCGAACCCACCATGAAACTTTCAAGTAACAACAACCCCTCAATTGATCTTCCAAACTACCCGAACACCCACGATCTCTCGTTCTAACCTCAAACTTTCGCTCCTCAAGGCTCTTTGCACAACCCCCGATTGGGTTGCCTCCCCTGTCGTCGTCAAGATGATACCAGCAAGGATACTGTCTCAGGGCTTGCTCGGATTGGCCCAAGACCGTGGCCCACCCGATAGCATTTTTCTCCACTGATTTTCAGAATAAACTTTCTTTCTCCTTATAGTTGTTGCCAAAATAGTAACTGGTCAGACCAAATCTGAATTTTTGGTCTCCTGGTGTATAACTTCAGTAGACTTGACTTGAACGTCAAGCAATTCACTTCCTTTCTCCGTGTGATTAGCTCCGCCGAAAAGAACATCCATCTCCTCCAGCGAAACCTTCTTCGTCTCCGGTAGAAACCACCAAGCATAAAGGGCCAGCGTGATATTGCAAGACATGAAGAAGAAGAAGGATTTCCTTCTCTAGTTAGCTGATGAGCTCAAATAACAACAAGGCCGGGAGAAAACTTACAAGCCGCAGTTAGCATAGAACGTGGGGAAGAACTGGTTAAAAATGCTCCCAGCGATATTTTGCATTTGGACACACATGCCCACGGCCTGCATTCGCACGTTCATGGAAAATACCTCTGCAGAGACAATCCAGACTGCTGCTCCCCACGACGGTTTGTAGAAGAAGATAAAGACAAAAAGCATGGCGACAATGGCGATACCGACTGGTTCCGACTTTCCACCTTCTGGGGTATTTGGTGTTTCCAAGCCGACGATGGGCACAATCATCATGGCAGCCGACATGCCAATTGCTCCAGCGATAAGCAAGAATCTTCGACCAAATCGATCAGCCATCCAGGTCGCGTTGAGCGTGAAGATGATAGAAAACGTTGCGTTGATAGCATTGATGAGGTTGATCGTGCTAGCCGAAGTCCAGACCTTCTTGTAGATGGTTGACGAGTACTGGGCAAGGGTTGACTGTCCAGTGAGCTGCTGGCCAACATTGAGCAGCCCAACGATGATGAGGCGCTTTCTGACCGACTTGTCCTTCCACAATGTCAAGTATGAATTCTCGGCAATGACTTCTTTTTCGAACTCGATGGCCTCGCGGATGCTAAGCATCTCTGCCTGCACCTCTTCCTCGGTCTCTCGGATGGTTCGAAGAATATTTTCGGCGCGTTCGAATTGGTTACCTTTCTGAATACACCATCGAGGACTCTCTGGCATGAAGGGGAGGTTGAGGCAGATGAAGACTGGGATGACGAGTTGTAGGATAACCACGATTCTCCAACTCCAGTTCCCAAGCTTCTCTTCGTTTTTGCCGCAGGCATAATTGGCCCAGAAACCGATGAAAGCTCCGACGGAATAGTTCATTTGCCAAAACGACACTACGAGGTTATCAGAGGTTGTTCGCATTACTTTCGCCACCTGGCGCGCACTTACTCACGGTCCCACGAATCCTCGCGGGCGTAACTTCTCCCATGTAGACCGGGCCAGCGCCTGTGCTCAGTCAGCCAACGAGGGTTAGTTGGACAAGGGTCAGGGCAACACTGACTTGCGGTAAATCCGGTTCCTACTCCGAGGATGACTCGGCCGGCGATGAAGCAGGCAAGGTTATGCTTCGGGGAGACACCTTGAACAACGGCCCCCAGAACAGCACAGAAACAACCGATCCCGATACCCCATCTGCGGCCCAAATAGTCGGTCTATGCCCACACGATTTAGCATGACGAAGATCGAGGAGGATGCGACACGGAGGAGCTTTACTCACCACCGGACTAGCGAGAAACCACCCAATAATGATGGAACTGATGGCGGTGGACGTGTTGACCAACCCGAGCAAGTTGCCTTTCTGCCATGTCGTTAGCACGCTATTGCTGTGTGACAAGATACTTTTCCACGAACCGGGGTATTGAACCAGGCCAACCAGTACGAGTTGGCCTGGATGGCATTGAAGACGGATCCGTCAAAACCGACGAGCGTCTCGCACCCTGCTGCAACCAGCGCAATATACCTGCATGGCCGTCAGCTTGCACCCTCTCGGCACTTCACGGGGAGGAGGATACAAACCACGCCCATGAAAGCTGTTTGGACACCATAGTGACGCCTGAGCAAAAGGTCTTGCGTGTGTGACGGGCGAATGATGGGATGTAGTGTGCAGTGCAAGGTAACGAGGCTGATAGGTATCATGGGAGGGCTTAGCACGGCCGAGGGCCGGTTTGTATATATGCTGTCTGTGTGCCTGGGCCCGCCTTTTTGGGAGACACAAGATCCTTCTGCTCCCGAGCAAAACTCAGTATGAAGCGGCGGGGCGTGTGGGGGATCTGGGGTTTACGATCATCATGCTGCCTGGGGAAGAGAGTTCCGGGGTCTACATCCCCGCGTGTTCAACAACCAACCAATCGGCGTTGTCTATTCCCGCATCATAACCCGATCACCCCCGCGCGGAGCAGCGACCTAGCGGACTAGCGGGAACCGGAAGACCGGACGACCCGATGCCTCCAGTAAATCGAGTCATTCCATCGTTCCTCTCATACCCGGATTGCCCCCTTTTGCCCTCGGATTTCTGTCCTTCATCTCCGGATTTCTCTCCCTTCTCCGCATCGATCCCCTTCCCATCCATAGGGTGCACATCTTGCACGGCACTATCATTTCCCAGGTGGGGGTTACATCGCCCAATACAGGAAAGTCTGAACTGTAACCCGCATCATCATCGGGTTATCCACCAATATACCCAGATTTCCCCGCAAGGAACACGACACAGGAGCTCTATTCTTCCTGGAATTAGGGCTCTCTCGCTCTGGTAGTGTACCAGCCTTTTGATTACACTGGTACTATCGAAATATATAACACAGACGTCGAAGCTATGCTCCTGTGGTTAACCAGAGGCCGTCGTTGAAGATATTCACACTAGGCCCTATCTTTTGTACATTTGGTCGACATGCTAACTTTCTTGGCCTTTCTTCCCCTTGCTGGGCTGTGCTCAGCCCAGGCCATATCTTTCTGTGTGGCAAGCAGCCCAGTTCCTCAGGCAGCTCCTATCGATCCCTCCCCAGTCGGCTTCTCGTACGTTAGTTGATTAGCTGAGTTCTGAGGGCGTTGGCCTGTTATCCTGGAAAAAAATGCTAACTCTATATTGAGGTACGACTTTGGATTTGATGAATGGTGGTTCAACGTTAGCAATACGCGCGCCTGTCATGCCACTCTGAAGAGTCTGACTGGACAATGGCCAGTCGTCCGTCTTGCCGGTGGGATGGAGTATGTCAAATGCAACCCTCCAAAATAATGACCTGCTGATTCGTCGTAGCGACACTGCCGTGTTCGACCCTAATCTTCCCGTCACGAGAATGGACGCGAATATCACAGGGCTAGCTGATGCGTTATATTATGGACCTCGCTACTTCACGGAAGTTCTGGCCAAATACCCAGGTCCGATTATCTTTGGTAAGAAACTGTTGAGTTTGTAACTATTGCGTCTCTCTGTCTAATCTGGCTGGGCCATCAAGGTCTCAATCGAGGAGCGGATAATATAACCAACACCATTATCGCGGCCAAATACATGAAAAAACTCTTGCCCAACTTGATTGCGACAGAAATAGGCAACGAACCAGTACGTCTGAAAGGGCATCCTCTATTATCCTCTACTCAACTAATCTTAACAGGACAGTAAGAATGCCGAAGAACCACATTGATCTTTCATTCCAGTAACATTCCAAACCAGTCTATGCCGCCACCGGCGCCCATTATGGCAGCTCCGAGTCTGCTCCCCAGCTGATTGTCGTCAATGCTGGAGGCGTCAATGCCTGGACGCCAGCTAAAGAAGCTATGTCTGCAGTGCAGTGGCAGTTAGCGATTGGAGAAGCTCTGCAAGAACCACATATTATCCAGATTGGAGGCTACGTCGCTCCCATATGGTACACTAATGCAACCTACCTCCTATCCCAAGAAACGCCAGAAGCTTTCAAGTACATTAAGTCTTTCTCGCATCACTTTTACCCGCAATCGGTATACCCCCTGTCCATTTCTGGAGCGCCCAACTTGACGGAACTGATGAGCCACGCAAATATTTCGGCGAATGTGGCAGAATTTGCGATCGATAGGGTTTCAACAGATGAGCATGGTATGGCGTACATCTTTGGTGAAACAAACACAGGTAAGCAATCACCGTACCAACTCCGATCCTTGAACGTCCAGCTGCTTATTTTTCACAGTTTCCGGAGGCGGATCCCCCATAATATCTCCAACGTTTGGGTCCAGCCTCTACATCCTCGACTACGTGCTTCGCGCCGCAAGCAGCAAGATTGTGCGACTAAACTTCCACTTCCAGTCCTATGGTACTTCGTACTACATTTGGTGGGACAAGGCTGGCGTTCGCTCTCCATACTATGGTGGATATGTTGCGGCCGAAGTTTTGGCTGGCCAGTCATACATCGCTGCCTTGGACGATGGGACCACCAACTATGCCGGTTATGAGGTTTATTCAAAATCCAAGAGACTATCAAAGGTGGTTCTCATTAACACCGACTACTTCGATGGTAACGGAACCCGTTCATCTAAAGAGTTTACTCTCACTGGGCTGGCCGCAAAGTCAGTATCAGCCAAGCGACTCACCGCGACTAGTGCGATGTCCCGTCAAGATTTTGGAGATGCACCGACATATGGAGGGAGATCCTTCTCTGACCTTGGTTGCCATCTTAGCGGAAAGGAGGTGATAGAAGAAGTACCACTCAAAGGTGGCAAGGCAAAACTCACCGTATTTGCTTCGGAGGCAATTGTCGTTACTTTGTGAAGGTCGAACTTGCTGTTCAACTGCCATTCTCATTGGGTCGAACTCTTCTGTTCAATTCAAAAAGATGTTCTTCTAGAAATCGAACAAAGAGACGGATTTTGAGCGCTCGATTCGTAGTTTAGGAGTTCAGCAATGGATCAAGAGTGCCTTACGTTTTATCTTTGAGAGTTAAGTCATGAATTCTTATTTGCTGTACAATGTCTTTCTATACAGTTCTTGATATGCATACTGTCCCGGGTGGACAACATGTGGGTTGGCATTCGGACAATGCGTCAACAAAAGCTACCTTCCCTTTGGAACTATAAAGATCACCAAGGCCGGGCGGTATGGTTGTGGTATGAGATTGCGAAGAAATGTAAGGACGATGCCTCGATAGAAGGTTAGAATCCTATCAACGAGCGATGTGGCTCCATGCACTATCACCTCCCGGCCTTTTACGTTCGTCCAGAAAAGACAATCCAGGGAATCAACGGGAAGCAAACCCTCTTTCTTGATGACAGTAACTTCATCCTGGAGCAGAAGTTTTTCAAGCCTTTTGTATCTGGTCCATCTAAGCTTCCTAACTGGATCTACCTACTGCATCCATGAATACTCGACCACGGGCTTACCGTATGGAGAACCATTAATAAATATCCAAAATTGAGTCTAATTTTCTCCGAAAGACAGAATTCATGCACAAGGACAACGTTCCTCTGTAGAATGGCGAGGTAATCTGTAGGATATACCCATGCCACCAGACTAATGGCCTCATCGAACATGTGCTACAGTTCGGACCAGTACATGCGGACCCGGATCTCTCCTTCGACTATGTGGCTATTAATACTCGAAAATACAATCTCGTCGGTGAGCAAATGAAGGTATATGATACGCGTGAGGTCTCGTGGAGTATTTGGTTGTAAAAAGATATCGGCCTTTAGGGAATGGTCTGAATTGATTCGAAATGTAAGTAAAATAAAACAATCGAGCCACTCCTCGAAAAGAAGGAAATGAATCTACTAGCTTGACGATTGGGGAACTCACCCTTTCCGCCGAATCATTCAAGGCGATGGGCCCCTGGGTCGAGTTGGATAAACAAGGTGTCTCCAGGGGCGAAGAACACATACAAGTAAACCGTTTCGTGTGGTATGATGACGTCAACTAATTAATCTTTTAGATTCGAGAAATTGGGGTGTCAAGCGACACGTCATGAGATCTCTGGTGTAGCTATTTGTCAGAGTCGCTCCAACTGGAGTTCGCCAAGTCACTACTCTCTTCACCCACCTGACGGCCATTCTGCAGAAGCTTTTAGATCGAATCGGGGGTCTTTAGCGTGAATATCGGTGTCCTAGCACCGGATGAGAGAGCACTCCGCTCCTCCTGCCCAGGATCTGCGGGTTATGCTGGGGTCACCTACTCCGCACAACTCCCGTTAATAAAAAGTGAATCTGCTGCCAGTGGATCTGAACACCGCCACTTGATGCGGGGTTGAGATGGGATGATTGGCCGATTCCCGAGCCCAGACAGTACTGTAGACCGATTGATCCTAGGGTGCGGGACTGTGACATCGCCAGAAACTGTCGGCAAACCGTTCCCTTGTTGGCTAATACAAGCTGCTATTCCTTGTCAATATACAGGATGATAAAGGCGGGGGGAACCCTGGGAAAGCGGAGAATGCCCAAAAAACACGCGGGTGTGAGTCATGCAAGGAAGGTTTCTGTCATACACGCGCGGAGGCAAGCATGTGGCTGCGTCAGAATGGCTTCATCAGTCCAGAAGTTCTTGGATTACATCCTCGTCCACACTGTCGTTGGCCCCCCCCGTGGCACTTTCCAAAGCCAGATTCCTGGTTACGGCGAAGCCAAAGGAACATTGGCGGCTGCAACGACTGCCACGATAGCTACTGAGACTGGACACAATACAACTATTTCTCAGTCTTTCTACAGCTACAACATCACGAGTCATGATTACACCCTTTGCAGCAGACGGCATACAAGATATTACTGGCATGGTTTAGCGTGACAGCACCGTCACTGTGTCGTTTCTGGCTGCTGGTAGAGCGGCGAAGTGTCCTTTATACGCCTCATATCGTGTTCTTACTGGCGACAGAGCTTGCGTGGCTGGACCATACCCTCAGGACTTTATCCAGAACGGCTCTTTCGCTGTGGATCACTTCTCTTCTGTTGGTGCCAAGGTCGCTAAGGATTTTATATGTTCATTAATGTCGTAAAATATCTTTTGAACGAGATTGGTAACTTATTTCCCGAAATCTAACCAGAGCCAGCCCAGGAGGCTGACAAAGGTAATGTTATGGGAAGGGAGCTTTGAGATCTCGACCTCCTTGTACTGGACTCCCGAACTTCCCACTACATTTGAAAATATGCATGGATACGCTGCAGGGAAATCTCTTTACTCTCTGCCAACAATGGTCTGGTATGGAGCCCCAATTGCAACAACAATTTTATCACCAATGCGCCAGATGAAGGGTAAGGTTTCCTTGCAGACTATCGGGCAACACTGAGCTGCCTGCACTCGACATACTGCGAAACGTTGGCCAAATGACCCAATGAGCACCTGGGGATGTGATTCTCGGGACAAATTGGCTACAATCTTCCCGTTAACATAGTATGTTCCCCTCCTTTATCCAAGGGGGTGTCTCATCTTAGCACTCTAATTAGTAGTATTGGTGGAAACGCTGGCGAAACCAATATTTAGCTAGAAATTATCCCTATCGTTAACAGCCCGGAAGCTGAGCTTTTGGGATTTGTTCAGAAGCCCATCCTCCTTTATCTACAATCACTGTGCTGATAGATGCAGATGACTACTCGCTGCACAGAAACCCGTTCCATTCACCAAAACTCTCCCCGAACTCCTGAATAAGACAAAGAAGCATACTGCGCAGGAAACAACCAGCTGGTCATCCACGTATTGTTATTCACGTACTATTACCCATTCTAGTGCAAGTAGCAATACTCATATAAGCATGAAGGTGCTGTTGGTAACTAACTTTATAGTCGCCGGGTTTCATTTCGTTTGCGTATTCGGCTACAGTCGATCACAATTGACGCCGGCCTGCTTGGGCGAACGGATATATAGAGGCACTCAATTTCATATCTAGAAATCAGTTCTATCTACAGTCTGGGACCCCCAAATGCGATGTTGCATTCTGGAATAAGCAAAGTGGTCAGTGTAGTTCTCTACCGATACGATTACCTTCAAATTGAAGCAGGCGATGGTATCACATGGCATGCTCGCCGCGGATGGCCCAGGCTACAAGCCCTTGGTTATACAGCAAGTATATGTATATATATTTCTCAGTTCAAGCAACTTGGGGCTACACTATTCCCAAAATATACCTGCAGTAGGTTCTCCGGATCCCAGTCAACTTTATCATCGGTATCGACAGGTAAACCCAGATTGATATACTCTGGAAGCTTGTCGTCTATTAGCTGGTGGTATTCCAACAGAAACCTTACCATCCACTTGTCGAATCTGTACATATGGCAATCCGCGTCTCGTAAGCAGGCTGCTTGAAAAACCGTGAGCCTTCTGACTATCAGCTCTAAGGAAGGCCAGTACTGTCTCAGCTCCTTTAAAGCCTGGAAGTTCGATACCAGATGGGCTTTGGCGGCAATGGTTTCATCTTCCTTCCCAAACATGACTGTATGCAACAAGACGGATGACGATATGACAGCGGAGTGGCCGACTCCGGGGTACATGAGGGGGCAATCTCCCCGTTCTCTGGCTGTACTTAACAAGATGCTCTGTGCAGTGGCGTATTGCTTGCAGCGCTCGGCGAATTCCTTCTCTCTTGTCGTGGCCACGCGATTGACATCGAGATACTGGTAGTAAAGGAGGGTGGCGTAGTGATTGAAGCCCATGTGAAGTGCCATAAAAACACCGCCTAGTCCCTTAGCGCGGTAGTTATCAAGGTTCGTCTCGTTGTATCTCACGTACGCCGGAAGATTGTCTTCCCAGGCAGCCAACATTTCCATGAGGGAGAGAACGGCATCTTCTGCAGCGGCATCTTCAATATCGTGATGGGCCACCTTCCAGTTCAGATCTTGGATCGGCCCAAAATTCTCGACTAGGGTAATCATATGGGCCCAAAGCCCGGGCTCGTAGCGCGTGTATACTGTCGTTTCGCCCGCGTCGAGTCTGTGAAAGATATACTCGTCCATGGGCAACTCGACGGTCCTATTGAAGCTATCCATCTTTCGAGGGATGCCGTTGCCAGCCGAGCACCAGTGGTCACACATAAACAATGTCCACCATACGCGCCGCTTCAGCTCTTGGACGGCGACTGTATCTGTGCTATCAAGAACGTCGAGGTGCAGAATTTCGGCCATTCGGATGGCAATACCGAAGTACAATGCTTCTGACGACGCCCGGAGCAGGGCGGCCGAAAGATTGGCGATCAAGATGCATGCCTGGACGTTTTCTACGCAGACGTTTTCGAGATCGAGGTGCAGATGCCTCTTAGCGTCTTCGAAGAAGCCCGGGGCCAGCGATGACACGTCAGGGTCGGGATGGAAGAGCGAGCCGAAGCTGAGCAGAGCCTGAAGGATGGCGGGCGGCAGTCTCTTCGCTCTGACAGCAGAGCGGAGCGTCGGCAGGTGGAAGATGCTGTGCGGGCGGTCATGGATACACCAGATGTAGTTCTCCACCAGCCGTCTCGTTAGATGATCCGAGAGGGCCGGTGAGCGCAGAGGCGGGATGAGCGGAGGAGTAGAGGGCGTCTCTGTCGGTTGCTGCGGCTTGTTTGGGCTTGGCTGGGGCCCTAGAGAACAGTCTATCTTGCTTCGCTTACATTGCGCGCAGGGCACCAAGCCTCTGGTGTGCTTTGGCAGCCAGCACTTGCGTTTGCTAGCACGACACTGCGTACAGGCCGTTGCAACCTTCATGGCATTCGGGATCAGCAGGAGCAGCAGCGAAAGCAGCCTAGCTAGCTTGTTGAACTAGCTGCATACGGTACTGCAGCTAGCCACCACCAGACGCAGAGACTCACAGGGTCTGATCTGGTCCAAGCAGTGTCGGAGAGACCGGTTGTAGGTAGTAAGCAACCTGGCTTTGCTAGGGGAGGATCCTCGAAGGATGGCGGGGCTTTATACTCCGAAACCCGCACATCTGACGACAACAGCGGGATAAACTAGTAGAGATTGGCTAGTTCCGGAGAACAAGACCCAGTGACCAGTTATGGTGCATTGCATCCCAGGAAGGGCTAAGGGTAACCCTCGGCAACTAGCTTGGGGTTAGCATAGAGCATTCTGAGATTAGGCTAATAGCCGGGGATAGGGGGTCACTGAGCGGGTCACCCCCCAGCAAAGGACGAATCAGTGAGGATCAAACCCGACCTACCGGGTCCCTATTGCGGAGATCGATCCGTCTGATACGAGGCTCTCAGTGTTCGGGACTGTACTGCTGCGTCTGTGTAGAACCGGCTCTGATCATGACCGAGAGAGCACCCAATGGTATTGTGTGGAAGCCGATGGGGATTACTATGCTTTTCGCGCATTGCTGGTGCGTAAAGAAGACTTGCGTGTACATCTAATAAACGCCCCGAGTGCCCACGCTAAAGGTATAAGAGATGGGCCGGTACCCTCGGGCGTCTTCTACATTTAGCGATGACGGCCTGCCCCCTTCCAACAGGCTCTTACGGTACAACGCCACAACAGCTTCCCCTCCCCGCATCAATCTGCGATGGCGCCACCATCCCCGAATTCGAGCTTTCTGAGGAAGCTAGATTCATCATGGCAGCTCGTCGTGGACGGAAGCCCGTACTTGATCCTTGGCGCTGAGCTACAGAACTCGTCCATGAGCTCGGCTCGATACATGGAGACCGTATGGCAAGAAATCGTGGACATGGGGGTGAACACGGTCTTAGGCGCCGTGGCATGGGAGGATGTCGAGACCGAAGAAGGTGTGTTCGACTTTGAGGAGTTCGACGCTGTTCTTGCCGGTGCCAGGAAGTACAATGTCCGACTGATAATTACATGGTTTGGGGCGTTTAAGAATGGTATTCAATGAGTTTTGGTCCGCGTATATTAGACCTGGGGAGTCCCTGCTAACTCTGTCCTAGGGATGTCCTGCTATACCCCGTCTTGGGTCAAGAAAGATGACACCCGGTTCCCCAGGATGCTACTTGGTAAAGGCGATCATCAGACGACATCCAACGTTATCTCGATATTCGAAAATACGTGTTCCGAAGCGGATGCGAAAGCCTTTGCTGCGTTCATGTCACATTTAAAGGAAGCGGATGCCCCAAGAACCGTGATTCTGGTTCAAGTGCAGAATGAAGTCGGGCTGCTTGGAGACTCTCGCGATCGTAGCAACAAAGCAACCGAATTGTTCAAGGCATCCGTCCCAGCCAAACTCGCCAACTTTATTTACAACGACTGGGAGTCCCTGCTGCCCGATCTCCAGAACAATGCAGCGATTTTCAAGACCAGATTTGAGAAGTTTTCCAAACAGAGCCAGTTTGGATCGTGGGATGAAATGTTCGGAGAGAGTGTATATACGGATGAGCTCTTCATGGCCTACCACTACTCACTCTTCGTCGAGAAGGTAGCAGCTGCAGGACGAAAAGCGTACGATATCCCGCTTTTCACCAACACGTGGTTGCCAAAGCCAGGAACCGCCGTCGGTGGGAATGTGGCCGCTGGTGGGAGCCTACCTGGTGAATATCCATCGGGAGGGCCTGTGAGCAATGTGATGGACGTATGGCAGAAGTTCTGCCCTACACTGGATTTTCTTTCACCTGATATCTACACATCCGACTACTCAGCCACTTGTGAGATTTATTTACATCGCCAACAAGCGCTATTCATTCCAGAACAACGGCGTGACGAGTATGGCGCTCGTCGAGTCTGGCAAGCAGTGGGCAAATTCAACGCCCTCGGCGCAAGTCCGTTTGGTGTTGACACATTGAAGGCGAAGCATTGCGCTTACACGAGACACTACAGACTTCTACGGTCCGTATCTCGGATTATTTTGAAAGCGCAAGCAAAGCCCGACACCATTCTTGGGTTCTTTTTCGACGAAATAGAGTCCTCGGGGACAGATCCAACTCCTCCAATAGTGAAGCGATTTACCAACTACGACCTGACAATCAGCCGTGCGTTTGTGTTGGGAAAGCCTGGCCCTGGCTACGGCATTGTCATCGAGTTAGAACCCGAAAAGTTTCTCCTCGTTGGTTGTGGGTTCAAGGTGGAGTGGAAAAGTGTATCACCGACGTCACTGTACACGGGGATTGTGAGATTCCTAGAAAAAAGTGTCGTCAACGAGGCCGATGGCACCCTGCGCACTGAGCGGAAACTGAACGGGGACGAAACGCGAAGTGGAATGTGGGCGAACATGCCAGATGCCGTCCCAGACTGTGGTGATACTGTTATACCTATATGCATACCGGCCCGCACGATGATTGCAGAGGCAACTGTATACTCATTAGACAAGAAATGTGATAGGATCATATAGATGGCGAAATAGAAACGGGCACTCAGTGTTTATAAAGAGCGAGTATTAAACTTCTAATATTTTAATTGTAATATACTACTATTTAATACTGTGTCGGGGCTGAGGGCCTCACAAGCCAGAGGCGGAACCTTTTAATTGGTCAGTTAGTCAAGCTGCTGATCTTGGTTAGCTATTGAAAGGGGGTCTTGTGGCTGCTGGAGATAAAAGGCAGAGACCGCCCAGACTTAGATAGAATACCAACTACTTTCTTGCTCATCCATTTTTGAGCTTCTGGAATCGTTTTGATATTATTATGATGAGAATTGTTTGATCAATTGGAATATCTGGTTTCTTTTTTAGCCAGCTGCCTAGATGCACTTCTGGCTCTCATTTTATCGGTTTTGTTCTGCTGGTCTTGTCTGACCCCGCTCCGCCTCGCATCCCGCCTACCTTACGGCATCGTCACCTTGGGTGGTGGTGTTTCTCTTGTCCCCTTGCCCAACTTAATACTGGTCTTTTTTAAACAATTAGCACCGCCAGCTTTTAATAGTAGAGAATTTATTATAAATTAATTATAATAAGTTATATTTATAACGTATGTGATAAGCAAGTCGGACGCACAAGTGAGTCGGACAGTATAAAATACACCTTGAAGTGCGATTTTAGAAAGATTCTTAAAAATTTAAGCTAAGCTTAAAATAACTAAAAACTTTAACTTAGGTTAATAAAATAAGTTTCTATCTAAAAAGATTTTCTAGAATTTTAAATATGTTTTTAAAAATAGTTATTAAGAAAAAGCTTATTTACACTGTATTTTTTTTTAAACTTTTAGTTAAATAGTTTTTTAAGAATCTAGAAAATAAATACTGAGTCGGGGCTTTCCGGTCTTTGGGGATAAAGGTCATTTGATTGGATGCTTGCAGCCACTAGGGCTAGGATTGGTGGGTTCCTTCAACAGGAAATGCTGTATCGGGTAGGACCGGTAGCCAGACCTACTGGGGCTATAAATTGGGAAGGTCTCGGACAGGACCTTCCAGACAACACAAGCATCATCCTTCTAGCATCTCATCATTTTTCTCAATTGACAGTCTTTTGACCTATTCTTTGGGGACCTATTGAAGGTCTATTTGATCAAACGGTATCAGCTGAAAAGGCTACCTATTTTGCCCGGCTGTCCGATTTATCCGGACCCCAAACCTGACCCTATCTGACCTTTCCGACACAATACTATTACGGTTATTACAGCTCTGCCTTTGGGTGGTTGTGTGTTCTTAGTGTCCTCTGCTCACTCCCTCACTCAATACTATTTTATAATTTTTTCTCTAATTTATTTAAAAATGCCTTTTTTAGACCTTAATAAATTTTATAGCTAGTTTAAATAAATTCAAGTTTACTTATTTTAGCTGTATAGTATGCTGTCTGACTTACTTATTTATCTAACTTGCTTATTATATATGTTATTTTATTTCTAACTTTAACTTTATAATAGATCTAATATAGTTAATTTAATCGTTGCAATATTGTTTAAATTGATAATTATTCTAATTGATCCCGGTTATTTAAATTAGCTGGATAAGAGGCCTTTTAGTCCCTTGTTATTATAACTAAAGACTGGATATTAATTTACTAAAGGTTTTCTTATATAGAGTCTCTCTCTAATACACCCCCCTAGCTTGAAGCTATTTAGGTTAAAGCTGTAGTTTTTATATCTCTAGATTATCTTCTATTAGGTCTTTTAATTTTCTTTATCCTAGCCAATCTGTAATATCTATTAGGCCTAGCTATTTAACTGAATATTAAAATACCAGGCCTACTAGAACCTTAATAAGACTATTAGTAATTATTTTTTCAGTATTAATATAATTTACTGTAATTCTATTTTTCTAGGCTTTCTGCCTTAGCTAATAATTGTGAATATTAATATAATATAGCTTAGTTTATAGCTAGTTAATATCTTAATATATTAGATAGATTATCTAAAGGTTGTTATATTAAATATAGATTTATTTCTCTTTTAGCTAGATTTCTAGCTTCTTAACTAGCTGGGAAATAAATATAGCCTTACTAGCTACTTAAGATAGAGCTAGAAGCTTAGCTTTAGTTGTAGATATAGTAATTATAGCCTGCTTATTAGCTCTTTATCTAATTATTCCTTTAAATAGTCTTATAATATAGGCTTAAAAGCTTTTTATAATAAGAATACTAAGCCTTATAGCTAACACTCTATTATATATTTATATCCAGTATAAAAAGGGGTTAGCTCTACCTTATCTTAGTATACTAAAATGCTAACTTAGATATATAGCCCTCTATAAAACCTAACTATACAGCCTATCTTAATAAGCTTAGAGCTAGCTTTTAGAGTTTTACTATAGTATTTATATAATTTCAGCCTGCTAACTAGAAACTAAAATAAGATAAGCTTTAATTTCTATTTTAATTAACTACTACCTTATTCTTATCTAGCTATTTTATATCTCTTTATTAACCTTATTATAATTTTAAAGCTTCTTTTTTAATTACTTAAAATTAAAATAGTATTAAAAGGTAAGTAAGCTACTCCTATTATAGTAGGGTTTTCTAAGTTAGTAGTAAATAATTAATACCCTTAAGTACTCTAAGTAATAGTAATATACCTACTATTAAAGAATTAATAGGAGAATTTATTCTAATTTATTTTTAGCTATTATAACTTAAGGTAAAACCCTAATTATACTAACTAATTCTATTTCTATTAAGAATTAATATACTGCTATAATTACTTATATTATCTAGCTAGAGGCTCTAGAGAAGCTTAGAGCCTAAGAAGTAAGTTATATAATAACTTATAGGGGAACCTCTATTTAAAATCTATATATAATATACTGCAATTTAACTAGATTTATATTAAGTAGTAAAGAAAAATTAAGATTTAAAATATTACTTAATTAATTCTTCTAATTATTTTAAAAAAGAGATAACTAGTTAAGTAACTTATAATATACTTTTACTAGAGTATATACTGTATTAATAAGACTATAAGAAGATTCTTTTTATTTAGATAATATAGAGTAAGATAGAAGGTTAAGATAGAATAGTTTTCTTAAAGAAAAACCTATAGAAACCTACTAAGATATAGCTAAAAGCTAGATAATATTTAAAATTAAACTTTTTTTTTATTAAAGACTTACTAATTAGAAGCTAATATTAATATACTAGCTAGAATAAGCCTATTAATATAATTACTAATTTCTTAGAAATTTACTAATATCTTAACTCTCTAGAGAAATACTTTTTAAAAGCCTATAAAAATAAAGAATATTATTCTTTTTTATTAAATTATAATATAGCTTATAAAACTATATAACTATATAATATCCTAAAATCCTAAAATATAAGAAGAGATTATTACTCTAGCTACCTACTTTTAGAATTTTATATAAATAAGTAAAAATAAAAAAATAGTAACTTAAAATTAAAAGAGATTTTTAAGAAATATAAAAATAATAAATTAAAATTTAATAAAAATAGAGTAATATTTAAAATAGGTATAGAATACTAATCTTTTAGTTTTAAGAAAGGCAACTTAAAGGAATTAATAGCTAAATACTTATATATTTTAACTATAGTAATACTAAATATTTAAAAGATAGATATATATAGCTTTTAAAGTATAAAAAGTTAATTTAGAAAATAGCTAGAAGCTAGTATAGAAACTCTATAATAGCTAATATACTAACTATTTAAGTTAAATTTTACTTTAAGGCTTTTATTATACTTTATAGCTAAAAACTCACTAAAATATATATATATCTAAACTTTTATATTAAAGCTAACTTATTAGTAAAAAATTCGCAATTAGCTAAAATTTAAAATCTATTATAATATACTGCCTCTAACTTATAGTTATAAATAAAATAACTCTTAAAATATACTATAACTAGCTAATACTTTTATAATATAAAATTACTAAGATTATATATAATTCTTTATTTAGATTTATATTAATATTAATAGAAACCTAAATATAAAGGGAATTCCAATTCTTTTATCTATAATTATACTAATAAATTAATATAATATATTTAATAAGTAAGTAAGCTAAATAAGTAAATAAGCTAAAAATCCCTTAACCTATATTATCTCTATTTAATTAATTAATTCTTAACTACCTAGCATATTACAGTCTAATTATAAGGCTAGAATACTTCTTACCCTTTAGGCTTTTTAAAATAACCCAAATCTATATATCCAATGTACTGCAGAGATATATACAGTTAATTGTTATACTCTAGGTTGCTAGTAAAAGAATATCCAGTCTCAATATAATACTATCTAGAAATTATATCAGCTATTTAATTTAAAGAAATAGATTCTTATTTACTTTATTCTTAACCTAGATTTATAAGAATTTCCCCCCCAACTATATAATATTAAAGATATAGCTAATTAATTACTTACTAACTATAATATACTACTAGTTAGTATATATTAGGCTTATAATTTCATTAAGTAGTATATAAACCTTAAAATATATTTCTTTTATAAATATAACTATTAAAAAGCTAAATATAAAGACCTAATTATTATCTATAATTAATTTCAGCTTATAGTAAATATAATTATAAAGTATAATATTTAATTAAATAATATTTATAATTTTAATAAAACTAGCTTTTTTATAGATATAATTATAAGTAGAATAATTATTATAAATATAAAAAGATATTTAAAGTTAAAATTAATATAGCCTAAAAACTAAAAATAAATTATAGTTATTAAAATAATTAATATAGAAAGCTGGATAATCTACTTATTTATTATTAGTATAGGCTAATATTATCTTATTAATTAATATTAAAAAAGTAACCTCCTAAGTAATTAAATTATTATAATAACTTAAAATAGCTAGATTAATAATAAGATTAATCTTAAATAGCTTAAGTACTTTAATTAATATATAACTAATTAATTAATTAATTTCTATTATCTCTTAATTTTAAATAGCTATAAAAATTACTATTCTATTAAATTTAAAAGAT